GTCTCGATTCTGTCTCGATTCTGTCTCGATTCTGTCTCGATTCTGTCTCGATTCTATATAGTACTACACATACTTAGTACTTAGTAGTATTATATATATAGTGAATATATACGTAGTACATATAGTACATAGTAGTACTCCTATAGTACTAGCGGTTATCTTTCTCAACTTACATAATCACGTGACCTAAAGGTTCGAGTTCTAGGCGATCTTATATACTACATACTATGTAGTAGTGTATGTTCATATAACAAGTACTACTAGTATATACATAGTAAACCTAGGGATTTAAGAAGGAAGATGAAAGAAAAAATAGAATACTACTATATATACTATGTATAAAGAGATCATAGGGAGATTGAGAAGGAAAGTAAAAACTACCGAATACCGAGAGTACATAGTATGTATATAATACTAGTAGTATTATAGCACTAGCGCTACTATATATATAGTACTAGTACTTAGTATTAGAACCAAGACTCAAGCGTATCACAAAACTGACAGAATCGGGTAGTCCTAGGTTGCGCCTTCCCGTCGTATAGGTTTCCGTTTTTGGAATCAAGGCTTCACACTAGTACTAATCTAGACCGGTTCTAAATCGCTTTTAAACCGCTCCAAATCGGTGTGGAATCGGTCTGGAATCACTTTTAGCCCGCTTTGACACTCTCCAGGCAATCTAGACGGAAGAGGGTTTGCGGTCCGTTCTAACCTTTGCAGCTTTCTCAATGTTGCCTGCGTCCTTTTCCCGGACCAAATATAGTATTCTAGATTGACGTATTGTGTATTTTGACTAAAAAACTTGAAGTGTGCTCGAGCGTACTAGTAATCATCAAGTTCAGCAAATGGGTTATACTGTACATAGTATTTATTCTAATTCAGTGGATGTTATTGTGTCAGACGACTAGGACCGCGGAGCGAGGAACGCTCTCAAGCTACATAGTACTATACTTATCCATTTTCTGGGGGGGAAACTACATAGTACTTAGTATGTCCACCGATTGTCGAAACTGCTATCAATGATAGGGGCTGGCTCCGCCATGAAATTGGGAACATATCAAGCGGTATCATCAGTCTGTGCGAGGACGAATACTGGCAGCGTACATGGATCATTCAGGAAGTGCTCCTTGCTAAGCAAATCTTGCTGGTGTGTGGCGGAAAGCACTCCCCTGGGACTCTTTCTCGCATTTTCTGCTGTCAGGCAGTACTATTCATACTTAGTAGTACTACATTAGTATGTACTTAGTAGCTCATCGCCGGTGAGAGTGAGCCTCGAAGCCTTTGAGGAACACACGCAAAACATACTAACTGAGACGAACTTTGAAGTCGAGCTCGGGTAATGTGCCGTGAGCGTATGATGAGTTCTGGCAAGATGCACGGTTACAATCTGAAGCAACTACATACTGGCGACATTCGGCCGTTCCAAATGCTCCGACATTCGAGACCCCGTACTAGGGCTGCTAGCACTCGCCGACTACGGCACCAACAAGAACATGAAAGTCGACTACTCTATGCAACCAGCCGAATTTTTCGATCATTTCCTGGCTTATTGTACGACTTCGCCGATAAAAGATGGTCGAGCCGTTTTTACAACTTTGGGGCTTAAGCCTTTCCAGATGCTGGATCCGGAATTTAGGCTCCAGATCCCAGCTCAATCCACGCCAGTGCACCACATTGTAAGATTGCTGGAAACAGCGCGCATATGGCGGAGAAGAGAAGAAGGAGGAGGGGGAGGAGGACGGCGGGAGGGGCCAAATAAGAAGCCGGAAGTGAGGGATGAGATTTTTCGTTTCCTGCTGCTCCCAATCCCTCTTCTTCTCCTCCTCCTCTTCTCTCCTCTTCTCGACCCTGGCTGTGATCACTGTGACGAGATGCTTATAGTACTTACTTGCAAATATCGGAAAAGCAACACGACATGGGTGATTATCGAATGCTGTTTCCTCACTCTGTGCGAATGGGCGAACGTGAAGAGTATATAGGCGGACATGTATGTTGCTTAGGAACATTGAAGCGAGGGCATTCCGGAGCATCTTCTTTTTGATGGCATGGGGAGGTGTAGGGGTTTTGCCATGAAAAAGGATGATCCGGTATTGAACATTGGGAGTGAAGTCTGGGGGAAAAGGCAGAAGTACATAGTACCTTCGAAGAGTGAGACTGGTCAAAGACCAAAAAGGCAGTAGTACTCCTCTCAGTCGACCGAGAAGGACTCGCTTACTTACTTGATCCCAATGACTTGCCAGATCTGGAAGACGAGGCCCCCGACTTCGAAGACGAGTCCAGTGTGAAACCGTTCCTCGGATTCGTTACAACAGACGACCTAGACATGGATGGCTGGGTCGAGGGTGACTGAAGCAGAAGTCAATTACTACGAGCAACACGTTAGGTCGGAAGATACTTAGTAGAAGCGCACCCCTGCGGTCGTTAAGTGACGAGGAATTGCCGACACCACGGCACCGCCGAATCGAATGTGGAACGGCCGAGTATGCCCATACGGAGAGATCTGAGGCCGTGGCAACGATCTGAGAGAGAAATCCAGCGTGGGAAGAGGAGCCTGTTTCAGATCAGGAGTCTGTCCACGGTGTAGTGCCAATTTGTTGTACTTCAGCAGCTTTTCTCCTGTCTCATATATATAGGTACTACATAGTAAGTACCGTATGAACTTTCCTGATGAACTGCCATTTTTTCGATCAATTTTGTAATTTCAGACCTGGCAGCAAGTCCTGATGTCAAGTATACTGTGTATCAACTGTGCGGGAATGCATGTGATCGTGAAAAGAACGACCCTTTGACAAGGCTTCAACACTTGATCGGCAAGAGGGCATAAGCTCAGTACTGGTACTACATAGTACATAGCAGTACTACTATGTAAGTGTGATGAAGATCTAGAATGCTGATAGAGATGCAAGACATAAAGTATATGCATAGTAGTACTCCGTACAGTCAAATTTCATATAGTACTTGCACGTCGTCCAGACCGCGTATGAAGATGATGGATGTTGAGCCTGAAGATGGAGATGATGCCAGTGGGACTACATACATACTTAGTAGTACTTAGTACCCGTAGTGTCCAGATTGAATCCCTCAAACCAAATGCCAATTGTTCGCAGTCATGATCCTTGCACTCGGTCTCCATAGGTCGACCCCAGAACCACCGCCCCTTCCAGGACTCCTTCCTTCTCCCGCAGCACACCTCTTTTCCACCCATCTCAAGTTTCAAGATCCTCCCCGTCCTTCTCATCAAGCCCTTGCCTCCCCTCGCTCCTTCCCGCATACTGAGGGACTAGAAGCAGCAGTATGATTCTGCAACTTGCCTGCTCCGAATCCCCTGGATGATTGGGATCAGCCGATCAGATGGGTCAATTTTGGCATGGCGCCCATTGCTGTGAGGACGATTGACCCCACCATGGTGATCATCATGATAAGGGGAAACATGGTTGGGTTTTTTCGGATGTATGTATGTGTGGATGGGAAGGGCGTGGCTCTGGTGTATGCTGTAGGGTAACTTGAAATTTGGTCTGTTGGTGTTCGCCTGTGGAAATTGGCACGTCGAACGGTGTGTATGGAGTGCGGGCTGGACACAGAGTGTAGAGTGACGGCAGAGTCAAAATGAAGTGTGCGTGATGTTCAACTTGTGTTCAGTGCCCTGTCCTGGGGTCGACATGGGCTTTTATAGAGCGGTGGGCAGCCTAGAAGGTCAGAACAAAGACATCGGTGGCGTTAGGTTCTGAGGATCTCGAGAGAAACAAGATTGAAAGGAAAGGTCCTGAGAGGGTGAACCACTGCAGAAGACATATAGTGGATAGCGAGCCATAGAAAAAGAGGCTGTGAGCTTTGGTTAAGCTTTGATGTTCCATGGTTCAGGCAACGCTGTTGGTCTTAAGGTCCTCACCCCGAGCGGAATCCTTTGGGGGGGCGAGCAAGCCTCCCTCGATAACCAACAATTTCGCTCTCTGAAGATGGTGGGTATGTATAGTTTAGGAGCTTGAAGCATAAGATAGGTCGAGTTGCCGTTGACACCCAAATACTAGTAAGACGACTGCACACCAGACGCCAGTGTGGCCGATCATGATAGAGAAACCTGTACGAAACATGAGCAGGCATGAATACCTTTTTCCGTCGTGCAATCACTCGCCGTGCGCTAAATGCAGTGAGTTTCGAAACATACGCCATCATGGTTTTCTCCCCCAAACACGTCGACTGCCACCGCTGGGTCAGTATAGTCTGGTCACCAGTCGACGTCGCTTCAAGAGACTCACGTGTAATGCCATATATGCAGGCGCCGCTTCTTCAGTTCGTCCCTCACTCTGGCGACATAGACTCTGGCTTCATCCGCAGTCCACGGTTCCGGCGCGCCCCATCTCGTCAACAAGAACATAGCCCACCCTTCCAGACCAGAACTCCAGTGGTTCAGGTTGATCCTGCCGGCGTCCTTGAGGAGGGGGTCCTTGGGCCAGGCGCCGATGGGACATTTGTATAAATGTTCTTGGACGTCGACAAACCCGGCGGCTTCGATCTTGGCCTTCATGGTCAACTGCGTGTCCAAGGGACGTCCTGCCCGCTGGGCGCAGTCGAGGAACGTCTGCCCCCATCCAGCCAACAGCGAGTCAGGGGCGAGAGAGCCGTCGTCAGACTGTACCCGCACGTCCAGCTCGACTTGTTCAATGTACCCTCCGGACCTCAGGTTGTCGAAGCATTTTTTGTACACTCCGGCCCATTCTGTGTCTGTGAAGGCACCCAGCATCAGCCGCATGTGGATCAGGTCAAATTCTTCTCTCCACGTCCACTCTTCTAGGACGTCGTCCACCTACAACCTGTCAGCTTGAGTCTCGCATTTACCAAGTATCCCTGTCGACTCACCTGGAGGAAACAGTTTGGAGGAACCCATGTCGACGGTGGCGGAGAGAGGTCAACACCATACACGGTTGCTGGATCTGCTTAGAATAACCGGCCACAGAAACTCATTTCATGTCGACCTACCAGCAGGGAATTGATCGGCAACATCACTTCGCTCGGTAAGAAGATGGTCTTGTAATTGAAGAAGAACTTCGACTCACACGGCCCAAGTGCCAGGTCCTGTCCCTATATCGAGGACATACTAGTGCGCGGTAATCAGAAAGAATGCGCTTCGGACGATACGTGGTGAGCTTGGAGTCATACCAGCGGCGATTTTATTGGGGATCGAAAGAGTGGGTTCGGTTGGTTGCTGTCCAAAACAAGGTACAGCACATGGCTAGGACATCTCTCTCAGCACTGTCGTGTGCTCTCTCGGCATACACCTACCCAGCGTTTAGGGTTTCAAATTGTTGCTCATCCGACGGACCCCTGTCGAGATCATGAGCCTTGTATACGGGGCTTCTGGGAGAAAGCATACCAATAGTCATCTCGCAGAGACGAGTATCTGCAGGTGTCAGCGAAGAGAGACATTCACAGACTCGGAGTCCGTGGGCAAGGGCCATATCAACCTTCTGCCGTTTATCATTCGACCTCGATATATCGAGGATGAGACAGAGGTGGTATCCCTTGCAGAGCCTCGTCTCAGCCACTCGCTATTCACAATCCGAGCATTTCCGCAACTCACGAGAAATTATCGCCATCCTCAAAGGCGGAGTCGACGTCGTCATCGACCTGGAGATACTCTGTTATTACCGGAAAAGAGGTTTGAGCAGCAAGCAAAACGCGTACATCGACAATGTCTGTGCGGCCGGACACTTCTTCACCACCGGCCAACGGACCAGTGGCTGCTGGACTTCTCTCGGTTCGGGCGGGATCACGAGAAGAAGCCATCGACAAGAGGTAAGGTGCTGGAGCAAGCCAAAAAAGACATTGACGACGACGACGACCAAAGAAGGCGCACTTATCCTTGATTTTTATCGAAAAAAGTCTGGGCCTGCGTCCCAAATGCCGCTCCCACGCCCACCGACAAAGACGATCCTCTCATGACTTCTCTGGCGTGGGTTTCCGGGCAAGCTGACTCGTCACGCCTCCCCCATCGACCGTGACAGAGCGGATATGTTTCGTGTGCAAACTGGGTCTGGCCTGCTGATGATGTTTCTGACCGGCGTCCCACCAGCGTCCTGTCTGTGCCAATGGGGCTCGACTGTTCTTTGGATTTGTTTCCAGAGTTTCGACCAACCACGCCAGCCATGGCACCGTCCGGCGCCCAGCACTACGGATGTACCGACCGCTACGAGTCGCGACCTCTGACCAGCGCGGGGCCGTCGCTGGGTTGACCCGCCTCGCCGCAGCAGCTCAAAGATCCGTGCCGAAGGCTACCTTCGAAACGAACAAGTTGCCCCCAGTCGACGGTGCTTCTTGTACCTGTCAGAGTCGAACACGTTCAAGATTCCTTCCTGCTGTTTTTTTCTTCCCAGAGGAAGCATGACCCCTCAGTGGAGGGGCTCGATCGTAGTAGACCCGGAGCAAGCTCGCGTCAAATCTGCGCAGCCCACCAATTCAGATTCTTCAGGGACACGGTAACACATCTACTACTTTTCCGTATCTTCAGGCAACGGGTTCGCTCCGAGTCTTTTCCTTTGTGCTCGATTCGAGAAGGGAATTTACCGCGTGTACATGTTTGGTATAGCTGTTTAGACCCTTCTCTCTCTCACACACACACATCCATGGCATCTTCTCATCAATCCCTGCCCACGAAAGTGGTTGCAGGAGTGACTGTGCCCGACACGCCGCTCATCACCAAAGCTTTAGACTATGTGCGCCAGTACTCGACCGACGACACGTACAACCACATCATCCGGTCCTTTCTGCTCGGCTTCATCATCGCCGACAAAGTCCTCCCCGACCGAGACCGCGAAGCCCACGCCGTGGCCGCCATCATGCACGACCTAGGCTTCCCCATCGGCCACCCGCCGCACTCGGAGATCATATCCCAGGACAAGAGATTCGAGGTCGACGGGGCCAACGCCGCGAGGAACTTTCTCAGAAAGGAGGCTCCAGCGTGGGACAAGCACAGGCTGCAGCTGGTCTGGGACGCCATCGCCCTGCACACCATCGGATCCATCGTGTTCGAGAAAGAGCCCGAGGTCCAGGCGTGCAGTTATGGCATCTGGGCGGACTTCCAGGGCCCGGACCGGGTTCCCGGTGGGCTCTTGAGCTGGGACGAGTACAACGCGGTGGTCAAGGTATGCATCATGCACTCTGCAAGAAGCCTCGGATCTCCGGGCCATATATATCAGAAACCGGGGCAGGAGTGCCAGGGAAAGCTTTATATACAAGCCCAGGGTAAGCCAAAAACAAAAAAGTCGCAAATACTGATTTGTTCTTCTACGCTACCAGGAATACCCCCGACTGGGCCTCATGAAAGGACTCAAGGCCAACATGTGCCATCTGTGCGAGCTGAAACCCCAGACCACGTACGACAACACGGTGGGTGAATGGGGGGATCGCTATGTGGAAGGGTATAGCAGGAAAGGGAAATTGACGCAGGATCTGCTCGAGACGTGTAATCTGGATGAACTATAAAATGCTACTACCATTACTGCTTGGCCTCCGTCAAATGCGTGCGTGCATACTGATGTTTGGCCACTCGCCCTTCTCCATCAAAGACACCTGGCTCGACCCTTTGCTCCTCTCCCTTCCACCAGTGCTCTCTACAGAGTCCCTTTTCTTGTTCCTTTTCTCCCTGTAATGCATCCAACTCAACCCCGATGGCGGGACAAGCAAGATATGCGCGCTGACGATGGCACCGACCTCCGCCCCGGGAGGAATTTTTCTTCCCGGAACAAACACAGAGTTGGGATTCCCGGAGACAGCCAGGGACATGAACGTGAACTCATGATGAAGATCGCCACCAGACCCCTTCCTTGGTCAGACGGACAACACTCAGCGAGCGACACTCTCGCTGTCCGTCGCCGAGAGCTTGAGCCTTCGTCTAAGCAGCCGATGGTAGAAGAGCGTCCGCCGGCGCGCCATTTGAAGCCCTTAGGAACAGAATCGCGGCAGAAAGGATGTGCGTCAGTCTTTAGTGGCCAGCCGATCGTAGAGCAGGGACAGGAAAGAAAGGAGAAAACATAGAAATGTGAAAGCTCAAGTGAGTTCCGAAACACACTCTGCGTCGCCTTGGATTCACCTCATTTGGAGAATCTGCAAAAGTGATAGGAACTCTGAAGGTGGCGTGGGAAACGGCCCTCTTTTTCCATTCAAACATTCAAAGCTCCCAAAGTTCATGTACAAGAAGGTTTAATTGTAAATGGGAACGGCCCGGGAGGTCTGATGTCCTCTGGAGGCTCGTTCTCAAGAATAGCCCAAAAAGAAAAGGCTAGATATCTCGGAACCTGACCGATCTAGCGAGAGAAAAAGCCGTAAATAAAAGTCGGCCAGCACATTCGGAGGGAGGGCCATATCCCTTCAATGAGCCATCATACCTGGAACCCTTCCAACCTGCTCATCTAGTGGACAATGGTTCCAGTCCATTCAGAACAGTCAACCTGTGTGGCGGTACCGACAGCAAGGCCGACGCCACTGTTGCCGAAGAATGCTTCGGACGCACCGCTGTCACTGCAGAGATCGAAGTTGACGTTGGCGCCATACTGATTTGTGCCTGATAGACCGTTCTGGGCACACAGCGGGTTACCATCGGCCGGGCAGAGGTTGTTGATCATGACCACGATGCTCGTTCCCGCATTGCTGAGGGCATTTCCGGACGAGTCTGTTTCTCCGACCAGCTTCCAGCACGTACCACAGGCAGGGCCCTGGCCTTGACCCGGTCCAGCACCGTAGAGGTTCTGGGAAACGGCGGCGCTGAAGCCGGGGTAAGTGTAGAAGAAACAGGCGGCCGTGTTGGTGTTGCAGTTCGGCGAGCCAAAGCTGTCGCCGGCACCGTAGTGAGTGAATGACGCTTTGTAGGTCAGGCCTCCGCTGCTGGTAGCTGGGCTGGTAGAGGTTGCTGGTGGAGGGGCACTCGTTGGGCTGCTGGACGGAGATTGGCTAGGGGAGACAGGTTGAACGACTGGTGAAGACGCCGGTGGTGACGACGTCGCAGGCGGGGCTGAAGACGGAGTTGAAGATGGAGTGCTTGCCTCTTGCAGACATTTGAGAGTAATAAGGATTCTGCTCTACGCAGGTCCAGCCTGAGGTGCAAGTCGTGCCACCAGTCCAGTTGATACCGCCACCTGGTGAGAATGAGCATGTAGGGTCAAAGAAACTTCAATAAGTACATACACTGGTCCCACGGGCCTTGTGTGGCAGTGGAGCTGGCTGCCGGGCAGGCCAGAGAGAGGCAAGGGAGGAGGGAGAGAATGATCACTGATTGACGCATTTCTCCTGGTATGCTAAAATCAAAGATCTCGAGCTTCTTGGGTATATGACACTGAAAGGATAGGATGTGAACTGGCACAGAAATAAACGAATGGACCTCGATCGACGAGTGTAACGAGTGACAAATGTAAAGAACGGCAGGCTGCTGTCAGCTTGGAGAATCTGAGTATCTGAGAGCATGATGCGAGGCCAGACCATTATATATATATATGCCTCGTACAATCCCATCCCCAGGATTACCTTGAAAAAGACGCAACAGGGGATACATACCCACAACACCGACGGTCGGACTGTCGTGCCGAAATACAACGTTGTGGTCATCTCCAGCGGAGGGCTCGTGGCAGCACGTTTCTCTGTAAAGCCTGTGTCAAGACCATGGTGAACCATGTCGTAGGCCCAATGTAATCTGAGGAAGAGAGATTATTGGGGTGATGGGATTTTGTAAGAAAAAGGAGCATTGCTGATTTGTCCTTGAAATCTCCTGGAGGTGTAGGATCCCTGCCCTGAAACAGTGGCGGCCCAGGTACTGCATGCATTACGCAGCCCAAGGCTGAGACTCCAGCCGGGATTTCGACAGGCGAGATCTGGCTAAATGCAAAAGGTTTCCACCGAGCCAGATCCACCAATCAATCCCTTGAAGCCACGGTCAAATCTATCCTGAAACTCGATCCCGTCCGTGGTCTGAGCTTGCTGATAATCTGGGCGATAGTCTGAGCGATAATCTGGGGGCTTGGGTAACGATCTGGAAGACATCGATCTAAACACGCCGACTGAGAAATCTCCGAGTGCAAGCTTTCTGCAACTGGCTTCACGACCAGCTGGCTCCTTTGTGTTTAAATTTCCAGGGATATCCCAGAACGATTGAAGAGCAAACTAGCCCAGGGCCATGGTGGCGACATCTTCACGATATCTCCTCTGTCTTGCAGATGCGGTCCACCACAAATAGAGGCTGGTCCCCCAGCTTCTCAGCAGGAACGTGAACCAGCCACAGTCTTTCTGTGTTTCCCAACCAAAGGCGGCTTCATCGTAGGCCCTGTCAATGTTTGCCCTCCTGACGTTTTGATATGTGCGGAAGACTTCGTCCAATCCACAATCCAATTTGGATCTCATGGCTCGGGCAAACAAGATGGCATCTTCCAAGGCATATGCTGTACTTTCGCCTTGAGGGGGCATTGCGTGTGCGGCATCCCCCAAGAGCATCGTGCGTTTCGAGCACCAGTTGCCCCGTGGTGCGAGTTTGTAGACGGGATAGAGAGTCCAATGACCTGTTGCTGAGATGAGGGGATCGAGGAATTCAATGGCGCCGCCGCCAAATCGACCTTTTACATCCTGCTCAATCCTCTTCTGTTCTGTGCCCCGGGCCAACCAACCTTCTCTCGACGCAACGTCCGCGGTCTCAGTGATGGCTGCCACGAACTGTTTTTTCCTAGTTGGCTCGTAGTAGGTGGTCATGAGACTGCCGCGTTGTGACTGGCACAGTCCTGTGTCTTTCCATGGAACTTTTGCTCCCTCCTCCAGGTCTGCAAATCCAAATACTGCAGCTATGCCGGTGTATAGTGGTGTCCTCTCGCCGTCAACAAGGTTGGCTCTGACGAAGGAATGTATCCCGTCGCACCCAAGAACCAGATTCGCGCATAGTGTTCGACCGTCGTCTAGCTGGACTGTCACCTTCTCACCCGCCTCAACGATCTGGACTGGTTTGCAGCCATACTCCAGCTTGACGTTGTCCAGTGCCTTGACAGTCTCTGTAAGTGACTGGACCAAGTCTGCGCGTAGGATTCTGAGTCCCTTGAAGGCAGGGTCGCCAACTCCGACACCACCCTCGCCGGTGAAGGTGATCTCACCAAGTCTGGCGCCAGTGTAGATTGTGAACAGCTCGATCTTATCTATGTCCGTCCCCACCCCCCTTGCTCGAATCCGTGGTAGCGCTCCAAGGTGGTGCAGGCAACGCAGGGCATTCGGCGTCAGTCCAACAGCGCCGCCGATTGTTGACGGCTGTGGGCGGACTTCAACAACAGTAATGTGTGGACTTTCCGGGAGCCATTTGGTGAGAGCCAGTGTTGAGGCTAGACCAGCGATGCCAGCTCCGACAATTACGATATTCATCATGGAGGATCAAAGCTGACAATGTCGATGCTTAGTGAAGGCGCATCTGGGAACGACATGTTTCTGGAATCTTTGGGGCTTGCTTTATACCTGTGAGACATTAGCTGGAGCTTCAAATATCTGGAAGTTTTACTCTAACGTTCAATATGCTGGAGTGGATCATATTAATTGGACACGTTCTGAATATGGCAGGCCGCCGTATTCGCAGCCGCTCTATTGGCCGGTGTTGTAACTGCCACACCAGGCAGCCGTAATCGGTACAGGATAGACTCTTCGAATATCCGCCACATATTCTATCTCCATTGAGGCCAAACCGCAAGCAGAAACTCTTGCAGGATGCCATGCACATCGGCGTGAGCCAAAAACCCGAAACCACAGTATCAGCACATGCTTAGACCGTGGTAGTCCAACCATCGACAATCCAACGTGGAATTTAACCTAATCCAGCCCTTGTGGTCTTTACGACATGCTTGATGGCCTCCAGGCTGCCTTTGTTCCCAACAGCACCTAGTCCGACGCCTTCTGTCCAGCCCATTTTTTCCAGCAACCTCCGACCTTTGTTGTCTGCGCCGATCTCTGGGGCGGAAGCACCGACCACGTCCCCATTCATGTACGTTGCGCCAGACGCGGCTCCACCGCCCCCTCTCCTAGCTCTTGCGGAACCAGCTGTTGCAGTAGGACGAGACTTGTAAGCACTCATTCGTTGCCTCGGGAAGAACTTTCTCTGGCTCATCAATGCGTCGATCTCCCAAACTGTGTCGATCGTGAATCTCGGAGTATGTGGGCCCTTGGTCAGAACAGGGTAACGTCCTATGCCGTGGCCATCCTTGCCCTCAGACTTCGATTGCAGCTTGAGCGACTTGGCAAGCCGGTGGACAGAAGCCCGAGTTGCTGAATCCATTGGGGCCAGTTTCAGCGTCGTGACTTCCTCGATGAGAAACTGTCGGATTTCTGCCTTGATAGCGACAGGATGATTGCGTTCGGACGCTTCCAGAAGAGCGGCCTCGCGCTCAAGTAGTTTCTCGCGCTTGCGGCTCGCCTTCTTTTCCCGGTCTTTGTTCCAGGTACTGCGTAGGCGCTCGGCAAGTTCCTCATCCTCGACGCCGAGGTCGAAAGGTAAGTCCGACTTGCGTCCCTTCTTCTTAGGTCGGAGACTAGGTCGGTCAAAATCCATGATGTCGAACGCACCATATGGATCCTGGTCAAGGGCATCAGCGAAAGCTGTTGCAGATGGGAAAGTGTCACGCTCGCGTCTATTTTTCTTTGATTTGACGCGGCTGGAAATATGCTTCTTCGTGGAAAACGGAATGAACCCATCGCCGGCTGCAAATTCATCGTCGACGTCGTCAACATCATCATCGTCGTCATCATCATTGACCTCGTCGTCTTCCTCAACTTGTCCATCGAACAAGAGCAGCTCGTCGCCACCCATTCCCAGCTCTTCCTGTTTTGCTAGCGCTCGAGCGATCTGCTCATCAGTCATCCGCGCGGCACGCTCGAGTATGCGATCATTTTCCTCGTTCTCGGATTCTATATCGTCATCAAGATCATCCAAAAGCTCGTCGGCGTCTGACGACTCGGAATCGGCGGAGTCTCCTGTGATCTCTGGGATTTTCATGGCCTGGATTTCCTCAAAGATGCGGATTTCGTCGACAGCAGAGGCTGAGTTCAGCTTTCCGTGAGGAACCCAGCGAGGATCACTGGAGTCTTTGCCAAGCGGGCTGACGAGATACTGTGGACCACTTGGACGGGTGCGATATCGTAGAACATGGCTGACCTCGACAATTTCCTCGTCTGTAGTGCTAAAGTCATCAAAATCTTGCAGATCACTCGAATTCCAATCGATCGCTTGGTTGACGTCGTTAGATCCTTTCGCAGGTTTGCTTGTTCTTTGGGGCCGCAGGTGGACCTTTTGCTCAGTAGCGCCATCAAAGAAACGGAAATGTTCAGTTCTCTTTCCAGTCTTTACTGAGTGCTTGCTTTCGAGAATCGCGTCTTCATCGCTGTCGTCGTCAACCGCTAAATTGGCAATGTAATCATTAATGAGGGCTTCTTCCTCCTCTCTTCTTTGAGAGCTTTCTGGTCGGCCCCGAAGACGACCACGTCGGTCGAAGGCTTTGTTCCGGGGCGGAGGCAAAATGTTGTTGAACTTGTCCAAACCAGATGAGCTGGAATCGCGAGTGGTGACACCCACCGGTGCGGGAGAACATTCAGGTGGAGGTTCTGTCTCAACAAAATTGGGTTCAGGAGGAATTGTAGGCTCTGAGCTAGAAGCGGCCGCATTCTTGACAATCTTTGCTGGGGGGTTGTGTCGACCGGCGAAAAGGATCTCTTCGGAGGACTGCGACGAAACTGAGTCTTTCCTTGTACGGGGCTCTTGTCCGCTCAACTCGACTGTACTCTTCTTGTGATTATCTGACTGCTCTTTCCCTGATGCATGTGGTTCAGCCTCCTTATGTTGCGCTTGCTTGTCCGAGGGTTCTTCAGATGCTGCTTCCTTCTGCGTTTGTTCTTTGTCCTTCGCGACTGCGACTATATCTTCTTGCTTCAGATCTCCAGCACTGATGAAGGTGATTCTCTGTTCCCTGAGGCGTGTAGAAGCCCAAGACATAGCGTGACGCTCGGTGTTCCTAGCCGTTTGAGTCATGCTCAGCATGGCGTTGGGAGGATGAGGAGAATTTGAATCTGAGAAATCCTGCCAGTCGTGTACAAGACCGCGGTGGAAGTTATTAGGCACTAGTTCATCTTGTCAGGACGCTCAAGGCAGAGGCAGAGGTTCTCGTTTGTGGCACCTTTGTTGGAAGGACTTGACTGGCCGTGTACCCATGGCGATGGTGAGTTATTCTGGTGTCCTCCATTGCGTTTCTTCCGAGCTTGCGCTCGTTGACGAGGACCCATGTTGGGCGGGGTGCACCAAAAATGAGGCGAGTTGCCCCTCTTCCGACAGCGAGCTTCAAGTAGTGGTTGTTGCTAAGAAGTGAACATCATAAAGCCAACAAGGTAGAGATAGAGGACATCGGATACGGGGCAAGCTACTGAGCGAGTGTCTTTGTGAATCATGCATACGAGGACAGGTGAAGTGTTATGTTTAGGTAGATGTTTGAAGGAGAATTGGGGGTGCCGTTCTACAGTAGATTTAGTGACGCTCGTTGGGTCGAAAGCGCCCGCAAATTCCACCAGTCACGCTTCACTTTCTGCCCCAGTGGCCCAGGTGGTCTGGTGGGCCCCAAGGCGATCGAATAGGCGAATCCGCCCCAAGGTAAGCCTATGCGCAGGGAGCCTGGTGATGTCTCAGCAAGGCTACGTCCCATGGGCTTCTACGCTTCTACTGTAATGCCTGCACCTGACTGCGGTGAAAGTCACCACGCACCTCCATCCACACCACAATCTCAGCAGCACCTTCACTATACCATATACTTTTACTAGAACTGCTCAAGAAAACGTCCCTTGCACGAGCTCCCGGCCTACAAGTCGACAACCTGGAATCCCTCCGAGTCCTGTTTGCACCCCGACACACCTCCCAATCACAAGACTCGTCACCGATCCTACCTGGCTTGAAGCAGAAGGACCATGACTCTCTGATCCTGCTGCAACCAACGAGCCGATTCCCTGCTCAGGGGCTCACACCGTTTGGTGCTCTTCTATATGCAATATTTCCTGGGCTTCAGAGCATTCCTCTCTCCTTCCAGGCCCCAAGCGTCATGAATGGCGTCGACGTTAAGCGCTTCGTGCGCTACTTCTATGACCCTCCACCAAAATACGATGACATGTCCGGCACTTCTGTATGGCTGCTGGGGAAGGAGTATCAGGCTGCACCCCCCAAGCCAGTAACAACGACGGACCACGACGATGTGGTCGAAGTCGAGTCCTCCTCAGATTCTCATGACCCTTCTGATGCTAGTGCTCTTTCATCCACAACAGATCAGCCTACACAGCAGCAGCCTAATGAATCTCACTCACAAAACACAAGCAGTTTTGACGATGCCCAGCATGTGGCAGGGGGAAACAATCTACCGTCCTTATCAAATGATCCGTCCGATCGAGGATGGCCCATCACATTCCTTGACGACTTCGAATCTCGGATATGGATGACCTACCGCTCCAACTTTACGCCCATCCCTCGATCGCAAGAGCCCGGCTCTAATGTATCCTTATCTCTGTCCGTTCGCCTACGCAACCTTACCGAGAGGGATGGCTTCAGCAGCGACACAGGCTGGGGATGTATGATTCGTTCGGGACAATCGCTTTTGGCAAACGCCCTGGTTATGCTCCATCTGGGCCGGGATTGGCGGCGACCTCACACATCCTCCCTCGACTCCCCTTCCTCCACCCAAACTCAAACCGAAGCCTCCATCCTTTCCCTCTTCGCCGACTCCCCCCTCGCCCCCTTCTCCATCCACCGCTTCGTCCAACATGGCGCGTCCGCCTGCGGCACACATCCAGGCCAATGGTTCGGGCCTTCGGCCACGGCTTCGTGCATCAAAGAGCTTTCCGCCGAATGTGCTGCCGCAGGACTACGAGTCTACGTGACACCATCGGCGAGCGAAGTATACGAAGACAAGTTCCGCAACATTGCACGCGCTTCTGCTACGGATCTCACCATTAGACCTACGTTGATCCTGCTGGGAATAAGACTGGGACTGGACCGGATTACACCCGTCTATCATGAAGCCCTCAAAAGCAGCCTCACATACCCTCAATCAATTGGTATTGCGGGTGGCCGGCCATCCTCTTCACATTACTTCATTGGCTGTCAAGGGGACCTCTTCTTCTACCTCGACCCCCACGAGACCCGCCCTGCGCTGCAGCACCATTCTGACCCCAATGAATACACGGACGAAGAAATCTCCACATGCCATACGCGCCGTCTCCGTGGTCTGAGGATCAGTGAGATGGATCCATCCATGCTTATCGGCTTTCTCATCAAGGACGAGCAAGACTGGGAAGACTGGAAAAGAAGGATAAAGGAGGTCAAAGGCAAGGCGATCGTGTCGGTCTTTGACAAGGAGCCGCCCGTGCCTGGGGAAACGAAGGAGAGGAAGGAGGCCGTGGACGAGGTGCAGACATTCGATGACGAGGACGAGGATGATGAGACTGTTACTGTCACAGGGAAGGAGGACGAACAAGAAGCTAAACCCGAGGGTGGCGAGGGAGACGAAGATGGCATCAAAGTCGATCGCGAAGCGGAAGGAGATGGTGAAGGAGAAAGCGATACAATCCATGTTGGACTCGATGCCCCGATAGAGGAGCCTGTCAAGGTCGACGGTCCTGCAGCAAGGGAAGAAGACACAGTCGAAGTTCCCTGACCGCAGAAATATGCGTCTTGTCTGGGCGATGATGAGTACGATGCTACGCATGATACAGAACACGAGTACTAATATGGGTAATGACATTCGGGCGCTTTGGAGTAGTTCTGGGTCATTGGCAAGGTGGAGTGATTGGGCAAAGAGTATACGACACTACAGCGAAGGAACTGTCGCCCTTCAATCTCGTCGGCGTTTGTTGGTCGGAAATTTGAGTTTGCTTCCCTTTGATCGTGCTCGGGAGAAAACACTGGTTTGCTTGTTTCACCGCGAGGAGCTGTTTTGTCTTCAGCGCCAAACACTGCTGCGAGACACTGTGGCCAAACCGTCCTGTTTATGTTCACGTGGATCATACCAAATATGTGGCGCCTCTAGCGCGCAACTCCATAGAACGCGTATCAAAACATTGGAATTCAAGGCTTTGATCGCATTGGTTTCGCCAGATGAACCCCAATGCGGCACGAACAGAGCAAACAAATACTGGATGGTTTGATTTCATGCTTTGATTTCGGATGTCTCACAATCCAGCCAAACTGGATATCTGAAACTTCATGCTTCAGCGTGGTGAATATTGTACATAGCGCGAAAGCTTCTCTCTGTAGAGACTCGTAAAGCATGATTGCTGTTGATGAGCAAGCATGACCGTGGACAGCTCATCACAATGTCAATAATCCCCAGTTCCCATGACGCATCGTAATGTGTTGATCAAAAACCCATTTCAACACCGTTGTTCCGTTTGTGCCCACAACCCCATTTGCAGAAAAGACACGCAAAAGCCCGACCAAGAACCAATCACCCCACGAATGAGACCAATTACTTGCTTTGGGAGGAGTATTTGGTGACAGCCTTGGTGCCTTCAGACACGGCGTGCTTGGCGAGTTCACCGGGCAGGATCAGTCTGACGGATGTCTGGATCTCTCGGGAGGAGATTGTGGACTTCTTGTTGTAGGCAGCAAGCTTGGAGGCTTCGGTGGCGACACGCTCGAAGATGTCTGAGACAGACGTTAGACCATGCATTGCTTCAAGGAGGCGCGTTTAGCTTACCATTGACGAAAGAGTTCAGGATGGACATGGCACGGTTGGAGATACCAGTATCAGGGTGGACTTGCTTGAGGACTAAGACGCGTCAGTATCGGGAAGCGAGGGCTGCGATTCGCGCAGGAATTGAAATCTTACCCTTGTAGATGTAAGAAGAGTAAGTCTCCTTCCTGGTCTTGCCTCGCTTCTTCTTGTCACCAGAGGGAGCGGCGGCGGTCTTCTTGCCAGCTTCCTTCTTCTCGGCAGCGGGAGCCTTTCCAGCTGGGGCCTTGCCGCCAGTGGTGGGTTTCTTCTCAGCAGCTTTTGGTGCCATTTTTGATGATTGATTTGATTGCGCAAAAAGCGACGATTGATGACAAAAGTAGAATGAAGGATGAAATTGATTGATGGAAGCGGATGAGCGTGATGAGTGATGGATGGATGAAGAAGGAAGGAAAGATGGAAGTGCGAAAGGTGGGTGACGGCGACTCTTATACCAGGCGCAAGTGCGAGAGGGAGGGCGCGGGTTGATGCGAAGTGGCAGACGCAGACGGGCGGGCAGTCGCTTCCTGGGGGGTTGATCCAGGTAACAACATGCGCTATTTTCCCAACGTATTGTTATTGTGTCGATTTTGAGGAGTTTTGAGCCACTCAGAATGCAGGATCACTGTGCTTGGCGGAAAGATATGGTAACGTGATGTAATGCTGCCGCGTATTGTCAAACTCATCAGAAAAGTCATTTTTGATCAGTCCCGTCCTCGCGCCACGATTGGCCAACCCCCGGCTCCGTGATCCAGAGAACTCCTTCTCCCGCTGCACCTTTCATCACAAGTTCGCCAAAGGTTGATCTGGAGGCGCGACTCAACTGCCCACCACCCGCATCGCCGCCTATCCTCACTCCTTTATAATTGCCCTTCCCTCCCACCTTCCATCATCACTTCCTTCTCTCTTTCCATCCATCGTCAACCCAAGTTTCCATCGCGCATTTGCTCCAGCATCCCATCACAACTTCATTTCACAACCCAAATCCAACCTTCAACCCCAATCTTACCTCAATCAAAATGACTGGCGGAAAATCTGGTGGCAAAGCCTCTGGCTCCAAGAGCGCTCAATCGTAAGTTCTCATCTTTCCCGGCCTGTGGTATCACTTCAGATTCTACGCGTTGTGCTCAGTTGGTAGCCTGCGCCGTCCCCATCACTTCAATTGGCCTTGTTGAATCATGGTACTAACTCCACCGCAGCCGATCCTCCAAGGCGGGTCTTGCATTCCCTGTCGGCCGTGTCCACCGTCTTCTGCGAAAGGGCAACTATGCTCAGCGTGTCGGTGCCGGTGCTCCCGTCTACCTTGCCGCTGTGCTTGAGTACCTTGCCGCTGAAATCCTCGAACTTGCCGGCAACGCCGCTCGTGACAACAAGAAGACCCGTATCATCCCTCGTCATCTTCAATTGGCCATCCGAAACGATGAGGAGTTGAACAAGCTGCTTGGGCACGTCACAATCGCCCAAGGTGGTGTTTTGCCCAACATCCACCAGAGTACGTCTGCCCAAGATTGCGCAACATTCGCCCACGATACTGACTGCCACAGACTTGCTGCCAAAGAAGACCACCAAGGGCAAGAACCCCAGCCAGGAGCTGTAAGCTCTTTCTGCAAATTCTTTCTGAACTGGGTTTTGAATGGGAGTTTCACGACAAATGCGATCACAACGCGGGGTTTCAGGGGTTGGGCTGGCCAGGTTTCACAGGCCTTGTTTTCAGAGTTTGTGCTTTATCATCGGACGGCAGGGTTGTGTACATTATGCTCATGGCATGCCTACTATCATCACGAACATGGATAGGAATGCAAGACGGGGCATGAGACATGCAAACGGCAAACAAAGCAAATGGCTTTGCAAATGGTGATCATTAGACAGCAAATTTAATGATCTGAACTCATGGCAATTCATCATAAACTTGCTTTTCCATTTGTCTTTTGCGTGTAGACTTGTTGCAGATTGCAAACATCAAGGCGCAGATTCCCCCGAAGTGCTGGATGAGGCGTGATCTGGCAGGCTCGCTGATACGTAGATTTCAAGCAAAGTAAACACAACACAGAATGCAAACGCGTCTGGACGACGTCGAAATCACAAACAGCGCGATATGGAAATCAAATCTGGTAAGAAAGAGGAGGGCGAACAGCCGCCACGAAGGACAGATCGGCTGAATTGTACAGACACTTCCAGCTTCTCAATTGTGGAGGGATGGGGTCGGACAGGGACTTCAGAGGCTAAAGATCTCTTGGGCTCTTTTCGCAAGTCAGTCTTTGCGTGAACTATGAATTTCTTCCGCTCTGTGCGACAGTATGTACAAGTTCTCCATCCATCCATGACAGCTCAGACCACCTCATAACCGCTTGACAAACTCTCTTGACGGTGGCGGTAAGTCTGGGGCTGGCAGATTTCGTTCATATTTCGAGCCTGCAGACAGGGACAGATGAGCGACGGTGCTGAACATATATCCTGTGGGAAATCTTACCTCCTGGAGCAGTTGGTGGTCTGTAAGGGTCAGGATGCTTCCATTTCTGTAGCAGCTTTTCTGTCTCGTTGAAGAGGATCTGGTTCCCATCACAGGTCAGCCAGGTGCTCTGGGCTCCGGGGATCAGTGGCAATTTGAAAAGGGTGTCTGCGTACTCTCTGTTGCCTTGGATCTGTGATGTTTCTGTTTGCGTCAAAAAGTGACCGGATGTAAACTGCTTGGCCGCGCCAGAGGTTTCGTTGCACGGCCCAGTCAAGTGCAAGCTTCAGCGACCGCCGATAGAGATTTCTGTGAACGATGGAGTGAGCAAGTTGGTGAACAGCGTGTGACTTTGTGTTCTTCGTACTCACCGGACAGCCTTGACGTGAGGACTGAGTGTAGCCATTCTGGATGGCCCTGAGGATTCCCCAGACACTCGAACAAATCAATAAGGAAAATCAACTGCCACAGGTAAGGAGCGCACAGCCAGCTGCTCCCCCTGATTTTCCAACCGGTCGCTTCTGTGGCTATGTCGACAGCTTGACTCTTCGATGAAGCCTCCGTTGAGTGTGTAATTGAGATGAGTCGATTGGAGATGCACTGCAGTCGCAGCAGCGCAGGCTTGGCGTCGAAGCTCTTTGCCGGTACTCGCTGCTCTCTCGGGGTGCAGTTCCAGTGGCAGCAGCCGGTGGCAGGGTGGATGCTAGCCGACTCCGCCTGCGCGACTTTTGCATCCGGAACGTCAAAGTGCTAAGTCGGTGCGTATGCCCAGCGCAGCCCAATTAGAGCTCTGAAAGAGCTTTCCCTTCCCAGTCTGCCAGTCTACGAAATCAGAGGTCGATCCCTCCGCCTCTTTTCTTCTGAGGTGACAGCATACTGTCACAGGAAGTGCTTCGTTTCTCTGCCTTCCTCTCATTCTCTTCTGCACAAAACGGCGGTGTATCCGCCTCGCATGCTACAGCCTTGAGCTCCCTCGCTCTCTGGAGCATCGACTGCCCTCCTTGTATTGTTGTACCACGGTCCCCGGATCAACTTCCAAGATGGCCTCTCTGCGGCTTCGACGGTCGCCAGCTTTGGGCTCTGTGCTTGCACTTCCTAAATGCGGCCCGTCTCTACGTACCCGCACCTTCAGTGCTCTCAGGTCGCAGACTACGCCTCGGCAACTCTACGTTTCGAGCTTGCGGTCGTCCACTGTGCCAACCTACGCCTCCCTCTCGAGGTATCAGCAATTCAGTACCTCTCCCACTCGCTACGAAACGGTTGTCAAGGTGCCCCAGATGGCCGAGTCCATTTCCGAAGGTACCCTCAGCAGTTTCTCAAAACAAGTGGGTGATTACGTCGAGCAGGACGAGGAGATCGCATCTATTGAGACAGACAAGATTGACGTTTCTGTCAATGCTCCGGAAGCTGGCACGATAAAGGAGCTCCTCGTCAGCGAGGGAGACACTGTGACTGTCGGACAGGAAATAGCAAAGCTTGAACCTGGTGAAGGAGGCGGTGGAGGCGACAAGGAAGCAAAGCAAGAACCCAAAGAACCTGCTTCGGAAGAGCAACCAACAAGCTCAGACCCTGAGCCGAAGAAGGAGGAGCCGAAGAAGGAAGAACCAAAGAAAGAAGAGCCCCCTCCACCTCCCCCTAAGAAGGAGGAAAAGCCTGCTCCGCCCAAGGAAGAGAAGAAGTCTCCGCCACCCAAACAAGAGAAGAAACCGGATGAATCAAAAGCAACTGGAATCGACTCGCCATTCGGTAAAGGCACGAGAAACGAGAACAGGGTAAGGATGGATAAGGCAGCATTTACGTCACAAAAGCTAACTTGGTCCAGGTCAAAATGAACCGCATGCGTCTGAGAATCGCGGAGCGTCTCAAGCAGTCACAGAACACCGCGGCATCGTTGACCACGTTCAATGAGGTGGACATGTCCAACATCATGGAGTTCCGAAAGAAGTATAAGGATGAGATCCTGAAGAATACTGGCGTCAAACTTGGCTTCATGAGCGCTTTTGCCAAGGCTAGCATTCTGGCCATGAGAGAAGTGCCTACTGTCAACGCCTCTATCGAAGGTCCAGGAGGCGGCGACACCATCGTGTACAGAGACTTTGTGGATATCAGCGTTGCGGTGGCCACACCTAAAGGCTTGGTGACGCCTGTGGTTCGGAATGCCGAGAGTTTGGAGATGGTTGAGATTGAGAAAGCCATTGCAGATTTGGGCAAGAAGGTGAGGCGACCAGCGCCGAGTGTTTTTAAGTCCTGCTAACCCCGGGGCGCAGGCTCGCGACGGAAAGCTGACCATCGAAGACATGGCTGGTGGTACCTATACCATCAGCAACGGCGGTGTCTTCGGGTCGATGATGGGAACGCCCATCATCAATCTGCCTCAAACCGCGGTGCTCGGGCTGCATGCCATTAAGGAGCGAGCGATGGTCGTCAACGGCAAAATAGAGATCAGACCCGTAAGTTCACCCTTGCGTAGGGAGTTGTCGATACTGACCATGCCCAGATGATGTATCTTGCACTCACCTACGATCACCGTTTGCTGGATGGAAGAGAGGCGGTCACATTCTTGGTGAAGATCAAGGTAAGCTTCGATAAAATCCGGTCGCATGCTATCGTGTTCTAACATTTTATGGCAGGAATACATAGAAGATCCGCGCAAGATGCTTTTGGCATAGTGTCCTGCTTAATGGGGCCGGATGGCCTTCGCGGGAATGCATTGTACAAAATCAGAAAATACGGAACGTTAGGCAGCCAGTGGGCACACAGCTCGCCTGTCCTGATGCGAAGCCAAATTCATGAGTAACATACCCCATGTCTCTGTTTGATCTACCTCTGCCCGTGAAGCACTCTCGCTTTACGCCGGAGGAGCATCCTGGGTCGAAGGCAGGGAGGAAACAAATCTCTGTGAACTGGTGGCCCAGCTCTTCCATTGAATCATCTCCCCTAGCAGACCCCTCATTCCAACGCGTAACATACGTCGCATCAGGCGAGGACGGCTTGTATGTAGTCTCGGAGGCAAGCTGGGGACAAGTTCCTCCTTCAAGCCGAATTGTACTCCGTCCGCGTCTCCCTCGACTGAAATTCTCTACCGGGGATCACGGTCCAGCTGCAGCTTGCTCCTCTGCAGTCTCCTTCCACGGCAAACGTCAACTTCCTTGGAGACAAGCTTGCTTGACTTGACTGTCATGCTGTCCACCCCTACGTGCATTCCTTTGCCTTGGAGGACGCATATTGGGGCCAATTGGGAGGACTCGGGTCTCTTCCCCACTTGGCTGGGCGGGATTCATTCAATGATGTCTCTGTGGCTCTTTCTCTTTTCTCATGCTGGGGGGATTGTTCATAGGGTAGGGCCGGGTAGTCGGCCGCAAAGGCCGCTGCATGTGTAAGTGATATAGGTAGCATAGTATGTCACTGGCCAGGTACACTCGTGCCACGGGTCATGGGATTGAGGTTCGTCCTCTGGGTCCGATCTGCATTACGCAAGACCTCTTCGTGTGAGCTGATATTGTACACTTCGTGGTGAATGACTGCGAAGGTAGACTCCCGTTCACGCGAGAACCTCTATCCTTCTGTTCGTAGCCTACGAGGTTTGAGGTCGAGCTCGAGGTCGCGCACCGTCCGCTGCAGCTACGGCCGGAAATGCCGGCACCACTATTTCTCATGCACGACCGGTCAGAATGCATATCCAGTGCGATGGACGGCATGGTCCTAGATACGACAGACAGACGACAATGGCGAGCGACATTAAGCCTCTACCCGGGGGTGCGCCTTCACTTTACTGACATTTCATCCGATCAACCCTCTTTGTTGTTGGCGGTGCTTTACAGGTTGACCGCCCCCAAGGTGCTAGGTAGGTACCTAGGTAGCTCTTCCGTAGATCGATGATGATGATGAAAGATGACGGACGACAAACATTTCTACAACTTCACTGCTAACCTGGTAGGTAGAACCTATTTGTCCACTTTCATCGGGGCGTTACGTCCAAAAAAAAAAAAGGACCTCGAGAGCTCTTTCATATGATCAAAACCCGTTCATGGACCGAGGGGGACGAATTGGGGAATATTTGACACGCCTGTGCATGCACCATGGGGGTGTGTGCTCATGTCTGGGATCATACATGGGATGGGACTGGGCTGTACAAGGAGAGGACGCGTCGGATCGAATTGGTGGTTGATTGTTTCGTTGTAGGTCTGTTGAATTTGGTTGTTGGAGGTGGAGGGCATTAAAAATAAAAAATCGCCAAAAAATATATTTTCCACCACATGTTGGGTAAAGTTCGTAGAACATCCAACACAACAAGCACCCCGTGCGTCGAAGGGTTGAAGCAAGTAGAACATCTAAATAGGCACAGTCCTGCAAAGTATCAGAAATGCAATACAGATGATGGGAAAAGTCTGGACTACGAAAGCCTGGTCACTGTCTTCCTCTCCATGTCAGCCAGATTCCAAGCTCGACCCAACAAGGCTGCACCGGCAAGGCTGCTCACCCTGCTCATGTGACAGTCAGTCTATCGGGCCGAGAGGGGTTTGACCAGCGGATAGCCAGATGCATACAGCATATCAGTGACGAAAAATATTGGATTGTCTATGGATCAACCTGAAAGACTACATATACTCAGCAAAGTAAGAAGGGTGTGGATGCACCTCTTGGACAAAGGGCGTTCTCCTCTTCAACACAGCAGAGAAACCAACCCCTTCAAGGGTCAAGTACGAGTAGGACAGCACCACCGCATGACCCGAACTAAGACGTCTGCATCTTCAAGGCCGCGGCAATAATCCCTTGCCCTGTCTCTGCAGACGTCCTGCATGGCATGTCCAGTCCCTTGTCCTTTCCCTCTCCCCTCCCCACCACCGAAGTGTCCTCTAAGCGCGTCTGCTCTCCATCCCAGCGCATCTTTAGCCTTCCCACATTAAACGCCACCCATGGCTCAAGACCATGGATGAAGTCAATGTGGGCTGTAGACATCTTATCCTGCGTCGCTGCGATGTGAGCGTGGACACGTCCCGGAGGCTCATAAAAGGTCAGTGGTACACCAAAAGAGTGCCACGAGTACCCATGAAGTGGACCTGGAAAGGGGTCAACGACGGAAATTTCATATGCATATACTGTGGTGCCCTGATCAGCCGCCTCCGAGAGCATTTCCATTGTCGGCTTGACGAATGTTTCCTCAGTCGCCCATTCAGTAAGTGTCTGCAGAGCGCTTTTGCCCTTGGAGAAAAGAGCGTCATCCTCGATTCCCGGTACAAGCTTGCGCGCATATTCGACAAGCGCCGCATCCGGCAGATTCTGAAAAGGTGTCAGAAAGAGTGCTGCTTCGTCCTTTGTGTGGCCCATGATGATCCTCGAGCACCATTTGGGCATATCGCCCCAAGAGGCTGTTGGCCCGCTTTTTCTGTGCTGATCCTCATGCTCAAACCAACTGGAGTCCTCAAGAGGCAGCGAAACGCTGCCGTCGAACAGTTCAAGAAGCTGGTCTGGGGACAAGGCCCGCAAGCCAGCCAGTTTTTCAGTGCTTGTCGCATGGCTTGCTATACCTGCGGATCGGGCAAGTTGATCGAACACAGCTTGTGCCTCCTCAAGCGTCCTCAAACGAGGCCTAGGACTCGACTGAATCAAAGCTTGCTGGAAGAGCGCGTGGCCGCCTCTCAGATGGCAGAAGATCGATGCAGCTCCTGCAGACTCGCCGGATATAGTGACCTTTGACGGGTCTCCACCAAAATGGTGGATTGACCTTTGGATCCATTCAAGGCCAATACGCTGGTCATTCAGTCCTTGATTCAGAACCGGTGTCTCACCAAGAGATATTGCTTCTTGTACAAGCTCTTTCGAGCTCAAGAAGCCAAAAACATTAAGGCGGTAATTGAGCGTCACAATGATGATTGGCCTTCCAAGATCCATTGACCTTCTCACAAGGTGGTTACCATCTGAATTCTGGTCAGCACATATTGCTAGTCGGGAAGTCAGGTCGATGAAACCCACTAAACTCGGTCGTGTTGTCCCCGTTATTGAACCCTCCTCCATGGATCCACATAAAGACCGGTAAATCTGAGTGCTCTGGGACGCCTACCGACAGTGGTGGAGTATATATATTGAGGTGCAGGCAAGTGGTCTCGTCGCACCTCTGAGACATTGACAGTTTCTCAAACATATGATGCATCATGGGGTGGATATTGTCGGTCTTTTGCGGGCAGCGAGGCCCATATCGTGACGCATCCAGCTGTCCTCGGAGGAGACCAAGATCGATCAGCCTCGCTGTTCGGAATCGAGCTGGAAATTGGGCATAAGGGATTCCCAGAAAGTTCGCCACACCCTGCTTCGATACGAAGCCATTGATGTGTACGTTCTCGGCCCGGAAGCTGAAGTTTTCTCCAAAATTGTCAAGTGATATGTTCTCCATAGCTCGTATCTCCTGTCAATATTGTCTTCAGCGGTACAAAAGGGAAATAAGGCGAACCGCCTCAGTCTCTGCTCCGACAAAGAAAGACAGGATGATTCACAGAAGGGCCTTTTCCTTACTCGCTGGCAGTGCAACTTACCACTGTGAGTACATATCCCTCTAAAGTATTCAGTCCTTGCAATGGTAGGCCACCGGTAAGACTCTGTATGGGTTGCGGCTCGTCGCCAGTAAACCGCGACAAGAGTACGTGGTCGCAAAACCCTTTCCCACCGGCGCACCGCACGCATCGACATCGGCAGAGCAACTCGGTTCTGAGGAAGTGACACCCATTGGCGAGCACTCTGCGGTTGGTCGGCGAGGTACCGCAAGTGCTTGAGGTAAGAGCTCCAAAGTGGTCAAGCAATCACCAAGAACCCACCAAGGTTGGTCGTAAAAGGCGTAGCCACCCCGCCTGAGACGGGGTAAACCCGGGGAAGGAGACGGCATTGGTCAGTCTCTTGCGGCTCATCGCCGACGAGCCGTGGCCAGAACAACTAAATACTCACGATTTTTCTCTGGTTGCTCGCCCGCAGAAGCCGCTGTATAAAAGTTCCGAGATCCCTACAGCTGGACGTGCAACAGAGCATACGACAAGGAGCACCAAGAGCTCACCTGGACTTCGACAATGAGCACCACAGAACCCACCGACGCGATGGCGTCCTCGTTGGGGAGCAAAATCAGGACCATTCTGATATGCTGCTTCGTGATGTGCGGTTCTCTTCTCTTCGGCATCGATAGCGGCGAACTTGGTGGCTTCCAGGCCATGGTCAGGTCAGTGTCTTGGGCCCTGCAGGTTTGCAGTACTGAAAACCAAAAGCTTCCTGAAAGACTATGGATACTTTGACGAAGGAACGGACTCATACAACATTCGAACTCGAATACAAACCTCCTTGAATGCTGTATTGCTTGTTGGAGCCATACTTGCTTCCATCTCGGCAGGTCCCATTGGCACGAAATATGGTCGAAGAGTTGGTCTGATATGGATGGGGCTTGTCGCTGTTGTCGGTGTCATTTTCCAGATCTCGGTCCCTCATGTATGGGGTTTACTCCTTGGTCGCTTCTTCGCTGGAGGTAAGGCTTTCTCTGGTTAATGGCGAGATCAACTAACAAACATTGATAGCTGGCATCGGTTATGCGTCAAAGTGAGAATGATTTACCATCCCTTGTCAAGAGTGGTTGCGTCTTCCGACTCTGCTGGAAGTGGCTCTTGACTGGTACCAGCGGACTGCTAACGTCGGATTCTGTTCTAGTTTCGTCCCCATTTATCAAGCTGAGGTTGCTCCAACACAAATGCGAGGAATGATGATCGCTTTGTACCAGACCGGTATCAATATTGGTCAGCTCATAGGGTCCTGCATCAACCAAGGGACTTACAAGATGTCGACAAGATGGGCATACAGAATTCCACTGATCACACAGCTCATCTTTCCCACCATTCTGATTGTGTTTGCTTCCTTCTTTCCAGAGAGCCCACGTATGTACCTCCAAATTTCCTGGCCGGACGATTTGGCTGACCTTGCATCAGGTTGGCTGCTCTCGGTCGGTAAGGTGGAAGAAAGTGCCAGGTCCATCCGGAGGCTTCGTGGAAAGACATATCCAGAGCATCAAATCCACGCTGATGTAGACGACATCGCCAAACATATCAGACTCGAGCAGGAGCTTGAGGGTTCCAGCTCTTTCTTGGACGCGTTCCGGGGCAGTGATAGACGCCGCACTCATATCGCCTGTGGTCTTCTTTTGTGGCAAGTCTTGTCAGGTATCAGCTTCATCAACGGGTAATTCTACCATGACTTAGCCTTGTATCATGTGACAATCCGACGCTCACACCAATACAGGTACGGGACATACTTCTACTCGGTCTCTGGCATCTCCAACGCATTTGTTGTCAGTATCATCTCTCAAGTCTGTCAACTGGCAGGTATCATCGCGATGTTTCCCTCGGTTCACTTTCTTGGTAGAAGAACTATCCTTCTGTGGGGCGCTGCTGCCGAGACCATATGCATGTTCACTTTCGCAATTGTTGGAACTGTTGCACCCAACAGTGTCGCTGCGGCAAGATGCTTAGTGGCATTTAGTTGTCTGTACGCTTTCTTCTTCACGTGGTCTTGGGGCCCTGTGGCATGGATCGTTGCATCAGAGATTGGATCCAACGTGATGCGCTCCCGTACCCAGGCCCTAGGTTCTGCAGTCTCGTGGGCTGGCACTCTGCTCATAGCAGTGGTGTTGCCTTATCTGATCAATCCGACAGCGGCCGATCTCGGTGCAAAGGTTCGTTCAACACAAGAGTTGGTATTGTATATCCTAACATGGGGCCCAGGTCGGTTTCATTTTTGGAGTCACATGCTTGTTCGGTTTCGTCTGGGCTCTGTTTTTCCTTCCAGAGACCAAAGGCCGTTCCCTCGAGCAGCTTGATGAGCTGTTTTTGAATGTGAGTCTGCATACATACATGCCATGGGTGGTTTGCTGACAACGCGCTAGGGTGTGTCGGTGAAAGAATTCAGCACTTACCAGTGCCGTGGTCACGTCGAGTATGAAAGAAACGGCGTCATCACAACTGCTGAGCTTAACGAGGACACCAAAGAGGTCGTGGCAATCCATTCGGAGCATACCAAGGCTGCTTGAAGATTTGGCTTCAGGATTCAGCTGGTGTCGACGTGAAAAGGCCCAGTACCATAAATCAGTGGCGTGCCAGCATAAAACACCTTCACAGAGAAGGAATTTCTCAGAGTACAAAATCCAGATCACCAGATGGGCTGAGGATAGCTCTCTTCGTATTGCATCAAGACGGAATCCCAGTCTGTGGAGTTGAAAAGGACGTTGTTGATGAATTCATCGCTGTTGAAGACTTCATGGGCATTTCGCAAAGCGTCCAAGACCCCGTTGTCGTTAGTTTCGCTCTGGTCAAGTGTTCGAAGACGCATAACGTTCGTCAGCTCAAGCGGTATACGCCGATGCTGACAGTCCGTTTGGTGAAGCCGAGCAAGAACAGCTGCAAGTGTATGGCCTTGGGACCAGTGCGCTCCCCATGAGGTGTCTTTGAGTAGAAAGTCCTTCAATAATGTGGCTGATGCAATAGCATTCTCGAGCTCTTGGATAAAGTCCTTTGGAGAGCCTTGTGTCCTTTGAGTCTCCAGGAGGACATCGACAACAAGCATCAAGGCTCTTGAAGCGCAGTATAGTAATTGAGGTATTCGAGAAGCCATCTCGAGATAAAATTCGACGCTGAACCACAAAAGCGTCTGGCAGGCTTCTGGAATGGTCGAAGCAGCCTCCCGTGCTAGAATCAGGGAAAGTTCTTTGGAGTGGCTTGACGTGTTTGTCAAGGAGGCAAGTCCGAGTACAAAAAGTAGTCTGTTGTTATGGTGTAACATACAAAGGGCTTGATGCTCTCTTTCGGAATGGTGGCTCTGTCGGAAATCCAGGTCTATTCCATAGCGATGTATCTGTTTGAGAACATGTTCGCAGTTCTGCACAATATTCGCATCGACAGGTCGGCTTGCATAGACTGCTCTTAGCAGTGATCGGAGACAGTGCGAAGCATCCACAGCATCATCAAAAAATGTGCCTCCTGAGAAGCTGGAGTCGCTCGGCAGCCCCGTAGTTTCTTTGGGCGAGACGACGATATTGAGCGGTTGCCCCATCATAGCCGATATAATCGCATCTTCAAACATGCAGGCCTTCCATAACACGACGTTGAGAAGTTCGCCATCAGCCGTCACGGCCGAGGATTTCTTGTCTAGGCCCAAATCCCTTGCCATTTTGCAGAGTAGTCCGAGTCTTAGTCCGGTGGACATGATGTCACCGTGACCGTGTGTAACGAGTTCAAATTTTATCAACGCGAGCAGGAGCGCTTGTACTGTTTGAATCTGGGGCTGATATCGTTGCCGTGTACTGAAGAGAGCCTTGAGCTCATGGACAATGACCTTCTGTATGTGAACATAGTCCCTCCAAGAAGCGATGGCAAGATGATGGCGTGCCGCTATACCGAGTATCACACTTTCCAACAGCGGGGTGGCAGGGAAGTGTCGCAAGCTGGCGTGAGTGACAACAGGAAACACCGGCTGTATGTGCTCGAAGAAGACGAGATAGAGGTGTGCCTTGACATTTGGACTGAGTTCCAACGTTGTTGTCTCGTCGTCTGTCGTCGGCCTAGAAGACTTGAGGGGTTGCTGGACCTGGAACATGGCCGGCTCAGGAGGCGGTTCCTTTGGCGTGTGCAGGTCCATGGGATGCCCGCCGGCATTGCTCGAAGGGCCCCAAAAGACCTTTCGAGAAAACCCCTTGGGCGTGGAGGACATGAAAGTTCGCTGAGCCCGAGCTGGCCAGGGAATGCCCTCGAACTCGGACGAAAGACTGTACTGTCGACATCGAGTGCAACAGAGGGTAAAATACGGAGGATGTTCAAACTGACATTTCAACCTGAGCCTGGAGGCAGGCATTCAGTACACAGATTTCAAGTTGAGCAAACTCGACGTACCTGCGGCAGTTATCGCAAATGTGGTTGGCCATGGACCCAAGGATAGAGGGAATTCGCGGTCAGAATCTTTGATGCTGTTGGCCAGGTGCAAGAAGGAAGCATGGATGGCGATGATGGAGGTTACAAGTATTAGCCAGGTAGACATGGCTTAGGGTCAGTTGAGCCTGCATGCAGTGGTGGGGATGCTGATACCACGCACAAGGAGGGAAGGCGGCACCAGCGGGAAACCTGTTAGTACCCAGGTACCTAGGTACCTAGGTACCCAGCGAGCTGGTAGATAGGGTGTTGATATTAGGTATGTGCTTAAGGGCTACATGCCTACCTAGGTACCTAGGTAGGTATGCCTCCATTTAGGGGATAGTGGCCTTGGGGCAACGCCCCCCTACCTAGGTAATTATTATTATCCAGCCCCCTTCCAGTTTGACCCGAGTTCCGCAAGCAAGATTCTACTCGGTCTTCAGAATCCATCCGTATTCAGTGTTGTCCATGGTTTCCACCTTTAGCTGGCATCGGTACCGCTGCGCTTGTTCGATGAAGCTGAAAGGGCGATGAAGCGCTTGAGAACGGGCAGAGCCTGTCAACAATGTCGGGCATCCAAGCGACGGTAAGTCCAGGGACATAGATCGGATGTTGGCCGAAACCCTACACTCACCATGCTGCAAAGTTGCGAAGGCGGATTTCCCTGCCGAACCTGCCTTTCCAAGGGCTCAGAATGTGTATTCGACCAGGATCAGCAGTCGACTACCTCGCATCGAGCCATTCACAATGACCACGATGGAGATCAGGTGCCATGGAAAGTCGACCTCCCTTCAGCAACTTCGGCGGTTGTAGCCACTCTGCTTGACAGGTATGTACGAGGTTCTTTGTTCAGGACAATAGACCTCTGTCAAAATTTTCTGACTGGTTGTCGAAAACAAGATACTTCTCCACCATTGCGCCTCACTGGCCACTTGTTCAGGAAAGAGACTTGAATCAGGAGCCCTATACTTCTCCGCTCTTGCTCCGATCAGTCTGCCTAGTGTCCGCTCACCTCGCCGGCAGCTCTGCAACTGCGCTTGTTGAAGACATCTCTCGGTCCATTCACCAATGCTTCGATGCCTATGAGCTGCTCTCCTTCCCAACAATGTCAACCTTACAGTCCATTCTGCTGCTGCTTGCCTCGCCCCGATTCTCTCAACAGTCCATGATGACAGCATCCGCTTGTCGTATGGCGTTGACACTAGGGCTCCATCGACCACACTATCCCCAACCTATACTATACTGGTCTTGCATCGTGGCAGCACGCTGGGAGTCCTTGAGGTGTGCGAGCACGCGCTCATCTGACCGCGTATGCTTTGATCTTGAAACGACGGCGCCGCACTCCGAGCCAGATTCCAGGACGATATTTGGCGCCTTGTACCATCTACTGGCCTGCGCAGATAGAAACAGGGAGCATCTGGGTGATTTGCACGAGATCTCCCGATCCCAGGATATCTACACACGGGGCACCATTCCAGGCGGCCGAGAAGATGATGCCTCTATTCGGATGCCGTTACAAGACCGAGAGACTATCCAGGCTCTTATGAATCCTCTCATTCGGTACCTATCAGAATCTGACACGAGTAGCAGCGGCGATTCATCATCGATAGCAGCAGATGGCTCTCCCGCATTTGAGCTTAGCCCATTCTACTGTTGTACTCGAAGGCCTGGTGTCTAAGGAAGTATTAATCTCCGAGCCTCAGGGATGCCTGAAGACTCTTTCCAAAGAAGAGCGGTGTGACAAGCATGATTGCGTATCTACGCCCTGTCGCTGGCGGGTCTCATGCCTACCCACGCTGCCCCTTTCAGGACTCGGCACGGTCGAGTTGGAGACTGGAGTCAAAAAAGTCTTCGCTCCACCAGCCGCAGCGCCAGGCTGTGACGCTCCGTTTCCGCCTTTGCGATCCTCGGTCAGGCGCTTATATGGATAAATGCTCTCTGAGATATCGCGTATCAACATTCCAGCGCCGAGCAGGCGTATACCGGGCTCAGGGGTATCGTTGCCCTGTTGCGACTGGCCAGAGTTGACTATGCCGTTTCAGGAGGCTAGTTCCTTAAATGTACTAGCTGCACAAGCATCGGTGGCCAATGGGATGCCGAAGGTTTGGAACTTCGGGTTAGACTGGTTTGGCCGACCGATGAGGCGCCAACGAAACTGATCTGAGGTAAAAGAAAGGAAGAGAGAGAATGCCGCGCGGGCATGCGTGCAACCGAAAGCGCAAAGCAGCCGCATTCGTCCTTTGGAGTAAGACGAACCAAACCCCATTCACCCAGGAAGTCCGCACAAAAGGCACGGGAAGGGATCAGCCGCCCGAATGCCCGGAAACAAAGCCACTGCCATTCCTTGGGGAATTTGGACGAAGCGAGGAGCAGGCATAGATTGACAGACCCTTCGGGGTCGTTGCGTGTCGATTCTTTGTTTGCCTCAAACAGAACCAGGACTCTTTAGACAGCAGCAGACGTAGTAGGTACTTTGCCAAGTGACGAGAGCGGTTCCGCTGCCCCCAGTGGCGAGGACAGGAAAGGGGCGACACTATTGTGATTGCAAATGCACAAGACCACGGGGTTTGCCACTGTCATTCCAAGGTCATTGTCATTTTGCAGAATAGTCAATCTTTCTTCGCTTGCTGGGAGTTTGCCACTCACATTTGGACCATCACGTTTATACATCAACCACACTTACCTAGTATATGGGTACTTGTAGATATCGAGCACGGCAGCTGGTACGAAGCAGGGACCAGTCTGGCAACTCTGTGCCGAAAGGCGTGAAGGGAGTGTGGGTATCTCGACTCGTCCCAACTCTTTACTATTATGTATTGGCAGTAACCAAGAGCCTCTACGTCCTTCGGAGATAGGTCGGCAGAAATGCTTCTCAGTGAGGTCGGAACAGAAGTTCTTGCTGAACTTGCCATGTGTGTAGTCCTCGGTTCCGGATGTGAGCAGCGTCAAAATCTCCGGGGTTGTAAACAGACCGTTTGAGGTAGTATTGACAGTCCAGAAACTCATCTTATCTGTTTGAAGGCCCCAGGGAACATGTTTTACGATTTGTAATGGTTGCCTGCTGACTTCAGTGGCGAGTAGGTCGAGACAAGAAATACCCTCTCGGACCGGATGGTGGTTCCGACGTCTCGGGGAGGCATCCTGTGACAACAACGAGTCCCAACAAGAGTGATCCAGTCATTGCTAGAGTCACGATCTGTGACAGATATCTTTGCCACCATACCTACCCTCTAGACCAGGCACGAAGCTCAAGTGGCTGGAGCGGAGCCTCAAATGGTGCTCGTTGCGGGTCGTGATAGGGGGTCGAATGTCGTGCCAAAACATCAAGGACAGCACAGGGACGATTCCACAAGGATGTCCTGACAGAGCCCTACTCCTGCTATCGGTCTTTTTGCCTGGCAAGCCTCGAATAGGTAACCACACGCATGGGCCGGTAAGACCTGGATGAGGCTGCCCGCGAGGCACAAGGCGGTTCCTCGCGGAGCAGATCAGGCCCAGCGTGGGTAGAGTCACCGGTGCCTGTTTTGTGAGCTAGTAGACTGTACTTGTAGATGGTCCCCCACAATGAGTCGAATCCAAATTCCCTTTCCAACCAGCCAACGAGGGTTTTTAGGATTGGAAAGGTTTGCGGCATGCAACCGCTCTCATGTTGACACTTTCTGCAAGTAGTTCGGGTTGAGGTTTGTGGGAGTACACCCACCTGCGATGACCGGCCTGCTCCATCGAAGCGGTACAGCGACGGCATATCCAACGCCCAGAGGAAAGATTGGGCCTATTATCACACCATGCCCTGCCTAGAGCTGGGCCCTATGGTAGACACTCTGCACGGTGCCAAAATGTTGGCCAGTCCAGTCTCGCCAATAGACCACATTGTGCCTGATAGGTTGCTCTCCCGTGCCTTGGTCTCCCATGTGGTGAATCAAAATCGGTGAATTTGTGAATAGCAATTTCATCAACTAACGCGTCAAGAGGTTTCCTCCAGGCTCCTACCTGTGATATAGACAAGTGCCATTGAGGAGTGGACATTCCTGCAAGATCTCATGGAACAGGCTGCATATGCGAAAATCCTTGGGCGCGACTGGAAAGGCACAGCGTGCAAGAGAGGAGTCCTTCGCCTCGATCGACGAGCAAGAACTTGGTTTGTTTTGCCAGTACTTTTCAAACCGCCCCGATCCTGTCTGATTCGACCATGCCCGAGCCTGAGAATCTGACCCACGGACGGAGAGGTCAGTTGAAACCCTCAGAATCCACAACCTGCACATTTTCCAGACGGCGAAACAATTATTTGACTCACGGTGACCGGTGAGGCTGAGGCCGGGCGCACATACGAGGTACTCGTGCGCAGCTTAGCTGAAAATCCCCACCCCTTCGCCTTGGGCAATTGACCAAACATCATTGCAGCCTGAAAACTAGGCTGCTCCATCGGGCTGAATCCAATGCAGTGCTTCCCGAGTCCTTCAAAGGTAAAGTCGTTGGAGTGAGGTAGTGGCTGGGCTGGAATGGTTCTGCACTAGAAACTGACGGGGTGAAGTTGGGATGATGATGCTCGACCAGTCAGGAACTTGGCAGCCAATAGCAACCAGGCGTTGTCTTCGAGAAAGAACTACTTGTACGAGTCCCAAGGCGGCATCGGTGTAGCGCAAACCGGCGAAATGTCTTCCTTGGACGCCTCATTGGAGAAGTGAGCCAGAACGGAGCTGGAAGGGCTGCTCGGACTCGACTTACGAGTCAGTAATAGAGCGAGAGGGTGGCGGAAAATGCCTCATCCAGGGCCGTCGGCATTCACTCCAACAACCTACATAGCACACTCATACTCATACATCTGGAAACTGAGACTAGTCCAGCTACCACTTGATATCTGATTGTTGATCTCGGAGCCTGTAAACTCGAGCACCAGGCAGGGTCTCCTCGCAAGCGACTCCGCCAGCCACTTCTCTCAAAGCAAGGCCCGTCTCTCGCTGATGATAACACGCGCATTCTGATGTACACCACCCAGGGGACTCCTGGCCTATCCAGACATTGTCCATATACCAACCCACCTGGAATCCATGATTGAAATCCAACGCTGTACCATCCGCTCTCATTTTGGCGTGAGCCGTCCCATAAAAGTGCAATGCTTCCTCCCCTCTGCTAAAGTCTCTGTTCATCACATTAACACAAGTGTCGAATTCAATCTTCTCTGTAAACATTCCAACCATCGTCGTCCCCAAACCATGCTCTTGCCAGGCCCGCACCGCTTTCTGTAGGTTGACTGAACGCCACTTGCGCTGGATCAATTTCCATACCGTAGATAAATTGATTCATAACACACTCCAGAAGATTGTTTGCGATGCCCTTGTGACGGAAAGCCTTGCTCGTCCAAATACGACTGACACCCACCACCGCTGGAAATGTCTCCTCGGAAATGCTGATGCTGGACGGATGCGACGAGGAGGTGGGACTCGCAATTGGGGTGGGAATTTGCGGTTTCTGCGCCATCTGGTTATTCTCCTCCTCATTCATCTCGGTCGCTGCAGGCGAAGCAGGCCCAGCAGGATGGAAATGAGCATTTAGTGGTATCGTCTCGCTGGTAGCGGTCTCGCACGGCAGGACCCGATGGGCTTTGGTGATTCGCTCTGCCAGGCAAATGCCGACACATTTGTCGTCGATAATGTGCAAGAAGGCCTTGAATCTGTCACACTTGCGGCCACCCGACTCCTCGTCCTTGTCTCCATCCGGAACGCGCTGGCTCCACAACTCCTCCTCTTTGATATCCACGCTGCCGAGCTCCTTGTTGACAATCCCCAGCACCTTTTGGACCACTCGTCGACTGGGGAGTGCCATCTTTCGATCCACCACAACAACGCTGCCGGGGATGTGTGAGACTTGATAGCACCACCGCATTGCCGACTTAAGGAATGCTTTTCCAAGTTCGATCCCGGAGCTATCTCGGTTGTGGTACATGTTGTGTAACTGGGTATCTTCTGGTAGTGAAGGAGTATAAGACATTTGACATTGCGGACATGTTGTGGGAACAAGAGGTTGACCCAAATCGAGTATTGTTTGGACGAGCTTCTGTTTTGGTGGCGCGGGCTTCGGGACCTGTATTGTTGGGCGCACCACGGGCGTCCTTTCTGCAGCCGGCTGGGAAGGTGTCTCGTTGTTCAATGGCTGCGTGCTTTGAGCGCGTGTGCTGGAGTTGAAAATCTCTGACAGAGGCTCAGAGTCGTGACGCGTACTGCCAGGCGCACTCGAGCCGCTTGCCTGCTCATCGCGTTTCCTCTTTGCGCTTTTCAGATCCTTCTTCTCCTTCTTGGGCTTGTCGAGAAACGAGAATGTAGGCTTCCGAGCCTTGACATTGGGCGGTGTCAATTGCAGGCCAGGTGGTGGTGAGGAGGGTGGGGTGATGGTACTGGAGCCCAAGTCGTCTTCGTGAGACTCTGCAGAAAAGATTGTACTGTTCTTCCGAGAAGGGGAAGAAGACAGAGCCGCGACACTTGTTTCTCGAATGGCGCGTTCCAGGCTATCTTCGAGATCAAGAGGGTGGGTTGTGTTTTCGTTGGAAGCTACGGCTGAGGGCGCGTTCCAGGCGTCGTTGAGGCAAAGGCGCTTCGGTGGACGATAGTCTTCGCCATCCCAGGCACGCCGCACGTTGCGGCTGTACGTACGCATGAAAAGGCCCCTGATGAAGAGAAACTAAGTTAGTCCATGATCACTGCAGGGGTGTCCGTACCAGTGACGATAACATACCCTTTGTAGCTGTTTGTGACGGTGTAGGGATAGACGACAGGCGACATTGTCGCGTCGCAGGAGTGCGTGTCGTGTCGTGTCGTGTCGAGGAAGTCCCAGTTGATACACGGACACACCAAGGTGTAACTGAAAGAATAATGAGTTACAAGTGAATTTGTGAGGAGGAAGTGCAGTTGTTTGGATCAAGTGCAGGTGGGTGGAAGATGCCGACGCGTTCTCTTGGGGGGAGAATGGTTTTGGTATGGTTTGGGATAGCTTTGTTTTAGCGGGCGACGGGGGAACGGTCTCGGGTTGACGATGCGAGCCTTAGCCGGGGGTGTCTTTGACAATAATAATAATGGACTTTGGTGGTCTCGGAAGATTGAGGACTAGGCCTTTGGGTTTTGAGCTTGTCTTGTGCTTTTCGGCAATAATTGCGAGGGCTCGAGGGGGGCTTGACAAGTCTAGAGCTGATCGAGTGATGCAGGCTCGGGGTGAGGCCTTTTAGTTGGATGGGTGAGAGTGCGCTGGGCCTGCGGCAGCCACTGGGCAGCCAGTCCAGTTAAAGCCCAGGGGGGTGGTGGGGGTGGAGGGGGCAAATAACTTTGGAATCTCGCCGATTCCTTCCTTTGCTGCACTGCCTGGCACTGGAACACTCAGTGGGCGTTCAGGTCCAGAGGGCTCAGCCAAGCGAGCGAACTTGTCACACCCTGGTTGCTGGGCGTCCTCGAGCTTCGGCAGGGTGGGCTCCCTGGCTCCCTGGCTCCCTATGCTGACTGATCTGCTGCTTTTCTGCTCACGGCAGCGATCCTCAAACAGTAAGAGTCTCCCTTCCTTCCCACTTCTTTTTTAGGCTGAACCAGGGGGTCGAATAGGAGGTGTGCCCAAAGCAAGCACCAAGACAAGACCGTTGGAATTTCTGGGGGTTTCAAGCTTGCTGACAGGTACGAGGGCAAGTACTCGGTACGTACCCAGCTGAGAGATAGCAGTCGAAAGGCGAGAATGACAAGAGGTACTGGTCGACAAGCAATGGTCAAGGTGGCACAGTATTAAAGTAGGCTGGGTCTCGATGCTTGAGCTCGCCGGGTAATCAGGTGCCCAAGCTCGTGATAATTCGCCCAACTGGTGACAAAAGAATACAAGAAGAACGTGGTGTACAAGTCCACTACCACGCCGACAACCACTCCGGAAACCTGTTCGGGAAGGATGTATGAGTGTATGTCTCCGTATGAGCGGAGGGCAATAGAAAGGTAAAGACTGATAAAAAGATAAAAGACTCTTCCGTTGGGGGAGGTCAAGGTGACGATGGTGACGATGGTGTCGAGGTTGGGACTGGGACAAGAACAAAGAATAATAAGAACAAAAAATCACGGTACCTATTGATTTGACCCCACGGCTGATCTGATGATGATGAGTCGTTCTTGTTGCTCTCGAGATTCTGAAATCAATCTCTCACTACTGCTCGACCCGGACCACCGTCACTTTGTTATTCAACAACAACAGAAAGTCCTTTGTTCTCGCCCTCGTTAGCCCGCCCCCATCTCCCTACTCGTACTGCTTGCTTTTGCCTTCGGAAAGTTCGTCTCCTGCACAAGCTGCGGCTAAACATGAGCGAGGCCGCTCTTTCTGCCCTACGAGATCCAGAGGACTGGGGACGATTGCACCCTGCAAGCTGGCCTCCTCCATCGCCGTGGCTGTCCTGTCCACAACCCGCCATCCGCTTCGCCGCCATCCTCCTGCAGCCTGTACCTCGTGTCGACCCTCCTCGCTGTTTTCGTTGGCCGAATCACGATTCGAGGCATTCAAATAGAATGGCCCAGTCCTGCCGCCTAAAAGTGCCTCAGAGCCAATACCCTTGCACCGCCCCAACTCCCTCCAAGAGGATCCATCGCAGCAACCACGAATCACGGGAGGTTCTATTCGACAAGTCTACAGGGATCTTTGCCTGAGCAAGGAGAGACATCGCCACCTTTGGAGTCTGCCGGGGTTGCGGCTTCGTTTGGTCACCCTTTGGGCCTTTGCATCGACGACTCCTCAAAGGATTGCCAATCGAGATCGTAATCGCCCACGAAAATCCCCAATCGCGCGAATCCGACTAATCCTGTTCGTCCTTGCTATCCGCCGCCCAATGGCCTCCATCTTTACGAAGACCCAGCCGTGCCCAGTGCTGTGAAATGCTCGTGTCTTGCACATGCCTGAGAACGGTGTGGAAAGTGAGCCTTGGTTGGTGGGGACTTCTTACGATGGAATCACGGCGAAAGAGAGACGAGCACATTGTGGTACCCATTAAAGGGACTATGATTACCACACGCCCGCCCCGTGATTCTCGGTTTTGTGATTCGTTGGACCATTCTGGGGAAAGATCCTCTCTTCTGTGTTGGCTCAATGTCTGTTTGCCAGATATGAGGCAGATCTCTAGCTGGCAGACAAGGCCAACAGGCCAGCACAAAATGGCTCGGGCGCCTGTGACCCAACAAATCAGGCTTTGTGTGCAAACACTGTAACCGGTGGACTGTGTTCCTCAGTTGGCGGAAGCAACCAATGGTGCCTAGCTATTCATCACAACCTCGATGGGTTTTGTGACACGTCAGTCCGCCAATCCAGCCGACTTGCAAAAACTGGGTCACCACTGCGCGGCCTCAAACGATGTTGAACGAGGTTGCCTTTGATGACAATAACATCGATTGATCATTGCCTAGCAAGCCGCCACTCTCCATATCCGAACGACTTCATGGACAGAAATAGTGGCGGCATTGGGCGGAGACGCCGGACATTCGCAGCGACGGAAAACCGGCTCAAACCGGCTCAACACCATCATTTACATGCAGACACGGAGCCAGTGCAGCCGTTTGAATTCGAAGTCTGTCAAGATCATTTCATCCAAAGGGTGAATGAAATCCAGAGCGGTCGACACCGTGGTCTTCAAGGACCGGATTGACGGTGGGCTTTACAAGTCTTCACCATGGCAAGCAGCAACCCTTCCGAGCTCAATTGCGCGCCAGTAGGCCACTTCCAGCAAGGTCAGTTGCCGGGCCTAGCCATCAGTACGTAAACATGTACCGTGGGTTTTCGTCGCCCATTTCCGCAATTTCTTCCTCCGTCTTCCCAGCGATCTTTGAATCTTCCTTCCCGGCTCGGCGATTTTTGTTTCGGGCGAAGAAATAGGCTCCCATTAGGGCATATATTGCCCCGGCCATAGCAACCATCGAGAGGGACACAGCTTGACCGCGGACATACCGAGGAGCCTCATCGGTTTTGTAGAGCTGAATTTTGTCAGAAGTCGAGTTCCTCGAAGGGAATTCACTCTCAAAACTTACGAACGGTGCCATGATACCCGCTGCGTTTCCAACCTGCAACCTCCCAGTTAGCCTTGTTGACAATACCGGAGTCCCGAAACAATGACTCTCTCGGACACATCCTCTCGAGGCAAGAGATGACTCACGGTAAGTTGAATGCCGCTCGCAGTTGTCCGTTTGCCATATCGAGGTTGATCTGTCAGTGAGACTCAGCAGCTGTATGGTTGTGATCAAAGAAGAACGAGACTTACTCGACGGCAACCACGCAAGAGGAATACCAACCGAGACATACAGCCCTACTGCGACCATAAAGCAGGCGAAATAATGGGCTCCCGAACTCACGTCTGCCATCAGTATGGCATAGCCAATAATGCTCACCACGCAGAAAGGCACCACGGCGAGCGCTCGTTGCTGGAATCTGTCCGATGCCCAGGCGACAATCAAGTAGGTGATTGCTCCTAACGCGTAGCATGGTACCGTGAGTGCCTGCGTCTCAGCTGTCGACCATTTCCCCAACCCCTTGATAATGGTGGGCAGAAAGGTCGAATACCCATAGAGCATGGTATCGGCGCCAAATTGACCACAGGCAAACATCCACACCTTCCAGTCCTTGAGAGCTTTCATCACGTCTTCTTTGTGGAGCAAGTCGCCTGACGTCGTATGGCCGATATGGCGCCGCTTTCGCAGAACCATCAGCTCTTTCTCCTTTTCAGAAAGATAATATGCTGTCTCTGGCGCATCAGCAAGCCAGAAATAGACCGCAACACCCAAAACAATGCTAGGAAGGCCCTCGATGATCATGATCCATCTCCATCCTGACTGACCCGCCACACCGTCCATGAAGCCTATCCCGTAAGCCAGAAGGCCGCCGACACTTCCAGCCAAGGCAGCCGAGACAAAAAGATAGCCGACCCTGAGCGCGATCTCCCTTTTGGTGTAAAAGATGGTAAGATATATCGTCATACCTTGTGAAAGTCAGTTCGCTTGTTCATGTCGCCGACGTGATCCAGCCACTCGTTACCTGGAAAAAGCCCTGCCTCAAGAGCGCCCATGATCAAGCGGCAAGCAATCAACCCTCCGTAATTCTGGACGACGCCTGTCAAAGTAGCGACAACGCCCCATCTGGCAGAGAAAGCGAGAGTGTCAGCGTGGCATCTCCTCGGCAAGTGTAAGATAGGAAAATATATCAATTGAGTCCCTTTTTCCGCTTGCTCGGTGTTGGTATGGCCAACTGCGTCTCAATCTCCATGACATGAAAATTGAACTTGGAGGATAGGACCTACGCAAAGGTAATGAACGCGATCCACCGACTTGGCCTCAATCTCTTGATGACGAGATTGCTTGGAGTCTCACAGAGGATGTATGTCACAAACAACAGGCTAACAGCTGTTTGATACTGCGACCCGTGAAGTCCCAAATCTTCTTCCATATGATACAACCGCGCATTGCCAATGTTGACTCTGTCCAGAAAGGAGACGAGGTAGAGTAACATGGTTGGCGGGATGATGTAGAAGTCGAGCTTGCGTATCAGATGTCGTTCTGCGGCGTGGTCGACAGGTGGCAGGGCGTTCGGGTCTTTTCCAGAGGCAGTGACAAGGTTGGAGCCATGGTCGTGCTCCATCGAGGTATGCTTTTCGGGGTCAAGTATTGCGATGGAACCGCCATTGCGGGTTGGGCTGGAATCATTGCTTGCGCCCATTTTGCCAGCAGATCGAACGAAACAGGCCCTGCAGTCAACTAAATGGACGAGAAATGGGGTTGAGGGACGGGGCAAAGGTCAAATGCCTGGCAACTATTTGGCCACCCGAGCCGAGCGACAGTAAACAATATTGTTTTTCGCAACGCGAACTTGATTTCAGGGTCGTCACTCTTGCATCTCACGGGTAGAGATTCTAGATTTCAAAGCAAGCAAAGGGCAGACAGATATCCATGATGCTGCGCAGAGGCGGAGAGCATACTCCCAGCCCCTTATCTCCCTCTCCCTCTCTTCGCGTCTGCGCCCTGCCCATTCCAGTACGAATTTCCAGCAATGACGCCCGTTGATGCTAATGTCACCACTCCTCCTGTTCGGCACATCGATCAGCGGGCGTTTGGCTCAATGAGAAACGTGGGGATTATCAGGGACCCCTGCGATACTTGCGACCCAAGTGACGCTGGCCCAGGACCTTGGCTTTATAAGGCTGCTCATCATTGGCTGGACCGAGCTGGTGGTGGAGACCTCTTTTGGTGGAGGATCTGCAGGGTGGCGTCCTTAGCTCGACGTCATACGGAGCATGACGGAGAATTGCCGACCTCAACCCAAGTCGACTTTCCTTCAAGCTGAAGAAATGTATCTGTCGATACTGATGATATGCCAGAGTGCACGCGGCCAGGCAATAAGACGACATTCTGCCACTGGATAGAAATTCGAGGGCAGCCGGGTCATGAAACACCCTGCCAAAGCAAACCATTGAAGTGATTGTCTTCGAGATAAGCATGCACAGATACACAAACTACCAACATGCTTCTCCCTGGGGATACGCAACGCTGAAATAGGAAGGTCAAGTTGCAGAAACGTCCGCTCCTAGTACCTCGCTGGACTTGTTGGTCAAAGGTGAGTCGCCAAGTACTTCATCACGAAGAGCACACACAACCTTCACCACCACCGAGTAGAAATAACTACCTCTATCGAACCAAAGACAAACTATCCCTTCCCTACCACCAACCTTCTCACTCAGGAACAAAAAACTCACTTGGACTTGTGAGAAAACCCCGCGAAGGAATTTTTTTGTTGTCCCATTCAGTTGGATCCAAGGGCGACGTTGCTCCCCCAGTAGCTTACTATCATATCTCAGAGCTCCTGCGCACTTTTGGGTAACCACTATGATCGTATCCGAAGTCATCATATCAGACGAATTAGGGAGATACTGTACATATGTGTATATATATATACTGTAGTAGTAGAGCTCCTACGTTTCAATGATCCTTGGCTACTCACTTCTGGCTGCGAGTTAGGGAGATGATGGATGATTCAGCTGTGGACGAGACTTATTGCTAGCACCATGTCACCGGTCGAATGTTGACAGAATTCTGCGCAATAAAATATGTATACTGGTGATTTCTGGGGCTAAACTAATGAGCATACCTTGGCGAGTGCAAGTGAAGTACAACGGGGCTTGCATGGAGCGTGCTCTGACTACAGTGCATGGAGAATAAATATCACATGAGGAATGTCCTTGGATTGAACAGACTAGCTTTCTGCTGGAGCCGTCGCTCGTTCACTTTCGATGCGTGCCTGGGAAGGAATCATACCGCAAGGCGAGTCTATCTTAGTGTGTGCACCGTGGATTCACCGCTGACAAGAACAGGTGGAATGCATGTTGCAATCTCAACTATGTAGACGAAACTTTGGCACGCGTACTCCTGGCATGCGTCCACATGGCAATTTCAGGCAACATGGTGGCTCAATCTTCCACGTAGGTCATCGACTTGTATTGCACATGAAACGAAAAAGGAATCAATGAAAGGGAGCATATACAGAGAACGGAGTAAATTATTTTGTCGATTCCTCGACGAGATCAGGGGAGTACTGCGTAAGCAAGGCTGTGGCTGATGAGGCTGAGCGCCAGAGTGGGCCTCCGACTCCCCATGGTTTCTCCGGCAGCCCTCGCGTCATCAGCAAAACATTGCGCAGGCACCCAGGCTTAGGTTTATTTTAACATGTGAGGCACCCCCAGGCTCCCAGGCTCCTAGGCTCGCATTCACTGTTGCGCAGTCTGTTGTGCAGGCATCGGCCATCATGAAAGCCATCCTCCTCGTGAACTAAAGTGCCCTTTCCCTTCATACGAGGTTGAAGACTGACAAACCAGACACCATACTGCCACCTTTTCCTCTGACGCTTCTCGCACTCATCGACGCAATTCTTTTCGTCGCGACCCTAAGACCACCAGTCTGACGTGCTCAAACACACATGAATGCTCCCGTCGAAGCTCAATCTATATCCTCGCTGAATAATTTGCTTGCAAACCCACCACGTTACCCGAGGAATCCCACTCATGAAGTCCATGAATCGCTTGTGCTCTACATCGTTCGGGTTCCAGGCAGCAAAGGTGAGGAGAGGTTAGAACTGTACAAGAGAAGGACATACATTGAAGTTTTGTAGATGTGTTCCTCACGCCCCTGAAACCAGCGACCAAAGCCTCGATATCTATCGAGGCTGTCCAGTCCAGTCTATATTTCCTTCATGTTGAGAGGCCTGAAGATAAGGAGCTGAAGAAATCACTGGAAGCCGCACAGGCCACAGAGGATCGCAGCCATGAAGTCCCGCCAATACAGAGGAAGCCTCTTCCCCCCACGCCTCATGCGAATTATCCTGCTTCTCGGAGGCCACCGACTCCACCAAAGAGCTACCCTCATTACCAGCCTCCCTTGCCAGAGTCGAAGACCGCGAATCAAGCAGAGCGCTATTCTGCGCGCGGCACTCATCTCAGGCTGAACACCAGGGACAATCTTAACGCTCCTCTGACTTCTGGCAAGCCTCTCGGCAGCCGCTTGATGCCTTCAAAGGCGCTTGATTGCGATGAGAATTCATCTCCAAGCTCCATTGACAATGCGCAAACGCAATTCGAACTCGCCAGGAAGCCACTTCAACCAGCGCTTTTGTCTGGTTCTCACGGACACAATCGGTCAGATATTGATCAGGAATTTCCGTTCAGTGTCGACCTTGACCATGGTTTGCAGCATTCTAATTTTCAGCCTCCAGGGTCTATGGCCGCCAACCCGCAATCTGGTACGCTGCGAATCACGCTGATTCGGAGAGACCCGGCTTCTGGTAGTCAATGGAACGTCGGTAGCATAGTTCAGCAAACTACAGAAGCACCTTTGCGAAAGGTTGATATTGAGCTCACCTCGCCAGGCTATAACAAGTTCGTCCAGTTAGAAGCTGGTGGAGGCGTTGGGTTCCGCAGAAAGGTCGCTTACATGCCTAGTGATGACGGATCATCACTAACAATGAGGAGAGGTTATTCCACCGAGACTTTTTCGGGCGCTTCCCAATCAGCCAGCCGCAGACCGAAGCAGACCTACGCTTTCATCTCACCGTGGCAAGGAACGTGTGTTTTCGGCAATGGCCTGGATGGGAAAAGCCTAAGATGTCGGCACTTCCTCCCAGGTGCAAATCCGTCCATGCCAGGGGTAAGTGCAGACATTGCAGAACTACGCTTCAACCTGCCATGGGCATCACTTCGGTTGAAGGATCCGAACAAGAAGCAGGCCAATCATCTTTCGGACTTGTCTAACGACACGTCTGTTACACGTCCGGAGGTTTCCTCCAACAAAGAACAGTGGAGGCGAAGCTTCCAAACTTTGACGCATCGAGCTCGAAAACAGCTCTCGATCAGTGACAACAACGGTTCCATGGAGGAGTCAGCACAGTTCGACAAGCCAAGTGAACAGAATCGGTTGAGCCTTGATCTTGGACGTGAGAAGGCTGGAGGAGGTTTCAAAGGCCACAGTGCTAAGCTGGGCAAGCTCATCATCAATGACGAGGGCTTGAAGATGTGTGACCTGGTAGTGGCGGCTTGCATGGGGGTCTGGTGGCAGCATTATGCGGGAGACAGATCGTCTTATTGAGCGCGGGTTCTATTGGTATCTGTTCATTGGATACATGGCATGGAGTCTTCATCTTGGCCTAGTAATGATCATGCTACGAGATGATCTTTTCTTTTGAGCCGTAGCCAGGGTCATTTTGACTGTCCCTCTAGGATTCGGGATGCAGGATGTTCTTCCTTATGCACGTTACAGCCTCGCTATCCTCTTGAATTCACTGTCCTGGCAGTTTCACCATTTGGATGCGGGGAGGAGTGGAAAGGAGTGCCGCCTTGGCAGTTTCCTGATGTTGACGTTCTCCACAAGTGGCCGTTCCGACTGCGCATGGGCGAACGGGCTGCTTAGAAGGTGATCACTCACGATATTCCACAATCAGCGCAGATAACTTACACGTTTTACCTCCAGCATCCGTGTGTGCACATGAGAAGCATCAACATTGGTTCAGAATTGGCAACAGCTGCCCGCTACCCCTCCGAGTTTACCCTCCCTTTCCTTCATCCAATACGAGACCGCAATATTGGCACGACTGCTCAAGTGCTTGTCCACCCGTCCTCGTGATTGAAACCGTCAGATCAAAGAGAATGCCTGTACAGAAATGATGACAAACTGTGTTTGAGAACAACCTCTGGTGGTGGAAGAGGAGGTACTGTGGTGATTCAGACACCTCACTGTCTGCTCGCCCGGGCCATCTACGCCTATTGTCATGGCAGAAACAGATGAGACGAAGCAACACCCCGTGGCTCTCGGGGCGGCGACTGATCAGGAAAGACTGTCAGCGAGAGGCGCGCAATTACAACCAGCATTTCAGCCAGCCTTCAAAGCCACTGGAGAACCGGGTCCTGCACTCCTGTCTAACAGCCGCTCGACAAACACCTCCGCTGGCGGTCCGACGCCTTCGGGCTCGACCCCACGAGATGCCTCGCCTGACAAGCTCACTCCCTTCTCCACGACATCCAGGGCATCGAGTGCCCTGAAAAAGACGTACGGCTCGGGATCAAACCTCGCCCGAAGCGCGACGAATGAACACTCGGTCAGCGGAAGAGAACCCGCTGATCTGGAGAATGCGGTGCAAAGTAACGGGACACCAACAGTGGGCAGAAAGAGTGTGCAATTTTCTCGAGATACCCAAGAGATCAGTCCCCATAGTAATGGCCACACCACGCCTCCAGCTGGCCGAGCCGATGGTTCAGAGCAGGACAAACCCCACTCACTATATGCCAGGTTAAGGGCATTGGCTATACCTCAGGGATATTCGTTCAGTCATGCTCGGTCTCCCAGTGGTTTGTCCGCCAGTGGACGCTCTGTGGAGGGCAAAGATGTCGACAACCAACCTTCTACTCAATCTGGCCGCAATGAGATTGGGCTTGCTGCTACCTTGGAGGAGGATAGCGGTGCTGAAGCCGACGCCGACGCAGAAGAGAGTAGTGCTGCAGAGAACAGCACGTCTCAGTGGGCAAGTCGAAAACGGCGGCGGAAAATACAACGTTTCGACGACATTGAGACCGCGCCATCATCTCCCCACAGCCTCATGCGCCCAGGCTTTGCAAGTGCTCCCATCAACTCTGATACGGACATTGAAAGACCCCGTGCACTAGTCAGAAGGGCCACCGATACCGACATGATTAATAGCCCCCAGGGCGTCTCTGAGGACGAAGGGCGCAAGCAACTCACGAACGGCACTGGTTGGACGCCTCGTCATCCTCTCCGGGGTTTAAGCTATGGTGGTCAGAGAAAGCCAGGTGATACTACACCGGAAGGCCCGAGACGACCGCTGACCCTGTTGAATTTTGCCAATATCACTTCCTCCCGAGAAGCTGGGTCCAGCGAAGCGCAAACTCCGAAGACACCATCTCGCCGAAAGCAGCTGGCCGAACGGAGCTCAACCCTGAGCGCCGCCAAATGGAGGCAACTCAAGAACACTTTGAAAACGTTCGGTCAGGGCAGGAAAAAGCCGCCCACTCCCGAGATCCAAAGATCTGCCGCCCTTCTCGCTGAACTGGCTGCCGGAGCTCCTGCGGCTTTGATGCTTGCCAGTATGTTCCAGCGCGACGAGCACAATCACAGAAGGGTACCAGTGCTTTTGGAACAGCTCAAAGTGCAAGTCACGGACAGTGAAGTCGATCAACACAAAAGTAAGGATGACAAAGCTATCAAGGAGACCGACGAAGACAAAGTCCTACGACATCTGATCTTCAAGATCGAATGCGAATATGGTAATGGAGCCAACCGGATGAAATGGGTGATTAAACGATCCCTTGGAGATTTCTCCAAGATGCATATTAGGTATAAAACCGCATACAACGCTGGGAGACTTAGATTGAAAAGCGATGGGCGAAAGAAAATGCCAAAGTTTCCTTTGGAGGTGTTTCCATATCTGAAATCTCTACGCTTGTTTGCCGATGAAGGCGACGACGAAGAGGCGGACGCGTGTGACGATACCGACCCTGGTACGGCAACAGACACCGAACGGCCAACTCCTCGAAGCCAGACTCGATCTGCAATCACACCAAAACGACGGAAATCAAGCGTGGCAGGGTTCAACGATCCTGTAACTCCTGGGAGCACACGCCGAGAGATGTTTGCCGAGCGCCAGCGTAAGACTCTGGAAAAATATCTGCAAGCGATGATACAGTTTATGCTGTTTCGTCCAGAGAGCAATCGCCTGTGTAGATTCCTGGAGATATCGGCTCTTGGTGTGCGTCTTGCTGCAGAGGGTAGCGAACATGGCAAAGAAGGGCTTTTGCTCATCCGGTCGGCCAAAGGCCTCGATTTCAGAGCGTTGAATGCGCTCGAGTTTAAGAAACGGCATACACCAAAGTGGTTCCTTGTCAGGCACAGTTATGTTGTGTGCGTGGATTCGGCAGAGCAAATGCATATTTATGATGTGTTTTTGTTTGATTCAGACTTCAAGATACAGTCCCGCAGGTCGCGCAAGAGCGATCAGAGAAGTGCGAAGGAGCTGGCGGAGGCAGCAAAGGAATCTGCTAAACATCCGCAACACCACCGTCTCAAATTGGTCAACTCGGAAAGAAAGTTGAAACTCATCTCTAACAACGAACGCCAGTTGCAACAGTTCGAGGAGTCCATAAGAGAAATGGTTGCGGGATCACCCTGGGCAAAGATCAACAGATTCGAGAGCTTCGCTCCGGTGAGGCCCAATTGCTTTGCTCAGTGGCTTGTTGACGGCAGAGACCACATGTGGGTAGTGTCTCGCGCCTTGAATCAAGCCAAAGATGTTATCTATATCCACGACTGGTGGCTGAGCCCCGAGCTGTACATGAGGCGGCCTCCTGCCATCAGTCAGAAATGGCGTCTTGATCGATTGCTGAAGAGGAAAGCCGAAGAGGGGGTCAAGATTTTTGTCATCGTTTATCGCAACATCGACGCGGCTATTCCGATTGACTCCCAGTACACCAAATTCTCCCTCCTGGACCTGCACCCGAATATATTTGTCCAAAGATCACCCAATCAATTTCGACAAAACACCTTCTTCTGGGCGCATCATGAAAAAATTTGTATCGTTGATCACACTGTGGCCTTTGTCGGAGGCATTGACTTGTGCTTTGGCAGGTGGGATACTCCTCAACACACGCTGGTGGATGACAAGCCCACTGGCTTTGAGCCAAGCGACGAGCCCAAGGATGCAGACCATTGCCAACTGTGGCCAGGCAAGGACTACTCTAATCCACGGATACAAGACTTCTATGCGCTTAACAAGCCATATGAAGAGATGTACGACCGTTCGAGGGTAGCCAGAATGCCGTGGCATGACATTTCGATGCAGGTTGTGGGGCAGCCAGCCCGCGACCTGACGAGACATTTTGTCCAGAGGTGGAACTACATCCTACGGCAACGCAAACCAACACGCCCTACGCCGTTTTTGCTCCCTCCTCCAGACTTTAACCCAGCCGACTTGGAAGCGCTTGGTCTCGATGGAACATGTGAAGTCCAGATTTGTCGCTCCGCTGGACCTTGGTCACTGGGCACTCCCGACAAGACGGAGCACAGCATCATGAACGCCTATATCAAGCTGATTGAAGAATCCGAGCATTTCGTCTATATTGAAAACCAATTTTTCATCTCCAGCTGCGAGACGGAAGGTGCCACGGTACACAACAAGATCGGTGACGCTCTTGTGGAACGGATCACTCGTGCAAGCAAGCACCAGGAGGCTTGGAAAGCAGTGGTCATCATTCCATTGATTCCTGGTTTCCAGAATACGGTCGAGGAAGAAGGTGGGACCAGCGTGCGGTTGATCATGCAGTATCAATATCGCAGTATTTGCCGCGGAGAATCTTCCATATTCGGTCGGTTGAAGGCAGTGGGCATTGATCCTGAAGAATATATCCAGTTCTACAGTCTTCGTCAGTGGGGCAGAATTGGCCCACGCAAGACGCTCGTGACCGAACAACTCTACATCCATGCCAAATGTATGGTGGTCGATGACAGAGTTGCATTGATTGGATCCGCGAACATCAACGAACGATCAATGCTGGGAAATCGCGATTCCGAATGTGCGGCTATTGTGCGCGATACCGATATGGTCTGGTCGTGGATGAACGGCAAACCTTATCAGGTTGGTCGTTTCCCGCACACGCTCCGCATGCGCCTGATGCGCGAACATCTCGGCCTGGATGTTGACAAGATCATGGAAGATGCCCAAGTGATGGAAGCAGAACACAACAAAATGCGATCCTCGGGAAAGTCGGTCCGGTCAGAATCCCCAGATGACGCATTCGGAAGCCCACTCTCAGAAGCGGGTGATGTGCTAAGCCCACTACAAGGGCAAGATACAGAACTGCATGAAGAATTGCTTCAACGCACCGAGGAGTTCAGGAGTTTCAACCATGATGTAGACTGGGAACAACAGGGCAATCCCAACCTCAAATCGAAGAGAGCGGGCGTGACTCAAGACCCGCGCGTTACTGGCGATCCCCACCACAAGGAAGATGTCGAAGGGCACGGATATGACAGGATGGCAGAGATTGCAGCGGAAGGACTGGGAGATGGACGAGACAGCACGCTTGTCAAGGGAACAAAGGAGGTTTTGCTCTCAATGATTGATCCTGAGGGCAAGGCCGCCTTGGAAGAACCACGAAAACATGGTGAACAGCTTCGGATGCCATCGTATGTGGTCAAAATGGAGACACCAAACCCCCCACTGCCTCCGAAGCCGGGTTTGCGCCGAATGGATACAGTGCAGCTCGGCTTACCTATGTTGTCGCAGCTGCCTCCTCTACCCGCAGGAGACGACTCGGACATAGGAGGTCCTACACTTGTCAAAGTCAGTTCCAAGGACTCGATGGGCCCTCGTCACCCGCTGATGGATGAGCTGCGACGGCCGCTGGTTGATCGGGATTCCATGACGGATCCGATCCACGACGCTTTCCTTTACGACACTTGGCATGCGGTGGCCGAGAATAACACCAAGATATACCGCACAGTGTTCCGGTGCATGCCGGATAATCAAGTGCGTAACTGGGACGAATATCATCAGTACGTGGCATATGAGCAAAGATTCAACCAATTGCAAGGCAATGACCTTCCTAAGGAGGACAAGGTCTCTGATCCTTCTCGCGCTGGATCTGTCGCTAAAAGCGGTCCTCCAGGAGCCGGGTCTCGACATCCGGCGGCAGAAATCAAAGCCGTGACTCATGTTCCCACCGACATTGAAAAGGCCACCGCCGATGTGAAGGAGAAAATAAAGAACGTCCTTGGAGAAAAGTCGGCGCACTCTCATGAGGACGCTGAAAAGGCGAAACTTCGGCGCTGGGCTGCGGAGACCAATCAAGCACAGGCTGAAAGGCTCGGGATGCCCACCCTACATCGGCAGGAAACCTTGACGGAGGAAAAGTCCGGACTGCAGACTGTTCCCGAAGGCCAGACCATCGTTGACGAGGGCAGCGGAACCGGTGAAGATGATGATTTCAGCACCGAGCGACCCATCAGCAGTCTGAGCTCAACGGCGGCGGAAAAGGAGAAATCGGCATCCAACGGCACTCCATCAACCGCAAACGGCCACTTTGTTGGGTATTCGGACGCAGTGAACCAGAACGCAGCTCAATCCACAGCCAACATTGCTGGAAGTGGCCGTCGTCGCAGAAGAGCTACCACTAGGTCTAGTAGACGTGACTTTAGCGCGAGCGACGACATCCTGACTATTGAAGAGGCGGAAGAGCTGTTGGGCTGTGTCCAGGGACATCTTGTCGTCTGGCCTTATGATTGGTAAGTGATTGCTTGCCGCGCGACTTTCCTTCCGTACCTCAGATGCCGTTTGTACAAGTTGCTGACAGTTGATTTTGCTTAGGTTGGAGAAAGTTGAGGCAGGAAGTAACTGGTTGTTTCCCTTTGACCAGATCAGTCCGATCGAAATCTAGTGAGTACCGCCGTGAACGTCATCACACAAGTAGACGATCAATCGGAGGCTCCGAACGAAAATACTGACGATGGACTCTAGCATCTGATCGTACCATCCGCAGGAGAGGACGCTCTCAACTCACACATCTACACTTCCTTATCACTTCTTTTTTGTCAGGCAGGCTGAATGATAATGCAGTCGAGTCAAGGAGAACGCCTAGAGATATGGACACCGGCAGGAGAGCACAGGGTCATGTTCCAAGGGAAAAGAAAGCGATTGATGTCATACATTTTGTCTTAGTATTCCTCCACGGCCGACGAAACATGGCATTTATGTATTTTGTTATGGTCTCATACTGGCATTCAGGCATCCAGGGGCAAGAAGGGATCTGGGTCTGCTGCGTCGTGGCGAGCGAGCTTTGCCCTGGAGTACATCGCAGGGTTTTTGTTTTATCGGTCTATTCTACCTTGGGGAGAAGTCTGCCTGTATATGATGAACAATGTCAGGCGGACAGTCCTGTGCCCGGTCCCAGCCTGGCACATTTATTCCTGTATAATATCTTGTCTCTTTATTGTCCGGCCTCGATCATGGGTCGGGGGTTATTAATTAAAATGTAGAGACCAGCTGGGCAAAGCGTCGATGCTCGTATATTTAAGGTTGCCAGGGCCCGACGCTATTGGCCCACAGCATTTGTGGCATAAGGCTGCGACATCATGACTTCTCGCAGTGACGCTTCAGGCCTCCTGCCTCCAAGTCGCCAATGACCGCAGCTCCGTCCCTCTTGAAATGGAGGGCGCGCGCCTTGTCTCCAGCATGTCGTATATTTTCTCAAAGTCAAGGATCACTCGCTTCCCTGCTTTGGACCGACCATGGAGTCGATACTCGAGATAAGAGGGGCCTCTGCTGGGAGATCTCGCAGGAGCACGCCCAAGGTGAAGTCGGGGTGCATAACATGCAAGTAAGGTGACTCCACGTACCCCAGTTGGATCCTGTAGGATTCACTTGGGGCGTCGCCACGTTTTTCTGACAAATTTCTAGAGCCCGAAGAGTCAAATGTGACGAAGCAAAGCCCGAGTGTCGACGTTGCCTTCGCACGGGCCGAAAATGCGAAGGCTATCCCGACCTTGGTGGTCCAGGGTTGGTATTACCTGCTACCGCACAGCATCATCTACCCCTAGAGCCGGCTTCTATCACCACATATAGCATCCCCTTCAAAGTCCCCGGCAGCCAGGCCGACCGGCAGTTGCTCCACTACTACTGCTGTCAAGCGGCGTGGAACCTGTCTAGCTGTGCCGATCCGACACTGTGGACAGAATTGGTCCTACAACGAGCGAACCATCACTCTGTCGTCCGCAATGCGTTGGTCGCGCTCAGTGCGCTTCACAAGGATTACCTGTGTGGGGAACTGATGGGAATCGACTATTACGAGACGACAACTCCCGATGCAACCACTCGGCTAGTAGTCAGCGGCAATAACCTCAGGACCATGGGCATGATCAGCAGATGCCACCGGCAGCTGAGAAAGTATCTGTCTCGACCGGACGCATCCCCGGCCGTGGCTCTGATCTGTAGCGTGATCTTCTACGCCTTTGAGTCCCTGCTAGGCGAATCGCAGCAGGCAATCTGGCACCTTGACCAGGGCCTGAACCTGCTTCAAAAATGCCAGCAGCTCGACGACAAATCCTTGTATGATCCTCATGATCCCTTAATTCCACATCTAACCACCTTGCTGCACGAGCTGGACCTCCAAGCCAGCTGTTTTGACGACCGCCGCTCACCCATCCTGCACCTCGCGACCGTCGAAGAAAGGACCGGCGTCGTCGACATCGTGCCCGAGGCCTTCCTCGACCTGACCCACGCCGAAGCCGTGCTGGTCAAACTCCAGAACTGGGCTCTGCACCATTTGTTTGACTATGTCCACTACAGGGGATCGAAGATGGAGGAGCTCCCTTCCGAGCCTTTCATCGAGAGACTAGTGCTCGCTGCACAGCTGCAGAAGTACGAAGCCACGTTGAGCAAATTCAGATCCACGCACGACGAGGACTTGACTTGGCAGACGGCCTCTGCGTACACGCGGCAAGAGGATCATCGCCAACAGCGCACCCAACGGATCATGCGCCTGCGCATCAACCTGTACATGTTTTTGTACCTTGTCAAGGAGCACCTTCCTTCGTCAATAGCAACGGCGTACGAGATGGGAAGACAGGCGGCTGCAGACTCGCGGCCGGTATATACCCGACGACCGTGTGACTCGGGGTTGGCGGTGCCACCGCCACCGCTGCCCAGCGACGCCGAGGCTGACCTGGAAAGCGCCCTTTCATGCATTGACGCTCTCCTGTCTCGCTCATCGGCGGCGGCAGCAGCAGCAGCAGCGACGGACTCGCCCAAGTCGCATCTCTCGTCCTGCGCGCAACCGACCGGGACAGCCACCTACACGCTCTCGACCCAACTCGTCGCGTCCGTCTATTTTCTCTGCCTGAAGCAAACGGACCAACGCACACTCGAGCGCGGCATGGCGCTGTTCTCGCACCCGTCGCTCCGCCATGCCCGCGACGGGCTCTGGGACGCCCGCACCGCGGCGTTCCTGGTCGAGAATCTCGTCAAGGTGCGCCAACACGGCAGCGTCACCGAGGGCAGCTCCGGCAGCGACATCGTCATGCACGTCGTCTCCCCCAGCATAGGCCAAGAAGAAAATGACAACAACAACAGCGACGTCGGTGGGAAGGGGGGAATCGACATGGCCAAGCTGCAACGCATCTTTCGCCTCTCGGAAAAGCACGGCCTGCCCATGATGCAGTCCAAGAAGTTCACCATGTTGACCTCATTGGCACCGACTTCAACAACAAGTCCCAGTCCAAGGCCCATGCCTACGCCTGCCCCACCACCACCGGCGGCCAGAAACGCACGCTCACACTCACGCTCGGTCATTAGCTGCAAGCAGGACGGAGCGAGACTTCAAGACTGGGCGCAATACAAAGCCTCCTCCTCGTACTCCTCCTCAGTGCCCGGATGACGTCGTTATTTATATGTCAAGAACACCCAAGGGACGAGAAAGGGCACACACACACACACACGCACACGCGCGTGGACAAATCTTGGAAATGTGTGGATGGAATGGTGGGTGGCGATACCGAGTATTATTACATTTAGTAGTATGCAAACAAACAAGTAGTCCACTCTGTTCTAGTACAATCGATATCCAAGACTGAACTATGTATATACACACCTAGGTACATCTCTCGCTGTCCCGCAGCCGACGACCCCATAACGACAGCAGATCCAAGGCTTCGTAGCATTCCCTTTCCGTCTTTGGTCAAATCCGATCTTGTCCCCTGTTGACAATTGCATGCGCACAACGTCCCCACAGGCACCGAGGACTTATATCCCCCTCCTCACAGGGTCTTGACTTCCAAAATTATCGACAATTCTGAACTATACAGCACAAAATGAAAGTAAAGCAGCAGGAATACACTGCAAAAAGGGTACATCGCTAGAACACCTTCAAAACTCACTTTTTCCGGCCTCGCGGCCATCCCCCCTGTCTTTGCCTGGAAAGCTCTATATCTCTTCCCCAAGAATACATCCCTTTTTAGATGAAATATCGACTGTTGGCGTCTGCTCGCCGGTCTGGTGGAAACAGTCCTGCCAAGCTCCCTTTTTCATTGTCCGCTGATCAGTTCACCCCCCAATCAGGCGTGTGAAGCGCTGGCAATTTGCTTCCTGTGTGCAGGCAAGATCATAGTGCTCTGTAACTGTCTCGGAAAGCCAGTGTTTGTCCACGTATAGCGTGCCTTCATGAATGGTGACGAGAACCCACACGCGGCTCAGTCTGGCGGCAGTGGCTGTCACTGTCTGGGTCTCGGAAAGCTGACCTCAAACCAACAAAGCTCGTTGATACCAGTAACGGCGACCCGCTCATACCAGCTGCTGAGTTGATACACGTGGTAGACTCTTTCGCATGGAAAGAGCTCAGCCACTAAAAGTGTTGCGAGGTATCCTCGTGTAATATTATATTACAACCCCAAATAAAGCATGTGCACGAAGCGGCCGCCATGTTGTACAAGCCCGAAGTTTCTCATGGACTTTCAATGTGACCGTCAGCCTCGGCAGCAGAAGACTTTCTTCCACCAAGGGACATTAATGTTGTCATCATCGAAGCCTGATTTCTCCGTAGGCGGCAAGGGGTTCGGAATGGATGGTTGTCGGTTTGGTTGCATGGAGGCGGGCATCTGGTAAGAGGCTCCAGCACCACTGACATTAGGGGTATGACCTTTGGAGGCAAACGGTGCTTGATGGGGCAGGGAGCCGGGACCCGCACCATGTTGTCTTCTTGCCTCAACCACTCTACGCACAATCACTGTCGACATGCATTAGCAGGGGCATTGATGAATGATGAAGCAGCATTGACTTACAGGCAAAAGTCTCCTCGATATTTACCATCTCTCGGGCACTCGTCTCCATGAAACCACAGTTTCTACTCTTGGCCCATTCCCAGCCCACTTTGCTGCTGACGACTCTGGCATCTTTCAGATCACATTTGTTGCCGGCGATGATTTTGATCGGAGGAAACTTCCATCCGTCTTCCCTTCTGCCGCGTACCTTGGCACCCTTCTCGCGGAGCAATCGGGTGTTCTCTTCCACTCTATTCTCAGCTTCGATGTCAATCATGTCAAGGAACCACGAAAGCCCATCGAGAGAGGCAGCATTGGTGATATCATAAACCAGGAGAAAAGCGTCAGACTGGAGGTTGGAAGCAGCCCACAAACTTCGATACTCTTCTTGGCCAGCTGTGTCCGTTAGTGAGAGATAGTAGTTCAACCCGTCCACTGTTCGAGTCACCGAGTACGAGTCCTCAATAGTAGGATCATACCTGCTCCGAGTTAGCAGGACGCCTTTGGTCAGGGGCACAAGGAGAGCAACATACTCGGAAGTCCATTGCGATCTGACGAGGCGCAGTGTAATGGACGACTTGCCTACAAAGGGAAAAGAACATCAGCGGAATATGCCGGCGGCACTGTAAAGGTGAGAAATCATACCGCAACCTCCATCGCCGCATATGGTGATAGAAATCTTGTCCGCCATGGTGGGATGATTGAATGAAGGGGCTTCTTAGAGTATCCCCCCTCTTAGAGCGCAAAAGAACTCTGAAATTGGTGTGGAAGGCTCTCAGGCTCTCGGTGAGGGAATGCGATGCTGCAGGAGAGACTTTCGGAGAAGGTGGGAGCAACCTTTATTATGGCCAAAGGTCAATTCGAAAGACGGAGACTGCGCGCAGACGTGATCTGAAAAGGATTCCGAGGTCTATTTGCGTCTCGATCCCTGCGATTGGGATCTGTACTGGAAAGGCTTTCTTTATTCGTGTTGAAAGGGGGAGAGGGCCGCCGCACACACGCGCACGGGGTCAGGAGGTAGAGGAAGGATTCGCAGAATTATCGCAAGATGTCGGGACGAGAAAGTCGAGAGACTGCAATAGTCGGAACTGAAGTGGGAAGCAATTCAATGCTGGACCAGAGGCGTCGAGGGGTGCAGGCAGGTGCTACTGGCAGTGGGATAAGTGGGCGCAAAGGTGCAGGAGGCAGATGCGAAGATGGAGGGTGGGATGTTGATATTGACGAATTTGGCGACAATGGTGAGGAGAAAGGTTGCACTGTATGATATAGGAGGCGTCAGGTATTGTGTCTATCGGAAGTGACAAAGGTCTTGGGTCGTGTGATTGACTCACTGAGGGGAGGGGGAACAGTGAGGATAGAAATGTATGGATGGAAATGTTGAAGCAGGAAGTGCGTGAGAGACGAGGTTCGGGAAGGCTGGATTTGCGACCAGGGCATCATCCACAGGGCATCCACAGGGCATCCACAGGGCATCCACCAGGGGGAGAGGGTTTGAAGACTGGGCATGTGGGTGCCAGGGACCTAGGTACCTAGACCCTGCATTATTCAACTCCGAGCATTGGGCGTTGGCGTACAATTGTGGGACAGGACTACTTAGTAGCACTCGGTAGAGGTCGATTGGGTACCAGCGGGATGGTGATTAGGCACCGAGTCGGTCGAATGATGGAATGATGGTCTATCCATCGTCATCTCCTGCAGCATCAGCATCGACGAGGCAACACCGGTCTTGAAGCGCACAGAAGTGATGCTTCAAGCGAGATGGTAGAGTTACATGCGAGGAAAAAGGGACAAACCCTTCGAGAGCGACAAAAGCTTGCCGGGGAAGCAGGAGGGAAGAGGCAAGAAAGCAGGGGAGCAGAGAAAAAGGGCCATGATTGAAACACCGACTGGGCGGAACAACCGTTAGAAAAGAGGCCAACAGGGGTGTGGGACTAGGGGCTGCGACCAATAGGCCGGGGAATAGGGAAGCCACGAAGCGTAGCACCCACCTAGCTTGCTAGCTCCTAAGCCTCCCCCCCAAGGCCCCAGCCCAGTGAGAGCCCCCTCAGTAACCCCCACCACCACCAGCAAGCACCAGCAAGCACCAAGAAGCACCAGAAGCTAGCTAAGAAGCCCTTGGAGATACAAGGCAGCCAGTTGGGCAGCAAAGGTGCGAACATAGCGACTGTCGATCATTCTTGTTCCTCTTCTGCTGCTCGCATGTCCTCGTGCCCTCTTCGCTGATCCTCTCACCTTCCCGCCCTGTGTACGTACATCTTCCAGCCATCGCACGCGGCCACCCTTCGCCACAGCTGAGCGACAGACAATCCCTCGTGTCCCTCCAATTCCCTCGTCGGCGCATCCCGATCCATATCCTTCCCTTCCTCCCTCCCTCCCGAAGTCGCTGTACAGCCCCCTCAGCCTTGTGCGTTATGTAAGCCCAGACAAGCTGATCAGGCCCTCTCCTGCGCTGAGGCCTCCATAGCGGCCGCATGGGCGGGACAAATATAGCCACCTTGCCACCTCCAGACTCTTTCCATTACTGCCTGTCCAGCGCTCATCAAGTCTCATCTTCAGTCCGTCGTCTGAGCAATTCTTTTCCATGATGGACCACTCTATTAAGGCCCTTCGTGCATCGACGTGCGGCCGCAGTGCCCCGGGTTTTGCTCTACAAGACCGCCCGTCTGAACCAAATCGCCCCCAACTTTGACAGATTGCCCCTACATGACAGACTCGCCAAATTGTGGCTGGTGTTATTGATGGGCGTGTTCTGCGTCTTTGCCTCCCATACCTGGACGCTGCAGATGGTGCTATTTGCAGACTTTAGGACTTGAGTCCGTCGATATATATTGTCCGGTATGGCATTGCACTCGCTGTTCGCCCTTGTCATGGGGAATACAAGACCTCTTTGCGACCAGCCAACGACGAGGAAATGGAAGAAACCTCTAGCAGTAGTCAGTCCAGTACGCAGAAACAACTGACATCTCACTCAACACACTCACAACGGTCTGTCACCAGTCCATCATGGTGGACCCGAATGAGCTTGGACAACTGGGTATGGGAGTTGTCAGCAGCACTGCTGTGCATCTGCATCCTTGCTGCCATTGCTGCCATTCTGTTTGTATACGACAACCGCCCTATTCCAGATTTACCAGATGGATTGACAGTGAGTCCTACGTGTTCAGTGTCTGGTATTTGTTCGGTCAATACTAATGCCACTTCTTAGATCAACGCAATAGTTTCCCTTCTGGCAGGCTTTGCAAATGCTGCACTTCTGGCAGTACTGGCATCTGCCTTGCGCCAGGAAAAGTGGCTGTGGTTCATTGGAAAGCCGCGACCACTCAACACTGTCGACGCTTTCGAGGAGGCCAGCCGCGGGCCTTACGGCTCACTTCTCCTCATCCTAAGTCGTCGGGGTAGTTATCGAGCACTGGTCGCCGCATTGGTCACCGTCCTGGCTCTCGGGTTCGAACCCTTTCTGCAACAAGTCTTGAACACTGTTGTTCGCGACAACCCTGTCCCCTCCCAACCTGCCTCGATCCGTACCCCGACTTCATACAACGAATCAGTGAGTGGAAACCTGGGCGGTTCAGGCCTGTCACTGAACGCTTTGATCGGAGCATTTGGAGGGGCAGCAGGTGCAATCCCGAATCCCATCTGCCCAAGTGGAAATTGCACATGGCCAGTGTACAACACCCTTGCAATGTGCACCATGTGTACAGACATGACGAGCCACGTGAAAGTTGAGGGAGACCCGTACAACATCAACTTGACCTCGCACTTTGAGAAGTTCTCTCAAAGTAATCAGTCGTCGTCCTCCACCACTTGGTCGCCAACCTATTCCTTCCCACACGGCAATCCCGTCAACGTCTCCGTAAATCTTGACCTGTCATCCTCGGGTATGGTGGAGTGGTTCGTTACCTACCCTCGCCGCGTGGTGTGGCCCCTGAATATTGACCCAGCCCCGGACAGCCACTGGGGCAAGAGCTGGGACAACAAATCATATGCTGGTATCTCTTCTCCTCTGTTTGCCATGGGCTATCTCGACATTAACACGACCTCCTCTTTCGACGGACTGGTAGTCCAAGCCGCCACGGAATGTGCGTTTACACCCTGTGTGCGGACTATGGACACCGTCGTTCGCTCCGGCACGACCATCTCCAACGCAACAGCTACAGACTACGGCACCGTCATCATCAATCAGAATCAACCGGATGGTCGCATTTTGACAGGCTGGAACGCAGAAGTGAATGGCACGAATTACTTCGCCTACGATGCCGGCAACGACGATGCTCAAGGTCGAGCGTACTTGCTCATCCAAGCCCTGCGAATAGCGCTCGAGGGAAATACCACTTACAGTTACGGGGGATACTGGTACTCGGACCCCTCTGAGCAAGGAGACACGTTCAATTTCTCTTCGACCAGCTTCGACCAAGTCGCCGGGCCTTGGAGCTCTGCGGGCCAGCAGGCGATCGACGGCAACGGGAATTTCAGCGACGTCGTGAACAGCGTCGGGCAGGCACTGACGGGCCGTTTCCAGCAGCTTCAAGACACCGTGGCCATCGGCACGACTCTTCACAGCGAGGCGGTGATCGTAGTCCGCTGGGAATGGATCAGCTATCCCTTGGCCCTCGTCGTGCTCGGACTCGCGGGGCTGTTCCTGACCATGTTCTCCACGCGTCGCAACCACATGGCGGTCTGGAAGGAGTCGACACTCCCTCTCCTCTTTCGCTACACCGCGCCCGTCGAGTTACAACAAGCGGCCCACAGTACCAGTACTCCAGGAGGACTGGGGCGACCTAGCACGACGTTCTCGTTTTCAAACACCATCCCCTGCGGCGGCCCGGATCCGAACAAGGTCAGCTCGATCGTCACCCAGGCCTCAGAGGAGCAAGTGCAGCTGCGGCGCCGTGATTCGTCCTGGATTCTGGACTCGGATCCCCAGCCGCCGGCAGACAGCAAGGACAGTTTGTCGCTCCAGAGGATCTGGCATCGAGTATAGAAGAGACATGGTAAGCACTGCAAGCGGGAATAGCCCAGCCAGGCTATTCCCCACCGCAATTTTTTCTTCTTCATATCTATCTTGTCATTCATAATGTTGGCATGCGTATTTCATGTTTCTGTACCGCCTTTCCTTTTCTCTTTTTCTTTTTTTCTCCGCCCTCTATCGTCCCCCCGATCCTTGGACCATCAGGCCAGCCCCCCCGACCCTTAGCGATGCAAGCCGCTTTTAAACCATATCAGCCAAACGTCCCCAGCCATTCCGACTCTTCCTCATGTGATTGCTAGAAATTCGGATTCGGCGGGCCTTCGAAAACCCTCTTGGTCCGGAGTCTTCGTATGGTCCATGTCTTGGGATATGAGCTGCATACATTCATACATGTATACATGCATACCAACACACGCGCAGGGACAGGGCCGGAGGCAGAGAGGCAGGAGCAGGGGCAGGGCTAAAGGCAAGTCGCAAAGGAAACAGTCTATCAAATTCATTTTCTGGCATCAATGGATGAATTGAGACGTGATGAGATGAAATGAAATGACATGACATGCTGGATGGGCCTTTGACTATTTCATCCATGGATGTTTTCCGTCTATTGACCATGACATACATACTTAGACTTTCGTACAGCATAGCGTACGTCGTGTATCGTAACATATCATGCACGACAAGAAGAGGGAAAAAATAAATAAGAGTCCGTGTCTCAACGTGCCTCATTGACATTTGATCAACAGCTTGCCAGTTCGAATTGGCGGGTCCCGGATTGCAGTCTGGATCGCCCTCGCGCCCTCGCATTTCCTTGTTTCAACGGACTCCGATGTGAGTGGCGTACCCGGAAATGCGTTTTTTTCTTTCATCGTAAAGACCCAAACCCATCGCTGTCAAACCCTGCCAGACTCTGGCCTGTTGGGCCTTGTGCCCGTTGCGGCAAATAATGCTTTCACGATTTCAAAACAGTTAACAGCGATATTACAACAACCAGCGCCGAGCGCCCAATTCTAGAGCGTCATGAAACTTCGTAGCGGCCCAGAGCCCAATTCATGGTCGTAACATTTTCATTCAGCGTATGCGGTCCTTCCTGGTGCGAAGTGGATGTGGTAGTGACAAAGATTTTCCGACTCAAGGTGACAGACATATGTGATGGGTATCCTCCGGTAGGGTTTAGCTGGTCTCATCTCAGAAGTAAGAATGCTTGATCTTGGGTGACTATAGTTGAGTCTGTTCCGGAGGGACCAGGTCGTAGCCCTTGCTGTGGCGCTCTCTCATCCACGGAATTGCGTTCTCCGGGAGTTGAAATTCTGTGGATGAATAACGGGTCATAGACCCAAGCATTGTCCCAGCGCGGCGAAAGGCCCAAAGCTGCGATGGAGCAGGATTCAAGGACAATTTTTCCACAGTTGGGCCGGAATGCCAATCCCAGCCTTAGTTTCAGTAATCCGGGCGGCCTCCCTTCAAGCACTGTGATAGGGGCAAGCCCCAATGAACATCCGGAACCTAGAAGTTGATGATCATGTCGGCAAAATACTTGGGTGTGGAGGTTCTTCGCCTTCCTCGATTTTTGGAGGCATCTGACCTCTCCATTCACCGTTATTCTCTTCTTGCGCGACCGTTCCTGATGTATTCCCTACCAGTTGGACAGGGCCACCATTCATTGTCTCAAACATTTCGCCATTCTTGGCCTCGGTCTTGTTGGCTGCTCTAATCTGGGCTGGGGATCTGGAGCCTTTGTCACTTTGGCCTGATGGCTTGCGAGGAGATACTCGTCCATTCTGCAACCACAAAGTATGTCAGCTGCATCTGCTATCTGAACACGCCATTGTGCAGGAGGGAGAGAAGTCACGTACCTGTTTGGCCCACCGCAGACCACAGCTGTTACACAGATCACGGTTCCCACTTGGTCCTCGTCTCCATTCCGGTGTGACTCGAGTGTGACAGTTAGCACAGTCCTTTTCAACCTGGCCGAGCCCCTTTCTCCTCTTGCGTTTCTTTTTGCGACTCAGTAATGCTTGAAGCTCCTCGGCCAGTAACCGATTCTGACGCTCCATCTGCCTAAGTTCAAACTGCCAACTGGTGCTTCGGGTTGTTTTCAGCTCGTCGAAGATGTTGTCTTCCGAAGCCAACGCCTCGTCTTGGTTGCCTAGACTCAAGGTGTGGGGGCCAGCTAGCTGTAGAGAGCCGGGATGTTCCGCAAAGTCGGGGCCATTGCCAGACGATCTGGCCGACGGACGTGATGTTGGAGTTCCAGACCCTGCCGACGCCTTGTCAGTTTTCGATGATGCTGTCGACGCTGACTTCAAGAGTGCAGCGCGCGTCATCTTCAGTAGGCGGGTCTGCGCAAGCAAGAATGTAGGCTTGAAACCAAGCCGAGCGTCACCGGGATAGATTGTCGTTTGTGCGTGAAGGACCTGGCCTCTCCGATTCTGAAGATCATGCCTGAATGTCACTTTCTCGCCTGTTCGTGCAACTTCAAGCAAACGTAGGAACTCCTTTTTGGACTCTGGTCTCATCAAAGCCTGCAGACTTGTCCCGACCAGATCTTCAGGGAGTCGGTCGAGCATGACTCGAGACGTAGAAGACACATGCAAAAACATCCCTGACGTCGAGATCTTGGACCATAGCTCACTCTCGCCAAGATTGCCATCCGAGGAGAGCTCGGTCCGATCCAAGGCATAGACTGGTCGCTCTCGTCCTGCAAGGATAATGAACTTCCTGCCCTTCCCCTGTTCAACGTAGAGGGAGCCGTGCGCCTCAAACCAGGTGTACCCACTGAATTTCCGGCGGATCCGATAGACCACGCTCACCGACTCTCCCGGAGGCATATCCTTCAGCTCTCTGGTAACAGGCACTATGTCACTCGGATGGCAGATCGAGGATAAGCCTACGCCAACAAGTTCACTGGGGTCGTACTCTAGGACTCTGCGGCTTGCGGGCGATACGTAGAGGAACAGCCCCTTGAGTGAAAGGACGTGCACAACATCGTCGTTATTTTCCAGCAGGACCTTGTCCCACAAGCGTCTTGACACGTCTGACTCGCCTCGCCCGAGGGTGGCCAGGAGCCTGGACACTTCGTCTGGAGAGATAGTCTGGCCCATATCTTGCAGTGCTTGACTTGGGTCAGGAGGAGCAGGCAGATGGTATGCTGGCAGCGAGCTTCGGTTGTAGTTGATCTCATAAGTACCATCTGTTGGCAAAGTTAGTCATCTTTTGTGCGTTCTGTTTGTCAGTCCCGGGAGTATACCGTACCTGGGTTCTTCCCTGAAACAGAGCCTGGCTGCTCGACAAGATCGACCTGGAAACCAACATAAAACTTATAATCTTCGGAATCAAATTGGATCGGGATCATGGTGAGGAGGTTCATAAACGGTTGACCGCCTTTTCGATAATTGATCAGACTCAGTTGTGCTTCTTCCCTTTTGGAGATTTGATTCTTTAGATAGAGGACCGAGTTGTCATCGACGTATTTCCGCTTCACTCCCGATTGCACTCTTCCGTCCGGTGCCTGGAGGAAGCGGCAATTCCGGCCAAGGACCTCGTGTTTTGTATATCCTGTCAGTCGTTCAAACATTTCCGAGCAATAAACGATCGGAAGATCAAATTTCTCGATATCGCAAACGACAAAGGCACAGGATAAGTCAACGGGGCCAATATTGATCTCGGGTCGTGGTCTCGTCGCAACTCGCATCTATGGCAAGTGTTAACGAGGTTTAAGAGCACAGTTCGAGAAATTACTCACAAGAACCCCTAGCATATCAAACCCGCTAGAAGAATATGCATTGGCGTATTTGGGATGTTGCATCAGCCCCCCTGGGACTGGCGGCATATGTGGCAGCGACGGAGGGTTCATAGCCCTCAGGGAGGAGTTAACGTCTATCGCATCGCGTCAGTATACGGCCATCAAATTCGCCCTTCTAATGTTACGCTACCTTTCGCGGAAAAAGCTGAATGAACATCTAAAGATCGTCTTCTGTTTGGGGGATCCTGCATATGTATCGGAGATGCCATTGTGGAGAGAGAGCCTGATGCAACAGGGGCAATGGAGGTCTGCCTTCGAAGTTGCTGAGAAGGGCCTGAGAAAGTCTCGCGCAATGAGGACATGCCTTGGGTCATTGTTGCCATTGGATTTGGACCAGGCGGGCTCATTGAGCCGCCGCCTGGGTCATGGCTGCCGGGTTGATATGGGATTGAGAAGCCCTGATCGATGGGCGAGGCCGAGAAGATGGCATCGTGCATTGGCCCTGATTGCATGGCTGGAGCACTTGCGCTTCCCGCCAGGGAGTCAAAATCCATTGCCATGTCCATACCGGGCGCGATGTAAGCGGCAGATGTTTCGACAGGGACGGAGGTGCTGGGCACGATCACCGGAGAGAAGTTGTTGACGGCCGGCATGTGTTCAAAATTGGCATTCATTTGAGAGAACCGGGTATTCAGAGACAAGTCCTCCTTAGAACGGACTCTTCGTGGATCAAGAGATTTCGGCATTGACATGATATTGGGAGGCCCCATGGACAGGCTGACTTCGCTCGGGTTTGGATCGAACTGGAAATTGGCCAAGTCACTGTCCATGGCGGAAGAAAACTCCAGCATCGAAGCTCTGCGGCCGTGATCGTGCGAGCCTTGTCGGTACTGGGACTGCATCGTGTTTCTTCTCCGCATCAATTCATCGTTATTTTGAATAATGATCTGCTGAAGGGTCTGCGCCTGGCCCAAGACCGAAGCTTCCATGCCACTAGGATCGATGCCACTCATACTGTCATCCTGCGTGTAGCCGTCCATGGTGTCTTGTGGCTCGGACCCGGGATAGGGCTGGCCAAAGAAGCTTGAGAACCCGTCCATGATGAATTTCCTCCTTCTCTCTTATGCCCTGCTCCAAGGAGCCTGAAGTTACCACCGCGAATGTGTTCGGATAGAGGGGAATAGGCAGGTTGTTGATACGGCCGGTGGATAGGCGAACCACGGTTAGCCTGGGAAGGCAAGGTAAAACGGCAGCAGTGTGAGTGGCGGCTTGCACAACATGCTTGCCGCGAAATTGTCGGATCCGAAGTGCGATGAGAAGGAGAGAGAGGAGGTGGTCTGAGGCGCGAGATGAGAAAGCGTCGTAAGTGGTCTCTAATGCTCACAGCAAAAAGCCGTGCGTTGCTAGGTCTTGGGACAATTACTTAGATGGGACAGATGGAGCGCGGGCAGCAGCGCACACACGCCTCAGCAACAGCAAACACCACCTCGGGGAGAGAAGGCGCTGAACCGCGGGTGGCTAGTCACCAGTCACCAGTCACCAGCCGCAGACGCAAGCGAGGTATCAGGTGCGACGAAGGGCTTGAGCCTTGAAGGAGAAAAGGAAGAGAGCAGTGTATGTCGTAGTCGGCGGATTACTGTAGCTTGAAAGCCACTGAAAGAACCCACCCCGGATGAACCGTCCCTCACAGCGGACACGGACCTTCTTGGGCGCACCAGAAGAATGTCGGGAATCACGCACGGGTGGAGGCCTATAAGCCACACCTGGCGATGGTGGAATCTGCATTGCAGCTCTTAACCGCTGTCGCCGCGTCCCTCTGATTAGTGGGCGAGGCGAGCTTTGAGAGATTGCCGGGATGGATGTTTTAGTGAGCCATTTGGAGGCATCGGGGGCAATTGGGGGGCATTGGGGGGCCATTGGGAGGGCCACTTGGCTGGGTCGCCGTTAATTGGGGGCGTCGACCACCGGGTCCACGACTACGAGGTACTACTGCTGGGCGCTCATCGTGCCGCACTTTTCGCTGGCCGTGATCCCCAAACCACCAATACGAGTCCTTTGGTTCGCTGCATCATGCACCAATCCAGGACTGGCACCATAAGGATCGGCAAGGACGGCATGGGAACAAAACCAGCAACTTGCAGTAAAGCCTTTTCGGCAGGTGTGTTGGGCCTCTGGGATTGGGGATCGCTGGGCGCCACTAGGACTACGCAGTATCATGTTGATCAGATGGCTCTTTGGGAAGGGGTTGGCCAAATCTTGTTCTTGACCGGCCGCTGGGTGGCCGCTGTTCGCGAGGTCAGTCTCACTTTAGCGTTTCGACCATGGGAATTTGTGCTTTTCCATGGCTGCCCCTGCTGACCCTTAGAATAATCCTTGCCATCTGGTGCCATGAAGATGCGCTATGACGTTTTGGTGCAAGATGTTCCCGCACTAAGTTCAAGCCACCACGCTGCAAGCCACCGCAAGGTGATGCCAGTAAATGGAGCACGGCTCGGGATGGCGTATAATGTTCCAAAAGGAAAAGAATTAAACCCGAAAGAAAAGATAACCCCTTTTTTTTGGAAGACATGATCTGCGTACTCGGTACTCGAAATGGTGGGTTTCGTGTGCTCGACATGCTTCACCGCTCATGCGGTAGATACTAAAATACACATCTCGGGATTAGAAAAGCAGAACATCTCGGCACTTTTCCGACCCGTGAACTGGTGAAGCCCAATATTTGGACCTCTTCCCGCCCCTTGCACAATGAACATCTGTTTCATGACACGTCCAGTTGCTAATTGTCATATCCATACCATCACTGTCTTTCGATACCAGCCGTGAGCAATATGGCGGTTGCTGAAGGCCACCTGGTCAACCAGGATATGCTGTGGGCTTTGCTACCAGTGGCGCCATTTTCTCTCGCTGGAGTTTTTCTCGCTCCATCTGTGCTCGGTCATCTTTTGTAATTCGAGGCTTTCGTGTCACACCTCCTCCCCGGGATCCAGGTCCTCCACCTCTCCCAGATCTTTCAGAAGTGGCTACTCTTCCGCCGCGAGAACCAGGACCTCCGCCCCGACCTCGGCCACGGCCCCGCTTGATCGTGCCATCCGCCCTATATTAACGTCAGCCAGCGTGCTGGGGAATACTTGGACCACAGAAACACATACCTCTCGACAGCTGGTTTTTCTCCCTCCGGTACAAGCGGTCCACAGTAAACAAAGAATCCATCCTTGCTAGCTGCTGCTTGCGCTTCCCAGAGTAATTCGCTGTCGTCCACAAAGGGATCGTCTTGATCGTACTCCTCTACCTTTCTTCGCCGTCGACGTTTTGGCCCGGGCCCGTCAGTCCCACTATTTGGTGGTTCTTGACCGCCGTTGACTCCAGACATTGCGACGTCTCCGTCGTTATCTGAATCACGCTCAATGTCGACGCTGAGATCTTCGTCGCCACTGTCCCCGGCTGACGTGCCTCCAAACTTGCTGCCTGATGCTGACCTTTCGAGCGCAGCACCGGCGGCGGCGATCTTGGCCAGTCGTTCTTTTTGAGCGGCTTGACGAGGGTACAGGGCCGCGAACCCATATTTTTCTTCGGCCATACGCGCAAAGTTGATGACTCGATTACTGGGGTTCTTCAAGTCGACATGTAGGACGATATTAGGGCCCTTTTCCGAGTCCTTTGGCATATCGCTACTCGAATCACCTCCGAACAGACTGGCCGACAAAAGCCCAGAACCCATTGGCGGTGGCGGTGGCTGCTCCTTTGACCGAGCAGGCTTGGGGGAGGTGGGACGAGTGGACGCTTCCGAGGGCACTTTTCTTGAAGGGCCGGGCTTCCTGTGCTGCACTTGGTCTGGAGTGATGTGGTCTACATCCATAGCTGCTGAGGAATTGCCGTTGACTCTTGGCGAATCGACTACCCTGCCATTGGTCTGATTGTGAGAAGGCTCCGTCTTTACCTGATGCGTAACCACGGTTGTAGCCGTCGAGATGTCGGGTTGTGGAGGGTGATCGATGATGCTGGAGATGGTTGGAGATGTGCTCGGGTTGTCGGTCCTTCTTGGAGGAGTGACGGCAGGTCGGACGGAGGGTGGAGCAGGCGGGTTGGTGTCAACAGGTCGCTGGACAGATCTGATGGGATCGTACATGCTAGTTGCGCGAGGAGGGGAGGATTGTGAAGGAAGAGGAGGAGTCGGCGGCGGCGGGGCGTGTGGTTTGCTTCCATATTCACGTGGTTGATATTCATAGATCCGCCGAGGGGGTGTGCTGGCGCGCATCTGTGGGTTATGCATCGTGAGGCCGGATCCGGTAAAGTTGGCGGCTTCATCTCGGCGGCTGTCGGCGGTTCCTGGGGGAGGTGAGAACAAAACTGGTTGAACCAGAGTGGACGCCTGCAGGCCTGCATTTTGAGGACGAGGCATGAGAAGGGAGCTGCCTTGTTCTGGTGGCTCTGTTTTGGTCTTCTTACGTGCACCTGTAGCTGTGGGCCCTGTCCCCCGAGGCTTACGAGGAACTCGTGGTTTCTTCTCTTCAGGCGTGTTGGGGTCGCGCTTCTTCCGGGGTCTCCTGATGGGAGGCGCAGCTGCGCCGTTGTCTTGGCGTGCACCTGCAGCTGTGGCTGGTGAGGCACTGACACCTGCACCGGGACCCGGTTGGGTTTGTCGCGCGCTGAAACTGTTTGCAACACCAAGATTGCCTGCTACGCCCAAGTCGCGATGCGCTGGGTGATAATTTGGAGGTCCGGGAGTGCTCTCAGCATCGCTCGGCGGCGCGCTGGACAAGTCGTTGGATGAACTTCTGGTGTCATGCACTTCCATCTTCAGCTCTTCGGCCACCACAACCAAGTGCACAGTTGAAATCGCAGGCTTACACCGCAGCCATCAAGAGAAGATTAAAGTGTCGGAAGATACGTGTGCAGGTGAAGCAGGTGATCGGAAAGGCGATGAGGTCGATCGAAGGAATCAGCACTGATGGACTGATGGAACTGCTGATGATGATCGGCAAAGGGGTGAATAATTGGGGTTGATGACTAGGACGTTATACAAAGAGACAATCGAAGTATTATGGAGTTGGGTGACGGGTGTGAATTTGACGGCACAACCTCAAAAGGTTGTGAAGACACCGGCTGGAATGGGAACTGTGTGGTGCAGGCGGGCTTAGCGGAGAGGATTTGCAGGTGGTGAACGCGCGGATGGAGCAGATTAGGGAACTTCGAAATTAGAGAAATCGTATTGTAGCATGCCTAGCCCCAAGGACCACTCCGACCAGCGCGCAGGAAGATAAAGGAAGAGAGGAAGAAAAGGTCGAGGAGGGCAAAGGCCCAGAAGTGGGAAGATAGGGAGATATATGTACCAGCCTAAAGCACAATAGCTTACAGGGCTTTTGACACAGGGTCAAACGATGGGATGGAGAGGGGGCGATGATGGGTCGCGAGATGAATGGAAGGCAACAAAAACCCAGACCACAGCTGCGACAGGATGGGAAGAGTGGAAACCAAAAACGTAAAATCACCCAGGTGCATCACGAAGACAAAACCGGGGGGTTGCTAGACTAGAAGGACTGGACTGTGCCAACACGAGGCGGAAGTAGGAAGTACGAGTGCCTGGAAGGGGAGGAAGACCAGAGAGGTGGCAGGGAGCGAGAGAGCGAGGGGACAAGGTACAGAGTAGAGACGCAGAAGCCACAAAGAGTGAAGCAGCACATGCGGAATGCGAGGCAAATGGGGGTGAGTGAAAGGTCTGGTGAGGCGTGCAAAGAGGAAGACCAGACCAGACCAGACTAGACCAGCACAAAGACCAGACAGAGTAGGGACGCCAGAGCCAGACAGTAGGAAAAGGGCAATGGGAAAAATAGCAGGTGGTGTCTGTGACAGTTCAAGGGCGATGGAAGATGATCTTCGACTAGGTACAGTAGGTGGAGAGACCCTGTTCCTGGATAACGCAAGTAAGGCGACAAGCTTCAAAAAAGTCCTACTGGCAGGGACCAAGTCAAAAGATAAATCGGGACCGAATGACAGGCGAAACACAGGCAAAGGGCGAATAGGTGCTGGTCAGGCTTGTCAGGCAGAGTGTCGTGACAGTCACTTCTCGGGCTTTTGGCTTTTGGCTGTTGACAGTTGGCTGTGGCCGGTAATAGTGTGGCGGCTTCTGGCCCAAACCCGGAGTCCGCCTCAGTAGCTGCTCTCCTTTTCACTGTTGATGATTGCTTTCATTCTCCTCTTCTCCAAACACTCAAGTCACGCCTCCAGATGGCTGTAGTCACAGCTATCAAGAGGAATTATAACCACATCATCTCCTTCGATCTGTCCTCATTGACCACTCCATTCTTCCTCCCATTGCTAGGTTCTTTCTACTGAGAGACTGTTACGATCCTCTCGGAAAAGTGAAGCCCCCAAGATCGGATACCACCAATTAGACCCACCTGGTGGCTGCCAGATCCCAGACCCCCTGCGGCAGAGTTTCCAGCTAGTGGCTTGCGCCAAGTTCGGCTATTTCACTCCGCACGCATCATCTGGATATATGCGCTTTTTCCCCTCCATGGAGCCTTCTGTCCAATGATAGCGATTTTGACTGTAGCTGGTTACTCAAACTTGCATCATATCACCCGTCACCGCCAAAAAGTCTACACTGACTCTGCACCTTGGAAACACGAAAGGTAGCACACGGCAATCTCCACAGAACTGCTGCGCACATACCTACCTAGGTAGGTACCCAGCACAGAATACAGGACCCTCATTGGTCGGACTGTTGAATACACCGCAAAGTCTCGGCTAGACCGCATCTGGGGATGATCAGCTTTCCTAACGCTAGCTAAGAACAAAGTACGCCCAGTTCTGCGCGGCTGCGATACCGACAACTTTTCCCCGAGCGGGAGTGGCAGCAACATGGCCATCCCAGGTCAACGGTTCGAATTAGATCTCGACGCCGATGACTTTACCATCAGGCCGATCGACGAAGGAGCGTCTCAACCTCCGCCTGCTGGCTTCAGCATCAAGGAGATCCAAGAGCACGATTCTGACTCGATTCCTTCTGCCCCCTCGCTGAAACCCTCCAAAGCCGGCTTCCCAGACCACAAACCACGCCGCACCGTGTCCGCTTTCAAACAAAGACATCAGACTGGGAAGTTGCCCACCCGTCCCTCGATTCCTGCCACAGTCGAGCCTTCAGATCAAGCCATCAGACACCATGTGGGCAAGAAATATGGGCTCGACATGGACCAGCAGCAAAAGGTTGATATCAGTGAGGAAAACAAGAGGCGGATAGCCGAAATGTCAATAGAGGATATCGAAGAGGCTCGCGCCGAGCTGACGCGAAATCTCAATCCTGCCTTCCTGGAACGTCTGCTCAAACGTGCGAATATTGAGGAAGATCAAACAGGTCAGAGGCTTTGGCCTGAGGGCAACATGGAAGGGGTAGATGACAATCAAGGGCCCGAGAAGGATGTCGTCGCTGAATTGGCTACAAACGAAGATACTGCGCAGCCTGAAAAATCAGCCGATAACGCACCTCTGCCTCCCTCGACCCATTTTCCCGTTCCTCCTCGCTCAGCAGACGACTACGTGCCCCTAGACACTGATGGTGCTTCCTTCCTCGCCGATCTCAAAACACACTACTTTCCAGACACTCCCCACGACCCTTCCTCATTGAGCTGGCTCCAAGATCCGACTGAAGAGGAGGACCAAGCATCATTGTACAACCCTGAAAAAGAATCGTATCTGGCTTCTGCCCTGAGGTTCGGATTCAATGGCCGCCTGATACCGCCAAAGGAAAGCTTAGAGGTCGACGTGAAAGAAGGACTACACCATCATGGTGATGCACCCAGCAGCGCCGGGTATACCATACCAGAACTTGCTATGCTTGCCCGGTCCACCTTGCCTAATCAGCGATGCATGGCTTATCAAACGTTAGGTAGGATCCTGTACAGGCTGGGAAGAGGGGATTTTGGCGCCAGAGGCAGCGAGCTTCAGGAAGCGCTCTGGTCCGTCATCGAGAAAGAGAGGCCGATAGAGGCCATGATGAGCGAAGCAAACCGTCAGTCAGGACATGCCAGTGCCAAAGCGCTTTCAGTCGAGGCCCTCTGGCTGTGGAGAAAAGGAGGCGGTGGCGACAGGGGAGTTTTAAAGCCGCATCAGCGGCTAGCAAAATGAGTCTCGTTGTTGGACAATATATGCTCGATCAAGTACGATGTTACACAGAGGTTCCTGTTACCTTCATTCGAAGAGGATGCAACGGGCCAGGGTGGCATGGTAGGTGCAAAGATATACCGCCTGAATGAGGTTCCAGAATATCTAACCTAGCAGCGAATCTTTAACGTGCTTCGATCAGGACCTGCTCGTCTCGTGAATTTGTGTTCAACTGAGTCGCGGCAAGTCAGTGAACCTTGAGCGTGATCGCCACCTTGGTTTCTACCGGTACATACGAAGCCCACGATATGCGTATTGATGTCTTTGGTTCAGCGGCTAGCTGAGCACCAGTCCAGATGATCACGCGGGATCACAACTCTAGCACCTACCTCCTACCGCGACAAGCCTTGAAGTTGCAGTCGCTATTTGCGAGAATATGACAGGCAAAGACCCTCCCACATGGACAGCCAACCGACATTTGCTGATGACTCCAAAATCCAGCTTGCGAGCTCGTGGAAGAAGTCCTCGCGCCCTATTAAGTGGGGGCATTAAATGCCGTGAATCGCTACAGGGCTGCTATGCTCATGCTATGTAGCTGCTGCGTTCACCATACAGGGATTGCTCAGCCGTGGAAGAAGCAAGCTCACCGTGCCCAGAACATGGCGTTGAGCTAGATTCAGTCATGCACATGGTGGATCATATACTCGGTACAGAGGGATGCAGATAGATGTCAGGCAGGAATTGAGACGCTCGACATTTCCCTTTTTTCTGGCTCGAGACTGATATGACCTACCTACCTATTTACGACCTAGCGACCTCAGTAGCTACCCTTTTCTCGGAATCCTGTTATGTACGTAGGGAGATTGCAGGGCGGGCAGGGAATTGGGAAGTATTGATTACAGAGTTTCATCATGCTACATACTTTAAAATACACATAAACATAACACACAAACACATATACATATATTGATATAGATGTGTATATCTATACACACACACCCTCTCTCTCTCTTATATATATATATTTATAAATCTCTACCTATTTCTCCACATACCAGCTCAAATCCGCCCCGTCCTCCAACTCGTAGCTCGTGAACCCATTCCCCATGAACCGAAACCGGTTGGGCGAGCGGTACCGGATGTCAAAGTCCTCGGGCCGAATATGCGCGACCATGTCGTGGAAGAGCATGGCGCTGCCGGCGAACGTGGCCGTCACGCGTCCGTCGACTCGGTTGTTCTTGTACCATGACCGACCTAATCGCCACACACACACCGGGTTAGTACGAGGAGGAGTACATAGAATAAAACAATAAGAGATACTGTGCAGAGTGTTATAATATATATATATAAGAGACTTACAGTTCCCCGTCCAGGTGAGGGTCTTCATGATCTCGTCGCCGTAGCGGACCAGCTCGTCGACGACCTCTTGTTTCGGCGCGATGCTCGCAATGTCCTCGCGGCTCATCTTGCGCAGCCACTGGATCATCCACTCGGCCGTCCAGTCGAGACTGTAGATGAGCGAGCCGTGGCCGATGGTGGCGTTGGGGCCCATGAACATGAAGTAGTTGGGCATTTCGGGACAGGCCATGGACTAGAGTAAAAAAAATAAACAGTCAGTGGTCAATGGCCAAGTAACCGTTTCTAGCGGAACTGGTTTGTTGTATGAGAGACTGGGAGGAAAAGGGGGGGATTTTCTCCTTTCAAAGATATCGAGACTCGTTCAAATGGCTTACCAGGTATGATTCAGGCTCGTCCTTCCATTTCTCGCCCAGATCGGTGCCGTTCCGCCCGACGATGGGGAACGGCGGCCTGTTGGACACGTCAAAGCCCGTCGCGCAGATGACCACGTCCAGCTCGTAGTATTGACCGTCCTTGGTCTTGATGCCGCCTTGGTCGATGTAGTCGATGTGGCTTTGCGTCAGGTGCACGTTGTCTCGCGTGAAGGACTCGAGGTATCCCGCCCCCGGGGTGATCCTGCGACAGCCGACCTCGAAGTTGGGGATGAGCATCTTGCAGAGCCGCGGGTCGTTGTTGAGCTTGTCGGCCATCTGCTTGGTGGCAAAGGCCTTGATCTCCTCCTGCTGTTTGGAACCCTTGCCGAAGATGCGGAACCCGCGGTTGACGTTGCCGATGATCAGCTTGCGGTACTTTTTCAGCTCCTCCGGGTCGCGGAACCGCTCCTTGTCGACCTCGCGGTATTCCGGGTTGTAGCTTGGGTCGTCGCTGCCGACCAGCTTCGCGGGGGTGTGTCTCGAGACCACCCAGGTCGGATCCCGCTGGAAGCACGTCACTTTGGTGCCCTCCAGCTTGGCCATCTCCGGCAGGATCTGGATGGCGCTGCTTCCGTTGCCGATCAGGCCGATTCGTTTGTTGCGGTAGTCGTAGTCGTGGTTCCAGCCGGCGCTGTGCACCTTGAGGCCCTTGAAGGTGTGCAAGCCTGCAATGTCGGGCCATTTCCAGTGACTGAGAATCCCTCTGGCGGAGATCAGGACGTCGGCCCACTCGGTCCGATGGCCCTTGTCCTTGTGCCGCACCTCGAGCCTCCATTGGGCCCTGTCCTCGTTCCATTCGGCATGCTCGACCGTGGTGTTGAACTGGACGTCCCGATCCAGCTTCCACTCCGCGACCGTCTTCTGGAAGTACTCCTTGATCTCCGGGCCCGTCGAGTAGAAGTGCGACCACTCCGGGTTCGGGGCAAAGGGGAAGACATAGATGTGGCTCGGCACGTCACATTGCACGCCCGGGTAGCTGTTTGCGATCCAGGTGCCGCCCGCGTTGGATTTGCTCTCGAAGATGGTGTGGTCGACCAGCGTGGCAAACTCTTTGGCGTACGTGTATTGTAGCTTGTGCGCGAAGATCATGCCCGAGTAGCCGGCACCAATGGTCACGACGCGAAGTCTCTTGCTGGGCGTAAAAGCTGGGACATTATGCATTGGTATCGTGATTGAGTCGTGGGCATGGGACTGCCCATTACTTGTAGCGACATCCGCGGTCCTGGGCGTTGAGCCGTCCTTGCTTTCATCTTGCTTGCCCATGGCGGGCACTGGCGGGAGGCTCGTAGTGATTTCGCCAATGGAACCCATGCTGTACGTTGTATCGACTCTTGCACTGATAGTCAAGCAATCTCAGTACTGAACTTGAGGAGTACCCGAGGCGAATGTCCTCAAATAAAACGCCATATCCAAAGCGTGTCATTCTGCCGAATTGCCGACCTACCGGTGGCGGTGTTGGAGAAGTTGCGGAGGTTCTGCCGTGGTTCAATGTATGATTGTGTGAGACGAGAGTCGCGGTTGGAGAACTAACGAGTCTCGGTTGTGTGCCTTGCAGTGAAGCGGCAATGAGTGTTCATCCTTTGCCGTGGTTGTTCGTTACAGCAGAGCACTACTACTTGCAAATGCGAATGAGCCGATATACGTCAAATAAGATGAAATACCCGTCCTCCATCTATCCTTGGACTCAGCTTCCGTGGCCTTGACGGACCGTGTGCGATTCATATGGAAGAAAAGTGACGTCCGTCCTCTATCCTGTTTTAGATGCCCCATCGGCATCAGCGGCCGCAGGGGGGGCCAGCGAAATGAGCCAGTCAGGCCAGCAGGCTCCTGTCAGATTCCACTTGGGGGCAGGGAATCATATTATGGAATCGACCCAAATTTCTTGAAACAGAAGAGAAACGGGAATATGCGGTTGGTTACAAGTAATAGTAGAAATATGATAGAAGGGCATGAAACGTACTTCTTGCTGACCGCACCAATATCTGGTCCTTCCATGGTACACGGTGTCAGGGGTAGATTATGAATCAATAATGCAAAGCGTATTCCTTCATGACAGAGTCTGGTTATGCCACTCACCATCAGAACAAATATAAGTCGAAAGTCACGGCCATTCCCCGCCGTGCTTGCTTCCTCAGAGGGCCTTCTGCAGTATTTGTAAGTCGACATAGGCTTCAGGCTCTCTGCCTTCTCTGCTACATCGACAACTCGCACTTACTCTTTGCTGGACCCTGTCAGAGGCGTCATTGTCAAGCATTTGAACGAAACACAAGATGCCTCCCAGGAAACGCACTGTTCTCATAACGGGATGTTCTGACGGCGGTCTCGGTGCCGCCCTCGCACTGGCCTTTCACAAACATGGCGACCGCGTCTTTGCAACGGCACGCATTCCCTCGAAAATGTCATCGTTGCAAGCCATTGGCATCGAAACTCTGCCCTTGGATGTCCTCTCCGAAGACTCCATCAGGTCTTGCGTGGAGAAAGTGTCATCTTTGACAGACGGCTCATTGGACATGTTGGTCAATAACGCCGGGGCCGGATTGAACATGCCAGTCCTTGATGTTTCGATCGCTGAGATTGAAAGGCAGTTCGAAATCAATGTATTCAGCGCCATCCGGATGATACAGCTGTTTTTCCCGCTGCTGCGCAATTCAACGGCAGAGCACAAGATGATTGTGAACAATAGCTCCTGTGGTTCGGTTCTAGCCCTGCCGTTCGTGGGACCATACTCGGCTTCAAAAGCTGCCCTCGCCAGTTTTAGCGAGACAATGCGGCTTGAAATGCAAGCATTCGGAATCAAGGTCATTGATTTACGGACCGCAGGCGTGAGGTCCAAATTCTGGGCCAACGTCAATGACGAAATGAGATCTAGTTTACCAGAGAAGAGCCCCTACACGCCGGGCAAGGACATTGTGGAAAAGTTTCTTGCTCAAGGTCCGGACGTAAGTCTCATGGATGCGGACGTCTGGGCCAACAAAGTGGTGAGGGATTTATCCAAGCGTGGCGGAAAGGGGGCCCCGCATCAAATCTGGAGGGGACAAGGAGCGACGTTTGCATGGTTCGGAACAAAGGTATTGCCCGTGGGATGGCTGGATGTATTCGTGAAGAAGCTTACGGGGCTGGATGTTGTGGAGGCGAGAATAAAAGGGGAGAAGGAAAAGGTGGTATGAAGGCTCGCTGAGCAGTTCGTTCCGTTGGTAACCGGTCCCTCCAGTGCTTAACGACAGAAATAGCGTTCCAGACCTCACAGGAGACTACTTGTCTGAGGTCGATATCGCTTGCGCTTCACCATTTGCTCTTGTATATGTGGGTTCACTCAGCCACAGTCAAAGAAAGAATTCTGGTCTTGTGATGTTTACCGCGGCAGCGAAAATCATGTGGTAATTGAACTAGCGAGAGCGGCTTGGCCAGATAGAGGGCGTCGGGAGGAAAGGGGGTGGCTTTGCCATGAGATGAGTCTGCAAATGCCTCGGATGTTCTCAATCCGCGATGGTGACATGACAATCCAGGCTGGAGACGACATCAAATGCCCAAAGAGGAGTATGAGCCATGGTGGATGGAGGGTACAATTTCGAGCGACGGGAAGAGGAGCCAGACTTCTATTCGGTGCAATTTACTGTGTAGAACCAGCTACTCAGTGATCGCGAGGTGGTTAGAGGATCGGGTCGCTACCATGCTGTAATTCGTCCTCATCTGTGCGTGCAGTCAATGTCAACATCAATGAGGATAGAGAGCGACATAGATGTCCTTGACATTGCAGGGAGTTGAGACGCGTCGAATTGGGCTCTGTAGCTGGGGCCAGCGGTATACAGACTCCAGCCACACAATGTAGCGACCAAAGTAAAACATTGCAGAAAGTGTCACCAGTAGGGTGGTACAGAGTGTTTGGGACAGATCTCGGGACGCTCTGAAGGGTGTGATCTCCCTGCACGGTCATGCAGTCCATGCAGTCCGCATGATGCAGCTTCCGAGCAATGGTCTTCGTCCTCATCACACGGCTGCATAGGGAAGGCGGCCGCAAAGTGCTAATGATGGGTGGGAATACGAGGTGCAGCTGCATGGGCATCCGCATCTCCATCCACAACGCCATCTCCACCACGGGACTTCTGCTCGTACAGCCATGCGGTATGAATGCGCGCTCACGGCTCCCGGTCACGGGTATCTTGGTTCGGGTGTCGGTTCGAAACCTTGTAGAGCTGAATCATAGAAGTGTGACGATGGTGACGGCGGAAGCTGCGGACAGGTGGTGGATACACTGTGCGCTGATGATACTGCACGAAGTACCGAGTAGTGTGAAAAATGAACGAAGCGAGCTGGTGGTGGATGGGAAACGTTGAAAATATCTCACTTGGGATGGTGGTGCCCACAATGCCCATCTAGCAGCATCTGGCATCTAGCATCTTGCATCTGGAAGACTCGGCACTTCGGGGGCCAAAAAGGAAGTTGGGGGGAAATGCTAGAAGCTTGGAGCATGGGAGCTTGGGAGCTTGGGACAAGCGAAGCACGCGAGGAATAGGGCGAGGACGAGCGACATGAATGGGCAACAGTGGGTGGCCGAACTGCCGGAAAGGGCAGGCCTGGTTGCTGGTTTAGGCGCTGGTGCCGCCTGCCAACAGACCCACTGGCCCCGATCGGGGCTTCTCGGCCGTTGCCCAATTACCTGCTCGCAGTGCTCGGAGCACCTACCACCTACCACCTACAACTTACCTAGGTACCCTTCCATTGGGCACTGGATTTCACGGTAGGCTCCTTTGGTTAACATACAGCAGGCATGCTCGCATCTGTCCACTGCGGGCTGCAACAGTCACAGTCCCAAGTCCCGACGACAAGTGATCTCTTCAAGCACTGCCCTACTCCGTCCGCAATAACCAGAGCTTGAGAGGAATTAGAAAGCCAAGTGGTCACACTGCCTATGGGGTCAAGGAATCATTTGAAAGGACCCTCCAGCACTAGTAGCTACCTAGCCTGTCCCTACATGGATCACTGCTACCTATAGCTACTCCATGCTGTGTCGAACCGCTAACTGATGATTTGGGCAGGGATCGGCGTCGCCGAGTCTTATGTACAAGGACAGCTTCCCCGCAAGCCCCCTCCCAAAAAAGTGACCAAAAAGCAGAAGGGGCATGGCCCATGGCATCATAAGACCAAAACGCATTCTGACCGGACAAGCTGGCCATGAAACAGGCCATTGGAAGCGTCAAGTCACACTCAATAATCCACAATGCTCCCGAGTTCGGCTGTTCTTGCCTGGTCCCAGGTGACGGCTCATTCCCAACTAGGTACGAGTATGGCCGTGTGTGTTCTGTGAGTCCTCTATATCCCAAACTCTACCTAGGTATGTTTCCTCCTGGAGATATCTTCTCCTAAGTCCATAAGTCGTCCGTAGCGTCATGCAGCCATCGTAAAGACAAAGAGTGCAAAGGTACAAAGTACCACATGGCCACTTGGGTCGCTCGTCCCCTATCCTAGAGACCACCAAGACCAAAAATGAAAATATTAATCTTGCTTTTGAGTCTGGGCCACAGCCACGATGCGAGTGCCAGACTCACTGTTTCCCAGCTAGCCCCCCGGGCAGTCCAGCCGCCACCAATTTTTTCCCACCCTTTCCCGCACTATGCCGCACATCACAGCGCTTGCACTGCCTGGTGAGGTCACGCCCAGCGTTCAGAAAGTAGAAAGCCATTGATCGACAATGACGCAAGTATTAGACGAGAGTATTAGGTTTCAGGGTAGCAGGCTCGCAGGGTAGACTCAGGTTGGAACAGAAACGCAGGCCGAACAAGACTTCTGGATAGCCCGAGAAAACCAGAGGCTAGCAACTGAGTAGTAGCTGGACCCCCGTTCACCTCTGCATCCGAATCCATCCCAGCATGCGTTCCAGGACCGGGTCCTCGTCAAGCCAATAGCCCTTTCGTCGGTCTGCATTGCGAAGATCTCGGTGAACATGGTCATCCGTGATTTCGCTGAGTTCCTAAAATCAGAGACAAGATCAGCTGTCTTCTTTTTGACCCCTTTTTTTCTCTCTCTTTCGGGTATGTTGGGGTGCCACATTATTGCAATGAGCGCCGTGCGTTGTCGATCATTTCCTCCTCTGGCCCTTGTAAACCACATGGCTTCACTAGCCAAGCTAAGGGAATAACGGTACAACGGTGTGGAGAAGTGCGTCGATCGCGTAGAATCTATTCAGATACGAAATTGGAACGTACCTGGCGAAGTCTCTGATCAATTGATCGCAGCCCGTTGGCATGTCTGGCGCCTGGTTTCTCGCCGCGCAACAGTTGAGTGCGCGCCTGCACCCAACGCATTGCGGCAGATCCTCGCAGATAGATCTTGTGAGCCTGAAACCTTCTCGTAGAGGCATCGAGGATAATTCTGGTCGCTTTGTTAGCATATTTTCTTCCCGTGGCGCCTGCAGGATCTTGTCGCACCTTTGTAGAGACGCCTTCTGCACCTCGGTCTCCGGGATGCTGCCAGACTGGAGCCCAAGATTGCCCGGATTGAAGTGCCCAGCTAGAACCGCTTGCGATTCGGCGGCGCACTGTCTGAGGACCACGTAGCCATCGAGGTAGTATGATTCCTGGTTTGGAGGATTGGCCTCGCTGCGTGTGATGAGCGAGTTGATGTGGATTTGCAACGTTCGGAAGTCGTTCATGATCTCCATGACGCGCATTGCGCGGGCTTCGTTGACTGCAATGACAGTTAGCCAGAGTGATCACCGTCGGGGCGCTTCTCGCATGTGTAAGGCGAGCAATTACGGTCAGACGCACGTCCATCAGCCATTGCGAAAGGCGAGCTGGCCAAATCAAGTGAGGTTTGGTGGTCGACAAGCAGTGGCTCAAAGGACGGCGAAGGTTCAAGCGCTTTTCTCTTCGCTTCGGGCTGGTGATGGTGCTTCGCAGCCAAGTCAGGAGTTTGCACAGGAAGGAGGACGACGTCTCGGACCTTTGGCTCAGCCTTCTGGTCAAGTTGTCGGATAGATGAAGCCTGAGGAGAGGAAAGCAACTTGGATCGCTGCGAGGAAAGCATTCTTCTTAAAGTCGACGGGTGTTCAGCGTTCACCGATGTCATCTACAGCTTGAGATCAAGAAGGACACTGCCCCGAACGGATAGAGACGCGCGCCGAGGAGGGTTTGCGGACTCAATCTTGTGGCTTCAACGACGTCAACCAGTCAGGAGGATAGAAGCGGTCATCAAGATAGGGGACCGGGCCGTAGCGTCATGGGAAAATGGAGCAGGCCTCCCAGCTGTATGAGAAATCCAACAGAAGAAGATGTTAGCAACGGTGAAGCTGGAGGCAAGTTTCACAGCACTAAGCTGGGGCAGGCAGAGCAGGTTCAATGAGGTAGAGGAGAATAGAGACAAGCACCAAAACGGTCGACACGGCTGTAAACGGCGACCACAACGCTTGGATCGATACGCAATGACTATTGGACACTGCCACAGTCGCAGAACATGTCGGAATGATGCAGCTATGGCGGTGGATCAGTCGAGGCTCTGCTGTAGATTCCGGCCGGATGCTGTCTTGATCAGCAGGCGGCTTGCAAGCCACGGGGTCGAGCGAGTTCTGGATCATTGATGATGACTGGACCGATGGAGACCTGGGTGCGGGCAACATGGAAATCGTAGACGAGGCGTTGGAAATGACCATGTGCAGGACAAGTTAGACACGTTAGGGTACTGAGGAATCGCCGTCAAGGGTGGAGACGTTGTTTGGCCCAGAGACTCAGAGAGAAGTGTTTGTATGAGTGGAGAGCGAAGAAGCGGTAGACAGTACTAGACAGGCTTGCAAACAGGCGAGTTTGGATACCCCCTGGCACCCACCTGGTCCCCCACCAATCATGCTACAAGTCTGCGGCTAGGCTAGTCCTTGGGGGGCCCCCTTCCCAAAGGATTGGGTTTAGGTAGCATGCCAAACTCAACGTGGGCACTCAGGTCAACGGTTAAGCTTCCCCACCATGACCCAAACCAGGCAGCTGAGCAGAAATGGCGTCCATGGGCGATGCCTGCGAGAAAAAGAGGCTGCCCACGCTGCCCTCTTGCGGCAGGAACACGCCCAGGGCACGCCCACTGTACGCCCACTGTACGCCCAGGGCACGCACATGGCGTTGCGCACGGTTGCTGCATGCTGCAAGCTGAAAACTCTTCTGCCTCCATCCACGCCCGTCTACTGGTCCACTTCTCTATTTTCATCATCCGCCAACACCTCGCTTCTGCAAACATGCAGGGGTCTTTTTCGCGCACCGTTCTCTGGCGCAGTGTTAGAGATCCTTACGGCGGCGGCGCACCCCAAACGACGTGAGAACACGGCTACTCCATGGTGATTGAGTCGGCGGCTTGAACTTCCAGCGCTCCAAGTCGCACACACACCATCTCAGCAACACGAGACGCACGACGCACGGCGCACGTCAACCACGGCACGCCGAATGCACAGCTCCTGGAGCAATGGTTTTTCCATTTCCTCACCTCTATTCCAGCCCTCGCCGAGCCACAGGCAAGCCACAACTCTGTAAGACCGGCTGTGCTGACTACCTTCCCAAGTCCATCGCATATACGCGGCAATATGAATGAGGCTGGCACAAGGTTCGTCCACGCCGTGGACCTGAGAACTCGCCTGACACTCTAGTGGCAGTCACTCAGTCAAGAGCCGGATCCACAATGATCCGTTCCAGGAGAAAGCCCCGTCGAAGTTTAGCAGCAAAAGACTCGACAAGTCCTCTACGCCAACCATGACGTGCAACCAGCATCATCTCGTATCAGCTCCAAGAGGCTGCTGAACGTGACCCGACCAATAGTCCCCAGATTCACTCCATGGCTCTAATTTTCCGTGTGGACAAGCTGAACGCATACCGATCCCTGTCCAGCGTGGTTGCCGACATAGTCGTCATTCTCCGTCCCAAGGAATATGATACACTGTGCCCTCTGGTTCGGTGAAGACAGAGATAGCTCAATCTCGCTCCGCAATGGCCTGGAGACGTTCCTCAATCTCGTCTTCTGTTAACGTCCTGAACTCATTATCCGTGCCTTCGGTACCGTCAGCCTTCGGTCCACCCACGATGCCAATCTCCAATTCGCCCTTCTTGAAGTCGACACTCAGGACGGTGCTGAGAGTGCTGATGCCTAGCTCGACCACTTCTTCCCAGCTGCCGGGAGCATAATCCTTGTTCTTCAGCTTCTTCTCCAGATGATTGAGTGCCTCTTGTTGCTTGGGTCCAGACGCCGTCGCTTTGTATCCGACATAATAGCCTGCCGGATCACATTTGTAAAGTTGGGGTCCATACTCGTCGTCAACTGAGACCAATGTCGTCGCTACACCCAATGGCCGCATGTACGCCTGAAACAAACAATTGAATTAGCCAGGCTCTCGCACCTCCTTTTCAAGTGTTTTACCACGCACCCGTTGGGTATAGACTTGATTGATGTTTGCCAATCGTTTTGCAAGCACATCACACGGCATTTCATATCCATTTCTGTATCTGAATTCTGCAGCTTCCCCTCGAGCTCGATCGACGGAGGCGCGAGCATCAGCTATGGAGCCGGTCATGACACAACCAATGGAGGGAGAGATCTTGAAGACGTGCGAGACCGAGGAGGGGTCAATTAATTTGTCCTACCCCCGGAGTAAGCAAGTAGAATAGGTTGCGGCTCAAATTTGGCATGATTTTGTTCCATACCGGCACCTTCTTTTGCGACAGCACAACGGCGCATGCTTTCCCCCTGACTCCCACTGATGTAATATTGGCTGCAGTGATTGCTTTGAACGCATATTCTGAGTATAGATGTAAGTATTCCTGGTATTGATCTTATTTCCGGCGACGGGAGTTGGGAGTTGGAAGGTTTGTCCATTTACTGCGGCCAGGAGTGCGTCGCAACTTGGACTTCAAGGGTGTCCAAACCACTGGGGAACGTACCGACTTGATATAATCGCCCTTGATCTGAGAAGATGGTGATGTGTCGATCATAACCCGCGGAGCCTGACGAGGAGACTATCAGCTCGGTGTGCCCGATACAGCTTCAAGGACCAACCACGTCAAACATGTACGAACCTGACATCTTGACCTCCTTTGACCGAGGTGCAATAAACCAATGATGTAGTGAGACACAGCTGGAAGCGTCGACCGAGGGATAAAGCTCGATTGAGAGGAGCAACGTGGTGAGTACTTGAGTTGAACTTTTGACGAGAGATGATGTTCGCAACTTGAGGCCTGCATGGAATATGGGGTTACGAAACGCGCAAGTGTCGCGATGCCTACTGCGAGTGGCTCTTCCACTAGCCACCACGATCGCCCCCACAAAAAATCATGCACCGCCACTCGTGGCACTGAACAGAAGTCCTCCGTAGAATAAAATTCATTTATTGGTCTCAAATATGAAACTTCAGCTTCCATGGGCAGTCGACGACCTTTCTGAATGGCCTGGACCAGGATATTGATAAGCATTTCGGCTGAAAGATACCTCGGATAATTCGGGGGCCACGATTTCACCACGAAAGAACCAGCATGTCTCTGCCTGGAATTCCAGCTTGGAAGAGACTCGGACTGAAACTGAAATATGCGAACGAAAACTCGGATTCGCCAACGAGCAATGGTATTGCTCCGCCAGCGCACCAAGCTGGTCAGGGCTCACTGAAGGATACCCAGCCGTCCTCATCAGAGCCTCCAAGGAAGAAGCAAAGGACGGTTCCCAAATCCAGGGAGGCGATCGAGTCACCAATACGCAATCTGAACTTGACGTCTGACACTGCCAAAGGCAGAGAGGAGCAGCCAGACAAGAAACTTAAGAAGCGTGTTTCATTCTCTGCCGACGTAAAACCTTCTCCATCCACAAGAAGTCTATCACCTGTCCCGGATGACTCCAAGGCGCAAAGGACCCCAGCGGAGATGAAGAAAGCCAAAAAGGCTCGATCAAAAGCAGCCCAGCCACTTGTGCCCAAGTCTAACGCTGTATTGGAATATCTCGATCAATATCACACGGCAAGGTCGAAATGGAAATTCAACAAGAACCGAGAGACGTGGATGTTGAAACACATTTTCTCAGAAAATGATATCCCACGGGAATTCAATCTACCTCTCGGGAGGTACATCTATGGATTGCAAGGTGCTGGAGCCCGTGACAGATTGAAAACGCAGTGCATGGCGTCATTAGAGAAAGGAGAAGGTAATCAAACCGGGAGCGACAGGAATGGCAGCATTGCAGGCGAAGAAGAGAATGGTGAATATCTTCGACGATTCAAGGACGATTTGGCAAGTCCTCCATCTTCGAATTTCGCTGCTGCAGGGGACACCTCTGCAGACGCAGAATACCAATCCTGGATTGAGAGACAACCACGCCCAAGGATCTTACTCTGGGCACTTGGCTTTGACACTAACGCCCTAACCGCGACCAATGGAACTACCGAGAAGGTCAAGAAGAGGAAGAACAGAACCGTGGTTGTCGACTATGACAGCTCCAGCTCGAGTTCTAGCGACAGTGATAGTGACAGTGGGAGTGAGAATGAGAGCAAAAAGAGTGACGCGAATTCTCAAAGCCACACCGGGATATCAAACGGGGCCGAGCCTGAAGAGGAGACCTCGAGCAGTGGCAGCGATGAAGACAGCAGTGGTGAGAGCGACTCGAGTACCGATGACGCCAGTGAGGTCTAATAATTGAGGTGCGTACAAGGAGGCCGCGAGTGTATCTTCCAAGGTTATCAACAAAATACATACCTAGGTACCTAAGGACTTACTCGTGTGCCCGTAGTACTTTCGACATGTCTTGCTGCCTGCGTTTTGTCCTGTTTGCGGTGTTTGCACGTTGCCACCAGATTCGGCGGGTGTCGCGGAGCAACGGTGAGTGGAGCATGTTTTAGCTGGACGACTGGGGGACTCGAGGTTACAAGTTCCCTGGTGCCTGGCGAAATGGAGGCGCAGTGGGCGTCATCACCCCCCATTCACTCTGCACAGCGCTCCTGGAGTCTGACAGCTTGCAACTCACGGGACCTGTTGGTGCGAAACAGTCCAGCCATCCACCATCAATCTATCTCTCTCCCAACCGACCACTTGCTTTTCTACCTTCTTCCTTATCATCGCCGCATCCCATCATTCATCAATTGACTTCCTTCCTTCTGTTTCTTTTATTAGCAATTGGTGGTCGTGACAATGAAGAACAGTCTTGTCATCGCAGCAGCAGCGCTGCTCGGTGCCGCCGATGCGGGCATGCATCGTATGAAGCTTCAGAAGGTGCCTTTGGCGGAGCAGCTGGTCAGTTAGATGCTGGAGTCTTATCTTCTGACCCGTCCTCTCTAACGTCCATCACAGAGCGCTGCCAACATTGGCGACCATATGCGTGCCCTTCGCCATAAATACACCCAGAAGCCGATGGGTGGTGCCAGCGAGGACATTTTCCGTGACACTTCAATCCGCCCTGACAGTCCCCACGATGTTCCAGTCGAGAACTTTCTGAATGCGCAATGTAAGCAATGCTACTCTCCATACATCTACAAGTACCCATCTAATGAGATGCAGATTTCAGTACCATTGCTCTTGGAACGCCACCGCAGGAGTTCAAGGTCGTCCTCGATACTGGCAGCTCCAACCTCTGGGTCCCTAGCACCCAGTGCGGTTCGATCGCCTGCTACCTCCATCAGAAGTACGATTCCTCAGCCTCGTCCACTTTTAAGAAGAATGGATCCGAATTCGGAATTCGCTATGGATCTGGAGAGGTGGCTGGCTTCATCTCTCAGGACCTCCTGCGCATCGGAGACCTCAAGATCAAGGATCAATTGTTTGGAGAGGTGACCAGCGAACCTGGTCTGGCCTTTGCCTTTGGCCGATTCGATGGCATCTTGGGTCTGGGCTACGATACCATCTCGGTCAACCACATTCCGCCCCCGTTCTACAACATGGTGGACCAAAAACTGCTTGACGAACCTGTCTTTGCATTCTACCTTGGCAACACGGAGGACGGCACCGAGTCCGAGGCCACTTTCGGCGGCATTGACAGCAACCATTACACAGGCAAGATGATCAAGATCCCCCTCCGACGGAAGGCTTACTGGGAGGTCAATCTCGACTCCATCACACTTGGCAAGGACTCGGCCGATCTTGACAACACGGGTGTCATTCTCGACACCGGCACCTCGCTGATTGCTCTTCCCAGCACTCTCGCAGAACTGCTCAACAAGGAGATTGGCGCCAAAAAGGGCTTCAATGGCCAATACACCGTCGAATGCGACAAGCGCGACTCGCTCCCAGATATCACCTTTACTCTTAGCGGGTATAACTTCTCCATCACAGCTCATGACTATATCCTTGAGGTTCAAGGCTCTTGCATCAGCAGCTTCATGGGCATGGACTTCCCAGCTCCTACCGGTCCTCTTGCTATTCTTGGTGACAGGTAAGCCATGTTCAACCAACACTTTCTCCCATTCATCAAGTGGCTTTGCGCTAATATGTATCCCCTTTAATAGCTTCTTGAGGAAATGGTATAGTGTTTATGACCTGGGCAACGACGCGGTTGCTCTGGCCAAGAGCAAGTAAAACTATTTTGTTGGATACGGGACGGTGCGCCAGATTGTCGCTGGAACCTTTGGGGTGATTGAACCTGAGAATATTTGTATCTATCCAAAGGTGGGATGGGGATGCATGTTTTCTTCTCACACCGACCAACTTAATCGTGTACATCAAGCACCTGTGGTCGAGTTCTGCTTGTAGGAACACGCAGGTCCTGGCGCTCTTATCAAAAGCGGTCTCATATACCCCATAGTCAATGGATGAAGCCAAATTGTCTCCCTTCAGACGGTCCAAAGCGCCCAAATCTGGTGATGTAGCTGGGCGAGGTGGAGTCTCGTGACCATCGGATGATCAGCTTCATTGGGTTCTTTGTCACTCTGTCCCCTGACGGCATATAGCGGGGCTGAAGCCGAGCGCCTTCTTGCATTGCTGAGGATTGATTGGCAGCGGCTAGCGTGGAGTGCGTGTTATAAAAGACAAGCTTGCCGGACCGGACAGTGGAATTCCCTGCCCGTTGGTTACTTGGTTACAGCGGTTACAGTGGTTACAGTGACGAAGCCGCAATTGAGCTGTATCGGAGCTCATCGAACCTGCAAACCCCATCCATTGATCCCTCGGAACATCAGCACCACAATCTGCTTAGCCAACCCCCCATTATCACTTTCTCCATCCCCCAAACCTCCAATTCGCGAAGATCGAGACCTCGCCGTCATTGGACCACTTGCGACACATCCTGCGTGTGCTCCCTCGTATTGACATCTTGCTCAGGTATTCGGCTGCGCACAGGTTCTCACTGAGCAATTTACAGCGTCTGTGCCGACACCTTTGCATATTTCACCCTTCACCCTGGCGAAGACTCCTATACTCCCATTCTCACGCCCCCTCTGAAAGGCGCGTTCCTCCTTCCCACCACCAGACCATCTAAATACAACTCTTCTCGCTTCAAGCTCCTCCGACGGCCGCCGCGGTACCAAAAGAGACCCCCGCCCGGGCTTCGTTGTGCGTATCTCGACCCTGACCACAAAGTCACCTACATGCCCCGATCAATGTCACAACTGCTTGCACCGCGCTCGGAATGCTATTACGACTACCCAAGAATCTCCACTACCCTCTCACAATCACAAAAGTCGAGAAGCGGGTCGGCGAGACTGTCGCTCGCAATGATGACCTATTTCTCTACTCCTACACCACCATAGTAAAAGAAGGCAGTCGTTATGATGAGGAAGAAAAAGAAGTGAACCGGAAGTTTGTGACCCACTTCCCTAGCACTCTCGAGGGTACAATCAAGGCCTGGAGGGTGTGGGAAGGGGACGTCTTAACCCATCCGTGAGTGCGCCACAGGACATGGTTGGAGCGTTTCACTTACTGGTGCGCAGTGTCGACATCTGTGAAATCGAAGAGGAGTGCCCGCACACAGTGCAGTTCCTTGGTATGTGCACTAACTGTGGCAAGGACATGACAACGTAAGTCTAGGGTCATCATTGAACTTGGAAAGCATGCGCTGAGGGTGTCCAAGTGTGCAGGCCGGCAGTGAAACCACCGATGCAGATCGCGCTCCTATTCGCATGGCCCACGATACACCTCACCTCACTATCAGCAAGGAAGAAGCAAGCCGGATAGACGAAGAAGCGAAGCGTCGCCTACTTTCATCACGCAAACTCTCTTTGGTGGTTGATCTCGATCAAACAATCATTCATGCTGCCGTAGACCCCACGATAGCGGAATGGCAAAAAGACAAGGACAATCCAAATTACGAAGCTGTCAAAGACGTCCGTGCCTTCCAACTGATCGATGACGGTCCAGGCATGAGAGGTTGTTGGTATTACATCAAACTTCGACCCGGGCTCGCCGAGTTCCTGGACCATATATCGCAACTCTACGAACTTCACATTTACACCATGGGAACACGTCAATATGCTCAGCAGATTGCCAATATTGTCGACCCGGATCGGAAATATTTTGGCGACCGCATTCTCAGTCGAGATGAGAGTGGCAGCATGATCGCCAAGAATCTGGAGAGACTGTTCCCTGTAGACACTAAAATGGTGGTTATTATCGATGATAGGGGCGATGTTTGGAAATGGAGTGCCAACTTGATTCGGGTCACTCCCTTTGACTTCTTTGTCGGTATCGGTGACATCAACTCAAGTTTCTTACCCAAGAAGGAGGAAATCCAAACAACGCCAAAACCAGAGCCCAGCAAACCCGAGGAAAAAAGCACAGAGAATGGCGAGCTTGGCGAGAATGGCCAACAGGAATCCAATGGCCTTGCCGAAGACGGAACATCAACCATACAAAATGGCACTTCAGCACTCGAACAGCTGATGGCTATGAGTGGCGGGGATGATCCTGCGGTACGAGAACTGCAGACGAAAGGCCAGGAAGAAATTATTGCGTTGCAATTGGAGGGCAAACCCCTTCTCAAGATGCAACTCCAGCAGGACCAGAAAGACGAAGCTGAAGCAGTTGCTAATGGCGAGGTAGCCGCGTCGCAATCCACGGAATCAGACTCGAGCGACTCGTCGGATTCCTCTGAGTCAAACTCTACGGGTCCAGCGAAACACAAAGCGCGCCACAGCATTTTGAAAAATGACGATGAAGAGTTGATTCACCTCGAGGCGACTCTTACCACTGTACACAACGCGTTCTTTGCCGAGTATGACCGAAAGCGGATGGGAGGTAAGGGCGGTCGAGTCGCAGAACTGACTGGCAAGCGTAAGGCGCCTCTGCCTTCCCAGGATGAGAGCGACGGCCAGTCCGTGGAATTGATGTTTGTGCCTGACATCAAGAAGGTGATGCCCGCCATGAAGCTGAGGGTCTTGTCGGGTGTCAGAATTGTCTTTAGTGGAGTGTTACCTCTGGGCACCGACATCCAAAACGCCGATATTAGTACTTGGGCTAAGACCTTTGGCGCCACCATCACGGACAAGGTCACCAGAGACGTCACTCACGTCATTGCAGCGCGGCCAGGTACTGCGAAGGTCAAGCAAGCGGTGAAACGTGGCATCAAGGTCGTCAGTACCGCTTGGTTGATCGAGTCTATGCAACGATGGCGCAGGTTGGACGAAAGACCGTACCTGCTCGATGGCGTCGGGCGGCAGAAACAGGAGATGTCTAGTGAGCTTGGCGACAACCTGGAAAAGTCAAGCGCTCCGCCCAATGATCTCCTTCTCAGTTCATCCGAAGGCGAGACAACCGGGTTAGACACGGAAGATGACCAACCCGCACGGAAGAGGCTGAAATTGGATACCATCAAAGATGAGAATACTTCGGCAGAGTCATTCGAGGACTTGGTTGATGATGGCAGTCCAATCACAATCAATCAAGACGAGTGGGCAGATATCGAGGCGGAGCTGAAAGAGTTCATGGGTAGCGATGCTGAGAGCGAGAGTGACACGGACTCGGTCAGCTCCGCCTTGAGCTTGCGGGACCGGCGCGGGGCCAAACGAAGAAGAGAAGACGGAGATAACGATAGGTCAACCGGCGATCTGGACACATCGGCGACGGTCAAGAGGAACGGCACGGGGAGCGCTCTGAGGCGGGTTGCCAATGTTGATAGCGAAGTCGAGCCAGAAGCGACACCTGAGGACCAAATCAGCCGGGAACAACGGGAGGTGGAAGAGGCGCAGGAATTGGAAGAAGAGGAAGAAGAAGACTCGGATGATGAATTGGCACGCGAGCTGGAGCGGGAGCTGGAAGAGGCTGATGATGAGGAAGAAAAACAAAGAGAAGCGGACTGAGGAACCGCATCCGATGTGGTGACTAATGAAAGGGCATCTGGCTTTCTGTGTGTGGCTCCTTTGATTGCGATTGTACGTTTTGACGACCCCATAGCGCGGCGTCTGGAAATGCAAATGGACACGGGCATGAAGATGTGCATGAGCATGAGCATGAGCATCATCAGCATCATCAGCATCAGCATGACTTGCATTGCACACGTGTCAGAGTAGACAGTCGAGTACACCAGGATAGCTTGATACTCGCTGCATACCATGGGTGTGGCATGGCTGAGAAAGGCCTTCTGACCACCGGGGGGTTGATAGGAGAAAAACAACAGATAAGGAACAGAGCTTAGTTGCCTGATCAGGCTCGATGTCTCATTGTCCTCGTATTCCTCGACAGGTTGTGGTTGACGGCGATATTTACATTGATTGACACTTTACATGGACGGTTGACGGGAGGTTGAGACCGAGACTGCGAGATGACGGGGAATAGGCCACGGTGACGGCTAAACGTAGCTCCGATTCAGTGGGCGGGCATTGCAGGCACCTACCTAGCAGGCTCCTAGCAGGCACCTAGCAGGCACCTAGCAGGGTTTGGTTATATGGTGCGACGAGGTAACGAGGTCCCTGCACAGTCAGTGCACATCCTGCGCACCTCTCTGCTCTCCCTGCTCTCGCTGCTCTCTCTGCTCTCCCTGCTCTCGCTGCTCTCTCTGCTCTCTCTTCTATATTACTGCACAGCAGATCACGCCTTCGGCTTCCTTCCATCTTCCACGGCCTGGACATTCAATCATCTTGAAGGCCCAGAAGCCTCCGGACTTGATCACCACAATCCAGACTCGTCATTCGAGCACCATGTCCGTCAACCATGGGGGCGAGGCCATCAACCCTCCAAAAGAGTCTGTGCTGCTGCAACCACGAGGATTCAAAAATATCTCACCGGCCAATGCCCGGATTGCAACACAGTCAGGATTCTCTCGCTGGCAAATGATGTTTCTGGGTCATAAACATTTCTAACTCTCTTGGGATATGCTCACTCCTTCGCCTGCTGTGGAACTGCCTCTTCTGGTTGAAGGCCTTCCCGCACTCTTACTACTCCCCGGCTTCTTGAACGCCTTTTCTTCCTGCCTCCGTGCTTTTCACATCCCATTGCTTGAGTCCTGCACAAAGATATTGGGCCTGCTCCGCATATCCAACGCCGGAAATTCAAGCCCTGCGAGACCCTGCATAGTGCTGCTCTGATTAATTGTCGCTTGGTGGTCCAGAGTCTCCGGAGTCGTCCACCGATCTGATACGTCTTCTTCCCCTCGCCTCTGCATGTCAGCCCTGTAACAAACACTGTCCGTCCTGTTCACTTTTGGCTCATCATCCTCAACCTCAACCTCCGATGGACAGACTCTGAAGCTGGCTGTCTGCTATAAACCCGGCTGCGGCACCCTCGTTCTCCGGTCCCTGAGTTTCGGGGAATGAAGGCACGATTAGCGGCCCTTGACGGACCACTCGAACACCAGTTTGCGAGATAGCATGTTCGCGCCGACACAATCCCATTCTGATGGTGCCCCAGAAATCTCCCATGGAGCGCATTATAAGGCTCCCAGGTCTTGGAGCAACTTGAGGAGATGGAGCACACAAAAGAATCCATCCAACAACGTGCGCGAACAGGAGCGGTCAAGCACCGGTTTGACCAGCGCGACGCTTACTGACAATTACAACCGCCATCACGTCGGTGCTACACCTCGGCAACGACGTGTTCCAACACTTCTCCTCAAACATGTCATTGTGTTTCTCGCCTTCTCTCTTCCGATCATTATTCTCGCCCTCGTAATCAAGATTCCAGAATGGTACGCCTTTTCGGCCGATTACTGGGTATCAAATTCCTTCACCCACTGCAACTTCAATGGACTGTTCACACCCTACGACAAGCCATCGATAAGCCTCTGGGACCCTTCCGGGTTCTTCTACATCACCGTCTCGTGGGGCAAGATGGCCTTCTCAACGGCGAAATTCATCGATATCGTGTGGGATATTGTCGTTGGGCGTGGAGGACAGGCTTTCCTTGCGGTGGTCACATTCAAGGTTTCATCACAGTATTTGGCCTTTGCAATGCGCGAAGCTCCCGTGTCTTACAATACATTCGAATCCCTCGCCTTTGTGCCTCCGGGCTTGATGAGGACAGGGCGCTTGGCCGCGGATTTGTTGACGAACCGGGGCTGGCGCGCGAGGTTGATTATTGTTTGGATTGTGTCAAGCTCTCTGTTCGTCCTCAGCTTCTCGAGTCTGGTCACGGCTATGTCAGGATACAGCAGCGATATCAGCGCGGTCATGCCAGATTATGACAACGAGTCCATTGCCTGGACAAATTTTCAAGTGGTTCAATTTGCCATTAACGACGCAGAACGTATTGGGCTGCCTGGACCGATGTATATTACGGTGGGGGATACCTGTGTTCAGCAGGGTTTTCTTAACGATGATGACGATGACGACGACGACGACGATGACGGTAGCAGCTACAGTGATAGCGGACTTCCATTCCCTGACAGGACTCCCGTTCGACGTGACAAGGACGATGAAACAGACAGCGGGAACTCGAGCCATGGCAAAGTGGATTGGAAGTACGTCCCAGCTAACTGTACAACGTTCTGGCATACTGTCCAGTATGTGAGCATGTATGGCCTCAATGGGAACAACCACTCCGAAAGCAACATTACCATAAATGGGCAGAAGCACACACTTGCCGCTCCAACCCTTAATATCACGACCTCATACTCGCCCGTCGCACTCTCCACGCTGACAACATACCTGAACACTTTCTCTGAATCAGCGCCGCCAGCTCCTGGAGCATTGTCATCCGTCTCACAGCTTACAGATTTCACCTTCTGGCTGTACCGTAACCAAACCTATCCTTTCTCCTACATCCTAGACAAAGCGACATGCCGATATTCGAGATGGCATAACTGGGGATTTTCATTCCTCTTCCTATTCATTACATCACTGCTACTTGCGCTTTGGGCAGTGGGGACCTATGCATTGTGGCTGTACACATATCTCAATAGTCCTCAGGACTGTGTTCCGGGCGAGGAAACCACGGGCGGCATCTACAAATCGAGTTGGACGCTCGTTGAGGCTATGAAGAGGGACGTGGGGCCAGGCGCCGTGACACCGGAAATGGAAGAGAGTGAGATCCGTGGCTTGGTGAGACGGCGGCCTGGACGAGTAATTCAAGGCGTGGGGAACATCAACAGGAGTGGCCCACTGATGCTAGGAGAGTCCGAGAAGGATGCTGCAGTCTCTCCTTCTCCGATAGCCCCCATGCAGAAAGCCCCCATGACGCGCTGGACGGCCTTCCGCACATGGTTGCCCCTACTAGCCCGCCTCAAACAGCGTCCTACTGACGGAACCTATTCACCGGCGAACAGTGTATTCGCACACGCAGACTCTACTTTCTCCTCGACCTCTCATCATCCGATTCTGCAGTCACCTGCTGCACCGGGGAGGACCATGACGATGACCTCGCGGACTTCGGGTCTCGCAACTCCTCAGGCAGACTCACCCGTGACCTTCGGCTTCTCCGCGGCCGCGGAGGCAGACATCATGGAAGGTTCCGGTGTTGTGTCTGGCATTGATCCGGTATCCGGCATCTCAGTAGGAACGGGTTCAAATGGGAGATCTCGCCCGAGACTGAGCTTAAGTCGAGTTATTCAGTCTGCGTCGTACGGGAACACTCCACGCACAGCGTCCGTCCTGTCTCCATTGTCTGGGGTGGCGGGCAAGTGGATTTACTCTCCTGAGCCGATGTCAGCGTCTGAAAATGCTTCAACGATGACGATATCTCCAATTCGCGAGGATGGAAAGAACAAGCCAGGTGAGGATGATGCGGTTAGGTGGAAGAACGATCTGGGTGACGACTGAGCACGTCGAGGCCCCTATGTTGAGCGTTTCCCTTCTGCAAGCCTTACTTTGGCGTCCCGCGTGGAAAATATTGGAACCTTGGTGCACAGTGTTATCGGCGGGCGCTAGTCGGCTTTTGATGGATGGACCTCATTTTGTTCCTCGCGCACACAACAAGATACCAAACAGAGGTCCTTGGAGTTTGGTTGACGAGTCTTCGAGGTCTGATCTCATATGTTAAAAGGTTAATGGGAATGTACGCACAGGGGCTCATGGCTGAGCGATGCCCCGAACCATGTCAGCGATGCGCCGCTGCGGGCAGATGTTATCTGGGATACTGCAGCTCTTTGTCGGATTTGCCTGTTATGTATGGAGTCGATCAGGATTCAAGGAGGGGGATCTGTGTTTATTCGAGATGCCAGCAGCCTGGTATTTTGACTGATTATGCACCGGACCAAGTTGGACTCAGGGTGTCTGACATTCAAAGAAGATCAAAACTAGTTCATGTATATTTATTCACAATTTGTTCCACTACGAATCCTTGAAGCGAGAAAGACTGTAAAAAAGCTGGTAAGTGGCGTAGATTTACATCAAACTGGCTCTGATGCCCCGTTGCGTCTCCCTGTTCTTCTATTGTAAGTAGCCAAGGCAAGCCCTTGGACTCTGCTCGAGAGAATCTGTTTTCGAAGCTGCGTTTCTCTATCGCAATCTTCTGGACTTATATCGCAGTCGGCGTCGCGGCTACCGACACCAAAAGCGGCGGCAAATTTAGTCCCCATGCAGGGCTTGAGGACTGCTTTGGCTTTTCACTCTTCCTCCATCAATGTCGATAATTACAGGTCATCTTGAAATGATCGTATGACAGAAAGGCAAGGTCTGGTTGAGGTTCTCTTTAAGGCCCAGAGAAATAGCCATGCCTGTATTCAAGACACCAAAAATATGTCTCGCCGTAAGTTCGTCAACTGGGTCATCCCTTGATCGGCTAGAAGAGCACAGCTCCCCAGCCCACAGTCATGCTTTCAGGATGTTGTTCGACCTTCAGCTCTGTGAGGAGGTTTGGAGGATATTCCCCCCTGCCAAATGCGATCCAAGGAGAAGGAGATGATCCGAAGCGGTTGGCCCCTTCTGGGGCATTCCGACTCCTCGTGTTGATCATTCCAGTCGCGCTGGCCGTCTCACACGGACCACCGAGCCTCTCCGAGTCTTTCACGATACTCTGTGCTTTTCTCATGAGCGCGGTACTAGTCCTTGTGCTTTCAGGTAAGTTATCGGATCGACCAAATAGGAGGAGACGTACGAGATGAATTGGAGGGTTCTCAGTGGCATCGCCCTAACCTGGCGTCTTTTTTCACCTGTCTCGTGTTTTGGCACGACGATCTCCATTGAGATCAGCTACTGTCCCGCGACATATACGAGCTCAAGCACCAGTAGCGGCGCATCGACATCCCCGACGTACGTTCTCCTCCAGATCATCGAGCCACAAAACTGACTGGTATTTAGTATTACACCTGGAGAACCAGTATATCTCACATTCTCCTTGGATGGCTCGACCGAATTCCTTAGCGACGATGGAACAGTCACGAATGACATACAGCAAGCCGCCACGTTTGCTATTTCATCCGCCGGCCAGCTGATGAGCGGGAGCGACTATGTGTCGACCCCCGGAGATGTTTCATCGCAGCCATTCGCAGCCTCGCCCGACACACCGCTCATGAAGAGGTTGCCCCAGATTTTCACGCTCTGGTCCGTAAACGAGAACGACAACCTTGTCTGGACGAACGACGCGTTCGTTGGTGGGCAGGCTATCTTCTGTTTCTCTGGCTCGACACTGAATATCGTTTTTGATGGCGAACCGCCACAAGACTGTCCTGTTGTCCAAATCACTGTCATTCCCGCGGGAAGTTCGAATCCATCTTCGACTTCGTCGACAACAAACTTGGCCCAGACAAGCACAATGAGCACCTCGGCCGTGACCACGTCGATGGAATCCCCATTAACCACTTCGGCGTCAACATCTGGCAGTGTCATTTCCATGTCTACCACTGCCTCGGGGTCGGATTCATCAGTTTCTACTTCAGGCGCCTCAATGTCCTCTTCTTCGCCGACCGATGTAACCAGCTCGACATCAGGGCCTGAATCTTCCTCGAGCCCAGCAACTTTTTCGACAACGACTTCCGCATATCCAGCTCCGACCACCACCGGGACGCCGAACTGCTATGACCGCTCGCCATTTGACGGAACTGTCAACAATAACTACCTGATTCTGTGCGATACCGACCTTCCAGGCTTCGATCTTGAAGTAGTCCCGGCGTCTGATATCGCTGATTGCATTGCTGCATGCAACTCGTATCCTCCAGGGTCCCAGGGGCCTTGTGTTGCGGTAGAGTTTGATATCGTAAGGTTCCCCCTGCTCTAATTATTGCGCGAACTAAGGAGCTTTCAGCTTGCCAATACAGATCCCTGCCATCTCAAATTCAACATTAGCACTGTCAGCAGGGGAGCCGATTCATTTGCACAAGCAGCGATCCTTGTCAACCAGCCATATTCTCCCAGTGTTGTCTTCAACGACACAGGGATTTCTAGCAGTGAAACAAGCGCGACAGAGTCGTCAACAGTTGTCTCTGCAACCTCCACAACTACAAGCGATATAAACACTCTGACCAGCTCATCGCCAGTTCCATCAACCAGTCAGAGTACCTCTATTTCCGTTCCGTCTACCTCAAGCATGCAGCAGCTTCCCCCGACCACCACCTCCGATATTACCCAGTCCACTACTTCGTCAACAGTCGCAGAAACGACCAGCCAGGCGAGCCCCAGTTCCAGCTCTGCCAGCTCGTCAGGACCAAACACGGCCTCGACGAGCCAACAGCAGTCTAGCACCATGACCACCCCAAGCAGCTCTTTCGAATCTTCTTCCAGCTCAAATCCTCTTAGCTCCTCACCTGGTTCAAGTTCGCCGACCTCATCATCCACCTCGATCAGTACTACCCTCATATCCACTTCGCATCCAGGATCTTCAGGCGCAGCTACGACGAGTCAATTCAGCTCACAATCCAGTCCGTCACCTACGAGTACCTCGTTGGCCACTTCCTCCCCGAGAACCAGTGCAAGCACCACGGTCGCTCTCCTATCTACAACTGCAGCCTCGTATTGCTCGGCTACTCCAACAACGACCAATCTGTGCTCCACCTACAACCACCAAGCACTCAATGTTAACAGCGACGGCTACTGTTACGAGGTCGAGTGTGCCACAGGTCTGCAGGGAACTGTCTTAAACGGGAATTCCACGACAGCTACGTCGCTCAAGAATTGCGTTTCCTACTGCACAGAATACAACGTTGCACAGCCGTTTGGATGTGTGGGTGTTGGCTACCTTGGTTCGTCGAGTGGAAGCAGTCCCAACTGCCTTCTGCTGTCCAGCATAACTGGGACGGTCTCCAACGCGAACGTCGATAGTGCTCGTCTGCTTTATGCTGGATATCCATCGATCACCGATCCAATCTTCACAACTACGACTACCACCACACAGACTCCAGTGTCGTCGCCCACCTTGTCGTCTCTCGCTACATCGTCCTCTATATCCACATCTACAACATCATCCATTCCTACAAGTTGCGGGGTTGCTCCGACTGGATCGGCATCAGCATGCCCAGGCAGTTCCCCTGCTTGCTATTCCTACAATTTTCTCGGCAACATGGCCAACTTCGAGATCGAATGTGCTACGTCCTTTACGGGTTCAGTGGCGCAACCGCTGCTGGCATTCGACCTGCCAGACTGCATCAACCAGTGTCAGTATGCTAACGCCCTTCTGGCAAACAGTTGCCTCGGAGTGACATTCATAGTCTCGGACGTGAGTCAAGGGTCGACCAACAACTGTTACCCCTACTCTACCTTGACCTGTGCTACCCGGGGCAATGCCACTACTAACAGCGCCCGGATGCTTTATCCCGGGTATCCCCAAATGACGGATTATAATGACCCGACGTTCTTATGTAACGGTTCGACGGCAACGACGGCAACATCATCTACCACCGCCCTGGTGTCTTCGGCCACCCTGGCGTCTTCATCAAGCGCACCTGCTTCGCCGACAACAACGACTACTACAACAACAACGTATGTGGCACAAACGAGCAGCACGGTCTCCACATCTTCAACAACGGATCTTTCTCAAGCGACTTCCACGAACTTCCCGCTCGCATACCCTCAAGATCCAATCTGTAACAATAACCTCATGTCAACGTACGAAGGTAAGCAAGCAGAAGACCGCGTCTCCCAGCCCAATGTCGGCAGCTGACTATCTCTCAGGAGGGCAACTCTCAGTCAATCCGGCACAGGGTCGTTTGTATGATATCGAGTGTGCCGTATGTCTCCCATCCCTGCCGCTAGAGTTCCATTCGTCTGGTACTGACCAAGATACAAGTCCGATTATACCAATGCAGGCAATAACCCATTTGGAGCCACGACACAGCCGACCTACGACAGCTGCGCGAATCAATGTGACATTGCAGCTGGGCAGGGCACTGCATGCTATGCCTTTTCGTGGACGGCCAGTTCTGGCCTTTGCACCCTGTTCGGCCGAGTGAGCAACGGCGTCCAACTGACCACCAACATGACCAACACAGCCGGCATCCATTCGGGGAGGTGGCTTTCCACGACCGTAGGCAGCACCACAAGTTCCCAACCACTACAGCTGTACCTCGCCCGCCCCATCCCGTTCCCCGTAGGCCCGCTGGCCGCGAACTCCCAAACAACGCGCAACTACCCCGGCGGCACCAACACGTATTTCGACGGGTGGTCCGACGCCTCGCACGCCACCGTGCTCGACCTCTCCTCGCAATATCCCGGGATCCAGTGGAAGATCTTCGACCAAGTCGAGACGACCCTGTGGGTGACGGCGAATTTCTGGTTCACAAACACCCCCCTGGCAGTCACCGCCGCGACGCAGGCCCAATACAGCGTCAACTCGCGCAACAACGACACGTCGCCCCTGCTATTTCCCGCAGCCAACCTACCGGGTTACACGCTCGCGCCGTTCTGGTCGTACGGACACATCCTCGGCGCGTCGCAGCAGGGCATCTACTACCAAGTCGACCTCATCTCCCCGGGCCGGTACGGCATCTCCATCGAATGGTTCTTCAGCCACTACGGCGAGGACAACAACGTCTTCCACGCCGTCATGACCTACGACACCGGCTCCCCGGGTGTGTGGAGTACGTATTTTTTTGTCGCGGGTGCCTCCTCGGGCCAGTACGTCGACCAAGGCCTCAGACAGACCGTGGGCGGCCAGGGCAATCCCGATAGCCTGTCCCAGTATTTCACCTACTGCGCGGGACAGCAGAACTGTGTGACCCCCGGGGCGAAAATGACCATGGACACCACGCAGCTGGACATGTCCCAGGTCATGAATTATACGGCCGGCCTGTTTAATCCGGGCAGTTACGCCGTGGGTACGTGGACGTGGGCGACCAAGCCGTGTTGCTAGGCCTAGCTACCCAGGCTAGCTTACCCTAGCTGATCATTGAGATGGTTTTTTGTTTTCTTGAGATTCATTGAGACCTGGGTTTGGTGGTCGGGGGAGGCAGGGCGACCTAATTACCTCGACTCGAGTTGTGACTCCGTTTTTTCGGGATGGATAATTAATTACTCGTTGATTAAGACCGGGTATGACAATATTGTCGAGGCGAGGGGAATATTATCATCATATGTATTTCCATTTTTAGACCTTTTACGTCTCGTCCCTTTTCTATCCATTGACACTGATGTCCTTCTTTTCTTTCTTTCTCTCGCCCCCCTCCTCCTCCCTTTTTTCTGGGAAAATCGGACTGGATAATTCTAGCAAGAACAGGCCCTCTTGGGCCCCCTTGATTCGGGTTGGTTTTTTCCTCCCTTCTGGTCTGGTTTTATTTCCCTTGTAACTACCGAGTACATCACGTACTATGTAAGCGATAGTGGAGAAGAGAGGGAGGGAGAGGGTGGATTCTCCTAATCTATACATATAACCACTACGGCAGGTGGTCTACCCATTCCCCCAGACTTCGGTATATACAACACACTTGTTTCTGTTTCGCTCCGCTCAACAGGATCAACCACGTGCCATTCAGCAATCCGCTCTCCCCCACGTCCTCGGGAACGGAACGACCTCTCTCAAGTTGCTGACTCCCGTCATGTACGCCAGCAACCGGTCAAACCCCAGACCATAGCCCCCGTGTGGACTGCTCCCGTACCGTCGAAGGTCGGCGTACCACTTCATATTCCCTAACGTCTCCCCGGTTTCCAGAAACGGGTAATAGCCGTTGCCGTTGCCGTTGTCACCACCATTCGGCAACACCTCCGTCCTCCTCTTGATCAGCCCCTTCTGGCGCATGGACTGAATGAGATGTTCCAGTCGGTGTTCTCTGAGACTTCCCCCGACGACTTCGCAGTAGCCGAAAGGCAGCAAAAGGTCGAAGCAGGCTACGGTGTCCCCCTCGCTGGAGTCTGATTGAGTCGTGTCCTGGGGTGGAGGAGTCATTGCCGATGAGGGAAGCATGTAGAATGGTTTGAGGTCTTTCGGATAGTGCGTCACAAAAACTGGCCTGCCTTCTGCAAGATTGTCGACGATCCACCGTTCGTGCTCCAACTGCAATCCCTGCTTCCACTGAGGACGGTGAACGAAGAGGTTGCCACCACTCGATTCGTAAGCCTTCGTCAGCGCGTTCATGGCTGATGTGTAGTCGACTTCGTGCCACCTCCCATCAAGTCTATCCCAGCGAGCTTGCAGATCCACAAAGTCGCCATCCGTGGGTCGGTGTTTCTGGTCTGAGTAGTACTCCACCAGCTCCTTACCTGTGCGGTGTTCTTGAAGTGATTGCGCGAGACACGCCACCAGACTTCGCACCCGGGACAGCAGCTCTTGAAACGAAACATGTCGATGCTCAACCTCGAGCATATAAAACTCGGAAAGGTGCCGCGGGGTATCACTTTCTTCAGCACGGAAGGTGGGTGAAAATGCAAAGACATCCCCCTGCTCAGCAGCATGTGCCTCAAGATGTAGCTGTGACGACACAGTCAGGTATTTCGGTTCTCGGAAGTAGAGCTTTTCTTGTCCCTTGGATGTGTTTGGCGTTGTCCCCGGAAGCTGTTCATGGCTTTGCGGGGCTATCGTGAAAGCTTCCCCGGCACCTTCACAATCGGAAGAGGTTATGAGTGGCGGTAGGACTTGATAAACGGGGTCTGGTCGGTTGCAGAAATGCGACGTGATCGCGGAGATCAAGTGGCTGCGAGTCCGGTTGACAAGAGAGTGGAAGGCTGTGCGCATTCGAAGGTGAGGAACGGTTCGAAGAAAATCAGTCGACATGGATTGCTTCTGAATGGGGTTTTCCTATCGCCATGATCAGGACAGCAGCGCATCAAGGAGCATCCGGGGCACCTACTGAGGTGTTGCCATCACCGAGTGTTTCGATCTTCTCGACTTGCAGTTCATGGCTTTGTCCTGCTCCTTTGGAACGAATCCACTTCCCCACCAATGCCACATAGGCGCCGTTGGTAATGCTAGAAGTTTTGGTATCAGAACTCGTCCGTGCTCTTTTGAATGTGAATCCACGTACTCTTTCGCCAGCTGCGGGCCCGGGAATACTGCTTGGACGTTGGCGAGCGTAGATCCGTCGCCGATTCGGGCAAAGGTGACGTTTTTCTGCTTCCTGATACTGCGCACTAGGCCTGCGATTTTGATGGATTCGTCGGCTCGCAGTCCGTCGACGTACTCGGCGTCGGTCGAGAGTCTGGCGTGGCGGACAAGCGCCGGTGAGGTCCCTGTAGCCCCTGGGCTTTGACCATGCAGATATCGCACATGACAAGGGAACAGTCCAGGTCTGTGTCGAGTTCTCAGAATGTCAAGGGACGAACATCGAGGCAGGATCTCGTCTCCGAGATGCCATGGCGCCTTCAAGGCACGCCATAGCATCACGCAGAGGAGCAAGAGGCGCAGCCAGTAGCAGCAGCCGCAGAGTATCCGGAGATGCGAGAGATATCAATGGTGCTCCCAGGTCGCGTGAACAACCTCTGCAAGAATAGCGAAACGCGAGCTGGATCCGGGCGTCTTCGGAATTCGGCCAAAGTGTTTATCCGGCCGGACACCGACCGCAGCCTCGCCAACTCGCCAGACTCGCCAATATCATGGACGCGGGATCGTGTAAACGATTAAAAGTGCCACCGCTTGCTTCCTGTTGTCCCTTAATTGCTACTCCACAGTCCAAATCGCCACTCAGCCAACCAAACACACATCGGACACATCCTGCGACCCGGTGCGGCATCCGAGGTGGAACTTCTCTTCTAAACACGGAGCATCCTTGTGGCACGGAGTTTCCCAAACACGCAATATCCCAACATGTCCATTATCAGATGTGATTCTTGCTCGAGTGCCAAGCTCCCGCTCCTCCCTGCCTGGGCTATCAACACTTTCCAGATGCAGCATATTGGCCGACTTGCGCCCAGCTAGTCTCGCTGACAGACTGAGCATGCTCTCTATCAATTTATTATTACTGCGCGCAACCCCTGCTCCGGATCTTTGCCGCTCTGTCCTTTTGTCCCTGGTCTCCGTCGAAGATCATTCCCTTATGTCATGCTCTGACCGCAGCGACGGTGGCATGATGGTCCCCCAACTCCCGGGCCGTCAGCGACAAGACTGCTCCGGTGCTTTATATTGAGGCACCGACCAAGCATGACAGTCTGGTTTTTCGCTGTCTGCAAAGGTTTGGCCTCAGCCGTGTTCGTGAGACGTCTCAATATCTTGATCCCGTGAACAACAGCGAGCCATGGAGTCTCATCACCAAAGGCACCGTGGGTCATCTTGCCCAGCCTTGTATCAACAAGTACCCGACCATTTGAGAGACCAGAATGTACTCAATACCATGGAGTCTTTCGATTCATCCTCCGGCAGCACAAGCGAGGAAGCTAGTCCTGAGCCTTCGCCAGCCCCAGATTCGAGCGCCCTGGTTTTCCTTCAGGAATATCGCACTTTCCTCCTCACCCAGGTCCAGTCGACCACAGCAGCTCGGTGGTATCATGCACGGTCCAGACGCCACCGTCGCTGCGCTGGCTCTGGCCAGGAGCGTTGTCGCAGACAATCACGTCGAGGTATCCATTTCTTTAATAATACCCTCTACCATACCTGCCTCTGTGCGTACTGACCACAACAGGCGTCACAGTATCAGCAGCTTGGCAGCGTCCGTTTCTGAGCCGGCGCTTAGTCCCGCGACGACGTTCTTCCTCATACCGTCGACTGCGTAGTCACCGATCCACCTACGTATGCGATCTGCGGCTTCGCTCACGTCTTCTGGGGTGTCCTCCGTCTCATTTCTTCATTCCTACACACCAGCACCATCACCTTCGTGGGTGCTGATGGGGTGGGGCCCACAAGCAATAGCCAGATCCTGATGATATGTGGTACTCAGTTTGTGACTTACACACCCAGGCCGGAAGAGGGACGAGCAGTTCTGTGGGGATGATCCTGGATTTAAGCAAAATGTCCGCAATAAACTTGCTGAATTTGCGGCGCCATTTCTGCAAAACGTGACGGCGGCTACTTCAACATCAGCACAGCAGAGGAACTTGTAGTTGGACGATTTTTGTTGAGATTGCATTCGCATAGATGTGATGTCGATTCAGGTGTACCGCAGGGAAACTGTTCTCTTGTCAGAACCAGCCTGAGTGATGAGAACGGACTTACCGGATGTCAGTGATCGGTTCAACTTTGAGTGTCCGCCATCCGTCTGACCTGTTTCGGAACTTTGTATGCTATGCAATTCAACTTCGTTCCGCGAAAGGGTCCTTCCCTTTTCTTTTCCATTCGTCTTGGTTGTGCTCCTCGATGAATCAAACATCAAGCATACTCTTGACCACCTGAGGCGGCGACTGAAGGGAGTGGGTGGACGAAGCGGGCTGTGACCGACTGTCTTTGCTGTACTCGTACGGTGTTTCTCTCTGATACCTTGGGGGTGGCAGCAAACTTTCGGGCTCTGTAAACTGCGAGACTATGCCCAGAGTGTCGCCTTTTATCAACATCGAGCTGCCGGCCGACCTATTACTGTGTGCATTTTGTCTTGGTTTCAGGTGCCTGGCATCTTCTTCTTCCCGCCTGCGCCGCTGCCACCAAGCGTATCCACTTTCGTCCTGCTCTTCTGCTCGGTTCGTGTGCACCGCTTGAGAGACCTCTTCCAATGGAGGTCTTCGGGATGAAGTAGGCATTTTGAACACACCACTTGTTGATACGAAGCGATTCCGAGACCTGAACCACCAGGATGGCGGTCTGCGACTGTGGTGTTGACGAGATTGTTGCATGGCAGCAGCAGACCCTTCGCCCAATTCTTCGCCCCTTGATGCGCGCTGAGCTATCAATAACTTGTCTTCGTTTTCGTTTATGTATCCGTGGATATTGAGAAACACGAGTACGAAGAGAGCGGGTGCGTATCCGAGTCCGTACAACAAACCTACGCTTAAGTCACGGCGATATGGCGACAGTTCCCATACCCAAGATCCTACAAGCCCGTACGCAGTGCGCAAGGCAACAGCAATGATAGTTAGTAAGAGGGTGACGGGGATCTTGGTCTTGTGAGTCCTGCTCCCATAGCCCAAACGAAAGACAACAAGTCCAAGACAGGCTGTTGCGAGGATGGAAGCCGCTTTGAATCGAGCATCGAGCGCTGCAGGTCTAGCTGATTCGAGAGCTTGCGCCGGCGACCGTTGCCTCTGAGCAAATGACCAAGATCGTGGGATGAGCATGAAGAACACCAGGCAGTCAAAGGCGTAGAAGAGTAAGGGAAGGTAGAAGGTGGCCCTGTCGTGGAACGTATCAGCCGAAAACGTATACGATTGTGCCTCCTGGAATTGACGGTGGTTGAATGAGCTCCTAGCCTTCAAGTTAGAAAGGATGCCACTTCGTCTGGATTCTGGAAAGCACAGTAGTCGTGTTGTGCGGTTGTGCTCACCAGCTTCTCACAGCCTCCCAGACACAGGCCAGCAACACCGGAACCATCAGGGTCAGAAAGAAGCTTTGGAGGATCATGGGCGTGTTAATGATGTAGTCTCTGTCGACGTCGACAGCTGTAAAAGAGCCCAAGATGCCGCAAGCTGCCACGATCAAGGTCCAATACCACGGCCAGCGTCTACCGACAGGTTTCCACCCTCTTTCTCGGGGCAGGTACGCGCGGCCATGCTTCCTCAGGTTGATTGTCGAGAATAAAATCGTCAGGGCAAAGAGAGAGCCAAAGACAAGTCCGGTGATGCCTCGAGCCCCGATGGGATTTATAGGCGAGTAGCATGAGGTTGTGTTGGTGAACGTCCCATTCGCGAACACGATGGGCTTATGGACGCCGAACGCGAGAAAGCAGTGCGAGCCGTTCGAGAGCGTGCCATTGTGGTAAAGTGTGTAATGCCAGAACTGCAGAGCAGTCTCATTGAGAGCGACGCCGGTAATGAGAGTGATCGGGTTTGCTGAGGATGGCGCACCCAGCATATCAGCAACAGAGGCTTCGTCCTTTTGCCTCACAGGCTGCTGGGAGGTGATTTGGTCTCGCGGATCATTTGTGATTCACGCTCACTTTGACGCTTCAGATAACAGAAGACTTGCAACGATTTGAAAAATGCAGATGTTGACCTGAGGATAGAGAGGTGCCAACATGCCCAGTGGTCTGGTGGATCAGCTGCTGACTACGAGGTACCTAGGTACGAATTCCTTTCTTGAGGAGCATCTTTTCTCCGATTTCCATATGGAGCCGATATGCATCGATCAAATTCAATGAACTTGAAATGTACGGCACCAACCGAAACACCACTTTCATAGAGTACGATCTACCACTTGAGCCTCCAGCAACTACGTAGGATGCTACTCCACAAACATCTCGCAAATACAAGGTCATCAACCCTGCTTCTTCAGAGTCAGACCTGCTCCCTCCAAGTGGCCAGGACCTATCTGGCTCGGATCAGAAATCCTTCTTGAGAAAGAATAAGAAAAGCAACAACAACTTGGAAGTAAAAATAGAATCTTGCAATCATCAAAATTCGTGACCTCGTGCCCATCCTTGGAATCGATCGCGTATCCGCCGCCTCTTCCCTTTGGACCTGAACGCTAAATCCGATATGGCTGAAACACCAACTTTTCCCCCTGGACGTCCTGAAATGCAATTTAATGGTTCCCCTAGAATGAGCTCTCTTTCCATCTCAGACTTTGGCAAACACACGGTCCAGCTTGCTCAGGGCTCTCTTGTCCTCTCGAAATCCTAATTTCTCGCTGGGAATGTCTTGCGGTGGCGCCCCATTCTTTGTGCCACCCGGGCTCGTACTTCCTTGTCGGTCCACTTCGGCCTCGGGTTGACCTTTGGCTACGGGAGGTACATTCGTGTCAATGTTGTGTACGAGCGCGGTGATGGTAGGAGCCTGACTGGCACTGACTGTTGTGGTGTCGGAAGGTTGCGCCACAGAATGATTCTCATTCTTGGTATTGGCGCCGTTCGTTTGGGCATCGCCTCCATTGGCAGTGGCCGTCAGGCGCGGATCTATCTGTAGTCCAGAGCCAACATTTTCGTTGGACGTTTCAGGGCCTTGATAATTGACTGGCGGAGCAGGGCTAGACTGATATAATGGCGGTGGAGGCTGGCTGCCAGGGTAAGCGCTCAGCGGAGCCTGTGGCGAAGTCGTTGGTTGTAGAGGAAAAGGTGCTGACGGGCGCGAGTCCGAGTCTCTCAAAGGACGCTGATCGAAAGATGAAGGCGGTGCTTGGCTGAGAGGCAGAGGGTGTGGTGAAGGATATGGCGCCGCGGAATATGCGAGCGGGGGTAGGCCGGGCTGAAGAGCATAGGGCTGGAGGTAGTGCCCGGGGGGAGGCGTGTGCATGGGACTGATCGGGTAGATGTAGGCTGGATGAGGGATGTACCCCGGTGGAATATATGCTTGTGGGGGAGCAGGGCTGGGACGGTGATACCCTGGGGCGCCTGGAGTCACAACATATCCTGGAGCGCCCAGCATGGGCGATCGAGTGACGGCGGGAACCGTTGACTGATCGTTGATGGTCGATTCCGGATACATTCCTTTGGCTGGTTGAATGGACGCTAGGTTGGGATCGGTACTCGGTTGACGCAATACCTGCGAGGTTGGATGTGATCGGGAGTAGTAGCTGATGAGATGCAAGTGTTGTCCTGTGGAAGTGGTGATGCTGAACGACTGCTTCATCAGACCATCGGGCTTGTACCGATACCCATCAGGTCCTTCTTCGCCCTCGCCAGCCTGCGAAGGGTCATCTTGGCCATTTTCTGGTGTTTTGGTGCCTCGACTTGCTGGATTGGCATATGAGTTCCCTCCTCTTTTGCCTTCCATCTCCCGGTACGTCAAAAAGCTGCCCGAGACGCGGCTGGCGCTCCAACTCTTCCCATCTGTCCACCGCCGCATCCCCGCTTCACGCTCATCCCAAACAAAGACCGAGCCCGATCTGATCGATTGTCTCTCTTTCTCTGACAGTCTTCGCTGAACCCGAGGTAGGATGCCCAATCTGCAGGCCTCGAAGAGGATGATGGCGTCCGTCGGGGTTCGGACGAGACCGTTGTATGTCTCCATCGTCTGAATGATCTGGAAAACTTGCTTCAATTTCGCCCGAGGCAACTCGTTGTCCAAAGGTGCCTGTCGTCAGTTTGAATTGGTTTCGTTTCAATCGCGGCGGGCCGAATGCTCTCGCGCATAGGCTTCAGCTCGCCGCGCCCATTTGTTAAGATCCAGCGTGATCCCTTCTCCAAGTGGTTGACGCGATCCGTTCTTGCCCGACTTTCTTTCTCTTTGCGAGCCCAAAATAACAGCGCCTATTATCGTGGGTCGCGATACTGATCCGCCAGGTAGTTTCTGCACCCTGGACGGTTTTTCGAGCGGTTTTGGGGCTTGGGGAGGAAGCTGTAGGTAAACCGCTCAGTAGTTGGAGGATCGACAAAAGGATGAGTTGGAACCGAGGAGATGCTGGAAAGACAGGTTCCTAATAATGCAAATGGAAAGGCTCAATGGCAAGAGATCCGGCAAACTTAGACGAGTCTTGGGGGAACAGGCGTGGAGTTAAACGAGTATCCCGGTGGATGTCCAAGTGGGCTCGTCAACGGATATTACGAGGGCTGGGGTCTTGGGAAACTCAGAGTCTGGCACAGCCGGCAGCACCGATGCGTAAGAGCGAAGACAGCACCGTGAGAGAAGCAGTGAGGAATGAGCAGAGCAGACAAATAGAAGAAGTTCAAGCCGCAGTGTGGGAGGACTCTGGCCTCTGGGGTGGGCCCCCTTGGCTGGGCCCTGGAGCCTTGGGAGGAGGGAATCTACAGGTATGCCACTTCCGCAGTGGGTCAAGCCTGCAAACTAGGCTTATGCTTAACCCAGTGCCCGCAGCTCTAGCTGGAGACTGGCCAGTGACCGCCATTCATGACTGGGTCAGCGCCCAGCATTCGATCGCTGGGCACCGCAAGCGAGCTGGGCGACATTTCCGTAGGGGAGGGCGAGCCGGTCTGTCGATGCGCCGATAGCCGCGGGAGAGGACACTTCTGGCCATCAACCGATGACTCAATGGGAGCAAGAGGGCATCGCTCCAAGTGCGAAGTACTCGGTAGGAGTGTCTGGGTCAGATATACCTAGGTAAAGATGGAGGTCTATTTTTCTATTCCTTTTCCAAAACATTACGAGCAGGATCGTCATCTATCGGGGATCAGCGCCCTGGCCACCGAAAGGGAGATTGATCCTCAGCTCGTCTTGGGGTTTGTTCGCTTTGACGGCCAATAATTCACTGGTGGCCTCGCAATTTGGGGAATGCTCCTCCAAAGGTTGCCCACGGAATGATGGCCGTGGCATGACGCCCTGACGCCCTGGCAGAAAAGCCCAGCAGTGAGTCAAACGATGGCTTGGCATCAGGAAAGGTCCGGAAGCGAAGGGGGAGGACACCATGCCCTCCCTGTTCACCCGATGCGCACAACCATAACGAACACTCTGGGAGAAAATGCTGACACGAGGCGAGGGTTTTCTCACTCTGCTTACAACCCTGTTCCTTGCATGCTGAATTCTGCACTCAAGGCGGCCGACCTGACTCCCTATTTTCTTGCTCAATTCTTTTCTGCTCTTATGCAGCTCGGCAGGCAGCCAGCCACACATCCGACAAATAGAGACTTGGCATCGCGCTAGCTAAGGCGCCAACAGTCTTGGTGGCTCTTAGGCGCCTCTTGGTGTTCTTAGTTTTGACGACTCTCGTTTCAATTCGGAATCTGACTCGTCGCTGGGCGCCTGGGCATCTGCGTAATGTTGTGTCTCGGCGGATTGCCAGACGCCCTTTAGGCTTTGATGGAGTGCTTGGTTCGTTCCTGGGCAGGACCCAAGGACCCAAGGGCCCGAGACCCAGAGACCCAGAGGCCCCGAAGGCCCTTTTCCAACAAGAGTGATTCGGAGCAAATTCCACCCTCTCCCTTGGCCTGGTGAACCCCCTTCTCCGCTGACCTCTCGGTTTTGCTCCGGGCGCTCGTATGGACGCTACCCACCTAGCTGCTCATTGGTTCTGATTACGGCAACATTAGGTCCTTGTTCCAATTGCTGATGGCCGGGTCCAAAGGGTTCTTAGGCAGTAGGTGAGGCAAAAACCGCCCTGCGCCTGCGAGTTGGGTCCCAGGCAAGCCGTGCTGGGTCTTCTCCGCTTAGGCTTAAGCGTCTTGTTAAGCATGATTCAAGCCACCAAAGTCAAAGGGCGAAACGGGCCCAGATCAAGCAGTTTTGGTGCTAGCTCACGTCGCGTTGAACTTGGCACATCGGACCGGTAAATGATCAACTGACCAGTGAGAACGAGATTACGTTTTCTCTTCACTTTGTTTGCTGAGCAATATTAATTATCTCGTACCGAGTACACCAAGAGCACCAAATGGGTGCCAAAGGGAAAGGAGGGGGGCTTGCGTATGCAGTTGCGAGATTGGCACCAAGTGGGACTCTTTTACGTCCAGCTTCTTTCCCTCCGGGCTGACCGCATCTGTAGTATGCATCCTCACAATATCAACGAGATCGTGGCAACAGGCAAAGAGAGTATCCCGAAGTCCCTCCTACAACAACCTTGTCAGTCCTCTTAACCCTCATGAAATTCGGGTTCTCATTGCAGACGAGGAAAAAGAAACCCAAAAAAAGCAAGGAAAAATTCCACCATTCTTCATCTCTCCCGGTCGTCCGATGCATAACCGACCAACCACCCAAAAATCACCCCATTATTCGGCGTACCCTATCTTTTTCCCGGTAAGTGGAGTATCTAAAGTTAAGATGCCCAGTTACAGAAACAAGTTCCTCCATCTGGGAACCGTCCTGTTGGTAGCGTCCTTGTAGTGGCGATAGCGATGTGGAGAGCAGACAATAAACCACGTGGATCAACCAGAAAAAGACTGGCGGAAACCACACACGCACCCCACGTACTCGTACTCGTTTGGCGCAAACTTCTTAGCGCGCGCAGACTTGTCGTTCACCGCGCGGGCTGGGGCTATTCGAGCAACTCGCACCACTGCTGTTCGTACATACGGCTATCTTGTACAAGCCTACGGGTGGTCTACTCGTGGAAGGTACTTGCTTATACCTCTCGGCAATGGCAACAATATTCCAAGATGCCCGACTCAGTACATCGATAGCCCGGAAGATCTACTCTTCTCTTCCGTCTGCCTCTTCCACGAGACTGTTACAGCTCGAGCCAGGGTCGTACAACGACCGCCTCGAAGCTTCACTCGTTGTGGTGGATATTGAATCGCCCTTATGCTCCGAGTATGAATGCATATCCTACACGTGGGGTGACGAGACATCCCCCAACTCCATCAACGTTGATGGGAACGAGGTCCCCCTCCGACTGAATCTGGAACAAGCTCTCCGTCGCTTTCGCTCAGCGACTAAGTCCAGGCTGCTTTGGGTCGACGCAATCAGCATCCGACAGGACGATGCGGACGAGAAGGCCCAACAGGTGACAATGATCGGCGACGTTTTCCAAAACGCCACGCGCGTCCTGGCCTGGCTGGGCGAGCACGCTGACTCCAGCGAGAATCTCTTCGACATCTCCGAAGAAGCTGCGACGAGCCTGTTCGACCGCGACCGCGCCCAGTTCCGGCAAAAGTACGACACGCTGGCCCGGTTCATGGACCGTCGTTACTGGCATCGGACGTGGATCGTCGCTGAGATCGTCTGCGCCCGGGAGTTGGTGATATGCTGTGGGCCCGACCGGATCGCGTGGAGCCATCTGCTCAAGTACAAGTTCACCGACGTAATGCGATTCGACCAGGGCTGGACGAGAAGACTGACCAAGCTGGACGACGCGAGACAGGCCCACAGGTTTGCTCACAGCAACCACCCATCCCACATATCCGACGTGGAATGGGAGGGCCACCGCGAACTGCAGGGATATCTGTACGCGACGGAGAACACAGAGTGCCTCGAGCCGCGGGACACGATCTTCTCCCTCCGCGCCATCCTGCACAGCACGAGCATGCGCAACGCGATCCGTGTCGACTACACCATCCCCGTACCTGAGCTCTGCGCCGCCACCCTCAAGGCCGCGCTGGTCTCCTACGACAGCTCCCAAAACAACATTGCCGAGTTTCTTCTTCTGTCATACCAGCTCGACAAGAGCCTGGCAATGACCCTTCCCAAAAGACTCCAGCTGATCGACCTTCTCCTTGACGACCCGGAAGGCTTTGAGCCACCGGCACTCGCCATCGTGAGCGACATATTGTCCGACGGCGCGGCGGAGAAGTTCTTTGGGATCGAGTACGAGCCTTACGACGAGGAATGGAATTGGGAACAGAAGAGAGACCATGTTCTTTCGTGGCGCGACAAGGCCAGACGGACAGGGAAGTGGTCTGCCACCAGTTCGTGTAACGACAGCACAGGCTCAAGACTGAGGTAACCCCAGACCCCATGGTCAGTGGAACGCGGGCTGTACTTTCCTTCCTTCCTTTTTTTTGGCGCAGTCAAAAACCCCTCCCAATTCCTCGTCTACCTCCTCCTCTCGTTACATCTTCCCCTTTCGTTCTGTACCAGTGCCAAAAGTCGGCGCATTGGGATAACGACCGATACAAATTGTCCGGGGGGAAACTCAGGAGGTAGATCGGGATATGAGTCCAAGCTGGCAGCAACCTGGCAGTCAGTGAGTGGTTCGCGAGCACAGCGCACGCCGCTTGACCACCTCCCCTAACACGCAGAGACAGAGCTGGTAAGTCGGTGCTCGGCCATGCTCCTGGGCTGAGCTGCTGGTACTACCCAAGGGTCACAAAGCCTTGGATCTATCTCTCTATACCGGGTATTGGGTAGCTGAGTGAGTGAGTATAAATTCCCCGGGAGAGCAGTACTTCGGCGGTGCTGCTAGGCAAGGGGCGAAGAGGAAGAACCGCCCGCCTACATCGTCCAAACGGCTCGACAATGTGACAAGCACAGGAATCGAGCTTTTTCTCGAAATACCTGATTAGCTAATGATCATTCCGTCTCTCCCACCAGAGAAACCTCCAACGATCGCGGATGCAGCTAACCCATTCCACGCTTGAGCAGTGCTGTGTCTGGTCCACAGCACACATTAACCCTGTTCCCTGCAGCCTAAGCCATGTCAAATCAACGAGCACATCGGCTTCTAAAATCGAGTACGGTACAGTGTCACACTTCTTGACGATTTCTTCCCGCCCACCCTCCGTTTCCCGGTCGTTGTCCTACACACTCTCCTTCCTTCGCCTCACCTTGACGGTCGCAGTCATGGGCGGCACCAGACTCGTCCCGATCCATTGACTCGCAGGCCTCTCTTTCATGGGCTCAAATTCGTAATGCTGCACCATATACGCCAATAGCAACTTCAACTCATTTGCTGCGAAGAACCTTCCTGGGCAGGCATGTCTTCCGTGTCCGAACGGATGATATGTCGGAGAAGTACTGACAAAGGAAAGATTCGCTTTCCTAATGTACTCTTCTGTGGTTTTGGTATTGGATTTGTCGTTTAGAGTTTCTAGTGACTCTGCTGTCGATGATGCTCGTTCCGCAGAGAAACGGAAGGGATTATATGTCGCGGCATCAGGGTAATACTCTGGATCGTTGTGGACGCCATTGGTCGGAACAGCGACACAGCTGCCGAAAGGACATAATGTTCCATTAGGAGCAGTGACTCCCTCCGGCGCTACGACTTGGCGCAGCAGCCCGGCACCCAAGAAAGAGCCCAGTCGAGAGGACTCCCGCAGTGCGGAGTCGGTCTTGTACATCCTTGCGAGGCCGGCCTTGGTCCACACGCCTTTGTCGGCCTCGATTATAGTGCTGGCTTCCTCGCGGATCTGTTCCAAGTACTTCGTAGATGGGTCAGAAGCGACGAGGTCGAAAAGGGCGTTAGTGATGCTGAATGTTGACGTGTGGATCGCGGCGAAATTGACGGCAAGCAGTCTTTCGGCAATGATGTCGGGGTCGCGCTCGGTGGGGTACGGACTTTCACGGGCTCGATGAATCGACCATTGCATGAAATCGTTAGGTTCTGGATCGCCAAGTTTCTTCTCAAGATCGCCATTCTGACCTTCAAGAAGTCTCTGGCGTCGCTCGATCTCGGGTCGAACAAGGCGCGCGAAGGACTTCGTGTGGTATCGGTTTGGCCGTGCGATGACGACAGCAGCAAGAGGACGGAGGAATTCAGGGAACAGCTTGAGTAGAGTTGATGCAATCGGAACGGCAGTTGCAAAACCCATTCCGTGCTCCAAGAGTGCCTTGTTCCGACATAGAGGCAGCCCGACAAAGACTCGATTGCTGGTTCGAGCGATGATGAGCTTGAGGGTTTCAAAAGGACAGACCTCCTTCCATTCGGTCGTATCAGTGCCCCAGATCTCATCAAATGCAGCGCCTAACTCGTCCATGATGTCCATGGTCAGGGCGCCCAGCTGGCGAGTAAGCTCGCTTCTGATGGTCTCGTGGTGTAGGGGCTGATCAACAACGACCGGGTGAACAAACGTGTACTCGGTCTGCAGAACGTCCTTGTGAGGTTCGTCCGCGCTCAAAATACTCTCTGGCTGATTGATGAGCCAGGTTATTGACGACGCTGGGAGCACAATCTCGTCCCCACTTAGTTTGGCAATTATGCATGATTTGTCGTTCTTCGAATACTGCAATTTGGTGAGCGGAGAGCGCGGAGATCAAACAAGTCGACTTACCTGTTCATAAGCTTGATGAATCGACTCTTTGTAGTTGAGAGTCGAGCGAAATCTGGAACGCAAGGTCGTGAACAGTTCGCCTTCTTTGGTGTTAAGCCACGGCAGGTCAGGCAGGCTTGGTTTCGGCTGGCGTCGACGGTATAGAAGCACAAGCACCACAACAAAGACAACGGCCAAGACGTATGGCCGCAGTATGTATTCAATCATGGTTGAAGGTTGTTGAAGCAGCTTGCGCGGTTTGAAAGGACGCCGAAGCTGATGAAGACACAGACAAAGACACAGTGCGGTGGGTTACACTTCTTTCTTCTTAAGCATCCAGCAGCAGGTTGGAGTCGTATTTTGAGGTGGGGGGGCGTATTCTTCGCAACTATCACCCGGTTCTCTGGCTAAATCGAATATGGAGAGTAGCACACAGGAACGAGCGTCCAGCTGCCAGTTGGAGTTGGGGCAGTGTTCGGGGTTCGACAAAAGTGCTGGCTAAGCATGCAAGGATGTCAGCACTGCTGATGGTTCAGGAAGGATCCAAGATCACCCACTCTCCCCGTAGAAGCTACCATTGATAGATCAACGGAGTGCGGTGAGGAGCGCAGGGGTCGTCGAACCACAACTCGGGACGAACATCAGCCGCATCTGATCTGGAACTGATGTCGCGAGATAATTGTCCGCGAACATTCGTCGACAGCTGATTGGCGCTGGGCGAAGTTCCAAGGGGTTGAAAGGCTGGAGTTCTAGTGAGAACGGCGAGCCATTTGCCCGTTTCAAGAAATATGTTGACGCGACACTGAAACGTAACGATCAAGGAGGCGTGTCTCGGAAGCTTCGACAAAGGCTCTGGGCACAAGCCGCAACGTCGCATCCCACAACTGTCAATGCCAACCGGGCAAGCAGCGAGGCGAACTGAGAGATACTAGTAGAAGATTGTCTTCGAAGCCGACTCGGAATAACACCGTACCGAATCGGGTGGCGAGGTATAATTAATTAATGCACTTGTAGGGTCTCGCGCAGTGCTTGCGAGGTCCCTAGAAACGCCCCCGGCACCACGGGGCGTCTCCCTTTAGCTAGCCCCTCGTAAACTAAGCCCCTCTAAGATGTGGGTGCTGGGGTCTGGTTTACCTAAACATTTGGGGACGCTCTTGGGCATCCATGGGCACCCATTGGGTGTCTGTGGTGCCTGGATTTGCAGCCACAGGTCTGACGGGTGACAGCCACATCGACAGCCACAGACGCGTCCAGTGGTGAGCGAACACGAGAACCCACGCAAGTCCACCACCCAAAAATCCACCCCACGCTGCTCCGTACACCAAACAATGATGCATTTCGAGGAAGTACTGTCTGCGCACAGCCTCAATTCTCTGTAGAGAAGACTGCCGCCTTGACGCATGCCTATTGTCATGCGCCTCGGAATCTCATTCTCATCGCGCTGCCAATGGCAGACCCACGATTGAACCGCGTCGAGGGCACCTTGACCTCCCTCCTCGAAAGCCTCGTCCCTCCACTCTCTCCCGACCAAGACGACACTGATACCGAATTCCGCATCGAACGCGCAATTCAGAATGCAAAAGAGACGGTTCTCGCTGCAGACGGCAGACTACCCCCAGACACCAACCAGGCACAGGATTTGATCAAGCGAAAGTTGCTGCGCGAGAATGCCTCTCCAGAGAAAGCCGCAAGGTTCAGCAATCTTTATTCCAGACTTCTCGCCATTCCCGTCCTCAACCAAAAATGGGCCATCCTGTACCTCCTCTACAAGCTGTCGGACAAGTCCACCCCTGATGCGCGTCCTCGAAACCCTCTCGCAGATTCGGAGCAAGTCGCAAACATTCCGCGGCGACACACCTTGTCCCCAGAGACCACCTTTACTGCGGAGGAAGAGTTAGACGATGAGGAGGAAGAGCCACAATTACCGAAAGTGTCGATTCGCACACGCCGTGCTTTATCAACCAGATCCAGAAAGCCAAATGAGCAAGTGGAAATTGCCACGGAAGAGGAGTATCAGTCACAGACTCCAGAGCCAAAGGAAGAAAAGCCAGTTGCGGAGAAGCAGGAGCCACGAGTCATTTATCCTTCAGAATTGGATCTTCTGCGTGACTTGCCCTTCAATCTACAAGGCGTGTCTTCTGCGCACCTTCAATTCGCAGACAACGGCGCGCTCAAACTGCCACCAAGCCTGCCGGTTCCGATTCTTTCTCTCCTCCACGCACTTGCAGAGCCTTGCCTGCTCTACCGGGGTTTAGCAGAATATGCTGCAGGCCAGGATGGAGGCCTCATTGATCAGAGCCTCCGTTCCGCCATCAACAACGAACTACGCTCCTACTTGAGTCTTGTTGCTTCGCTTGAGACGGAGGTTCGACAGGCCTTGGCCACTGTCCAGAACGCCCAAGATCCCAAAGCGGTCCGCTTGACTGGCGTCACTTTGAAACGATGTCTGATCTGGACAAGAGAAGCAACCATGGCCCTTCGACTTATGAAACTGATTGTCGAGGATTCGAGGCAAAAGCGAGGGGGGCAATTGTTGTCTCTTATACACAACTTGTCCTCGTCCCATGGCGACCCCTTTGTGGCGTCATTTGCGGAAAAGCTTCTGACACATGTTGCACGCCCGTTTTACGAGATGCTCAGGCATTGGATATATGACGGCGAATTAATTGACCCATACCACGAATTCTTCATAACAGAGCCAGATCCTACTGCGCAGCCTCCGGTGGATCATCGACACGTAGCAACTTCTGTGTGGGAAGAGAAGTACAAGCTCGACTCAGGCATGGTACCCTCGATTATATCCTCCGAGTTTTCCAGAAAAGTCTTCCTGATCGGGAAATCTCTCAACTTCATTCGCAACAATTGCGGGGATTCTGACTGGGTCATCAAATATTCCAAATCAAACTCGAGGTCGCTGGACTATGCAAACACTGCCAATCTCGCGCAGTCAATCGATGTGGCTTACCGAACGACAATGTCGCGATTGACGCATCTGATGTCGACAAAGTTTGGCTTGTTCACACACTTGACAGCGATCAAGAAATATATGTTGCTGGCCCAGGGCGACTTCTTCGATCTCCTCATTGAGTCGTTAGCTCAACATCTTGATCGCCCTGTGAATTCAATGTACCGACACAATCTTACATCACAACTAGAACATGCCATACGACATTCCAACGCTCAGTATGACGACGCCGAAGTGCTGCGACGATTGGATGCCCGAATGCTTGAGTTGTCGAGCGGAGAAATTGGCTGGGATTGTTTCACTCTTGAATACAAAATCAGTGCTCCTTGTGACGTTGTCATCACTCAATGGGCTAACACGCAGTATCTCAAGATATTCAACTTGCTCTGGAGAATTAAAAGAGTCGAGTATTCCCTCAGCTCGACCTGCAAACGCTGCATGACGGGCGGCCGAGGAGTCCTTGCTGCAGTTAGTGACAAACTGGGTAACGACTGGAAACGCTCGAGATGTGTTGTCGCAGAGATGGTCCATTTCGTCAACCAGCTGCAGTATTACCTTTTGTTCGAGGTCATTGAGGCCAGTTGGAAAAAGCTCGAAGAGGCTCTACAGAAGCCTGAAGCTACGCTGGATGACTTGATCGAAGCTCACACGAATTACCTGAACAACATTACGAAAAAGGGCCTGATTGGGCAGCAAAGGCACCCAGTAACAGGTCAGCAAGAGGACAGCCTTATCGTCCAAGTCCACCATATCTTGAAATGCATGCTTGCCTACCGAGAAGTCATCGACTCGCTCTACTCGTACAGTGTTGCGGAGTACACTCGACGTCAACAATTTAGTGCCAAAATAGAACGACGGACTGCTCAAGGGAAATGGGGGATCACCGAGAAGGATCTCTTGGGAGACTCGAGGGCCAGCACACCCACTTCTGTTGCAGGCGCAGGAGCCTTTAGGAGTAATCAACTGGTTCTGGAAGAAAATGATTCTTCACTTCCAACAAATGAGAATATACACATTACGGATGGTGAAACCCATCTGAATTCTCTGAGGGCACGACAACTGAATCTGTCGGCCGATTTTCGATCGCGGCTCAGCATGTTGTTGTATGATTTGGCACACCAACCAGATGTCGATTTGAGGTTTTTGGGAGTGGTCATGAATTTCAACGAGGTCTACCAGCCCGTTAACATCCGGCGGCAACAGGCTAGACGGGCTCGAGAGAAACGAGAGCTGGAGCGAAAGGCTCGCGAAGCCACTGTCTCTTCTGAAGGCAACGTCTCCTTAGAAAAGGACTTGAACAGCTCCACATCAAAGTCGTGAAGTATAGCAGACGCCAAACCCTTCGCCCTTAGTGAGTGCCACGCTTCACAACTCAGCAGCGAATCCGGTCGCTCAACTCTGTCTATCCAGACAATGGCGCAGGAAATTTTTTGTCTATACTCTCCATCTTGTTGTTGTCACATGCTCCTCATTATCAGAGGTACGGTCGGGGCTGTACACCAGGCAGCCTTTTGTGAACGCTGGAGAAAGCAACATGAGGCTGGCGAAATAGGGTCAGAGCACACAAGTTCAAACCCAGTTGAGATCTGGTACTCCAGTACTGAAAAGAAGAGACTATGTTACGAAGTGAAGAAATTCAAGATTATTACGATGATGTATTCTGTCACCTGGTTCACTCCTCTTTTTTTTACCGGCCTCTCAATACCAACACTTCTGCGCATACGCCACAGACCGCGGGAGGATCAAAATACAGTGCCTTTAACCTGAGCAATCTTTTTCACGTTGATGTTTTTGATCATGAACATCCAAATCAGCGACAAGGCCATGAGGCCAGTGCCCACGGCTAGCATCCTCGCCTGGGCATAACCGTATGCCTGCTGGATGCCGAGCCTCTCAGGCGTACCCTTGGCATAGCTCAACTGCGTGTTCAGATCATTGTATATGTCTTCGATATCAGTGGGGGAGGTGGTGGCAGGAAGGTAGCGGACGAGGGCTTTATAAAAGGTGTTTGTCCAGATGGCGCCGGAGATGGTGTTGCCGACGGCGCCGCCGACATTTCCCACCACGTACAGCAAGGCCAGCACGGCGGCGACGTGCTGATGATCTGCGGCGGCCAAGATGGCGATCTGCTGGACGATGATGAAGATGGCGCCGCCCACGGCGATCAGGATCTGGCACATGACAATGTACCCGATGCCCGAGTCCGGTTGGCGGAAGTGGATCATCAACCCTTGAGCGAGGATGTACAAGGGAACCGCGAAGAAAAGCAGCCACTTGAAGTATCCGGTGCGCCGGATCAGGAGTCCGACGAACAGCAGCAGCACCCCGGACACGACGTCGAACGTGCTGCCCACGTACCCGGCCTCGGCCAGCGTCAGGTCGTTGACCACCTGCAGGAACGACGTGAAGTAGCTGTTCCAGCAGTAGTACGAGACCTGGTAGGTGAAGTCGAGCAGACACGCGCCGGTGACAGTACGGTTCGCCAGCAGGTTGACGTGCAGGAACGGCGCCCGCGCCACAAACGTCTCATAGAGGCCGAATGCCACCAGCACCACGAACCCGACCACGATCATGGCGATGATGTACCCGGAGGCCCAGCCGTTCGGGGCAGAGTCGGCAAGAGTAAACGGCAGTAAAAAGACCGTCAGGCCCGCGGCGAAGAGAAACACTCCAGGAGCTGTTTTAAGCGTTAGTCAAGATATGATAACGTATCTGAAAGAGCACAAGGCCAACGCCGCGCAAATCTAAAACTTACCATCAAACTCTTGGACATAGTGCCAAATGTTCTGCGACAACGTCCGGCCACTGCTCTCCCGGACGAGCAGGCCCTGTTTCGCGGCTTTTCGCAGATTGAGCTTCAGAATGACGTACAGCGGCGCCGCCACGAACGGCAAGATGATGGCGAAGGTGCCGAAACCCCAGCGCCAGCTGATGTGGTAGTAGAAGTCGTCTGAGGCCTTGGGACCGGCGAACGCTGTGATCATGTATGGCGAAGATGTGAAGGCGTACGCCAGGCCTCGATTCTTCAATTTGGACGCATCGGCCGTGATCACGTCGACGCTGTATATCAAACCCCCGAAGCCGATGGAGTAAAACACCTAAACCCATCAGTACGTGACCTCTCAAGATGGTCAAAGTCCCGCATCATGGGTGACTTAGGTACCTGTGCTGCGCAAAATGTCGAGAGACCGCTGCAAGAAGCCATCAAGATCAAGCCTAACGTGGAGAAGGCGACCATCAGAAGGAAACCCTCGGCGCGGCCCCAGATGTCAAGCATTTTGGCCAGAGGGATATAAATTGCCGCACTCATCGAGTTGGAGACGATGTAGATGACGGTCAGGAGGGAGTGTGTCTCGAAAGCGCTCGTGGCGAAGGGGACCAGGTTATACAGGATCGACGACTGCATCGCATTGACGAAATAGAGCAGGAACATCCTGGACGTGTGGGGCAGTCAGCCAAAGCAGCTTCGCATCTAGGATGTGGCTGTCCAGGGGAATCCGAAAGACGATGGGAAAGGTCGGGACAGGACAGCATACAGGATGAAAACCGCGACGAGGGACCGCTTTGACCAGGTCAGAGTGACGGCCTCGACGTCCTGAACACCTCTCTGGGCATCTTCGGTGGGATTCTGTGCCTCGTGGCTTGCTTCTTCATTGCTGCTGCTTCCAATGGTGGCTTCGACGCTGGTTATTGCTGCTGTATCTTTCTGGCTGCCTCCGACTCCTAGTGGAGTCATAGGCAGAGGGTTCTCTGCGTCGTTGGTGGTCGTCCGACGGAACCCAGGCCGGAACTTGGGGAATACTGCCATGGTTGCTTGAGGTAGTGAAGCCAATCCACATATGAAGGGATAGTAGAGAAAGAAAACAGGAAGAAAGGAAAGAACGAGGAGAGACGCTCTGGCAAGGTGCTCGGAAAAGTTTGACCTATCTATATACCTACGTGCTGCCAGCAGTGTGGGCCGATCTTCATACCATTGACCAGCCAGCATAACCACCTGCAGTCGCCAGGAAAATGGTTGCAGCGTGGCAGCGTGGTCTGTCGACGGTTGCAACCCTCGAGAAGGTGGCTCTACTACTGCATCGACCCCCAGGCGCAAAGCCTGCAAAGCTCTATCCGATGTCGGCAAGAAAAAAGCCTGCAAATGGAGCTGGGATGTCCATAGTGAAAAAGCAAAGGGGCCCAAGGGAAATGAATAGCGAGGTGGTAGCGTCTTGGGACAGTGGCAGAGTGGCTCCTCTGGTACTTGTCGTGACGAGGCTTATCAATCTTATGACGTGATAAGATTAGATTACCGCCTGGCGGGAGATTATCTGATAAAAATTTCACCGGGCACGTGCTGGGCCCTTAATGACCCGAAGCCCACCACGCCATCCCACCAGACCCCCTCGCCCCTTATATTATTTGTTGAGTGGTGGAAGAGTGGATGCGTACCGAGTACAAGAGGCCGTTTGCGGCTATCGGCACCATCAACATCGGCTGGTGTCGGGCTTCTGATTGACAAACTAGGTACTCGGTACCTAAGCCCATCTATACAGCTCGAGTCCTCGTACAAGTACCCAGGAAGGTATATACCTGTAGGTACTGGTTCTCTCCATTGCTTACATATCATATTCTCCCCTTTGACCGAGCAGCCGTACTCTTAGGTATGGAGTACATAGGTCTTTTTTTTCTTCTAGACTTCCCAAGGTTGATATACACCGGTAATGTTTTTCGCTTCCTCTCTTGGCCACTTTTCTCGCTCCGGCGCTCCTGCGCGCGCAGGACTTCCTGATTTTGGGGGTCGGATCCCAATCCAAGCCCGGTTTTAATGGTAGCAGCCACACAGAGTTCGCTGTCTGCACAAACTCGGCAGAAGAAGGGTCTGGTTCATATCATTGGAGAGGTGTGTGCTCGATCCGAGTGGCTGACGAGGGGGATTGAACGGTGCACTTTGCTCTACAAAAAATATCGTCAAAAGGGTATCTATGCAGGTAGGTGGCAGGCTCTGTCAGGGGTAGGTAGGTACTGAACCCCGTGCAGCCTATGAGGCTATGGGCTGTATTGAGGCTGTGCAGACACTCCCAGCCTATCGCGAGAATTGGACGGGCAGGGGTGTCGTTCGTATTCCAGCTATGCGAACACGAGGTGTGAAATGCCTCATAGACAGCTCTCCCCCTCCATTACCACCTTCAACACCTGTTCAGTATCCTTTCTATAGCGCTCCATCGCGCACGCGGCTACTCCTTGATACATTTCCAGAGAGTAGGGATATCTACGACACTCCTGAATCAGAAACAGACAAAAAGGGGGGCAGTTCAACCCTATATATACACACACATCCCCTGCAAAAAGAGCCCCGCGGATATCATCACATATGTGCTGCCCGTTCCTCGGCCTTATCCTCTCCTGCGCCAGGTCGCGGAACCGACCCATTTCTTCCATTGAGGCGTTGGTATTCCCTCTCTCTTACGTCCCCTAGCACATGATCTATGGCCATGAAAAGCCTCTATAAGACTTTGAGAGCGACATGTTTTTTCCCCCTCTCTAGAAGGGTTTTATCAAGAAGGGCAAAAAAAGATACTTCGTGCCTAACTTCGACGCCAGAAGCGCCATAGCCCAACGCGAATATAACAAGAAACCGCCACTGCGGAAGAACGACAGGGACAGAGACGTCATTTACCACACGGATGGCAGGGGTGCGCCAAAGGTAGAGGAGCCGGGGGAGAGGTGGAGATTTGAGCCGTATAGGATCGGGACGGACGATTGAGAAAGGGCAGGGGTAGAGAGGACATGCACCAGCCGGGAAAGCTGGAGACGGACGCTTCTGTGGGGTGTTGGAAGAAGTGAAGCACGAGATGAGGAGCGAGGCAGAGAGAAAGAAAGGGGCAGTCAGACACAGGTTCGCCATAGAAGCGCCCTTCCATCTCTCTCCCCAAACGTTGAGAACATTTTCTTTGAGGGGATTTTTTCTAGCGCCACTGTCCAACAAGACCTTCGTCCGCCTTGCCCAGCACGGGATCATTCTCCGGCTTTGGGACCGCCCACACCCGATCGAAACGGCCCACGTCTTCCCCTCCCTTTGCAAAATCCCACTGTCCTCCACCCCTCGGGTACGCGCCGATCATGGTGAAGCCGGAGAGCTCGACGTTGGCGAGCGTAGCCTTAATACTTTCCCCATGTCCTCCGTGAGTAGCGACAGCATGCCCATCCCCAGGTGTGAGCAACTTGAACTCCGCCTCCGGCATTGCGTTGAACGTCTTATGCGCCGTGCCTGCGGGGAGCACAAACACGTCTCCCGCGCGTGCTTCGACCTCGACACCCCCCGCCTCCCTCCCACCGGGTGAGTACGTGCTCTCGTCCAAATCGTCAACCGTGTCCGCGACTCCGAACCGGATCGTCGCACTCCCCGTCAACACGGCCATGCACTCGTGCACGCCCGAGTGGTAGTGCGAGCGCTGCGAGGTCCCGTACCGGAATATCCATTGCGTGTCCCACCCGTTGGACGTGAAGAGGTCGTATGCCCGTGTCGCGATGCTCGAGTGTGACGACGACGCGTCCGGAGTATCGGTTGTAGTTGGAGAGGATGATGATGATGATAGTAGGAGACCTGGGTAGTGGAGCAGCGCGTGTGGCGAGTTGGGGACCAGCGAGGTCGGTGGGAGATGGTATTTCTTGACTTCGACCATTGCTTTTCCTTCCTTTTTTGGGGGGGTTGGGACACTAGTGGTGGTATGGTGCGTGCTCTGCCGTTTCCTGTTGGTGGTAATATATTAATATCATCAACTTTCTTTATTTTTTTCAGTATGGGAGGAGAGTGTGTTGTTTTAAGTAACAATCTACCCTGGTTGAAGACAATGTCGTTGATATTGTCCGGCGGAGAAGGGCCCCCACTTCTAGGACAGATGTGAGGGGATCCCAATCACCAAGCCGGCCCGGGATGGTCACAGGGCGTACAGGACCGGACGGCGTTTAACATCATTGCAGAGCTGCGTGGAAAGAGATGGTAGAATTAGGTAATGGTGTTCGTGATTTCTGGAGTAGGTCTCTCTCGTTGCATGGTTCCACTACCAGAGCCTGTGCAGATGGTCTGCTGGAAGACCGCGTTAACAAAGACCTATTCCATACAATTCAACTTATCCAAAATTGAGCCTATTGAGGGCCCCCCTTCGCCCAATGCCATTCCTATGATCTCTGCTATCTCACTCACTGGAGCCCAGGATCCGTTGGCCCTTCCCAGATGTTCTTCCTGCTTTCGGTAGATGACCCTAAGTGTCTGATGGCTTCTCTGCTACTTCTGGCTACAGCTCCAGCCCCGAGCTAGCACCACCCGAGGGGAACGCTCCTGTGCCACCTCCGCGACGAGACTTCAGCAGATCCCCTCGCCATCCGTGCCGCGAGCAATCCTGGCTCCGGTCTGGGAGACACACCGGCGGCAACAAAGAAACATTCCTCTCCCAAGACCGCCTCCTTTCTTCAACGACTCCGATGTATCCACGACTTGGCAACTCTCCAACTTATCTCACACACACACAAAGGCAGCTCATGCTTGCGGAAGCGCCATCCCCCTCACTCTAGTTGCTTAAGGATGTATGTCTCGTCTTCTGCCCGTGACCTGTCGTATCTGTAAAGCACCCACCAGGCATGGACGATGCCTGGCACCCACCACAGGAGACACAGCAAGATGTTGATGATGAAATCGGCCCCGAATCCCGTCTTGAGGAACACCGCCACTGGAGGCAGGAACAAGGCGAGTACGTAGAGGCAGACGTCGGATGCTGATAATGATAGTCGACCCATAGCGTTGGCGCTAGTTGTGTTCTGGTTGTTCTGGTGTTTCTGATTGGTTTGGTTGTTCCTGAACTGGTCCGTCCAGTGTCTGTTTTACTGATCTTTTTCACTTCTGCAGAAAGTTATCTAGATATCATCTCCCTCGCTTGACCCGAGTGAAACGCAAGAGAAATACTAGAACCCATATTCGAGAATTTTCACTGCAGTTGTTTGGTCACGCCTCCGAGACAAGACCATCATTCGATCCTCAGGAGACTCCACTTACCCCAGACACGCTACACGAGATTGCGGGATACAGACAGTAGCCTCCGCTGGATCTCCTTCCCGTAACGACATTCTCCATTGGGGGGAACACCGAGAAGAGAGACGGCGAAATGCGCGTGATATCACCTGCCTCTGCCAAGCCTACCATCATGCGATGCTATGGTTGAGGTGGTAGGCGCATGATGATTCCCAAAGGAGCAGGGTCAGAATCAGGTTGCGAGGCAGCATGTCCAAACTCCCCAGATCAGAAGCTACACTGAACCTGGAGGGAAGTGATTAACGATGGCTATTCCTTGAAACGTACCTAGGTAGGAAGCTGAAGGGAGACTCGCAGATGGCAAGGTGGTAGAATCTCAAACGCCATTTCCTTGGCAAGGCTGCCCTCCAGCCTCGTCCGATGACCGCATCCATTTGTTGCATGCCAACACTTTACAGCCATACAGGGCGGCGCTACATATCAACGTCAGGAACTATCGCCGCTGACTATCTTCATTTTTCGCTGTCAGTCCTGTAGTCGACAACATAGTGCGCAACATTCCAGCCCCCAGATCCTCTCGATATGCCCATCAAGCCCCTCACATTCAAAGGCGACAAGAAGCCCAAAAAGCGCAAGCACCGTCACGACGAAGATGTCGGCGACTCCCAGACCGCCGGTGGCCAGTCCACCACAGTCGATCCCTCCGATGACGACTCCTGGACCACTCCCGACACGCCCAGCGACCTCTCCGGCCCCGTGCTACTTGTCCTCCCCACCTCCCCACCCACGACTCTGGCCGCCGACGCGCACGGCAACGTCTTTGCCTCGCCGCTCGAAAACATCGTCGAGGGCGTCGCGGAAACGGCAGAACCTCATGATGTGAGACAGGTCTGGGTCGCGAGTTCCGTGGCCGGAATGGGCAAGGGGGAGATGAGCTTCAAGGGGAGCCATGGTGGGTTTTTGAGCTGTGACTCGGTGGGCGTGCTGGGGGCCAAGAGGGAGGCCAGAGGCGTCGAGGAGGGGTTCATAGTGGAGGAGCTGGTGGACGGTTCTGAAGATTCTGGGGGAAGAACGAGGTGGCGGCTACGAACTGCGGCGTCCAAGCTGGAGGATGGTGACAAAGGGAGACGATATCTGTGCGCCGTCACAGAGGCGAAGCCGACAAACGCAAAATTAATCAACATTTCACTACGTGGGGATGGCGAGGCTTCGTCAGATTCCACCCACCTGGTCCTCAAAATGCAAGCTCGCTTCAAACCACGAATACAGCAGAATAAAGAGACAAAGGCACGGGAAAAGATCAGTCGGAGGGAGCTTGAACAAGCGGTTGGCCGAAGATTGGAGGATGAAGAAGTGAAACGCTTGAAAAGGGCGAAGAAGGAAGGCAATTTCTACGAGGAGGTCCTGGACGTTCGGGTCAAAGGGAAGCATGACAAGTTCGCCAGTTAGGACACTTCTTTTGATCCTATCACGAATCCGACCGGCTACGACAGACTTTGCACATTTTAACCAAACAGACGTTTTCCAGAACTTCATCCACATGGAGACTCATTACCCGTCATTTTCCCCAACCGTTCCAACATATATCGACGCATGTACCTCTGATTCCAATTTAGAACATTGCAGAAACGCCAGTCGCTATGCATCAAAACGACCCAAGGGTATATGGCCCGAACATCATCACCTCATCAAAGACTGGAAAAGAGGCGACCTGCAATCCTGCGCCCTGGACGATGAGTTAGCGGCCAGTATCTTGACATTCGGGATCGGTTCGAACACTTACATAGGGGTCTCGACTCCTCCGCCGCCAGACCTTCGTCAGCCCGCTGTTCATAACTGCGAGCTTCCCGGCGCGCCAGTCTTTCACGTAGCCACGCTCTCCTTGCGGACACACCCTGAGCTCGAATATCAGCCGGGATTTCGTCTTCCGTCGTGGTTCGCCTGCGACCGAGGGGTCCAGTGTCCATAGGTGAAGTCGCACTTCCCGCCTGATCCATGGGAATCTGGGGAGAAATCATCGGTATGGAAATGCGCCGAACAGAACGGCCGGGTATCGCAAGAATTGGGGCGGGAAGTCGATTCACGTGAATGGCCAATGATGAGTTTTCTGGTAGGCTCCTCCCTCGTTGCCGCATCCTCCGCATTAGTCTTTCCCGCCTAACCATGAGGTTTGTGACTTGAACGGGACAGTATCCCGGTGGAAGTGATGATTTCTTGCACAGTGGACATAATGAGCTGTTGTCGCGGAGAAAGGGATCGATGCACTCTGGATGGAAGATATGGTTGCAGGGCAGTTCGCGAACAGCGGTCTCTCCACTTATGAAGTCGTCAAGACAAATTGGACAAGTCGACTGAGAAAACGCAACGGGCCGCACCACAATGGCGGGGGCGATTGCACTCTCGACGTCCTTTGCATCAGCGTGCGCCGACTTTGGCACTTCGGGTTCGACTGCATCCACCGTTTCAGGCTCGACAGCTTCATTTGGGCCGTCGCCATTGATGCTGTCTGGCTCCGAGCTCGCATTGTAGGTATACTTTGGCATTTTGTCAAGCAGCTCTTGTGGTACTTGCAGCCTCTTGATCCCTAGCGCCTCCAGATCAACCTCTCCATTCGCCACTCGCCGCTGGAGGACGCGTCGTTGTCTTCGTTGGATCATGTGCATGACGATGGACGTCATTAAGACCACCGCCAGAAGGATGGCCAGGACGATAATCAAAAATACCCATAGCGAAGGTATGCCGGTGCCGGTGCTGACATCCATTCTTGCATACAGCCGGATAGTATCGTGAGGATTGTAGATCTGTACCAGATCGCTGCCAAATGGTACCTCTGACATGTTCCCTGAGTAATCTGCTAGCTCATTTAGAAGGAAAGATCCCAGCATCCCAGGAATGGCATATACTGGATACTGGTTTGTCGACTTCCATTGTCCACCGTCACTAAGACTCCAGGAGCGATCGCTGACGGGAGGAGGTTGTGAATTCGAGTTTCCCGGTTGAAAGAATATTGCTCCTCGGACCTGGTCGGACCGCATGGCGGAGAGGTAGGAGTTGACGCACTCTGGCTCCGTCCACGGCGCCAACGCAATCAATGGATAATCGCCCGGAGGTATCTGGGCCCGTGTCGTGGCATTGGCCGGAATTAGGGATCTGGTGGAGTTGTCACAAGGACTCGAGGGCGGAAGGGCGGGAGAATATAGAAGGCCTTGGATGACATCGTAATGGTGAGGATTGCTGGGAGACAGAGTACGAATGAGCCCCGATGCCCTCAGAGCAAAGCCATAAGATTCCTTTCATTTGTTAGTATTGGAGCCGTCTTGTACGCGGGCTTGATGTTTCATACATTGACAATGCGGGCGCCAGTGGAGGGGTCATATTGTGGGTTGGGCAACACAATTGCAACGACGCCGAAGTCCTGTGCGGCTGTGCAGCGGGTAAGCACCTATTCTTGTGTGAGACAGGAACGGAAGAGGTCACACTCACACATGGCTGGCTATGTGGGTTGCTGGAGACAGTTGATTACCACAGACTGCGAAGGGAAAGCGTGCGCAGGCTCAATCGGCCGGGTACATGACTTGGGATGTGCAACAGGAATTACCACACACTGTGCACCGGCAAACACGGATGAGATTAAAGAGAGGCTTGCGAGATCCAGATGACGCACGCATAGAGGTCATCAAGGTCGTTAAAGGAAGTCCTTGCGACCTCTTCGGAGCAGAAGAAGGCGAAGTATACGAAAGATGCGAATGGTAAGAAAGAAGGCACGGACTTCGACCTCAATTGCTCGACCCTCGACGATCTGCGGACCGGACTTTGGACAATACCTAGTAACGGCAGAGATGCAGGCGGGAGTGTCCCAGTTGGGTTGCCCAGCCTCTTGAGATTTGGGTGTCTCTAGGCTCTCAGCATCCTGCAGCTTTTCCCGGGGCTGGGCTACTGACTACCTAGTACCTACCTAAGGTAGGTAGGTACTGTGAGTGGCGGCTGGGGCGTGAGGGGTTACCTCAGATCCGGCTGATTTCCTCGCTAACCGTTTGGTTCCAAGGTTGGGAGGGGAGGCGCCCTAGAGCCGGTTCCCTAGACCTACCTAGGCACCTAGGTGTGGTAGGCAAGCCTGGGCAGGCTGCGTTAGGCTATCGTGGCTGGTGGGCTATTCCGCTTCAGCAGAATCCGATCCGTTCTGTCGGTCCGTAGTAGTACTCGGTACAAGGAGCCGCTAGCCTGCAGGTGGGAAACTTGAATGGCATGTTAGCCGACGCTTGGCATCTAACTGCGGCCGAGTCCCAACGTCAGTCTTGCAGTGAGATAGCGTTAACAGGAGTAACAAGACAGCGCAGTATCAAACACCCTGAACCCATTGACACACACTCACGACTCTAGCCAGGGTCGCGTCGGCGAGAACTTCGCACCCCACCTCCGAGACTTACCAGAGACGTCCCTGTGATGGAGAGATCGAGCGTCGAAACGCCACTCTGATCAACATCCCGCGTTCCACCACCACTGACGAGTCAACCCTTGATCGCAACATGCCTCCCTTACCAGGTGCTAGTAAGAAGAAAAATCGAGATGGGCGACGGTCTCGTAGCAGGAATACCACCCCAAGCTCGGTTCTCAGTGCTGGCACTGCACCGCCAGGCCCGACAACCACTCCTCTCCTCGAGTTGGAAGTGTCCAAACTCCTGGTGCCTTCGAAGCCAAATTATGCAGAGATCATAGACCATCTGGATAACCATGGCTCCAAGTTGGAGCCCAAGTCGTTGCACGAGATCATTGATCAGTTGAAGCATCTCAGCGAATCGGCCGAAAAACGCGCCGAATCATGCGAGAAAGCCATTCGACTCATCCATGAACAGAAAAAGAACGTGGAGACGGATCAGCAAGATCGCGACCGCCAAGCAGAGCAGGCTCGCCGGGCGAAGGCGCGCAAAGAGGAAAGCCACTCCCAGAAGAATCCCAAGGCAAAGAAACGCAAAGACAGACCTGAGACTGTGGACAATGTTGAGATCAAGAAGGAAGGTACGTTGGTTGTCCGTCTATTGCCTCCTCGTAATTCTATATTCATCCTACCTTGGCGCTGGCCCGGCAAAGTTCCTCTGTTTAGCTATCAAATGCTCCTCTGAGGACTGGACGACGACTAGAATTCACTAACGACAAATGCGCAGATGAACCTACGAAGACGAAACTGTCCCGTGCCACACCCGGGCCTCTGGACAGTCCTTCTCCTTCAAAGAAGACCAAACTCAGTCCTGGTACTTCATCGTTATCTGAAGTTGCTGATTCACCAGAAGCCGCAGCTGCCAGCGCGCACGCCTCCCCAGCCAAGTCGGACGTGTCCATGTCTGATGCTGAAGACACCCGTGTTGTTCACCCGCCTGTGCCCCAACAAGGCTTCTTCCCCGACCCACTAGCGCCTGACCCTGTCATCTACCACATTCGAGAGGTGACGCCCGGCATGTCTGACGAGGAGAAGAAGGAGATTTACAGCGTCACTGCGTATCCGACAAAGGATCTGAGTGATCAAGTCGCCGGTACACCGCCTGACAAAGACTTCAGCAATGCCAAACCTACCAATCAAGTCGCTGCCAACACGTTCCTTACCTATGTCGAGCCCTTTGTCCGACCTCTCACGGAAGAGGACATTGCGTGGTTGCGCGAACGAGTAAGTGTAGAGCAGAACGGTGAAAGCAGGGCTTACTGACGCAGTGCAGGGTGATCGAACAACTCCATTTCTCGCAGTGCCCCGAGGCAAGCGTTCCTATCAAGAGATTTGGGCAGAAGAAGATTCGGGGACAATTACCGTCGAGAATGGCGTTGACAAGCTTTCCTTGAGTGGTCCAAGGGGGAACGTGGAACAGATCAACGATGAAAATGTCGCGACAGATCAGATCTCAACTGGACCGCTTGCCAGCCGACTTCTCTCCCTTCTCAAGTTCGAGCACCGATCACCGCCGACTGATCCCAATGCAACAGGCGACTTGAACACTTTCATGGCTGACGGTAATGACACTATGGATTTGGATGGGCTCACCAACGGTCATGACACCTCTGAGAAGCCACTGCCTCCTGCAGCAGCTGTGGCGGATCAGGCACCTGCAAAATCTTCCAATTCTCAGCGTCTTGACTATGTACAGAGTGAGGAACGGATCAAAGGCGAACTCCGACATCTTGGTCTCCTGGGGCAGGATGAGAATCCCGACTACGATGATCACCATGACGATGATATCAGCGAACGACTGCGCCTGCTTCAGGGAGAGTTACGTCGGGTCATGGTCGTGAATGGGGCTCGCAAATCTCGCCTGCTCGATCTGGCTAAGGAACGGCTCGCGTTTCAGGAATACAGCACTATCCATGAAGATCTTGACAGCCAAGTCCAACAAGCCTATCTTAAGCGGACTCGTACGTTGGGGAAGACAAAGAAGGGTGGCCCAGGAGCTAATAAACCGCGACCGGGCAGCCACGGCGTGGGCGGACCTGGCACAGCAATGAGCGTCAACAGAGCTAGGGACATTGGCGACTCAGCCCGGATGCTTATGGATCGCAGAAGGAGATGGGAGAACTGCATCGGACCGGTCTTCAAAGATATGAACCACGGCATTCCCCCCAAGGGCACTACATTGTGGGATCCAAAGATCATGGAAGCTTATGAGAAAGCCGAGTTGGAAGCTCTCGAAGAAGAAGCAGAAGAATGAAACAAAGAGGGTCGAGCTTGTTTCTATTCTCGCTCGAGGAACATCGAACAAAGCGCTATCGCCCAATGTTGGTGTACCGAGGTCACGTGAGTGTTTGATCACGTGGTCAGCACACTGGGGCAGCGGCAAGGGCTACTTACAAAACAAGCTGTGACATGAGGATTTGCTGGACCCTACTCTCGCTATCGATATTGTTGCTTCTCGAGTGTCCTGGGAGGAAAGAGCGAACAAAGAAAAGCTGACTTTGTCTGCCATCAAATCGACTTGACTGAGGACAATGATTTTCCGGATGCGGTGGGAAAGCATAATGTAAACCAGAACAGCATTCACGAGCCGAAAGAAATTCAATGGCCTTATTCCCATTCGTTTTCAAAGTCGCTTGACTCTATCCAGCTGATTACGACTCAATTATTGTTCTCTTGTGTTTTTCCTAAACCCTCAAACCCCCAGCAAAGAGCTGATTTTGTTTAGGGCAGAAAAAGTCACGACAAGATGGCGTTGGATCAGTTCCGAGTGGACTGGGGCGCGAATGTCTTGCAATCATTCTTCGAAGACTCCGATCAGCGTGACGTTGTGGCCGAGTCACCCATCAAGCACTTTTTCAGCTGGGCCGAGACCAGCTCAACAGGTCGCATGAGGCCCACTGGCGAAAGGTTCCGACATATTTTCTCCTCCACCCTTGGACTTCACGATGAAGACGAATGGCGGTTCGAAAGACCTTTGGGGAAGGTATGTTATTGGAATCATTGTATCCTGCCAACGGCGTTGACCACTTTGCTCTCCTTTATCGAAAGAACAGTGAATTGACATGATCTTTGGGGAGAACACTAGGGCTCATTTGGCGCGGCAGCCCTCTTCATCAAATCGAATGCGAGGCAAGAAAAAACTGATGTAAGTACTGTATTTCCAGACGAGTCTCCCGTACGACAGACTCACAAGAGCATTGTTAAGGCATTCGTGTTGAAAGTAACCGACGTTGAGCCACGCGCCTTCCTCCCGGCTACAGGGAAGAAGATATACTTGACTGCGGAAGCTGCCATCATGGCGCAAACCAACGACCTCGATTCCGACAACCTAGTACGTCTTCGACAGTACAAAGTTGACCAGCAATACTGCCGATACTACATTGAATTCTGTGAGTTTGACACATTGGAGACACTGAGGCTGAGATATAAAGCGTGGAAGTAAGTTCTGCCCCGTCTGTCTTGCCTTTTGGCGTCGTCGGGAATTCTAACGAAGGGCAATGCAGTCAATATCTTCCTGAAACCTTCCTGTGGCATACCTTCTACTTCCTGGCACAAGCTTATCTTGACTTCTGCACGGGTCCCTTCAGGAGTCTTAGGTTTGATAATTTTAGACAGGCCATGCCGGGGCAATATCTTCTGCATATGGACATAAAGACGGACAATATCTTCCTGGGCATGAATACGACCAAAGACGATGGCACAGTCTGGTACCCTGTGCCCAAAATTGGTGATTTTGGCCTGGCCACCACCACCAATCCTGATGAACTCACAACAAATACGGCCCAGATCTTACAACGAGGCACGGCAGCGTGGATGCCACCAGTAAGTCCTAACCTTGGCTGTCTGAGTTTGTTCTCGTATTTAACCAAAAGCTAGGAACAACGTATTCACCACATGCAAGATTGGCGTAGGTACTATTTCGACGGCGACGTCAACCCTCGATTCCCCTCGAACCGGCAGACAAAGCTGCATAGGATCCGTCCCGAAGCCAACCTCTGGGCCATTGGTGCCGTCATGTGGAATTTGATGACAATGGGGGAGATTGAAGAACTCAGCGAGAAAGTCGACGACATCCTGTTGGGCGAAGGCCCAGCCTGGCAGGCCTTTGATGGGACGAATATTCTTGACAGTGTTGCCCCCGAGGTCCGGGACCGCTATAGTCCGGAACTTTTTGAGCTCATCCAACAATGCACGGCTTTGAGACCGGCTGATCGACCGCCCCCCAAACGCCTGCTCCAGGATGTCTTTAGTAACCTGAACCAGTGCTTTGCGCGCGAGGAAGAGGCCTTCAGACGCACTCAAGACCCGAGGCCGCTTACGGTGGCCTTTGAAAAGGACCACATCAACGACCTCCCGGATGGTGGTGCCAACTTCGACAGGCCGAAAATCTTTTGGGACGACTTCGCCGACCATCTCCTCTGGGCACCCAGGGAATGGGACTTGGTCTGTCCACCCACAGCCCCAAGGACCCTGGAGTTTGACGACCGCTGGCCGCTGCCACTCCGCGAGAGAATCAACGAGAGGTGGAAAGAAGCAGTGCTGAAGAGGGATCGAAGACTCGCTGCTGCAAACGTCCGCAACACGAGGGGTGCTGCCGCGACTGGCACACTGTCTCCTGCTCAACAACAGACAGCAGTACCTTCAGGAGGGATCTTCCGCGCACCGTCTACCGATCATTACGATCCAGACGGACAGCCTCGAAAAAAATTCAAGCGGTAAACGCGTGAACACGGATTGGGAAGTGGGAAGCGGCAGCAGCAGCACCCGCAGTCGCACTCCTCTTACCGGGCATCTGCCGCCGATCGCCCTCGCCATCTGCTCATCATCCGTTTCGGAGCGTTGTTAGCGCGTACTTCGTTCCGGAGTATATACGCAGCAAGCAGCTACATCGATGGTCACATCTGTGTCATATGCGGGAAATTTTCCTCTTTCATTTCCCGGTTTTCGCTTATGGTCCAACACACTGCCTGTGGTCGGGCGCACCACGGGAAGAGGGCGGCTTACGTCAGAGTCGTTTGCAATGCGATGAGATTCAGGGGTCGAGGTCAAGCGGAATGGAAGGCCTGAGATACGCAGTCGGTCCCTCGTTTTGGTTTGTGTGACTTTGACTTTTTGAATGGGTAAGGATACGCTCTGGCCTTATGAGGATGACATGCCCACTCTATTCATGGCCTGTCTGCCTGCTTTTGCGTCCTGCCGTTCCCCAATCGTGGTTATTTATCCAGATATATAACATCTATTTATGCGCTTTCTCCAATATATCTAGTCCGAATATTAGTCTTTTTCTCTATTTCCCCGTTTCCTGTATTGAAACCTGGAGCAACACTCTTGCAACTCAAGTCGAAGTTGCGAGACAGATCCCCCCAGAGCGGACGAACGGATGCGCATGCTCAAAGAAGGCCGGCCAACATGATATTCGCGCTGGTCGTTTGTGGCATTTCCGCCTTGATCATATGGACGATTCACGGCCTAGTCTCGAATTATCTGATCGCCCGCAAGATCGGCCTGCCTATTATTCTGACGCCCATTGACTCATTGAACCCGGTGTGGGTGCTTGCAAGACCGGTGCTTGATCCCTTGATTCGGCAGCTTCCTTTTGGACTGGGAGATTTCGCCGGGTACAGCTATCTCGGGTGGGGGTGGGAGCAGAGATACCGACTGCACCGCCGATACGGGGACGGGTTCGTGGTCGTCACCCCTGCAGAATGCCAGCTTGTGCTCGGCGACGTCGACGCTGCGGCTGAGGTGCTGAACCGGTGGAAAGATTTCATAAAGAGTCCGGCCATGTTTGCGCCGTTCAACATCTTTGGGCCGAACGTGCTGACGGCCGAGCACGAGACCTGGCAGCGACATCGCAGGATCACGACGCCGCCATTCAACGAGCGGAATAGTGCGTTGGTGTGGAGCGAGGCGGCGAGACAAGCGAGAGATATGCTGGCCGGTTGGAACTCGACGACAAGCACAAGCCCCATAGGAAAGGTCGGGACCATTCGCGATGATGCCTATACCGTCGCCCTCAACGTCCTCAGCGGTGCAGGGTTCGGGAAACCGCAGCAGTTTGATAATAGTCAGTATCGACGGGCCGAATCTGGCTCGGAGATTCCTGTCCTCGAGGCCATGCAGACCATCATGCACAACATGTTCGCCATCCTCATCATGAACTCCGCGGCCAAGGCCCCCGCCTGGCTTCTCCCCCGGAGCTGGAAACGGGTCCGACAGTCGCTTGTCGAGTGCCGCAAACACCTGGTGGAAATGGTCAAGGCTGAACAAGAGGCGTACGCCAGGGGCCAAGGCGAAGGCGAAGATTGTCACAACTTGATGAGCACGCTCGTCCGGGTCTCGGAGCAAGCAAAGCTCCATGGGGACACGGATAAGGAAACCCGCAGACCGTGGCTTTCGGACGACGAGATCTATGGCAATTTGTGGCTCTACCACCTCGCCGGACACGAAACGACCGCCAATGCTCTCACCTATGGCATTGCTTTTTTGGCTGCGCACCCCGAGTTGCAAGACTGGATCGGCGAGGAGATTCAGCATGTCATGGGAGATGAGAAAGATGATGCTGCTGGGTATGAAGAGGCATTCCCCCGATTGAAGCGGTGCTTGGCCATCATGTACGAGAGTCTGAGACTGTACTCGCCGGCCAACGGCATTCCTCGCTGGACGGGGGATTCGTCACAGACGCTCAAGATCGGCGACAAGACCGTGGTGTTGCCGCCCCGGACATCGGTGCTCGCCAACAACGCCGCGACTCAGACGAACCCAAAACTCTGGGGCGACGACGCCGACATCTGGCGCCCGTCTCGCTGGATTTCGGACGGTGGTGGCTCTCCGGACAAGGAAGAATTGCTGCCCGGTCCTCTCGGCGGCCGCGCTTTTCTGGCGTGGGCGTGCGGACCGCGAATCTGTCCCGGCAAGAAGTTCTCGCAGGTCGAGTTTGTGGCGGTGTTGGCCTCGTTGTTTCGGAGTCACCGGGTCGAGCCGGTCTTGGAGGCGGGTGAAGATATGTGGGATGCAAGACGGAGGATTGAGCGCGTGGTTCAGGATTCACATGTCGATCTGACGGTGACGATTCGACACCCGGAGCGGATCAAGCTGAGGTGGTTGCCCAAGCGGCGGGTGTAGCGTGGCATGTGCTGGAGCCGGGGGTCTGCGCCCATGGGAAATATTCTGAGCAACAGCCTTTCGCAGCCTCGTGGACGGCTCGTCTTGTCTCGTCTCCTTTATCGAGGTAGCCTGCCTACCTAGGTACCTAGGTAGTCCAAGCCACAGAAAGGGAGCTCTATTTGTTCCTTTTTCTCGACGAACAGATCCATCCCGATCTCGCATTGAATAAAAATGGAGACAGTGTTCATAGTCCAAGTGAGTGAGTGGTGAGTGAGAGAGTGACGACGTGAGACGCCGGCCAATTGGCGAACGCACGTGGTGTTTGCTCATGCCCACAACAGGCTTATGTAACGTCGTCGTCGTCGTTGTTGCATCAAGAACCTCGTTTTTGATAAAACTTTGAATCATTGAGTACCTGGGTACTCTTTGCATCTGTTAAGCTTCTGGGCTGAGGCCGAGTGTGTGTGTGCGATGGACCAGAGCAATGCGGCACCAGCGGTGGTCATTGCCGTCTGCGTGCTGCTTGCCACATCCTTGATCGGGCTGTGCGTCAACCGCGTCTATTTTTCACCCGTGGCACACGTCCCTGGTCCGTTGTTGGCCAAGGTCTCATACTGGTGAGTTTTTGCCAACACCTTTAAAGTATTACCTCCTAGGTGTCCTAAGTCAATTGGGGAGGGGGAGTGGGTTGGTGTTTCAAGTGAGGGTTAAAGATCCAACCACTGGCCAACCGAACTGACGGATTGACTGACTGAATGGGGTGGCATGGACTATGTTAACATATACTTTTCTTATATATACGCTAGGTACGAGTTCTACTACGACGTCGTCCAGCGGGGCCAGTACGTGTTCAAGATCAAGAAGCTGCACGAGTACTACGGTCCCATCGTGCGCATCAACCCTGCCGAAGTCCACATCGCGGATCCGGACTTTTACAATGTCATCTACGCCGCCGGCTCCGGCGGCTCTACACGAGAGGAGCAGAAGCCAGCGCAGAAGCGGGACAAATGGTCGTGGTTCACGCGCCAGTTCGGACTGCCGCTCTCGACCTTTGCGACCGCCGACCACGACACCCACCGGCTGCGCCGGGAAGCTTTGGAGCCGGGGTTTCGGAAGGAAAAAGTGGCAAGTCTGCAGTCCCTGATTGAAGATGTGGTGCGCAAGTTGTTGGATCGGTTCGATGAGTTCCAGATGCTGGGCGATGCGTTGCCCATATCGTTGGCTTTTGCGGCTTTGATGAATGGTTTGGGCACCCCATCGGCCCCCTTTTGTTGATGATACCATACCATACCTCTTCACTTGGAAGGCTAATACTCTTTTTTTTGGGTTTTGTGATGAGCAGATATTGTCGAGCAGTACACGCTAGGCCAGAACGACAAGCGCGTCCTGGCACGAGACTTTGAACCCAGCCTTCACGACGCAGCCGTCGTGCGGAGCTTCAGGGGCCATCTCATTAAACAGTTCCCCTCTATTTGGTGGTTAACGCGGTTCATCCCCGACGACGTTACCATCATGGTGAATCGGAGCATGGCATCGCACGTGAAGTTACAGCGAGTGAGCAGCCTCTCCAGGAAATGGTACCCAGGACCGGTTTCTGACATGTGTGCGAGTTAGGACATGAAAGCGCAGATCGAGCTCATCCATCGTCAGGGAGGCAGCAATAGCAACAGCAGCAGCAGCACCGGAAACAAATCCTCACCGTCACCGCCGCAGACAATCTTCCACTCCATCCTATCAAGCAGTGACCTTCCCTCGACCGAAAAATCCCCCTCTCGTCTATACCAGGACGGCCTCGCCACGATCATGTTAGGCACGCTCCCCACCGCGACAGCCCTGAGCGTCACACTCTTCCACCTCCTCTCCCAACCGGAACTTCTCCGCCGCCTAAAGACGGAACTCCTGGTCGCGATCCCTTCGGCAAACCTGCAACGCATCCCCCCGCTGAGCGTGCTGGAACAGCTCCCCTTCCTGAGTGCCTGCGTCAGGGAAGGACTCAGACTGAGTAACGGCGGCATGAACACCACTCGCTCGCAGCGCATCGATCCGCAGAACGCGGTCGTCTTTGTGGACCGGTGGAAGAACGAGGGGAAACGCTACGTCATGCCGCCTGGCACGCCGATGTCCATGACGGGCATGCTCGTGCATCTTGATGAGAAGGTCTTTCCGGACCCGGCGAGGTTTGAGCCGCAGCGCTGGCTTGAAAATTCTACCACCGCCGCAACCGCACTGGCAGGTGGTGGTCGCCGTGACGGTGGTGGTGCCAGGGTTGCTGCGCTGGAGGAATACCTCGTGCCCTTCTCCCAGGGCCCGCGCCAATGCCTGGGCCAGCACCTCGCCCTCGCCTCCATCTACACCACCCTGGCCATGATCTTTCGCGTCTACGGCAGCTCGGAGACGGGCAAGATGAAAGGCGATCGCGGATGTCTCGAGCTGTTTGAGACCGAGTATGCGAGAGATGTCGAGATCGTGGGCGATGGCGTCATTGCGCCGTTGAGGAGTAGGGATAGTCGGGGCATAAGGATCAAGGTCAAGTAAGGTAGATAGATACCTAGGCAATTGGGCGGTTGGTGAAGCGGAGAAAATGTTTTTGCAACTACTAGGTAGACAAATGACGGGCCGGAAAAGAAAGCACAGCAGATGTGCACTGTCAAACCCAACTGCTGGAAAGATGTCTGTATTGCCTATGGCTGTTGCTATCTCAAGGTGCACCAGACAATGCCTTGCCAAGAATACCAAAACACTGCTTGTTGAGATAGAGTCCAGACTCCAGGATCAGGTTTCGGGTCAGCCTTGTGTCTCGTCCCTGTTGGTCTTATCAGCCAAACCACCCATCAGCACTGTCGCCTTTCTCCACGCATCGTGTCTCATTCCATTCAATTCTTGCTCCCTGTCCGCAATTTCCTCGTGCATCTTCTTCAACTCGGCATCGTCACCTATCTTCCGCTCCACCTCCGCAATTTCCTCCCGCGCCAGCTTTTGCATCTCCTTCGACTTTGTTGCTACCAGTCTGAGAACTGCAGTACACCATTTACATGGTTCTCCTTGGAGTACTTCGTCAGCCGCTGCGGGTGCGACAGTGTCGTTCAGGAGGGGTTCGTTTCCTGCAGTGGAGATGTCTTGCTTGTGCATTTCGTGTTGCTTGGGGTGGTGCGAGCCAGTGGTCGGGGCGGTTTTGGACGACAGAGGTGTTCTGGCCCGAGTCAGGTGTTTGGGATGTTCGACCTCAAGCCTGCCACAGGAGAGTCGACCCCAGGGCCGTGGGTTGTCGCAGAGTTCCCATCGATGAGCATTCTTCGGGTTGAAGATAAGTGAGGAGACTGGATCGTGGTCAGGATAGGGACAGATGTGTAGCTTGATCCGACACATGGTATTGAGTGGTGGTAGTTATGATCCTGCCCGGTGGTGGTGAGAGTGGTTCTTTGCGATACTTGCAGGGGGAAAGGTGAGTAGGGGAATTGTTGTGATTCTTCCAAGAGAAAAGAGACGAGGTATTATACTCCCAATGAGTCAGGAATGTGAAGGTCTGATTGCTGGTGTGAATGATTGTTTTGGTCATGCAGGAAAGAAGTTACTGCTATGTCGTGAATGAATGATTGCTGACACTAAGTCCAAGTGAATGGATGTTGGGAGCATTTGAAAGAGGAAAAAGGCGAAGGAGGATGCATCCGCTGCGGAGCGCAATGTCTATACCGCGATTCTGGTTTCCTGACTCCAGGAAGGCGCAACCTCTTCAACCGCGATTGTCTTGGAGAGAAAAGGACGGACGAGGGCACACGATCCCTTTTGTCGCTTTCTCACTGAACGAAATTGGCAACCTGCAACTGATCACAGTGACGCTTCTCTGTCAACAGTTTGTCGACTACCATCAAACAAATACTCCCTTTCCCTACCAAGAGCAGATCCAGACAGCCCTCTTCCCAGATCGACGACTCTTTGAATATCCTGAACCTCTTGGATGACCCTTCTCAACTCGAAATCGTCCCTGTTCCTCACCAGCAGACAGAGACCGTGAGAGACCCAGCAACCATCAAGTTCCACAGTCACACATCAACCAAACCACACAATCATTAACAACTGACCACACAAAGGCCATTTGAGAGGACAGTCGGCAACTTGCAGCACTCATCTCCACTCCAAACACCTCAAACACCTTTCTCAGTACCCTCTGACCTGTTGCCTGCCGACCGAATCCCTGCCCTCAGCCTCGAAGCTTTTCTTCTTTCCCACCAAACACCGTACGACACCAGACCTTCTGTGCTACACGAAGGCGACAAAATGTGCTATGCAATCAAGATTGTGCACTTCGGGTGTGTTGATGGCGAGGAGCACGTGGGATATGCGGTGGTTCGGTGCAAGGGCGGGCTGGAGTATATAATGGCCATGGCAGTCCAGGAGGTGTGTAGCGGGTTGAAGCAAGTGGAGGACTGGAGGATGTCTCCTTGCCGCTTTTGCAAGGAGTACATGGAGAGAAGGCGTGCGTTGGGGCCAGCTGGTGGTCGAGCTCGGGCGGCGTCTTTGGACGCAGATAGGCCCAAACGGGCAATTGATGCCTTGTTGTAAGGCACTGAAGAGTGCCATCAAGAGATGGCGATAACAATCTCCAACAACAGGCAAGAATCAATCAAGTGTGAACAGCGTCCGTCTTCTGTTCAGGCTCTCTAGCAAGTGAAGCATCCGTTCTCCTGACGTATCCCGAGCACAGAACATTGCGTCACGGTAACCTCCTCCAACAAGGCATACACCCTGCGATGAGCCCAGCGTCGTCTCAATAGATACCAGCGATGAAATGTATAGCAACCTCAGCGTTCGCTTAGAACCCATGTCTCAGTCTGTGCACAGCGTTCGCCGGCAAACATCCGTGCTGAATGAGTCCAGGACTTTCCAGACATAGGGTGCGACAGTTCCAGCGGTTGTCGGAACGACATTGTCCTGAGAATCATGGCCGCCGCCTCCTCAGCAACTTTTCAGCCTAGATGAAGACGGCGGCAGCGAATGGCCTCGTCACGACAATCACCCCAGGGGTCGCTTTCAGCTGATGCGTTGTCAAGAGCGTGCTCGATTCGCCCAGTCCTAACAATATCACAATGGTACTCCGGACGATCACGTTTGATATCTGTTGTATCATATTCTCTCGCTGATCCAGATGGCTCCCCTGCATCCATATCGAATGACATCTGTCAGCGGCTGGTATGGCTGTGCCTCTTTCGCATCATTTTCGACAGCATAATCAAGGTGCTCAAGCTCCTCATCCCGTATTCGCTTAATTTCCTCAATCAAGACCTTCAATTCGGGATCCAGCTCCTCTCCTTTCTCCTTCAATTCAGTCATCCACTTGAAGAGTTCCCGCACTTGGCCATTGTAGTGATTCCCAATCTCTGTCTCCACTGCCTCTGTACACGCCATAGCAGCTTCTCTGCCCATCATGCCCGTAGTCCATCCCAGGACAGTGGCTGCCGCTTGCCAGACTGGATACATTGCTGTGGGCCGGATGCGGTGTTTTGCAAGAAGTTCATTGAAGACTTTGAAATGTCCGGCTTCTTGGTCATACATGTGTTTCATGAGAGGCCGGAGATGTGGGTAAGCTTTGACGACAGGTGGCGTCTGAGCGGTGTAGATGAGAGTAGCAGCAAGTTCGCCAGCCTGGTTTACACGGAGTGCACTGTCGAGAAACCTCCTTTGCTCATTGGAAAGTACTGTTCTAGGTTGAGCAGGGTCCGGAGTTGTTTCAGAGGAGGTATTTTGGGTGGACATGTGTCGCACTGCAGTTTGCCTCGAAAGGGACAAGCATGACTTTGAGCATCTCAGCGCACCAGACGCGCCTCTGGTACAGCTCCTGACCATCATCTTTGTAACAAATTGGCCATCACTTTGGGGGATAACTGTGACTGAAGGCGAAGACCAATAACTCTGGCATGGGCGCAGTCTACACGAGAATGACGGGTACTTATGAATAGGCCGCGAGTCATTAGATTGGAAACTCTGCCGACAACGTAGTCATGTAATTTTTCCAGAATGGCCATACGCCGTAGTAATAATAATATTAACTACAACTCCTGGAGGAATCCAACAAAGAAGCCTCAGCATCCGTCTCGCTCTCCGACCCCCTTCTTTCACTACGAATAATTTATTCTGGTTCTTCTTTGTCGGTGTGCCATTTGACACATTTAGTTGTTCTCATCTGGTTTTTGCACTAGACTAGACCTCGTTTAGATCTGTGGCCGACGTTGACATTTCTGCCGCACCTCAGCACAATCCTCCTCTAACGACCAAGGCTTCAAGGAACAACCTCACCTTTGAGATCCGCTGCAGTTTTTCCTCCTCCGGCCCTTCGCCTCACCTTCTTCCTTTGACCATCAACTCTGAGAACCTGCCTAGCACTGCAGTGAACTGTGGTTTTACTGCCTCACCATGGCCGACCTGGATGCCGAACTTCTTGCTCTCGCCGGAGGCGACTCCTCCGGCGAAGAGAGCATCCCATCATCCCCCAAACCAAAATCCCCCTCACCGCCACGCTCTAAGAAACAAACAAGAGAATCACCGTCCCCAGACATGGCTCGCAAGGGTGTCGCAAAGGCTGTCAAGCGCACTAAGCGTCGCAAGACGTACTCGGACGATGAAGATGAAGTGTAAGGCTCGCTGTTCACCCGACTCTGCGATCGCTGACGCGCTGTTTTTGCAGCTCTCTGCTGTCGCAACACTCGGAGTCAGCATCCATGTCCCAGTCTGATTCTGAAGCCGACTTCAACGCTGGTGCAGACGACAAACCCATCTTCCCCTACGAAAAGCTCTACTACGACGCAGAAGACAAGGCCAGGATCGAAGCCAAGCCCGAAATCGAGCGAGAGGAGATTCTGGCACAGCGCAGTGAACAGGTAGAGCGCCATGAACAAGACCTCCAACTTCGTCGTCTCGTCGCCTCGCGCGCTCGCGAAGAGGCCAAGAATGCCGCAAAAAATAAGCGCAAGGCCAGCGCCGCAGAACTTGAAGACACCCAGCGAAAGAGCACTCGACAGCGCACTAAGGTCGGTGGCGGACGTGTCGGAGAAGCCAGCAGTGCCATCGAAGCCTACAAGCGACAGCGGGAAGAAAAGACTCTCCGTGAAGAGCAGCGCAAGAAGGACGGGTTTGTGAGAAGAGCAGCATCACCACGAGATGACTACAGCGATGCGGATGCCGAGGGTGAGAGTGACAATGACTACGACGACCGTCGGTACAAGCGACGATCTCCCACGCCACCAAAGGACGAACCCATCGCCGAACTTGCCGACATCCAGAGAGCTCGTGTCGGTCGTGACAATTTTGCCCAAGTTTGCTACACCCCTGGATTCAAGGAGACTATCACAGACTGCTATGCCCGTGTCTGCCTTGGCCCGGGTCGCAATGAAGGCGTCAACGAATATCGTCTGTGCTTGATCAAGGGATTCACCACTGGCAAGCCGTACGCCATGATTGGATCCAACGGAAGACCGTTCCCCGTCGACATGTACATCATCGCAGCTCACGGCAAAGCAGAGAGACCATGGTCATTCCTTGAATGCTCCATGTCCAAGTTTACGGACGACGAATGGCGGCGATACCGATCTGTCATGGCCAATGAGGACTGCAAGCTGCCTACTAAAAAATTCATCAATTCCAAGCTCGATCAGATCAATCAGCTGATTAACCACCGCTTCACCGAAGCCGAGATATCACAAAAGATCAAAGCTCAAAACGATCTCGTCGAGAAGATCACCCGCAGCCAAGAGAAGGAGGATCTCAAGGCGCAGATTGCTGAGGCTCGCGCTGATGGGAAAGAGGATCTTGCCGAAGAGTTGGAAAACAAACTTGCATCCATCGTGCCTATGAAACTGGCTTTTGGTACGAGCCTGACCAAACAAGATGCCGCCTACGTCAACCCCGAACAGGAGCGCCTTGCCGAGCTCAATCGCCGAAACCAGAGACTGAATGCGGAGAATGTTCGCAAGGCGCAACTTGCGGAAATGAGAGCACGCAAGGCGAAAAAGACTCTTGCTCCAGGTGTCGACGAATTGTTCGAGGGCGGAAGTGATATCAGTCGTGCGGGCACACCAGTTAATGGCACGGGGACCCCAAGACTCGCGGCATCAGGCATTTCCCGCACTGCATCACCCAATCCGCTCTCGCTGGCTAATGGAACTCCACGGAGTGCAACGCCCGTCGCTTCCAGCACGCTGAAGCCAGTGGTACTACAACAGCAGAAGAAGAAGGGTTTGCCTACCATTCGCAAGTCCGCCATGGACGATGAGATTATTGCCAGCATGGACTTAGGCATCGATATCGATATTGACATCTAGAGGCGAAGCGAATCAATCAGACAAATGGGCGCCGAGCCGGCTGAAATGGCTAGACAATTCGAATGTGTTGGGCCCGCAGGGCGTTCGTTTGGTTAACCAGACGGCCAGAGTTGGGTGTTCATTGGACTGGGGCTGGCTTGGTCTCGAACTTGTACCGAGTATTTGGAGGATGGTCAAGAAAACAGAAAAAAGATTCGTGGGCTGGGCTTGAGCTCTTCTGCCGAATGCACGAAACAAGATACAGAGCCTAAAAACATGCGGATTCTCATTGCCAACAAATGGCACACCAAATGTCTAGCGCTTAAAAGAGCCAGACTGATTTGCCAAATTGAAATGGTCACAAACATGCAACGACTGAGTTGGCTCTTCTGCTGCAGGGTTGTCCATCGTCCACTTGTCACAATGCTTAAGATCGGCTCAATGCCCGTCTCCTTGCAACTCGATCTAAACTCTCTTCCAGACTGCTCACTCTCACCTTCATCTTCAGCTTCGTGTTCTTGATATACACCGCCGCTTGCAGGAGTCTTTGCCCTCCTGACCGGCGCTTGCTTTACCATCTTCTCATTTGACTGTCTACAGTGAACACCGCCAGTGCATATGTCAAGCCATAGCATGAGGCATACTTCTCCTCTGCCGTCTTTCATTTGGTAATGCAATGACTCTATTACCCTTTCCTCTACTTCTAACTTCATAGCCGCCTGCAACAAGACCTACATCGTCACATTTCAGATCGAAAGCGGTTCCTCGAACTGCGCTCTCTACGGCCACCTGTTTGGGTCTCTCATTCATTTTTGTTCTACCGTCCTCCTGGGATCCTGTCGAAGCCCGCGGAACCTGAGTCCCACAGCCAATATAGCCAACGGGCACCCTCTATGCATCGTTCTTCGTCCTGGATATAACTTGTCTTCACTGTCATCCAAAGAAGCTACCTAGGTATCTATGTTCTGGGAATCATCCTTTAGAGGCCTTGCTTCCGAGAGCCTTCCACTGACTCACGATTTTCTCGGCCAATTGCGCCTTCGCCAACGGCCTTTTTGACTTTGATCGGGGCACTCATTAGCTACTGAGCGCTGGCGTTGACCCAGACATTCAAGCAAGCAACGCAATCGAAAAAGAAAGAGGACTGATTCAAAGTTTCGGCATTGTACTCGCTCGAATTGTTCGAGGTGTCATCCATTCAGACTTTGTCCTACGAGGTTCTTGCTCGCAAATACCCACTGCAAACCATGTGTCTCTTCCATATCCTCGACTGCTCCGCGAGCAACGCATCTGAACTACGCCGTATGCTTACGCGACCTTCTCCAGAGATCATCGCCGCCGGTTTGGTCCGGTGCAAGTGGCACCAGGCCATCACGAGAAGAAGCAACGCAGACGCAAAGTTCCAGGATCCGGGTGCCCTGTGTCCTTACGTGGTGGTGCGCCACGACCAAGTGCCCCTCCCCGCAGATCAAGTCAAGGATCTCGTCGAAGCCGTGTACTTGGGGCGTACTTCCCGACCGCGAGGCTGTCGAAAATGTGAGGAAACCATTACTAACAGGAAGATGTTGGGCCCGATCCCGACAAGCGCGGAGAAGGCGGACTATCTTACAGCCTTACGGGAAGTAGAAGCGACTTTATCATCTCCGGCGTTGGCTGGTGGTGCGGCGGCCCCTGGCAAGAGGAGGATCGGGAGCCTGAACGTGAGCGACGACGCAGGTTTGCTCGGACTTGCTACTCAAGGGCTGCACTCGTCTACACAGCGGTCTCAGGGCAGTGGGGTTTCCAACGCACTGCAGAGACGGAAGGAGGAGCTGGGCATCGCAATGTCGACGCACTTGAGTATAGTCGCACGGCGTTCTCGGTCACGTCAGGCGGTGCACCTCCCTCCGGAGAAAAAAGGAGGTCCTACTGGCCAGTCCCAGAAACAAGGCAAAGAGAAGGAATCTCGTGTCATGGGTCAACAACCCGGACTAAACACACAGCGTCACAATTACATTGATCTAACGGCGAGTTCCACAATCACTCCATCGAGATCGCAGACCGAGCCGGCAGTGTTATCGATGTCGGCGACGGCAGAACATAGAGAGAAGAACATCAAAGAACACGTCGCCGACGCCTTCACACGTCTGGACCATGCTGCCGCCCAACAAAAGGACGGTACTCCTACGCATGGTACCGTCGGGACTCAACAAGACGCTGGAGAGTTCGGCATAGAAATCCTGCGCGCCGTCCGCGACGGCTCCTTCCAGGCCGCCGTGGAGGAACACGTCTCCCGTCAACATTGGGCCATTGATGCGCCTACCGCGTCTGCGAGCTCCTCGTCTAAAGTGGGAGGTGGAGGCGGAGGCGGTCGGACAGGCACAGGGAAAGTAGACATGCTCATCGACAGCGTCAGGATGTTGCGCGCCGAGAAGGCTGGCCTGATCGACCGCGTCGCCGGTCTTTTGGACGAGAAGGCCGCGTCCGTGGAGAGGGAGGCCGTGTTGTTGAGGAGAGTCGCCGAGCTGGAGCGCTTGGTACAGGGACAGGTGAACGATAGCGTGAAAGGAAAAGAGAAAGAGAAGGGAGCGATTTGGCCGTCGCCGTCGCCTCAGGCTCCCTAGACTGGAGGAGACCAAGTCAGCGACCGATGGAGCGGTTTGAAGATATATATCTCGACCGCAGGACTCAAGGGGGTTGAAGTTGAAGAATCGCCGGAATGCTTCTGAATGGAACAAGTAACGCTCGAAAACAGACGACATGCCAACAACTGGGATCATCGCCATGGCGAGGACGACAAGGAGGTCGAGCACTACCAAGGAGATCGAGCACTACAGGGATCCCGAGCACTTCAAGGAAAACGAGCACTACAAAGAAACCCGCAATCTATGGACGATCGCTGAAACGCTCTAGCTCTGTGAACACCACGGCTACGGTTGAGGAATCCCCCCAGATCGCAATCCCGTAGACGCGGGCACGATGATCCTCTGATCCTCGATGCGGCGGGACTCGTGTGGGATCTGAGCTTACAGCCGGGCCTTTTCAGTCGCGGTACCTAGACAAAAGGTGGAGAGGAAAGGGGACATATGAAACGAGAAGGAACAAAGCTGAGAGACGGCGGATATGGATCAGACGTAAGTCCTCCTGGTATTATCAATGGGTAGGAGCTGGCACAATTGGCAAGTAAGGACATACTAGTACCTGGTATCTTACAAGTTGCAGTCTGAAGAGACCATAAACCGCGCTGATATATTCACCCCCTATTGTTTTTGCTCAAGTCTGACACTTTGAGGGCACCGAGCAGCACCAAGATTCAGTCATTGACTGTTTTGGGGATTCCTCTCGAACTTCATCCCAATGTCCATGGCCCCTTCATCGAAAAATGGAAGACGAGGAACGCGTCGAAGCAAAAGGCCCCGAATAGTTACTTACTGCCCTCGAGGAAAACAGAATCAGACTAGACTGTCCTCTATACTGGGGAAGTACTTCGCTAGGTAGCAGTCTTTTCGGATCCCGCGAGACGCAGAGCGGACAGGCAAGGGGGGAATACTAGTTGGGTACGAGAAGTTTACCGAGCAACTCGCACCGAGTGCCTCGCACCGAGTAATCTGAAGCCATGCGAGGCTCGCTTTCTCTGGCGTGATGTGATCCCCGCCATGGGAACGGAGTCGGGCTGTCTCTCTGCCCTTTTGTGGAACGCCTCATGTTGATAATAGATCTAGTGGGACACAAGGTAAAATAGATTAGGAGGAAAAGGAAATGGTTGATGAAAACCTGAGACCTCTTCCTCACGCCACTATGGGCGGCATCGTGGACATGGCCTGGCCAACCGGTGCTAAATTCAACAATCAGCAGAAAAAGAAATAAAGGGGCTGGCGGATGTATCCAAAATATCGTGCATGATTGTACTGGGGTACCTATAACAAAGACACTGCCTACTAGGATAGTGGGGAACTGGGAGGTATGTAATAGGGGTAGGCCGGGGCGTATACCGAAGTAGTACTGTAGGTCTGTCTGTCTGCATCAACATATCACTCGGTACATACCTGGTAAGCTACAGCAGTGTCGGATGCCGAAGCGCCGTTGGCCGGTTTATGTAAGGGGAGGAAGGATGGGCTAGCAACGAGTAGATGCATGCATATATGGCAACTGTTGCCCTCGTAAGTCGTAATAATAATTGACACCATCACCAGCCCCCCTCCTGTTTTTAACACCAAGAGTTGAAGGGAGGGGCGGCATTCTGAATTCGGCGTGCAGGAATGGCTTCGAAACCATTTATCGATAATCGATCCCCCCTGCAACCCTGCAACGGGCGAAAACCGGAAAAGGATCAGTTGGCGAGGGAAGGCGAGGGGAGGAGCCCCAGCGAAGGCAGTCCTCGTTATTATGCGGAAAGAAGAAAGAAGCCGCGATAAGAGAAGCACGTGAAAAATAATTCAACGATAGGCGAGCACATTGCAGAGTACCGAGTACTCGCACCACCTCAACGAGTTGTAAGGCCAAACGCCGATGCTCCTGGCCGCTAGAGCCTGCATGCTGGTGGATCGAAACCCTCAACCATCGCGTCACCTCTGTTCTTCTTCTTGTAAGAGATAGACAGATAGACAGCCCACACTCTTCAAAGAAGATAGGTAATTGAGCGGGTGGGAAAGGTAAGAGTCGGGAGACATGGAATCCCTCTGCCATTTCTGAGCCCCTGGTAGGTGGTTGTGCCTGTACAGGCTAGGATGGAAGGAGGGAGGCATGCATGCATGCAGGACCGCATCTCCCGATTGCACTTACCTCCAGCATGCGTGGGATTTCATCCTTGATCGACAAAGGATTCGCATTGAACAGCGTCGGCGATATGGCCACAGGTAATTCCATCGACCGATTGAAGCAGGTGGTGGCGTCTGGTTCCGAGTTACAAAGACGAATGGGTCCTCCTTGTAGACATGTTCCCTGCAATTGTCCTCTGAAGCAACCGTGGTAGGAGCAGAGCGACATGTGTATGCAACTTGTAAGCACTTGAAACAAACAGCCAGCATACAGAAAAGCAAGGGTGACATGGTAGCTTGCATTGATGCTTCATACCCTTCTAGGTAGGACATCCATGGTACTCTCCGAGTCATGGCTTGTGAAGAGGCGGGCTTGGAGAGGAAGGGGCTGAAATGACACACATCAGGCTGTCGGCTGCTGCAAGGTATATCGCCAGCATATGGGGTCCAAGGCATGGTACGGTAGGCCCAAACACACTGGCTCCATGCTGAGTGAACTGGTCTCAGCCCTTCTGGATGTGATCTGTTCGGTGGACGAGACAGCCTTGAGCTGAAAACCATTCCACAGGTGCATTGCACGTTCTCCTATCCACGCAGCTTATGGGATGTGTTGGAGAGCAAGCGCCGAAGCACTGGACCTTCCATGGAGATCCTATGCCACGGAAAAGCACGTGTGGGAAGCACTGGTACCAATTCCAAGTTTGCAGCTTGTACTTGTTCGCAAAAGAAAGTTGTTGCTGATGTCAACGGTGCATTCTGCTCCAATGCCGTGCTAGACCGTGGAAATGGAATCCGAGGGATCTGAATGGAAGGCCGCACATCATGAGGGGCGCATTGGGTTCCCTTTGAGCCTCTGTGAAGATCAAGCAAGCTGGTCCAGGTTAACGGCGTCAACGGCGTCTGGGCGTGTGCAATGGTCGTTTGTGTGACGCGACTGATCACGAGCGCAGTCAGAACAATAGCAGCAGCACGTCATGGAAAGCTCAAAAACGTCGAGGGAACCTGATCTTGACTGTATCGATCAACGCTCGCCTACCCAGAGTAGGTATCCGGACCGTCCGAGGCGTTAAAGATGCGCCATTTGGCGGTGCTAAAGTGCTGCTAGGGCATCGGAGAGATTCCAACGCTCGATCCAACCTGGGCTTGGGGGAATGCCAGTCGACGAAATAATGATGTACTCGCTGTTTTGCCGGCACGCAACTCTGGACGCCAACGGACAAAAAGTGGGAGGGGCCATGGATCGACTTATGCAGCAGACTTACAGCATGGAGTCCAGCAGTCTCTATGGGCACCTACCTTCTTGCAGAAAAGACACCGCCACATGTAGAGCATGGACGACGACCTGCTCCTGGCCAAAGATCGAAGAGTGCTGGATGCGCGGAACGCCGCTCGTTCGGCAGACGTAGCATTGCTCTTGCTTCGTTGTTGGTTGGAGGCTGCGATATCCCGTGTAGTATTGGTTTTGGCTGATGACTTTCGTAGCCTACTAGGTACGAGTATTACATGCGACAGGTTACAACTGATCGGACCAGCCATGTCGTGGGCCGGGCCCGAGTAACACAAGATATCCGCTTCGGTTTGCTGCAGGTCGATTCTGCCTACCAACCGGTTTGCTCCTCTTGTGCGTACAGGCGTGTACCCATGGTATTTTACTTTACACGTTGTCTTCAGTGTTGGATCGATGTTGCAGCAGCGCCATTCCTCATATCGACAAAATGGAGACTGTCGCTAGGACTGTTGCTCGTCGAACGCATCGCTTTGTTAGTGGCCCCGACAGCTCACATCAAGCTATCACATCTTCAGAACGGCCGAGTTTGAAATGTCACGTAGCTAGCCGGGCTGCAGAGCTAGCACAAGGAAGATGCACATCTTCCTACAGATCCTTTCATGCTGATGGCCGCCAGCGTCCATGGCCGTTACGCCGATCCGCTTCAGTGCTTGCTTTCAGATATCTCTCTTGGAGACCCATTGCGTAGCAGGACAGATGGCGGATCAGCCCATACCACAGTAAACTACTGGCATAGCAGCCACTGCATTCAACTTGGTGCATACTCGTATGCTTCCCTCGTCCGTCAAAATTCCGGGCGCAACATCAAGGCAGAACACGAGTAATCGGTAACTCGTGTTGGACGCGCAATATTCCGGGCTGGACAGCCTGACTGCTCGGTCGAACATGATTGTCTCGCCGACTCTGACTCTTGCAGGGCATTGGCTTACAGATTTCCAATATATTCAGCCATCAAATTTCTCAAAACAAATGATCTGGGACAGCAGATCACTTTTCCTAAGGGATAAACCAGGCCCAGGATACTTTCACAGAAATGAGGATTAACAGGAGCGGGCAATTTGCCCAAAATCCCCTGTACCACGAAGGCAGGCTGGGCCCTGACGAGCCCCTCCTGCCCGAAATTGTGGTCGGACTCGGCGAGCAGGCTTCCCCAGAATTTCTGGACGCCACGACTGGCACCAGTGGCACCAGTGGCAGCGCCAAGGCATGTTGGCTCCATTTGGCTTTGTTTCGAGACGGCGCCTTTTCGCCGTTTCGCCGACGCCAATCTGTTGTTTATCAACTGCCGCCACAGGCGAGCCCCAATATTGCGCCAAAGGAAGGCGGGGGATGCCACTGGAAAAGAGACTCGTCCAGGCTTGTGGTCAGTCTTGTAGCAGTCGTCATCGCAGCGCCCCCTTGGAGATGACAGCAGATGAGCTTTCCCAGGCCAGTGTGAGTAATTGCTGGCACGCATGACCACGATGGCAGCATGACCGGCGAGGACTTTTGCTTGTTGATGAGAAAAATAGGTGGACGCGAAGCTACGGAGCACTACCGAGTATTGTGCTGCGGACTTGCGTGAGGGACACATCCGCGTCTGCCCGTGAGCTGGTGACGTGAGTAGTGGCGTCCTCCCTTCCTCATCATACCAGGCATATCTGTCTTCCTGTTGGACGCGGGTGTACGCCTAGCCATCTATTGGGAGGCGCTATCAAAACCAAGTGACTGAGCAGATTCAACCAGAGCGAGTCACTAGAGCGAGTCATCAGGTCGACCTTTGCGCCACAAACATGGGGCAGGCCACCGTCCAGCTGTCACCAGCCATAGCATTGCGCAAATACTGGTCACTCAAGGCAGCATTCGTACTCGTACACCTTGGCACGAGGCATTGAAAATTCCAGGTAGGGCCAAGAAGGGGAAGCCACAGGACACATCATCAAAGACCTGGTGGCGGCGGTGGCTTGCTGTACTCGGTACCGTGAAGGAACTCCGTCCGGAGTGACTCAGTGTTATTATCATTCGTCTATAGTTGTAAGCAGAAACAAGAGGAGGTTGGGAATCTGGGTCAAGAGAAACAGGCCGTAACAAAGAAGGTGAGTTGGCTGGAGACTGGTGGCAGCAACACAGTTTTGCGCTGGGGAGAGAAAAACCTGAAGTCGGCACGTCGGAGGACGGCGAAAACAATTGCCGATATACCGACGCTAGAACATTAATCTGGGGTGGCCAAGTCTGAAACAGCCAATCACAGGCACCGCTTCCAGCACTATTCTCTCTGTCCTTGCTAACTACCACCACCGTGTACCTCCGTACCTTGTTTTCCAACATATTGGAGGACTCCGCGATCAACAGATCTAACTTGTTCCTCGTTTCACTTCCTGGAATACCACTCGAGGCCCAGGGCATTCTCGAGAACGTGGGAGTCACTCAGTTCCCTGTTCTGGAACAGAGGACGGACAATTCGGTACCTGTAGTGAGTACGAGGTACCTACGGAAGTCCTGCAAGCCTCCCTCGCTCCGTCTTGTTTCGCTGCTTTTTATGGCTGGGAACCCAAAGAGGATTTGGAGAGGTTGCCCTCCGAGACCTGTAGAGCAAGGACCGTGGCAGATTGGGTGAAGCCTATCGTCGAAAGGGTCCCCCAGGTTAATACAGAATGTACTGGGTACCTACGGAGGACTGTTACCCGAACTGCCCAATCGCGTCTAACAGCCGCTAATCCTCCACCCTCGGTGACGCCATACAAGTGGTCTTTACAATCATCCAGGTCCCGAGTACTCGTAGGTAGAAGGAGAATGAGTACTCGGTACACAGTTGCTGATGATGGCTCTTAGGATCCTGTGATAACCAGCCAAATTGCCGCAACTGGCAGTGAGCGTAATAATACGAGCCCTCGGAAGGACTGCCTCTGTTCAGAGACCACCTGCAGCACGCATCACTCGGGACTATGCGCCTCGCGTTGCTGATTGACTTGCCGATCGGGGACCCCTAAAGGCTTTTCAGCGCCCTGAAGGCCACGAGGAGAGCCAAGAGCAGCGCCTCCACCAGCTGTGCTGTCATTTGAATCGCTCGGGACAGGTATGACGCTTGGGGGCTCAGGTCTGGCGCAACAAAGCCCCAGGGCGGGGACTGGGCAACTACGAGTACAGAGACGAGTCAACCGAGTTCGCTGACCGAATCGGCATGTACGAACGAAAAGTGCAAGCGGCTGACTGGGCTGAGGATGCTCGCAACCTCACTATGACTTGTTGAAGCATGCGACGTGGACGAGCCGTGACTCGGCGAAAGGTGCTGTTTGGCGCTGAGCGAGAAGGAAGGGGGCTAGACCGTGAACAGGCCTAGTGAAGCTGCGGCACGACGGGGTAGGCGTACGAGCATGGGCGTCGACGCATCAACAAGGGGGGCTTTTTACTTTGAGCCGAGCATTTGGAAAGTTTGTGCTCTGGGCCAGGGGGCAGGGATGGAACAACAGCTGACCAGGGTCACGACGCACACCAAGTGGAACCACGGCGACTGTGGGTTCCGTGTCACTTGAACCCAGAGGTGGGAGGTGGCTCGGTGGAAACGCCAGGACCGTTGGCTGGCTGCGTCAACTGTGAGGAGGAATGCTCGAGACTTGGCCAGCGCTCGCCACAGGGCACATGAGAGAGGGCCATGATGGGCCGCGCATACAATTGTGGCGACCCTTTTCGATCCTGCCCATCAAACCCCAAAGAGGATGGGCCCTTGTCGGCAAACTCCTCCGTTTCAGGTCCCAGCCTAGATATACTCCCATCTACCGCCCTCCACGTCCTCTACCCAGACTCTCCTATACCACATAAACATCCGCCCATCCATTTCTACGTCTGACTGTGATCTACCTAGAAACGGCAAAACCCTTTGTTGTGTTGACAAAGACTTAAGAAACGCCTTTGGTACCAACTATATCCCACACCACCATCACAAAGGGACGGCTGACTGTATTCCTTTGAGCGAATTTATTCACGAAATACGCTTCACACCAAATACCGTGACCTGCCTTCTCCCCCAGACACTCTCTATATTAGTCGCCATCTGTCCCCCTCATACGCAGTGGCAATGACAGATTACGATTACCCCCAATCCCCAACCATGTCACAAGACAGACACATGGGCTCAATGGCCGCAGCCCTCAGATCGAGGCTGGAGGACCTACCTCAATTAAACATGGCAAATTTGGGCACGCTTTGGAAACGAACATCTCTCGAATACCCCAACTCAGCGTCTTCGTCTCGCTCAGCATATTCCTTCAGCTCGAGACTATCAGAAGACACCGATGCCACAGACCTAACTGTTACACCGACCGCCCGCTCCCGCGCAAGCACATTTGACAACACCGAACACCTGCCTATGCCTGTTGTACCCGCCGAGCCCTGCAAGCCCCCCTTGAGAGTAGTACTAGGGACCGCGTCGGTGGGATCACACTTGTCACCGCTGGCAAAAATCACCAATGTCGAGGACGCTTCCAAGTTCGTCAACCTATTCCGGTCAAGAGGCTATGCAGACATAGACACTGCTCGAGCCTACCCAGTGGGTCGAGGTGGCACTTGCGAGAAGCTCTTGGGCGAGGAAGCACTCCGACTATCAAAATGGGCCAATGTTTCGACGAAAGTTTCGAGTTTCATGCCTGGATCTCACCGGGCCAAGAACATTGCTTTGAGCATTGACCGATCCTTGGAAGCCTTGAACACCGACACCGTCGACATCATGTATCTGCATGCCCCTGACCGAGCGACCCCGTTCAAGGAGACTTGCGAGGCCATGAACAAGGCCTACTATGAAGGCAAGTTTGAACGCTTTGGCCTGTCCAACTATTCTGTCGAGGAGGTCGAGGAGATTGTCCGCATCTGCGAAGAGAATGGCTATGTCAAGCCTTCGGTCTACCAAGGACAGTACAACCCCATCTGCAGAGGCGGTGAAGAGCGGTTGTTTGCGGTGCTCCGCGAACACAATATTGCATTCTACGCCTACAGCCCCTCGGCTTGCGGGTTCTTCTCCAACAAGGTTTCACGGGCCTCGACGAGGGACAAGAACAGCCGTTGGAACATCGCCTCCCCACTGGGTGCCAAATACGCCGGCGATTACTTCCAAGATCCTCTCTTTGCTGCCGCCGAGATAGTTCGCCAGCAAGCCAAGAAGTTTGGCATCAGCGGTCACGCCGCGGCTCTCCGATGGACGACGTGGCATTCTCAGTTGGGTGCCGAGTACGGTGACGCTGTCATTGTTGGTGCCTCTAAGCTGTCGCAACTCAAAGAAAATATGGACATCCTCGAGCAAGGGCCCCTGCCTGAGCCGCTTGTGGAGACCTTGAATAGTGTCTGGGAAGATGTCCGTGCTCTCGAAAAGGGTCCGCGCTTTTCCTTTGTCTAAAAATGTATCACGAACTGTTTTGAAAGGCCACGAAAACGGAATATGGCACAATGAAACGGAATACAGCGAAACGGGGTGGCGTTTGTCTTTCTCTTCATGGAACGCAAAAAGACTCCCCTTTACGATGGGGATTTGTTCTTTTCGGAAAGAATTTTTTCTAACCTTCTATCACGATCCCTCAAGTGCTGAGATGGATCCATTACCTTTTTTGGCAAAATACGTTCAAAGCGAGCGTTTTGCTCTTTTTTTGGGATTCGGTTGGAACTGGAAATGTTGGATCCTGTATGTGTGACGATACCCAATGTTGGCTGTATGTTATCTTCTGAGAAAAACAAATCATGTCTCACTACCGGTCTCTGGAAGACGCAGGCTATCGAATCATGGGGATATGGGGGTCGAGCTTCTACACAGAACATGGCTCGTTACTATTTTCTCATGTGAGACCCCAACTGCTAGCAATGGAAGAAGGGTTTGTCGAGAATCTCTTTTTGACATCGCCCACTTTTTTTCTAGATTAGCTAGCAACAATGAAAAAAAATACATCCATTGGACACTACCGCTACTGCTCTGCAACTCACTCCCCTCCCTTACACAATCCGTTTATTCCAGTCTTCCAAATATGGTCGTCTTTGTAATTCCCCCCCTCCACCCTTCCCCCCCGGTCTTTGTTCGGTTGTGGTGCTAAGTGCTTACATGCGCGGCTCGCTGTACCTCGTACGTTGGGAAGGCACCCAGAAGGGAGGGGGAAAGAAGTACCAGTTGGATTTGCTATTCGTAAATCACTACTCGCCCGCCCCAATTTTGTTCTCAGAAGGGGGATGAATCAACGATAATACTGGCCCAGTTCACTTCTCCTTACGCAGTAGTCTCTTGCGGCTGAACCGTCCAACCCAGTCCGAAACGCCAATAGAGGAATCCTCCCTTACACGTTCCCGCCTGGCACAGCAGCATGCAGCATGTGTGGACAAAGTCGTCGATATGACAGATGGCAGTTGTGTGCCACGACAGATCCCGTCCATTGGCTTTTCCGACCGCAGCCCCCCTTCCCCCGTCCCCCTACCCTCCATGGTATAGGCGTATACGATGACTGGGGCTGTTTTTCCGGCAAGCAAATCAATACTACCTTTTGTCTAGTTGTTGGGCTTTCCATCCGCACAATCTTGATGCGCTCCCACATGCTACGCAAGCATGCTGCGCAACCGAAGCGGCCTTGCACATAGAACCAACGACAAGGCACATCGAGTTGGGGAGCAGCACAATACTGGGCAGAAGCCAGGCGATACACGACACCCACTTTTCAATGGTAGGGGTGGAGGTATTCTCGCTACTTGGGCTGATATGGACCGGCCTTGCTCTCCCGCGCCTGTAACAATCGAGACCAGTCGGCCCCCCTTAGGCAATAGAGAAGGGCGGATGCTCGTTCGACCCCCGGCAAGTGTCAACAAAATGTCAACCACACCCAAGCTTTTGTAGACGAAAGAGGCAACCGATCGTACCTACTAGCAAGCTGTGAGGGCGGCGGGTGTGGTTTGGTTTCGGACCGTATCCCTTCTCCTCAACCTACTGTGGCTCCTCCAAGCAGGTGAAGAGAAGGTCCATCGAAAAAAATTTTCTTTTCAAGGCGCTTGTCAACGTTCTCTCGGGGCGGAGGATCGCGGGGCAACAACCGCTGGAGAAAGTCTCCTTGTTGTCCAGTAGCAAGCGTGTAGAAGGCCCCCCTCCTGGCCTTCTAGCAGAATCCTTTGGTATCGAAGAAGGAAGTGATTTGCATCCTGCCATTGTCCGGTTCAACACATTGCATCCAAGTCATTGTGCCAGACATCCGAACTCGCTTCTCCCCTCCCCCCCTTCACCAATGGGTTATGATCAGGCCTGAGGCCTCCCGACAGAGGGGGAAGCAATACGCTCGCGTGACGAAGCATTCCCATACACCCATTTAGCATTTCCCCCCAATCCCTCGATCACTCGATCAGAGGCGTGACTGGTAGGTAAGCAGATGAGGCAAATAATGACGTGGAAAGAAGGCCGTTTGACTGGTCAGCCGACTTACTGTACAGGCCACCCCTTTTACCAAGGACAAATCGCCAGTTGCGTGTATGACTTGCGCGATAATTCCCTTCTCGCTCTCTCTGCGTCATTCGTCACCATTGTCCCGACAGCTTCCTGTGGCCTGAGGAGCCTGAAGCTTGCTATTGCGCTCTTGAGTGACGAGCCGCTAACCTCAACGACCAAGGAGGGAAAGGGATCCATGGATGAAATCGAAGCGAATCGACTCCGCCCCCATCCACGTGGTAACCTCGTTTGTGCCGTGTCTTCCTGGGAGACGGGACTTTTCTGCATTCGGCCAGGCAAAGAAAAAGGCCCTGACCAGCAAATAGAAACGAGTTATGGCCTAGTCCCTCCCCCCCTTGCGTGCTGCCAAGTCCTGCCGGGAACGCAGTGGGAAGTTTCATGTCCCCCCTCTCTTCGGCTCCAAGAGGTGAGCTGGCCAGAGCCACTCCTTCGGAAAACAGGCCAATGCTCAGGACGGGCAATGGTGGAGAATAGGGCTGAGCATCCTTCGCTTACAGAGTTGTTGGTCGGTGGTGCCGCTTATGCCCGCGGTACCTGTACCTGTTCTCGGTACTGTGTGCAGTGTGCTTCTGTACTCCGTCCTCTCGTAAAAGACACTTTAACTCTGGGGCGGCTGATCTGAGCAGTTCAGCTTCTTAGAGCGGGATGACCGAACACAAGGGGACGCCACAAACCACAAACTGCAAACACACTGGGCAGTTTTCGTTCAACCCGCTCCCCTTTTCAGCCTTTCCCATTCAAGTGTTGCAAGGTAGCCGCTCAGAAGAACCAAGAACTCGCCGACTTTCGTTTGTGGACGGCTCGCTTCAGGGGCTGGCTGGGATCCCGCGTGCTTCCCCCTCACCCCCTTATTGATTGGGTTCGTTGCTTTTCTATCTCTGGATCCTCCTGCATGTTGGCTTGTCACTCTTGCATGAATTTGTCTCGCAAATACGAGGCAGCCTTCAAAGAAAAAATATCTCCCGCATCCCTTTTTGATTGACCGGAAAAGGAACGTATGGGGGTGAAATTGGGAAAGAGGCAGGAAGATCAACCCATAGGACGACTGGAAACTATTGCCTGCCCCTCGCTCGCCCAGCTCTTGTCAAAGACTATCGCTATCGCTATCGATACCGCTATCGATTACGAGTACGACTATCGATAGGCGAGAGGGCGTGGGCGCCAGGTGGAACTACACATTTTCATATTGATCGTCGTACCCCGTGGCGCTGGCCCCCAATATCTAATATCTAATATCCATCCCATCAAGCCAACAACTCTCCGGCTTCGCTCTATCGGGCATTGTTGACATGTGGGATTTCTTGGCTTCCCGATTTTGTTCTTGCTTGTTTGTTCATGGGACGACCGCTTCGACTACTCGTAAATACTGGGCAGGGTTCTTTCTGAGACAGCTCATGTCCGATCTAAAATCTTATCGAGAACTCAACGAATCAAACAAAAGCTAGCCAGCTAATGGGTTGCAGAAGGATCTATGGGCTTTTGCATTTCCCCCGAGCTGCTGACACGGCCTTGAGATGGCCATGTAGGAACCCGTGTGAGGAATCTCACCCAAACCCAAGGGGAAGGCGCCAACTGGCACAATGCTCTCGGTCTCTCTACCGGGGGTTCAACAAGTACTCAGTACTGTGCGGGCTTATGATGACACGCACTACTCACCCAAACCGATGGGGTGCTGAATCCTTCAGGCTGAGGTAAGAATTCATCTTCCCCACTCCCTTCTCAACTTTGTCGAGCGAATGAGTATGATCTGTTCACTATGGGCCTCTAACAAACCACCACTGGGAGCGCCTCCTCATACATGCGCATGCTCACTGGTATACCTGCCTGCTGCATCACCGCTGCGTGTCTCATGTGGCACACCATCTCATCTTGCCGGTGCAAAACTGGGGCGGAAATGGGCAACTGCACTCATCATCATCTGCTTGAATCCAACCGCAAAGTGCCCCTTGATCCTGATGTGTGAGAGAGGGGGTGAGGCTCTTGTAGGGCTTTGCTCGACCAACAGCCCTCTCGTTTGCTATTCGAGTCGCCACTTCGCGTCTGCGCCACAAGAATACGCTGGAACTAATCCGGGTGGCTCACAAATCGCGACGAAGTATTCATGTGGATAGTAACCAGTAAGTGACTGACCATTCCGAGAACGGTATACTTGATCCATCATGGCCTCTGAACGCAGACTGGCAATTAGTCACTCTGTGGCGATGACTACTACCTTTGATTACTCGGAACAATACCGGGTACGAAGGTTCGTTGTCGTTGTCGTCGAACAAACAACGATATTTCCGGCAGCAGTGTGTTTGTTTGCTTTTTGGGAATGCGAGTCTAAGCCTTCGCCGCGCATGGGTTTTCTGCCGCTACATCTCACGTGTAGACAGCAGCGCAAGTAAGGTGAGCTGTGTCGAAACGCGGTCTGAACTTTCTGGCGTCTGGCCGCCCCTATCATGAACCGCAATGCCCGGCGGTTGAAGCGGCTGATGCTGCGGCCGCCGCCAGACCATTTCACCGTTGCAGACCCAGAGCAAGTGTGATGCAGCCAGTACCGTTTTCCATGCTCGACATCCACCTGAGCCCCGATCAAGGTCTCGAGATGCCTCCTCACTGGAGAGGCCACAACCATTACGCACGCATGAAACCCGTCTGGTCGGATGAAGATAGTCATTCTTTGCGATCATGCTGGGGCTTGGTGACCATGACATATGACATGTTGGACTGGATCTTGAGCAAACCAGCCCGCATCCAAAATGTGCTGGCACTGCCCAGCCATCCGTTCGCCGCACTGGTGGACCTCAGAAGAAGGGAGGACCGGCTTAGCAGAGCCTTGTTATTCTTGTCATTGCGTTTACAGATGTATCCACCGTTCCTTGTAAAGCAGGTGTACTGGGCCATCGCGGCGGCAATCGATTACCCACATCCCCAAGGTCACTCACTGCCATTTTCCTGGACAGTGGAGACCCAATGGGTCGTCTCGTTGATCTTGAGAAAAAGGAAAATATGGGTTGTCTGACATTTTGACATTCAAACACTGACGGTTTCTGGTGACAAGAGAATGACAGGCCCTGGCCGAAGAAGGCTCCAGCCCACAGGACGATGCCCATGTCGGAATGGCTTGTCTATTCTGCAATTCGGGGAAAAGAGACCCAAGTTGCAGCTATGGCTGGATTGTGTCACTCCGAGGCTTGTGGCTCCAGACCACCCATAACGTCTCCCCGCATATCGTGCAAGTGAAGAAGAACATGAAGATGCCGGAACGCTTTTCTCTCACCGGTCTGGATGCCTATCTCGCACGGGAGGAGACTCGTGCATGCATCTCAATTCCCTCAGTCCATCTGGCCGTGCCACCTCGCTTTCCGGGATTGGGCTAAAGTCTGGAATCATGCTTTGTCTGGAGGGCGACCACTTTCCAATTTGATCGTTGAGGTAATCAAACGCTTCCTTTCCATTCTGAGGCAGGCGTGCAGGCGTGTTGGACCTGCCCAGGCTCGTTCCACTGGGAGATCCTTCCTGATGCCGTGGGTGATGGATTCCAGAATCGACCACAGGTTTAAGCAACCTCTTCTCATGCGAACCAAAGAAAGTAAAGAATGTTGTCTTGACATTCCAACATTTCATACTCGGCGAAAGGGACTGTTCAACTAGGGGTCGAAACTGGTCAGTCGGTATTCCACGCAGTGGATATCCCAGTCCCAGTCTGAGCGCAAACAGGGTGAGTAGCCTGAACAGGTCCAGGCCGAGGCTGATCACAGACGTGAATGCTGATCCAAGCTCACGGCAGGGACAAAGGCACAGGAATGATGGGCAGTCCATTTGTCTTTAGAATCCAACCAATCCTGCTCACTTTCCCTCAGAGATTATGGCTGGCTGGCTGGCCGGCTGACCACGATACTCCAGATCACCGACAAAAAGAAGGAACTTGTCATACAGCACAAGTGGTGTCACTCGCTATTCGACAATGACCAGCTCTGCAGCATCCATGCCTAACTTCTTCACCTCCCTTTCCCCCTCACTGATTGCATCCGGCTGAAACTCCTCTGCTACGTCCCCGTGTCACGGACCATATGCCTTATGCCACTCAAAAACTGCAGGGTCTCTCTGTACGACCTCTCAGAGGCTAGAGCCCGCTTTGTCCGCGGTACATCCCTTGCGGGTATGACAGACCAACCTCGTCCATTTCTGGGGAAGTTGCGCGGGTGGTCCAGACCTCCAGACCGGGACTGGGAAAGGGGCAGGACAGATGATAGAGTGAGCAGCTTTTCGAAGACGGAGGGACAGAGACATTCAGGTCTGAACTCGGCGCCCTGTCGTGCAAGGGCGCATGCAATTTCTACCAGAGACCGCTCAGAGCATGTATGGTGGGGAGGCTTCCACCGCAGATGTGCCAACCTCGTCAGTCGGGTTCGATAGGGTCATGCTGTGTTGGGGGATGTTGTGAATGCGATCCCACGTCTTTCTGACCTGACTGGTCGGTGTCTCCACCACCGCCATCCTTCCATGCCCCTTGCCTTGGACACCTTCTGGCCAGCACTCCTCCGGTACCACAGCGTGTGTGTTCTTTGCGCCAGGCTGGATCTTGTTCATATCGCATCCCAATCCCACTTCATGATGAAGAGAGGCGGGGAATACCAGCACGGGCCACCTCGGGCCAGCCTGGAGCGGCCGCTCAGAGGAATGTACCACAGAAAATGACTTCCTCACCCAGGCAGAAAGGGGATAGGCAGCTGGCAGGTATGTATTTGGGGTCCTATGGAGTCCTCCGTTGAAGATCCCTTGTGGCGCGTGCCCTGTTGCACAGGGGGGTAAGAGGTAAAGGCAAGGCTTCAGCTCTCTAAAGCCCCAATTTTTACTCCCGTGTTTCGCTTCAGGCCAGTCCCAAAGACACGCCCACGCCCATCCTCACGTCCATCTCCATGCATCCTTCCTCCCCAGCCAAGGACGCCAGACCGGCTGATCACGCAACATGCCCTGACCTGCGCTGTGCCACCGCTCACGGTCGGACACATCACACCGCATGCAACCTACCTCCAGCCTCCACGCCTCCAAGCACAAGCATTGTGTACGTACCACCAGTACCACCGTCACTGTGTTTGCGCGCATGCGCTGGACCAGGCGTGATCCAGATTTAGTGGGGACACGCCCATGACAGGTCCAGATGAGTTAATTGAATGAGGTGAGGTGAGGTGAGGTCGGGACCATTCATCATCTTGTCCCCCTTCTCTTGGATATGTGGTCCACAGGGGATACACGACAGAAATCAAAACTTGGACCTTTCCAAGGGAAATGTACATGTACAAAAGTTAAAGGGCAGCCAAGGTCCCTCTTCATAAAGCTCGACAGGGCTAGCGTGGTTGAGCTGAGCTAGGCGGTGGTAGGGAGGTAGGTATGTATATTTCTTGCCTATCAGAGCAGAATGAACGACAATCCTCCATTCACAAACCCGAGTCTTCAATCGTCCGACTCATCCTCTGAGGAAATTTTCCCCCCGGTTTTGGTCCCTCAACAGAGCCTGTCAAGATCTCATCATAACAACAGAAACAATCCTCCAGCCTTCAACCCCTTGCGGGTCCCCTTGAACTTCTTCACTGTCCCACAGGCCCGGAAATCAAGACTGTGCCTGCCTGGCCAAAATACTGCCGTCGGCCGCATCTACCAGGCCGTTGAACTGCTGGGAAGTTCGGTTGGTGTTGAGGACGACCGACTGTCCGCCGGCGTTGACGACGACCTCGACGCCCTGGAAGTCGGCCGTCAGTTCGGCGGCGTCGATCAGGAGCTGACCGTTCGAGTCCAGCGGGTAAAATTCCCGGATGGGCTGCTCGTGGTTGAGCAGTGGGATTTCGGCATTGTCGCCGTGGCCGGTCTGGTTGTTGGTGAGTCGAAGGCGGACCATTTTGTTCAGGTGGCTGTTTGTCGTTGGTTGATTTTTCAGGAATGGGATCACAAACTCTCTGTCAACGATAGGTCGCGAAGTTGTAGAAGCTCAAGAACAAGGCTGGTTGAAAAAGCCGTGAGACAGAGAGCGAGCATTGCCTGATCCATTGCCATCTTTTATAAACATTCTTTGAGCTCGATCAGGCTCAGCTGATGAGCCAAGGACTGGCTGTGAAAACGAGGAGGGGGGTTCATGCAGCTGAGAGCTTTGGAATCTTCGATTCGTCCACAAAGTTACAGCTTGTCGACAGACCCAGAGAGCGGACACTGGACAGCCACTCAAATACGGGCATGGACTTTGAGCAAGCAAGTGACTGACTAGGCGCTGACGCCCTGACAATGTGGTTCGATCTACACGAGGAGATGGTTGCGCAATGCGCCAAGGGTTTTGAGATGCATCGATTTTTGCTCTCGCAAGAGGGTCGCTGGGAGGCCTGTGCTGAGGCTACGGTGAGATGTCAAACGATCAGCTTCCGGATGCTTCCTTCGGGCCTCGCATGTAAAGGACTAATTTTTCCCTCGCGCGCCCTGAGGAACAAGGTCCATTTGCTGATATCAGAGCTGATAACCCTGGAAGGGACAGGTAGTCATGGCACGCCGTGGGCAGCACCAAGCCTCATGTGATTGATTGCGCTGTGAAACATGCATGAGCTGAGGGCACGAGCTGAGTCCGTGTCCTGCTCACACGGTGCGAAGAGATGATGGATGGCGTGCGTCCACAGGGGTTTCGATGAGCACCTTTTTGTTTACTTGCTCTCCGAGTTCCACCTGACCTGGCACGGACTGGCCATCGACTATAAATGAACGGAATAGACTCCGCTGGCGGTGACCCTGTAATTAGCTGATCGTTCTAGACCTTGGCTACCTATAGGTACTTAGGTAGCTTCAACCACATCTCCACAATATCTCCCCCACCTTTTTCAGCTCAGCTACGAGTCGCCAGCCAAGGTTCGAATGGGCTGGCTGGCTGGGGACTGTGCTGATTCCACGTACGGCTAGCAGCTACCAGCTACGAGATGGAAGGTGCATACGCCAAGGGTAGATGGCCTCACACCTGGGGTATGTATTGGGCACAACATCAAAAGATACCTAGGTGTGGAAGCTGAAACTGACAAACAGTGCCGTCGCATGGGAAATTGCATGCGAGGTTTCAAGCAGACGCACCTCGCAACGTCCAACTCAGCACCCTCAGCCTGACGCATTCAGAGTGGCTTGCGCTTCTTCCACGGTGGCCCCGCAGTAGATCGCCGAGTAGGGCGTCAGAGAATACCGACAGGTTTGATGAGGACAAGGATCTCATCGGCCCACAAACCATCTCATCAGCAAACTCCATGCGAACCATTCTGTCGATGAACTAATGAGTCACCAAGGATGCTTGCTCAAAGGGAGAATGGATACTGGAATCGCGCAGCAGTGGCCTACTAAGATGAAGCTGCAAACAAAATCTCTATATTTGACCGTTCGTCTCAGCCCCTATTCTTGTAAACTCAAGGACGAGAAGTGTAAAAGTGATCTTGTAACGACTGTGTTCTCACAAAACGACAGTAGCATCCATTCCAGCCGTGGTGAGTATCCTCCTATCAGAGAAAGACCGTCATGTTACTCATGCCATTTGCTGATTCGGAGACCCCAACTCCAAGCAGGTGGAAGCTTGCCCATCTAGCCCTCCTGCACTCATGTCACCATTCACGAATGACCCTGTTCGTTTGAAGACGCAGGCGGTTTCATGTAAAGGTAGTTCTCTGGGTCTGGTGTCTCCTTCATCCCGTTGCGGATAACATCCACAGGAAGCTTCAGGGCGTCAGAAAGAGCTGGAGTGACCGACGACGTGGTTGGACGAGTCTCGCCCAGACCTTTGACGACGTAAGCGTATTTCATAAGGCGAGTCCCGAGAAGATTCCACACTCCGATGGCACCTGGAAAGAGTTGCGCGAGTTCGCCACTCTTGTAGGAATTCTGAAGGACTTGGTGACATCGATACCAAACCATTTCCTCGTGCTCTGTGTTGCGCTCGGCAGGGATGTCACGATCCAGACAGGAGACGCTGACTTGAGGCAGAACAAAGGGAGGAGTCAGTAACCTCGCCTGAGACGCTAAAGCGGCAGTGTTGTGGATCGATTCTGGTTCAATCCAGTGGAAGGCTGCCATCATTTGGGCGAGGTCGACGAGACGCCACATGGGCGTGGCCACGTATGCACCTTCAGCTGTGCGAGAACGGATCTAGCATTCCCCAAAAGCAACTTGGACTGTTTTTTGGCCTGCATTGATATCATCTTGCAGCTTGGTCTTCATCAAAGCCGAGATTCTCCCAACCCGAGAGACCAGGCTTGTCATGCCGGTTGGGGCGTGGTTGAAGTCTACCATGGGGTATTCGGACCCTGGAGGAGAGTCTGGCAGTGGATTGATCCGTACGCTGATGTTCGAGCACTGCTCCCATTGAAGATCAGGTATAGAGTCCGGGTTTGGTGACTTGTCGGTGATATAAAGGATCCAGCAATTGCCCTCTTTAATCAGAACTGCATCCGAGGCGATTGGTTCCAAGGGGTGTTCGTGGGTGGAAGGAGACGAAGGCTGGCTCGGGGCCTGTGAGTGAGTAGAAGCAATAGAGGATGCCATGGTGGAGAACAGTAATGCTGTAGCAGAGAGCTTGAAAAATTACGAACACAGATATAAGATCGATAATGTCGGTAAGATGTGCTGCGGCCTAAGATGTGGTGAAGCTGGAGAGAAAAGAGGGAGGAGGAGATTAGAGCGACAGATATACGGCTACATTCTGCCTGGGTGGCACCTGCAGATATTGCCATGGTGCTGTTGGCAGGAAGATTCTCATGCAATCGCGATTGAATGTGATCAAGCAAGACGAAAGGCAAGGGAGGGAGAGGAGGAAGGGGGAGGAGGAAAGTGTCAGTACTCGGTACTGCCAACGAGGCTACCAGCTGGGTGCCTGGGCTCCCCCACTGCAAGGCTTTTTATTTAGGGGGCGTTTCGGGGGACCTTCCTTGTCAGAAATGGGCCTCACTAGCCACTTCCCCGCTAAATCAAAAAGAGCCCCCAAGGGCCCCTCAGGCACCATCGTCCCGCCATTGGCTGACCCTCCGACCGCCGCAAGCGCAGTGAATAGCAAAGAAGATTCAAGAAGTTTTTGTGCGATTGAACGGCCTGCGGCTCTCACCGTGCATTTTGCTCTCTGCCCGACTTCTTCCCTGGCACACTCACCGGTCCCTCGGGTTCTGCTGCACCATCATACTACTGCACAGCTCTCATCCTCGCGACTCGCACCATGGCGGAAGCAAAGAGTGGTAAGCCTTACCACCACTCTCCCATGCGCATCACTCTAGCCTGACCGACCTCTCACTGCGCAGGAAGACCTCGGGTCTACTTTGACATTACAATCGGAGGAAGGCCACAAGGCCGGATAGTCTTTGAACTTGTAAGCATCCCACAAATCCCTGCGCGAGGGTAACGTGGACTGACACCCAGAACAGTACAGTGATGGTACGAGTCTCCTTCCTCTCGTCAGATCGCTCTCTTCAAGCTAAGATCTCCTCCAGTGGTACCGAAGACGGCAGAAAATTTCCGTGCTCTATGCACAGGTGAAAAAGGCATGGGAAAGCAGGGCAAACCACTACACTACAAAGGTGGGATATATTGTGCATGGTTGGATGAGCCAAGGCTAAGTCTGCGGACCAGGGTCAATCTTCCACAGAGTGATCAAGGCGTTCATGATCCAGGGCGGTGATTTCACGAGGTTCAATGGAACTGGAGGCGAATCTATTTATGGCGAGAAGTTCGAAGATGAGAATTTCAACCTGAAGCATGACCGCCCTTTCCTCCTGTCTATGGCCAACTCCGGTCCTGGTAAGACAATGAATACACGGACAGGCTTCACCGTACCCCAAGCTAAATCTGATCAGGTACCAACGGTTCGCAATTCTTCATCACGACTGTTCCCACTCCTCATCTAGATGGTAAGCACGTTGTGTTTGGCGAAGTCATCAATGGTAAGAACATTGTGCGAACCATCGAAAATCTTCCCTTGCAGTCAGACAAGCCCCAAGGTGGTGATGTGGTGGTAGCCGAATGTGGTCAGCTCGAAGGTGAGAGCTATAATACAGCCACTCAGAAAGTGGCGGATCCTACCGGCGACCCGTACGAGGACTACCCAGATGACCAGGGCGAAGGCTTGAAAGGGGAGGAATACTACAAAATCGCATTGGACCTGAAAGAATTCGGCAACAAAGCATTCAAAGCCGGAGACGTCGGGACAGGGATTGAGAAATATCAGAAGGCCCTCAGATACCTCAATGAGTACCCAGCAGCCAACGACAACGACCCCAAGGATCTGCAGAGCAACATGGACGCTTTGCGCTTCACACTCCACAGCAACTCTGCTCTTCTCGCCAATAAAGCCAAGCGCTACGATGAGGCTCAGAAGTGGGCGGGATTTGCCATCGACTCTATCCCGAAAGACGCCAAAGACACGGACAAGGCCAAAGTGTATTTCCGGCGAGCACAAGCTCGGGTGGCACTGAAGGACCTGGAGGAAGCCCTCAAGGACTTTGAGCAGGCTGCGAAACTTGCCCCAGAGGACGCTGCGATCAAGGCCGAGCTGGCCCGGACGAAGAAGACCCTTGCTGACAGCATCAAGAAGGAGAAGGAGAGCTACAAGAAGTTCTTCACCGGTTGATGCGAGTGGCGGCGTCGCGTGGATTGGGCAGTGCATCCTTCCAGAGTGTGTGGACAGGGGGTGCTCGGACGCGGGTTTGCGGTATCGTCGGCAGGCGTGGCTCTTACCAGTAGACCTCGTTTCTCTCGGTTCGTGGTCGATTTCGGCCGGGGAAAAAAGCATGAGCTGAAGGCGCGGGTTGGCAACTGAATTTGAAAATTCCCCTCGAGCGAAAAGGTGCTTTCAATGGGCTTCGCTCGCATTTTTGATGCAGCTCGATAAATTAGACCCAGACCAATGACATGACACACGACATTCACATCCTGAATATGATCTGCTCCTTAGTAGGACAATACACTTTTCCTTTTCTCCGAGAACATCTTCTCCAGATGGTCCAAATATGACATATCCACATGCCGACCGAGCATGCTTCTTTGCATGTCCAGTGCCTAGGTATGTGGCTACGGTTGACTCCTCCCCTGTGCATTCCCCTGCGCTAAATTCCCCGTACTCCTGCCGAGTTTCATTTCCTCGCGCCACGTCGTCCTCTCTTCCTTGGCCACTCCGGGACCCTTGTACACGCCGCCGTACCAGCCGCTGGCCCAGCTCTTGCCATGCTTGGCGTTCTCGCTCTCCTCGCCGGCGCCGGCGCGCTTGTTCTTGGCCGTGTATCGTCGACGATACCATTTCCCGTACGCCAACAGATAATAGAGTCTGAAGCTGAGGAAGGCGAACTTGTCGTGCTCCAGGTCCTCCGGGTACTCTGCGCCCAAGTCTATGGCGGCGGCGATCCCGGACATGATGGCGACTTCGTGCGCGTTGACGAGTGTCCAGCTCGAGGCGTAGCGGACCCTGTTTCGGCCCTGGAGGAACATCATCCACGGTACGACGAACAGGTAGTGCGTGTATGAGTGGCACAGTTGATGCCACCAATCTTTCCTGATGATTTTTGTAGAGTCGATCTCGTCGTCGCTCCAGAGGTGGCCATCCCGGGCTTTGTTGAGGAAGATGGTCTGGAAGACGTGGTCCTCGAAGGGGACCTTGTCTGGGAATTGGGATTGGTAGTTTGTTGTGTCGAAGCACATTTCCAGCTTGGAGCGGTCTTGGTCGTACATCTTGATGTAGTACATGGGACGGAAATTCGTGGCTGCCCACTCGCACCGGGATGTTTGGTCTTTGCCGCCGAGGGTTTTGACGGCGAGGGACTCGGAGTAGAAGTTTTGGTAGTGCTTCTTCATGTAATCCGAGTCGGTGTGTGTGATGGTGATGTCGTCAGAGAATTTTGCGGATCCCAAAACTTTGCGTTCGCGCCAGGACGAGGTGGATGACAAGACGCGTTTGGCCGTGTCGGCGAGGCAGCATAGGACGAGTTCGTCGTAGTGCTCCTCAAACGTGGGAGCGTCCTGGTCGGCGTCAATTGGGTTGTGGCCGTCAGGCGCTGGCGTGCGCTGTTTCAAGGACACCACGACGCCGCTGGACTTGGAGCGATGGACGACAGCCGAGAGTTCGGTCGAGAGGCGAACCGTCACGCCCCGCGAGACGAGATCTTTGCGCCAGGTTTCGTAGAATTCGCTAAAGTTGGGGAAGACGACCATGGGGGGGTGGTTGGTCGCGATGCTGGTTGGGTCATAAGGATACCACATGCCGTAGGTGGGACTTGTGCACAGTCGTTCAAGCATGATTGAGGGGACATTGGGTGTTTCATTGCCGGTTCCCAGAAAGAGGGCCACCATGGGCAAGGCGACGGTGCTGGTGAACTCCTCTGAGAAGAACCACAACTTGAAGAAAATCTTCAGGGGGATCAATGCGAAGAAGATCTCGAACCACCGCATGAACTTCAGGGCGAAATTGAGGCGTGTGATCTCCCTCTGGTGCCGAGCCAACAGGTCCGTCGGGAAGACGTTGGTCCAGAAGGTCTTGTCCTTGCCAAAGGATACTTGGAGATTGACCGGGTCGGCGTGGTATCCCTGGCGTGTGAACATGGTCAGGGTGTGGTGGAAGATGTAGCTGCCACCTTGGACGCCTTGGTTGAACCAGCTCGCCCCATGACGATCCTTGTCGAGGGGGCAGGAGAAGGCTTGACCGCCGCAGTAGTCGACGGCGTCGATGAGCGTGATGTCGTATTTGTCCGGATGTTGGGAGAGATGGTGGGCGGCGGACATTCTGTACGATTAAGTAAACAGATGACGAGGGATTTGAGGGTGGGAAGATGTTACCCAGCAGCACCGGCGCCCACAATGAGTACCTTCTTGCGTCCAGCCTGATGCTGGGAATTGGAGGGTTTCTGGGCCATGGTGGAGGAGGTGGCCGTGGTGGCGCTATGTCGCTCGACGTCGTGGTGGAAAGGAGTGCTGTCCATCAAAAGAGTATATACAGAGAGGAGAGAGCCATTGAGTCTGAAAAGGGCGTAACTGCATGGTCATAAAGAGGTTCATAGATGGTGGTGGTGGTGGTCGTGGACGCTTGAATGGTGCATGGTGCATGATCCGTACATTTCGCACTCGCGACGTCATGACTTTCAGGAACATTTCGCATTCATTGCTCACTGTCATTCATCTCTCATCTCTTGTCAATCTTCTCCCCATATCCCACCGAGCCACCTGCACATCATCTCAGATCCCCCCACCTTCGCTAATCGAACTGATCTGACCTAAGTTGCTTTCTTTTTGCGGTTGGACTGGTTGATGGACACCCCTGAAGAGTGTCCCTTCGCGAGGCCAATTTCCAGCAACTATGCCGAACATCTCCCCCAGCCTCCGCTGGAACACAGCAAGTTCATCTTCTTCCTTCTCTCGCTTAATCAACGGAGATAGATGTGCATGTGATCTAGGTCATTCACTGTGCCTCAGAGTCTCGTTGGTCCGCGCCGAAATCGCATATGAAGGGAGCGGAAGTTTGAGAAAGTCGAAGATCAACAACCATCAGTAGGTGAGTCGTGCCTCCCCCTCCAGGTTAAAGACGCTTCAAATTATGGATGCGTACAGTGCTAGTCTGTGGATGTATCTTCGCGTATTCATGCACGTCGACCCTCCAAGGGCTTTTCACACAGAGCCAAAAACCACCTCTTCCCTTTTATCCTACCTCTCACAAGACACAGTTCTACCTCACCACTAACCTCTTACTGGTCACTTCGCTATGACACCTCATCCTTTGCCCATCAGAAAATGGCACTGAGTGCCTTTCTCCACCACGGCCAAGTCGCGACCCTGGCCCTGAACGCGTTGATAGTCTCCCAATCGTGCTCGCGACGACCCGTGTCTAGATCGATTTGGTCCAGGCGGAGGAAGCCGTTGCGCTTCCAGAGGTAGCCGCAGGCCCAGAAGAAGAGCACCACAGGGAGGGCCAGGTACGCCTTGAAGAAGTCCTCGGCGCTGCCCAGGTCGGTCGTGAAGGGTGGGGCAATGGCGACGAAGAACTGCGCCGCCAGCGCAATAAAGACAAGGAACAGGCCCAACCATGACCCCCACACCCCGCCAATGGCCCTGAAGGGGATCTCGTCAAGGCTGCGTCCAGCGTGGGCCCATGCTGCTCGGAATCGGATGTGTGCCTGCCACAAATTCGTCAGAAAAGGTGTACCACGGAAGACATGAGACAGCTAATATGTGAGGGACTTACCACGCAGATAGAACCCCAGGTAAAGAGGGCAGCAAGACCAGACAGCGCGAGCAGCCAGTCGAAGACAATGCTCCCGGACGAGGCGAGTACAACGTAAGCCAATGCGCCAAATGCCAAGTTGAGTGCCACAGAGGGCAACGGCCGGCCTGATCGGTCAATATAGGTAAAGACCTTGGGCGCATACCCCTGCTGAGCGAGGGCGGTCAAGGTGCGCGAACCGCCATAGACGCTGGAAACACCAATCGACACGACCGAGACGAGAATGACCACGTTCATGAAACTGTCGTAGCCGATCAGGCCGGCATAGAGGGGCGCGAGCACGAAAGGCGATGTGCCGTCCGCGTACGGGTTGGACGCGTTGAGGAGACGGTCGTCCGTGGAGCTGACCAAGAGGCCGACGAAGGTGAGACCAAGAATGTAGAATCTTTCAACAATATTAGCCGGACAGTCACCTGGGGTCGGGGGTTTTCTCTCACAGAGTGATACGCCAGAAGACCTGTTTGATCGCGCTTGGAAGGGACTTGCTGGGGTTTCTGGACTCGGCGGCAGCAAGGCCAACCAGCTCAGTACCAGCGAATGCAAACGCCGCCGTCACAAACACGGAGCAAAAGCCACGGAAACCATTCTGGAAGGCACCAGGGTTGTACCACAGCCGGGCACCCCAGTACTCGTCATAGATGCCGCTCGAGGGGCCACCACCGCAAATGAGAACGACAGCAACGACCATGAAGATGATAGTCGCCAGGAGTTTGAAGAGCGACGCCCAGAATTCCTCTTCGGCATAGCCCAGAGTACCGAAGACGTTGACAATGATAATGAAGACCCAGAACATGGTGATCCAGACGGCGACACTTATGTCTTTGTTCCAGTACTGGACAGTGAAGGAGCAGACGGTCAGTTCGAGCGGTAGGACGATGATCCACTGAAAGACCTGCTCTGTGTGAGTGGACAGCTACGCCAATACTCGGCATGAATACGTACGTAATTCCAACCCATCGCAAAGCCCCATGAAGGGTCGATCTTCTAACCGTCAGCATTGTGGACTTGGACTGGCCTGGGGTCTCAACATACAAAGCGAACCGAGTAAGTATAGAAACCTCCGCTGATGGGATACATGACGGCCAGCTCTCCGAGGGCGTAGACGACATTGAAGATCATGACTCCGGTAATAAGGAAACAGATGAGGAGAGAAGCCGGACCGCCTCGAGTCAACGCTCCTCCAGCGCCCACGAAGAAACCAGCACCGATCGACCCTCCAATGGCAATCATGTTCAGGTGGCGCGACTTCATGGAGCGATCAAGGCCCTCCGCGCCTGTGCAGTCACCTGTACCATATTGTTAACGCCATGTTCTAGCTCGACAATGCTGTCCTTGTCAAGATCCAGCGAAAGAAAAGCCTTACGCCTCCCGAAACTCGCCAGGTTGAGGCCATTGCGGGTGAGGAAGTCCTTTTCCCGGAGGTTCTCAGGCTCGTGTCCATCTCCCGGAGTGTAGCTGTTAGAAGGCACCCCCTTCTCCGAGTCAGCGGGTGATTCCTGTGTTACAGGGTAATCCTTTGGTGCGAAGAAGCTCATATTTTCCCAATTGAGCATCAGACGAATGGGCCAGGCAACAAAGGATCTGAAGGGGGAAACAATAGCGACAGGAAACCAAAGTCACTTCCGTTCAGCAAGTCTGTTCGCGAGGCAGCTCGACAAAAGCTCTGAACAGCGCAACAACCATGCATGAGAAGGAGGAAGAAGGAGAGGGATCTGTGCGCACTTTTTAATCATACCACTGATCTTCCAGCAGATCGGTGGAGGGGTACAACAGGCTCTCAAGGAAGCTCAGTCTGCTATCTCTTAGTATGCTACCTTCCCTCCTTCTCCTGTGCTCGATCTCCTCCAACCTATCGAATGTGGACATTGTTTTCATTCTGCATAGCAGCTTGGCTCGATCAACAAAGGTCACGTCAACGTCATTTTACAGATAGCGGAAGGCTATCGAGCAGATGCCGCGAGGCCAAGAGGTTACGACCAAGAGATGCAACGACTCGGCGCGGAGGCGATGCGCACGAAGGCACTCCTTTGTAGCAGCGGGAGCGGAGAATTCGATAGAGAAAGATCAACCCTAGATCCCCGAAGTCTTCCTTGGCACCCCTTGCAAGGCGAATCCCCAATCCGCGCCGAGGTCTTGGTAGTTCTGGGCGGACGCATTGGCCAAGCAGGGCGGTGATAATGCAACCCGTGGACGACCGAGAGGAGGCAGTGGAAGCCGGTCCAATGACTTGTGGCTATGGCCGTGGCTTTTGACGTCGGCTGCCATATTTATTAGAACAGTGTTGGCCGTTGTCATTGTCATATAAGCCGAACTACACCCTCCTTCAACGACCTCGCGAGCTTCAAGTGAGTACATGTGCAACGTGCTTCTCACGCGACAAGGGCGTTATGTACCTAGGTATGGTTCCTCCACGCCCAGGAAGCTTTGTCCAGCCTTTGGTTGACTTTGCGGGAACTTCCTCTTCATCATGATGATCATAGACTGGCGCTTTTTTAGGAATATACACAGCTCATGCATTCAATAAATCAATAGTCCGAACGGTCCGAACGGTCCAAAGTCAAATCAATCGGTGGACAATGCACGCTATTGGGGGAGTTTACGGAGTACTTGAACGACACGATAGATATAAAGTTCGTGTAGGAGTTGGCTGGGTAGATAGTTAGGTAGGTAGGAAGGCGACAAGGTGTGTGTCAATAATGCAAAGCAACTCCGATCAAAACTACCATCACCACGTTAGTATGCCTCCTCCCCAGCCCCGCTGCGATCTCTCATCTACCTATGTATATACTCGGGAGTCGGTACCTCGTATATCTCATCATCTCCCAAGGAAACCCACTTATTGAAGTAACGGAGTCACGGAGCACGGAGTCCCGAGAGTCCCCTTCATCGCTGTCCCCGTCGACGACTATTCCAACCCAGGTGCGAGCACTGTTGACAATCCCCGAGAGAGAGAGAGAGAGAGACAAGAGCTGACTTGAGGAGCCGTTGGAAAGCATGATATGTGCGCGCCCATTTGCCCCAAAAAAAGACAAATCACTTTAGTTAGCTACCTAGGTAGTCACTCAAGGTAGAAAACACGGGCGTTAAAAAAAGGGTGCACTGGAGCGGCATATTGGCATGTGGAGAAATATGGCGCCATACATACGTAGGTAGGTAGGGTGTTCGTTCAATCGAGGACGAGGCGGTGCGCGAGGCTTGCATGGGGTACATAAGTGATATGGAGATATATATAGGTACATAAGGAACAAAGATATGGAGTCTTTGAAGCCGCTAAATGTCGATACAGGAATCACCCACCAGCCGGAAAGTGCAGAACGTGTGATTACTCGGTATCTTGAGGACAACGAGATGTAGAAAGAGAGAGCGGAAGTGGATCAAAGTGGGATATTGAAACGATAGTATTAGCTAACTGCAAAGAAGTTTCAGAGCATCAACTCAACTCCACTCAATTCCACTCAATTATCTAGATAACAAAGCGTTCCTTTTTTTGTTGCTATGGTGTTGTTGTTGTCAACTTTTTTCTCGGCCGTTACTTACACACGTCCTGCAATCTACTTCTTGCCGTCCATCAATGACTTCTTCTCCCTCCTTCCAGCTATCGCGAGCCCCCTCTCCCCTCTCAAGCAACATGGATTTCCCAGTGCGCAGGCACACGGTACACGCCATCCTGCTTCTGGCCCTCGGCCTGGCCCAGGGGTAGTCCATCGACTTTCCACTTGGCAGCATTCCACTCGAGGTCCTTGAGCTTCAGGTCTTCGCCGTAGTGCGCGCTGACTTTCTGCGTCAAGGCCTCGTACTCCTTGGCCGACTTGAAGAAGCCGCCGGCGCGCTGGAGCGCCAGCTTGAGTAGTCGGAGGTGCCTGCGCACGATCTCGAGCTCCTCCTCCCGGTTCTGGAAGGAGCGCACGTGCTTGTGGTCTTCTCCGTTGACTTTGCCCTGCGAGCTGGCGCCGTTGGCGCCATTAGTCGCGGTGCTGGATGATTTCTTCAAGCTGATGCCGACGTCGAGCTCGTAGTCGTCGTCATCACCCGTGTCGGCTGCATCGGCATCGACCAGCTGCTTGAGCGCAGTGAGGTGCACGTCGGCCGCTTTCCGCAGGTAGAGGAGAGCGCTCTGTTCCGTCGCCTTCTTGGTTGCGGGTTCCTGTTTGCCGGCTTCGGCCAGCAAATGGTTTGCGTATCCCGTGTAGAGCTCTGCCAGAAGATTCCAGCACGAGTACAAGCGCGGGTTCCTTGAGCCGTGGACACGTTTGATGTTGTAGACAATGTCTTCGCACAGGCGCAGAGCAGGCTTGTAGTTGCCGGCACTGAACTCCGCTTGAACAAGGCGGAAGCCCAGGTCGAGGATGGTATCCTGTGGCCAGGAACTTTGGCCTTCGCGGGACGTCCATAGAGTGTTGAGAAGCCAAGAGAGGCGGGAATAGTCCTTGTGTTCACCAATCAAGTTGATGAGCTCGTTGAGTTCGGAGAGCTGCGCGCGGGCGATGTTGATGTTGTTGTTCTTACAGATGTCGAAAACCTCGGCCAGGATCTGCTGAGAGAGCGCAAGCATTTCACTCTGGACCTTGGGACTGCTGCTCTTGTATGCGAATTCGCCCCTTCCGGCCGTCATGAGGCACAGCTGGAACCCAAGACGGATTTCGGTGGGATCATCAAGGCCTTCGTGCGCCATGAGGAACTTGAATGTGCAGGTGGCAAGATCAAGAGCTTCCTGGTCCTTGTTCTGCTTCAACAAGAGGCGAAGCTGGTCAACTGCTGCGTAGCTGGCGGCAACGACGAAACTCTTGAAGTGGACATTTGGATGCTCGGCCGCATATTTCGTGATGACATTGACGAATGCTTTTAGAGCTGCCCGCGAAACAGCCTTGGAGACCGAGACTTCTGTGGCAGCAAAGAAGTCAATCAGCTGTGTTTCGATGATGGTGAAGTCCTCAAAGCGGTTGTTTCGGGCGAGAATATGGCGCAGACGAGCCGCATGGACGAAGACCGCCTGCAGCTTGGCTTTGGCCTTAATGGACCTGACGAAGCGCTCGTAGAACAAGTGCTCCTGTTTATTTTCAGTCAATGTCAGAGGAATTAACAGCAAGGAAGAGGGTGGTAGCGTGGTTGTTTGAAAACTCAAGAGACAGATTCTTGGAGATAATTCAGGTTGGGAGAACTTACAGCCACCAACTCGGCGATATTATGTGCAATGCTGAGGGTATGATCACTGCGAACGTGATACTCAAAAGCAGCAATGAAAGCGAAGCAAGCCCGCCCAATTGTCGCACCGTGGAACGCGGAAGTCTTGGGTGCAGATCGATAGATGGCTTGGAGTTTGAGATCCCGGACTATCTCCAGGGCGTAGCGACGGAGATCGTAGCTGATGAAGATTGTGGCGAGGAAGTCAGCCACGTACACTAGTTCTTCCGTTGTGCGAACATTCAGGACAATGTCCAGAATCAGAGATCGGAGCTCCTTGACGATGAGATCAGTCTTTTGTTGCTTGTGGTAAATGGCAATCAGCTGCTGAAGTTGCTTGAGCGTCTTCGTCTGCGTGTACTCATGCGCTCGGCGGCTCGAGATATACTTTTCAAACAACAGCGACTCGGCCTTCTCGACAGTCTCTTTGCTCAATGTTGTGGACTTCGTCGACGTGATTTGCTTGATGTAAAGCTCTTTGATCATGCTCTTGGATCGCTCGATTGTCTGGACGGAGACCATTTCGGAATGCTGCGACACTGTTTCGAAGTAGCGGATGGATTCAAACCTGCGAACAAATGTCAGAGTCTATCAATTGACAGGAGAGGAAAGACAGGGATCCCTCCAATGGCATATGTTTCGATGAAGTGGACGACTCACCAATACTCTTGACTCTTCGAACACGCCTCAGCCAATGCGCTCGTTGTGATAATCGAGATCACAGACTTTTCTCCGTAGTACTTGAAGCAAGCCTCACGAACCTCCCGCAAGATCCTGACGTGTTGGTCGACATCCAACTTTGTCTCTTCCATAGAGGTGTAATACTTCTCGAGCAGGCGCTGGACGACTGCGGCATCAGCGAAATGTTCGTATTGAGTACCAAACTTGATGAATGTCGCCGCGATTGACTTGAAATGGATCAACGCTTCTGTAAATCGCCGGCTCTCGTAGTAATGCTCCGCGACAATGATGAGAGCACGGAGTGCATCTTTCTGACTGATCAGGTCACCTTTGTTCAGGGCATTGACGATTTCAAGGTAGTACTCGACCCAGTATCTATGGACAAGATGGTGGGTCCGGCAAGTGTCTGCAAGGTTATAGAGCAGAGTTATTGTCTTCTTGTCGCTCTTGCCGTAGAAGTTGCGGTAGTCGATCAACAATTCCTGATAGAAGCTGATGATGCGGTCGTGGAGCCCGTGACGCTTCAGGAACGCCACATACATTTCGGAATATTGGGCCACGGCATGATTGTCAATGCTGTGGGACTTATGATGAGCGCGATAGAGTCTCAGGTAGATCTGCTCGCTTTGGTCCAGAACCTGGTGTTGTTCGTAGCATTCTGCCAAGCGCACAGCGAGCATGACGCTCTCGGTGGAGAATTTGGAAGGCAGAGTAATGCTCTCGAGAGCGTCATTGAACAAGCCGGCCCAACCCTTCTTCATTGTGCTTTCGAGGACTGTTATGGCTTGTGCGTAACGGCTCTGCTCAATGTAGATGCCTGTCAATGATTTGGACAGTTCGAAAGTGGAGTGGGTAACCTCGGAAGTGGTTGTAATGGTATGTTCGAAGACCTTCAAGCTTGCAGTTAGCACCAACATCTCTGGAATGGCAGCGGCAGGTTTTGTAAAGCGCTCTCGAAGCTCTTTCGGATGGGTTGTTGTGACTTACCTCTCGTATGGTCACCTCGGTAGATTCGCTGACTGTCGTGGTGGAGGATTTGATGATCTCCATCGATGTGGCAGTGATTTGCTCTTCAATTTCCGAGACGAAGGTGGTTTCACTGACGTTCTTGTAGTAGGAGAAACATTTCTGATAGACAGACAGAGCCACAGTGTTGAGCTTGACGGTCTTCATGATGAGGGCGATTTCTTTTAGAAGTCGGACGATGGACTCGTACATTGAGAATTCGCTGTGCTCGAACTCTTTCCAGGCGAACAGAAGAACAGAAGAGGCTTCATCGACGCGGTTGCGGGATTGTAAGAAGCGAGCATACGCCAGCATCAACTCGAGCTTCTTCTGGTGCCACTCCAGGGTCCTGACACTAGCGCAGTGCTCTGTCAGCTTCCACCAGAGTTCAATGTATAGTTCTTCCGCCTTTTCATAGTCCTCGCGTTTGATCAACTCTGTCGCACGGGCAAATATGCCTTCAACCAACGCCAAGGTGAGGGACTCTGCGGTTTCTTCTTGATAGCCAGCAAACAACTGTGAACACATCAATTAGCTTGTGGCCGAATACACATAGTATGTTGGCGTTGAGTCGTCCACGTAGGAACCAACGCTTCAAGAGAGGGTCTGACTTACGGATCCTTCAAAAGTATCAATGAGCTCCTTCTCCTTGCGCTTGCGGAGGGTGACATCCAGACTGCGAGACACCTTGTCGCCATTCTCTTGGACGGCCTGATCATCAACAGCAGTCGTTCCTGTCTTCTGCTTGAACTCTTCGGTCTTTTCAGTCTCGCCGATGAAAACATAGAGCTCGCTCAACTGTCTGTAGCATGCAGACACCTCTCTCGAGCTCGCACCGTAGCGGTAGGTATAGGCGGAAACGAGGATTCGCAGTGTCTCTTCACGATAAGTTGTGATCTGGCTTCTGCTTTTCGTTACCAAGCTTTCTGTCACCCGCAACAAGCACAGACAGAGCTGGACAACGAGATCGTGATGCGACCCCAGTATCTTGGTAGCGACTTTGATTGATGTCATGTACCAAGACGCCGCATCGTGAAGTCGAAATAGAGTTGTCTCATAAATCTTCGCAATAACAATGGCTGCCTGTAATACGCAGGCGTGGTCTTGGCCGAATAGGTTCACACGAACACGATAGGCAAGCGCGTGAAGCTCGGCGGCTTCACTTGGCGATGTCTGTGCACGCCAGCAAGCTTCTTCCAAGAGCGCCAGAGTCACAGTTGAAGGGAAGATGTTAGCAAACTCTTTTGGAACATCCAGATCTGATCCACGCTTCAGCAGCGAGGATTGCCTGAAGTGAACAATCCAGTACCTCACGGTATACTCAAGCAGCTGACGTGAGTGAGAGGGACGATGGATTCTGCTGAAGTCCAAATAATCCAGCGTCGGCTCCTGATCCTCTCTGAGAGAAGTCTTTGCATGGATCAGAATGCGAGTCAGCATATCTCTGTGTCGATCCTTCACCAGCAAGTAGTCCTTCGATTTCTCAGCGACCGTGATTAAGGCAGTCTTGATTGCCGCATGCCTGATGGCTAGCATGCCTTCGCCTCTGATGGTGAAGGGGGCCACAGATGCGGTCACGTCGCCCAGGTCGACGCTCTTCTCATCCATCTCGAGGCGGCCTGGCTGAGCCTGGAGTAAGAGCTCGAGTTCTGAGAGCAATAATGGCCTTTCTGCAGCTAGAGTAATAGAAAGCAAGCTTTTCGCCCGTGCATCGACGCTAAGGACTGACATCAATTTCTCCACCAGGTCCGGCACAGTCTTCAGACTGGTGACGACAGTTTGCAGAGCTTCGTCAAATGTAGAATGGACTTTTTGATGCCCGATATATTGGGTAGCAAGCCAAGCCCATAGGATAGAGCCATCAGCGGCGGCTGCCAGTTTGTCGATGGCAGACTCTTGGGCGCCGTCTTCAATTGCGGCGAACGACTTGAGGTCACCAAGCTCTCGGCGCACAATCGTTCGAATGTCATCGATCATAGTCTCTGTCGAGAGTTTGACGTATTCCGATTTCGAATGGGTCGATTCAAGTGGTTGGGAGAAGCGGATCAAGCGTAAGCCAGGTATCTTCACAGCCAAGTCATGGAGCCTGTTGGCAACAGCATGGGCGTGGTGTTTCTGTCCAGAAATTTCATCAAGACCGTCAACAACGAGGACAAGGGTGTTTGTCTCATCTTCGTCAATGGCCGACAGGACCTTCTCGAGGACGGTCCATAGGATCTCCTCATTCTTATGCGACGCGTTGGAATCCTTGAACTCGTGGTACGCCTCGGTCAAGGCCTTGTACAGGTGGATATCTCCAATGCGCTGAGACAAAATCTGCCACAAGAGAGTTTTGAGCAGCGCAAAGGAGTTCGCCTGGGCAGGAATGTTGCTGTTGAAGAAAAAGCTCAGAGGGAAAACGAGCTTACGGCCGATAGGTCGTTGAAGTCGATCGACCGTCCAGTTCGCCAGCGTCGTCTTGCCTGTGCCCGTCTTTCCCTCAACAATCAGCGAGCTTTCTCCGCTGCGCATGAAGTTTGTCAGATGGGACTGGAACCATGTGCAGGTGAATTGCTCGGGGCGGCTGGCGATGTTGATGTTGTTGCTGGCTAGGAATGCCAGAACGGTGTCCTGTGGGGCCAGCCAGGCCTGCAGGGCTTCCAGGATATGGGTTTCTTTCAAGCCACTCGCTGTCAGGCTGAAATTCCACATCTCCTGAGAACACTGAGAGACGCGAGAGCGGAAACTCTCAATGGACGTGCTAAAAGTGGAAAAGATGTCGAGATTTGTCGACGAGTTGTTCCCATGAACGATCTGCCAGAATGTGATGGCCACTCCGGTCACGATAGACAAGAGCTCCGAAAAGGCTTTGGAGAGGTTGTCGGAAATCAGTCTGGAAGAGGTAATAATGTCGACGCGTTTCAAGAGTGGCGACAATTCGAGGCCGAACTGGTAGAAGAGGTTGAAAACCGTCTCCAGTGCCGGAGCATTGTCGCTTCCAAGCTAAAGAGGCGTCAGCGAATTCGAACTTCGATTTGTAGGGGAGAAGCAATCACAGTGATAGAGAAGGATTTGTGCTTCTGCAAAGGTGTCAAGGGCTTGCATTGAAAGTGGGGTAGAAGCAAGACAATGAGCTTGAAAGGAAGCAATAGGTCGAGTGAACGGTGAATGGTGGGAGGTGGCAAGAAAAAGAAATACGTACCTCTAGCAGTAGAAGACACTGGCCAAAAACCAGATTCGTAGCCGCGTTGATGTCGGATTCAAAGGTCGAAATGGCAATGTTAAATCTGTGAACTTGTTCCGCAAAGTGTTGTGCGGCGATGAGCACACGATCCCAAGAACCACCTTTGTGGGGAAGTCTGATGAGTCTTTCGTCCCGAATCCATTCAAGGAGTCCAGTAATGGAAGTGTCAAATGCATAGCCGCTGAAGTTGGAGCCAAGCACACGGTAGGCATGGTTGCGAGAAGTCGCTAGCTGTTCCTTGACTTGCTCCAGGCCGCCGAAGGAGGACGTGCGATCTGTGCTGGCACGTGGTCGCTGCATGAAAACTGAGGGCATTGGTTTAGCTGACCGGACTGTGCTGTCTGGAATATCTGGGGGGGCAAGTGCCGAGTATGTGCCCCCATTCACGCCATTGGTACCGTTAACGCCATTGGAAATAGAAGAGGTTGATGAGTACTCGAAGCCTTTTGTCGACGAGCTGCTGACGTGTCGAAAAGAAGAGGAAGACATATTAGATTGTTTCTCGGCCTTGGTCGCCGAAGAATCTTGCCCTGTAGAGGAAATATGGTTAGCAACGGCCTTTCCGGCTGGGAAGGGGAGCTTTATACCGAAGGGTTGCCGCAACAGCCCAAGCATTTTGACAGTCCACCCTGGGAAAGTCAAAAGGTGTCTCTGAACCGGCCACCACTGCCTTGATGATGAAAACTGAGAGGCGGGGAATGCGGGCCATTTGTGCACTGAGCTATATACTCCAGCATGTGAGAGAGGTACATTCGATCCTTGGGGGTTTCCACTCGTCCAGCTGTGTCATTGGATGCAACATACGTATATCTTCAGCGCTCAGAGTTGGGCTATGCTCTCTCGAGACCCCGTCGTCGAGCAATTGCGGAGTATGTCGGGTCTGCCGCCAGACGCCAGTGTCCATCACATCCATGAGATCGTCTTCAGCTCTGCTTCCAAGGTCGAATCATTGGGCACCACACCAGGGAGTTGCGGAAAGCTATCGACGATGGCTTTGGCCTTCAAGCACCTTTCTGGAAAGATGTCACCGCTAACACCCAGCAGTTGGCCCGTACCCACCGACCACAGCCCTTTGTGCTGCTCTCATTCTCCGCCGATATGCAAGCCACCTCCCAGTTCGGACAGGCCGGTCAAGGGTAGCTCAGAGATTGAAACATCATGACCCTCGTGCATCCCTTCGATTAGTGTTCGTACAGCATGCTGGAACAGCATACGTAAAAGTGCTGAAAGGATCTTGCTAGCTGCATGCTGAGCTAGACATATTCGCTTAGCGGAAGACCCCTACCCGACCTTTTCGATGTCGAGTCGTCTCCGCCGTGAGGTAAGGTCCTCCTGTCCTGGCTCCAATGGGCCTGGAATAGCAAATATGGGCCTCGGATTGGTGGCAGCAGATTCAGTCATTGTCTTCATCCAGGCAACTGTGGTCTGACCGGACAAGGTCCAAGCTCACATTCGATCCTTTGATTCCTTTCACATCCGAAAACGCAACGCGAGTTGGACATGGTCTATTTGCTCAGGGTGAGGGTGCGGGTGCGGTCTAGATTGCGCCATCGCTAACCGTTGAGGGCATGAAAATGGACGAAGACTGCACGCCGTTCCGCTTCTGCACAATTTTAGTCAAAGTGGACTTGGTACGTATACTTTCCCCTCACCTGAGAAATGGGCTGAGATATCGCTGAATCGGCGGGCTGCTGCAATGTATTGTCCGACCAAATGGGTACGAAACGATGGCCAAAGCTCCTTCTTTCCGAGGACGATCGTTAAACGAGCGAGGGAAGATCTTTTCGGCAGTCCATCTTGGACGGATGCAGATGAAGTGGATTGTGCTCAAACGCAGCTCGTCATACAGAGGAGAGAAGAGTTGAGAGTGAGTTTTCTCAACGAGCGGATAGACCCACTAGCTGGAGAGGTTAGCTGGGCTACTGGCGGACTACCGGGCGGGCTACTGGTAGCCTACTGGGAGGCACGGAGGCTACTGGGTGGTAGGCCAGGGGTGCCGGGCCCCGAGGCCGGGGGGTTGCAAGCCCTCTCAAGCCCCTTCAAGCCCCTTCAAGCCCCCCTAAGGACCCGCCAATCGCGTCGGTAATTCGGCTGTACCCCCCGGTAAGTTCCTCAGGGAAACGGCCATGCCGATCGCGACCTCCCCGCATCCAGAAGCGTCATCACTATGCCAAGTCTGGAGGACCAGCTGTGGCCAACGCATGCAGCCTCGTCGTATCTGGAAAGGCTCCTCTCCATTCAGTACGTAAAGAGTCCACGGGATTCATCCTCCCACTCTTATTAGGTGCCCCTGCCGCTGCTCCTTTTGCACAAGATCGTACTTTCGACAAGCGAACGGAGGTGGGACTGGACCAACCCATTCGTTGCGTTGCTGGAGCTGTCGTCTCCATCCCGAGCATGTTTGTGGACACCCCGGAGCAAACCCAGAGCTCTTGACAAAAGCAGACTTGGACGAGTCACCAATAGCGGTGTCTGAAGCTGCTCTCACCCTTGAAGCCATCCTCACCCTGAGAGTTGTGTGTTACATTTCTTCCTGAAGCGAACTGTCTGCCTCTCTCTTACATGTGAAACTTTCGTCCCTTTGACAGTTTTCAAAGGTTACAATGCCGACATACGAGGTTCCGGGCCATATTTAGCTCGCGTAAATTGCGCAATGCGGAGAAGGCAGGCAAAGCATGGTCCCCGATCATCCTACACAGGAGGCAGGGCATAGAACACCGGCAAGTACTCGATCGGGGTTTGATGGGTCTTTGGAGCCCGTTGATCCTTTCGCATTGTGTCGGTGAAACGGTGATTGGTGCCCAACTGTGCTTGAAAAGGTACACGCTCCAGGAGATCCCCCGTAACGAAATGCAGGAGAGGATGGGAAAAGAAGCGTTAGTCTATGCAAAAGGTAAAAGGGAATCGAAGTTGATCGAAAAGTCCATGCACATGTCTTGTCCCGCCACCACCGCTCAACAGCTGTGTGATTGAACGGACAGCCCGGTGGTTCCCAAGCACTGCATGCTTGTGCGGAGAGTTTTCGAGAGGGATGCGAATCACAGAGGAGTATTGCGAAGAGACCTTTCACATGCTAGCAAGACTCTTGACATGGAGACATGGTTTGGGAGGGACCAGGTGGTAAGCCATTTGTGAAAAGTTGATTCCAATGAAAGCCCCCTTGTCCTCACCACGGTCAGGAGTGCAAAGGAGATGCTGATCGAGTTGGGACGGGTGGCCGCATGCAAACACTCCACCTCCTCTCTTGAGCGTCCCACTCATATCTCAGACCCAACATTTGCTGCTCTTTGGCGGTTCCACTGATGAATGGAGCATCACTTTCTTGGAGGAGTCAATTCTTCTTCAGGGTGGAAAAAACTTCCAATCTGTGTACAGCCGGTTGCCACTCTGTGATAGCCTCATTGTACTTTACCTCATTGCGCATAAAGTTCGCAGATGTTGGGAGTAATGGAAGATTCCTATGTCCTCGGTGGGGTGATCACATCGAGGCTCACTTCCTTTGAGCTGTCTCGTAGCAATGATGGCCTCCTAATCCTGCCAACGCGAGATGTTCATCACCCCAAAAAGAAGCCTGAGCAAAGGTATTCTGCCCTTTCGGGACGCACACTACCGTCGCCAGGACAACATTCCTCGAGGCCAGCGGTCAGCCAGGGAAATATCGCTTTAATATTTACTGGCTCTCGATCTGGATCTCCACTTGAATCGAAGAGGGGAATCCGGGTTGCGAGACCCAGATTCTACATTCTTCGTCTCGGATGCCTGTCACCAAGGCAGTGATGACTTGACCGCAGCTCTGCCTAGAGGCCCCCCACAACCTCTCATATGAAGGTCCTTTCGCTGAATTTTTGGCGAGTTAAAACGACTTTCTTTTTACCGCATGGTGATCGACGATCAAACAGTGTCTTTGCAGGAAATGCTCACAATTTGAAGTTCCGAGTGGTGGCTCGGGACGATCTCAAATGTCTCCCTCAAAAAAAACATGAGGTAGATGGTACAAACTCAATACCACCACCGTAGCCAACCGTAGCGCAGCTTCGTAGTGGCAGATGCAACAGATGCTCCGAAGGATCCATACTCTCGAAGCGCATCCGTTGTCGTTGTAGGTAGTGTACCCATTTCTTCGTTGATCGATCTAGCGGCGATATGATGATCGCTAGGAATTTGAAGCAATCTTGATAAGGACGGACATGACGTGTTGGAAATACCAGCTTCCCTACTAGGTACCGAGTACAAAGGCACCGCTTTGGAAACGAGGTTCGCTTGGGGATCTCGAGGGGCTGGCGATCGCGGTCCACTTCGCAAACCAATGGGCAACTTAATTGCCCTCTGCTGGCCGGGAGAACGCCGTGCTTGCGTACCTAGGTACCTGTAAGGTAAGTGCCGAGTTGGCACCAGCCGGCGATTTTATCCAGCTTCGTCTACCTCGTGCAGTGTGTTGCCCAGCGTCAAATAGACCTTGGAACGTTGCCTGTCCCTTCCACCGTCAGGCTAGTGGATGTAGCCAGGTGGCTACACAGGTAGGCCTAACAACGGTAAGGATGTTCAGGGCATTTTCTAGCCCAGAAATACACGGGCACTGATGATGTATTGGTGTCCTTGCGCTGGTCACCACAAGGAATCTGAGCAGAAGACATGCCATCAAGTCAGCAAAATGCCTCAACGTACGCGACTGTCGAGGCGTAGAACCGTATGGTGAGCACGCTTATGTTTTCTGTTGCAATAAGTGCACTGGCAAGACACGATAAGGTGGTCTAAGGTGGCCGAGGACTCGGCAAGGAGACGTTCATAATGAAGCGGGTACGACGCCATGGCACTTGAGAATAATAACGTATGATGCAGCGACAGCCAAGCCTGCAGTGCATGAAGATATCAGATTGCCGCTCAGTACGCTCCTTGTCGTGGCGTATATACTGATCCCTCCACAAAATGAACTCCTGTCAAAGCCGTCGCAACAGGGCGATCGCATACAAGCTCGAAACTGTCCAGTTTGGCTCCACCAGGTTGTTGAGACCACAGGGTGAGTGCCAGCCAATTTGTCCCATTAAAGTTCAAGATCCCCTGTGGCACTGGATAACTAGTCTGCGGACCGATATGGTTAACATACTTCCCGTACTGAAAGCCATTGACGAAGAGTTGGGCTCTGTAGGGCTCAGGAGGCGATGTGGTATTTCCGAATGTGAATGACACTGGAAGGTCCCAGCCTTCAGGGATAGCCAAGTCGAAAGAGGTACTGAAGAAACCGACGCCAGGGTCTGTAATCCCATCCAACGGACTGCGACTTTCCCACGATTGGCTTGGCGGATTAGGCAAATGCCAACCCTGTCGCTCGGCGTACAGCGATCCCTCGTTCAATGGTCCCCGGCTGCGGTCCACGTAGTCCTCTCCACCGAGATTACCAGTCAGCTTCCAGGTGATAGCATCATCTTCATAGCCAGCTAGCTTGTAGTCCAAGATCCCGCGCGGTGTCTTCATCTGATCTGACCCAACATATCCATTCTCCTCCAATCCCATATGGTCAATCAGGACAGTCAGGACATAGCCACTGCCTGTTTGGAGAGCAGAGAGCGCGTAAGTTGCGTTGGTGTTGTTTTCCGTACTTACACCATCATACGAACCGAGGAAGCTCTGATTGAGCCACACTGAGTGCCCGAAGGCCCAACCACCCTGAGTGTTGAGGGAGAGGTTAGTGCTTGATTCTTGTGCAGTGAAATGACCACGATACGTCAGCGAGCCGGCATGATAACCGTAGTCTGATGCATAAAGAGACGTGGGAGTGGTGAGGTTTCGCACTGTATTATTGGTTGTAGGAAGATCGGCGTTTGTCCAACCCGAGTCATCGTAATCTGGCTGGATTTCTGGGAGACTGTCAATATATTTCCACTCCAGGCTCTGGAGATCTGGAAGCGATATGTTGGGCTCTGTGTAGTTGAATATTGCAGACCAGTCGCCTTGGCTATTGACATCGTACTGAACGGGTAGATCATTGACAAAAAGTGCGTTGGCGATGGATGGCACTCCAATCACTTCAATGGGAGTAGTATCATTGAAGTCAGCCCTCAGGTGCAGCTCATCACCCTTTATATGGGCTTCCCTTGCAAGGTATCCTGTTTTAAGGATGATGGAACTGGCAGTGGTGTTTGCTGAAGCAAAGCTGTTGCCGAATCCAATGGTAGAAAGATCAAGGACCCAGTAGTCGTAGGCCGAGTTTTTATCTGTAAGTGTTAGCTGACTCCGGAAGCATTCTCACAAACGTACCAAGAAGGAAGACCTCCAGTTGTCCAACTTGCACCACGCGACGGCTCGAAGAAGTATCCCAAGCAACAATAATTCCAGAGCCAGTCTGGTTGGTCGTGACCGTCGAAGAGTCACCCTCGATGACGGAAGGCGCTGATGACGACGCCACACACAGTTCATGATGCTCCTCTTCGCCTCCATATAGAATGAGCACTGTCCTGTCGCCGAAGTTCTTCCAAGTGAATATTTCCGCTGTGCAGTAGACCAGACTTACTCCAGCTAGGTCAAAGTCGGCGACATGCACTTTGGAATCACGGCCACCGAGAGTCAATGTACCGCCAAGTTGAGGGATCGTTAAGTTGCCTGAGCTTGTCGGTAAAGACAACTTGTAGAATGTTGGACTAAGGTCGGAATAGTTATAGTGTCTAACAATGTAGAAGGTAGTTGCACTGCCGTTTCCACCTACTGATGTGACTGTGAGGTCAGACGTGTTGGTGAAGACAGAAGTAGTATTAAGTTGTCGCGGTTCCGCAGTGAGATATGCTGGTGACGCCTTGATAAAGTTAGATATTAGTTTAGTTTCGCTGTATTTCTGTCGATCGACCTGGCGATTTTCTGATATTGCGGCAGCATAGTCATAAGAGGTGTAGCCCCCGTCGTGACCCAGATTGCCCCAGTTCGTCCCTCCGAAGATCTGCTCGGAAGTAAGTCGAATCAATCTTTACGCGCTTTGCGTGTCAACAATACTCACCATATATATGTTGAAGATCTTGGCGCCCGACGCAATGATGTTTCTGTAGAAGACTCGAACGAATTCGTAGTTCACGAGAATCTCACATTTGCCAAAGCCCGGCCCTCCCCAAGGATCGAAGGAGCCTCCCTGGAACTGAGACAATCACTCAGCAAGCGCGCACAAATCACTTTGTTCGTGTGAATTACCTCATCAATGCTGTACGGGGTTGTAGGGCTCTCGTTCAGATGCGTCTGCCAATAGGTCGTCGGTAAGGCCCCGTCAGGCCACACCGTCGGATGTGACTTTTCCATTAGAACCCACTCGGGAAGCTTAGAGATTCAACTCACGCAGTCGAATCCAAGCCTGTTTGCTATCAGTAACGGAAAATTTTGAGACGGATAAAGCCTCACGGGTAGCCATCATGCCCATATATGTCCACTGCTCCAATTCCTGTGCCAGGAGCATTGTCTCCACTTGGTCTTGCGTCGTTACTGATCATGGGAACCACAACTCCTGCCTGTCGAGCCTGATCCATGACATCTTGCATATACTGGCCATCAGGAAACTCCACACCGCAACAAGCTTGGCTGTATTCATTCTCGGGCTGATAGAGGATGACCGGTCCACCGTTCGTTATCTGAGCAGCAGCAATTGAGCTCGCAACGTTTCGAACATAGCTGGAGCTGATGTGAGTCTCTACTCCATTGAAAGGGGAAATGCTTTACTTTTCTGTTGATGCGAGGTAACCTGGATCAGTTGTCCTAAGCCTCCCTGGCAACCTCGCAAGCCAGCCAGGGAATCCCCCGCCAGATGCTTCCGCGTTGATGTAAGGGCCAGGTCGAGCTATAAGATAGACACCTGCAGCGCTGGCAGCTTCAAAGAATGGCTCGAGAGCAAAGACTCCTTCCGCCGAGAAGTTTCCGGGTTTGCCTTCCAAGATTGCCCAATCCAGATAGAAAGAGACGCAATTAAAGCCAAGTGCCTTGATTTTCTGGAAGACATCCAACCACAAAGACGGTACAGGAAGTCTGCCACGGACGGGAGTGTCAGTACCGCAGTCTAATCGCAGAATGATTTTCGGGGCGCACCGAAAGGGATGAAATTCGCCGCTGAATATCATGATTCTCTGTCCATAGATAAACAGCGATGTCTCATCCCAAGTCACCTGGAAAGAATCAGCACCATGTCAACGGCATATCTTGCCAGCAAGAATCGTACAATGTCTTGCAAAAGTTGTCGCTTCTCTGGATCCGGATGCTCGATGATGTTGAGCCCGCCGAAACTGTGACCTGGGAAAGCAAGGCCAGCAGCCCGTGCTGCCAAGCAGGCAAGCACTGAGACGACGGAGAGTCTCATAATCCTGGCAGGAGTTGCAGCAGCTGAAACGGAGTGGTTCGAGCTCGAGACGTGGTCCGCGAAGCTCGATACTAGGACGTGCCATTTCGCAATATCTCTATATATGTAGGATTGTCGGTCGTCATCTGTCACACCATCTTCTCAAATGTAACCATCTTCTCCGCTGTGCTGAAATGACCTTGATGACGAGGTCAAGTGCGGGGAGAGTCCCTGTCCTCTTTTGCTCATGTTTTGGGACCTGCGATATTGAGAAAGGCTGGGACGATCTTCCGGAACTTGAATGCGGCGAAACAAATGGGCACATGGACCCCAATCTGAATTCCGGGGAGGGCTGAGGAAGCAGACAGGTGGAGGACGAGATGATCAATCTGTGGGTTTGCTTCGGTGCAATGAATAGCGAGCTAACAAAATGGGTAAATGGCCGGTGGGTGAGCCACTTTGAGGGACAGTTGCAGCAGGTGTAGCAATTGCCTCCAATATAGCGATGACTTTGAGCATTGCCCAATACTGGGTAGCGTGGATGTCGTGAGGCATGAAGTTCCTCAGTTGATGCTGGTCGACGCCATGACACCGGATGGGTGCCTGACACCCACGTGACAAGGCCAAGTGGCTTACATAATCCCGTGCCAGTCACGTGCGAGGCACTTGCGGGTTTCTCTCCAAACAGCTCATGTCTCGCCTTGTGAGAAGCCTCCGTCCTCGGGCAGGAACTCTGCAGTCAGGTCAGAGAGATGCTCTGCACCCAGAGCCTTATTGTGCTTGGCTTTGATCGATTAGTTCTCAGACTGGCGCGGTAATCTCGCCATATGACTTCGATAATCCAGGAGCATCTATGCTGGCTTAAGGTCCTCGTTTTCCGACCAATCAATTAAACTGCCAGCGATATCCTTTCTGTCGAGCTGATTTCAGAGATCCTAGGACTTGCTACTTAGGTACACCAGCACTAACGTCTCTGTCCAGTTTCAACATGGTCAGAGCCAGGTGGACACGTGTCCTGGACGAGCAGAGAGTCAAAAGATCATCCCATGCCGTAACTGTGATTGGCAGCAATGCCTATATTTACGGCGGAGAAATCAACCCGCGTAAGCCTGTTAATTCGGACATCCACACGGTCCGCCTCGCCGAGGGTCAGTTTCGCCTTTAGCTTCAGACGCCAGGTTCTCAAGGCTCAGTTGGAAGTTGACGTCCTTGACAGTTCAGAACGATGAGGGTTTGGTGTCAAAGATCGCCTCATCAAGCTCTGGTCCATCGCCCCGGGTTGGAGTCCTCTCAACGGCCGTGAATGGGAAACTGTACGTTTTCTCCGGACGAGGAGGAATAGCTATGAGTCCAATTGAGGAGAAAGGCTCGCTGTGGGTTTTCGATCCAGCCGAAGAACAATGGGCGTCCGTTGGCCCCCAAGACGAAACTCTACCACATCCCCAAGGTCGAAGCTATTACGCCCTTACATCCGATGGTCATGACACTATTTTCCTCCATGCTGGCTGTCCAGAAAAGGGTAGACTTTGCGATCTTTGGTCATTCCAAATTGAAGATCGGGTATGGAACCGGTTGGCTGATGCTCCAGAACCTGCCCGAGGAGGCCCCTCTATTGCGTTCGCGGGTGGCAAGTTGTACCGCATGAACGGTTTCGATGGGAAGACTGAACAAGGTGGCAACGTCGATATATATGATGTCGCCAATGACATTTGGACAACTGTGCCATACGGCGCAGATGGCCGTTCGGGTCCGACAGCGCGGAGTGTGGGCTGCCTTGTGCCAACCAGAGTGTCTGAGCAATCGGTTCTGGTCACCATGTTTGGTGAGAGTGACCCCAGCAACCTTGGCCATCAAGGCGCGGGGAAAATGCTTGACGACGTCTGGGTTTTCCATCTCGATACATCGACCTGGACTAAGGTGGACGTGCCCGATTCAGATCGGCCTGCTGCACGGGGGTGGTTCGATGCTGATGTCTTGCAGAGCTCGCCAATGCCAAAGGTTGTGATCCACGGAGGCCTTGCGGAATCTAATGAGCGACTCGGGGACCTCTGGACCCTGGAACTGATTGATTGAACTTTATTTCCACAAATTATCTTTGCACGCTTATATAGAAATGGCTTAATTTGACAACTCAGTACTCCCACTGCCCTCGGCCGTAGGCGGTCAGAGTCCAGCCTCAAGCAGCGATGATGGAGTCGTCACGCTTCTTCGTGGATAGTACCATCAACAATGCGTTGGAGGGCGCTGTCGCCACCTAGCAACCCGGAATTTTGAAGTACCCGAATGCAGGAATTGACCAACAGGAAACTCGTGATGCGCTCTGACCTAGGAAGCTTCTCTTGCTTTCTTCTTCTGCTCTTGCTCTTGCAGCTCCAGCGTGATGATTTGGTATTTGTCTTAGAATGGTTTAGCCCCAATGCAAGACGCGCAGCCTCACTGACTGCGCTCGGTGTTGGGCTGATGCCTCGGACTGCCACCTCTCTGCCCGCGAGAGCTATAGGTGAGAGCTGTGCAAATATTGTCGTGAACTTTCAGGGGGCGAGCACATGTCAAAGACCGATCACTGTTTCTCGCCCTGTCCACTGCCTGGAAATGTCTCCTACCTTGCGATGACCTAAATTCCACCCAACCAACCAAACTCTGTCCAAAAGCCGATCTATACGAAGGAGATCTCCGAAGTACATTTATCTCTCAACGGGTCGTCCACGAAGCTCAGGGGAACTAGGCGGGAGAACCAACCATTTCGGGCATCGCGAACCTCATATTAAGCCTTTCGGCTCCATATCCTGCCCATCGCTACCCGCCAGCGGGGACGTGCGCGATCACGTTCAAAAATCCTCAAGATTGGTGGTACTCCTGGCAAATATGTCTGAAAATGCCACAGCCGTGTCATGTCCACACCCTGCATCTGTGGCACAGTCAAAGGCCTATATTGTCAATAATGGGCAATGGCCACAGTACTCAGGCTTTCAAGCTTTGCAGCCCGACCGCAAAGAGATACGCCTGCTGAAGCTCGAGACCAAGGCAGATACACAGAATATGAGGTATACAATGCAGCCTGCATCACTTCAGAGTGCGCCCACATACTGCGCTGCGTCGTATTGTTGGGGGGCGCCTGTTCCAGCCGGTGCCCAAAAGGAGATATTCGTTAATGGGTTGCCGGTGCGAATCAGGCCGACATTGTACTCATTCTTGGAAGCTATGAGGGTTCACCACCCGGAGACAAGCATATGGATTGACGCTATTTGTATCAACCAAAGCGATAACACTGAGCGCACTCATCAAATCTCTATTATGGGTGACATCTTCAAACAGGCACAAGTTGTAGTTGCCTGGCTAGGTGCAGGTGACGATGATACCAATTATGCCATGGATCATATTGGAAATCCTCAACCACAAACAGACTACAACCCTCTCATATTCTCCGAATGTGCCGAAAAGCTTCTGAGAGCTACTTACTGGACGCGACGATGGGTTATCCAGGAATTTGCCCTGGCGCGGGAAATCAAGGTTACCTGTGGCCAACATTTGATCGGATGGGATAGATTCGCAAACAAGATCAACGACGAGATCCTCAGTATTGGCGTTCCGGCCAAACAGACGCTCGAAAGCTTCAAGCGCTTGAGGTCCCCAGAGCCACAATGGCGAATGAGATTGTTAGAGCTGATGGACCTATTCCAAGATGCACGCTGCGCTGAGCAGCTTGACAGGGTTTTCGCGCTTCGCAGCCTTGCAGTAGACCTACAATGGCTGTCACCCGATTATCGGGAGACTGTTAGTAACCTTTACTTCCAATTGCTCTCTAGATTGCCTACTGAGAGGGTTGTGCCCGAGATGTATGGATATCGGTGGCCACACGAAGCTGCAAGTCGGTTGTTAAGGTGCATGCAGATGACGAAAGACAACATACTCAACTCATTAAAGGGCACTTCGACAGACCGTCTCTTTGTTGTGTTTGAATACGTTGGCTCGGTCGCCAAGGTCTCTACCGTAAGTCAGAGTTCAACAGAAGACCTCCTGGGGGACAATTTCACTTCTTTCCCCCTTGAAGTTCAACTTCATGGTGACCCCCCGCCAGTTCTTCGCGGCAGTATAGGCCTCCTGCCCGGGGATCTGGTCTACAGCTTACGATCAACGTCGCGCTCACCGAAAGGCTTTTATATAGCCTTTAGACCCTCCGTGATGGACCAGGCCGTCACCGGTATGATCATTGAATGGCCAGAGAAAAATAAAAAGTGGGAGGGAGACTACCCGTGGGCCACCCGCCTGCCGAACGAGGAACTCCGTGGCAAGAGAGTTGAATCGATCAAACATGTGGTCCTTGGGGGAGTGTCGAAGTGTTCTCGTAACAACGCAGCTTTTTCGTCGCCATCGCATCCGAGAGTCCTCTGTCACATCAACAGGGTTGCACTCATTCTACTATGGCTCCTTGATGCCCAGCAGCTTGACCACCTTTGGGCGATTCGTGAGAAGATTGAAAAAGACCTCGTAACGACGCGACCATCATGCAACTGCGCTGGAGATAAATTAGGACCACAGGAGCATGGTCCCGGGACTGGCGAACACCAGAATCGCACGATCGAGATACTGCCTTCCTCAGAGTTTTATATGGACAAGTTCTGGGCTGAAGAAATGACTCCACCTTGGATTGACCAGGTCCAACATGCGCAACAAGAGCAACTTGAAGACGAAGGGTTTTCCAGGGAATTCAAGGACAACCCCTTCAATTTTAATTGCCTGGATGAAACTCCTTTATTCCATGCTGCCAAGGCTGGGTTTCTCCTTTCTGTGAAGCATCTGGTCTCAGGTGGCAATGTTAGGGTCAATTGGCGAAATTCTAGGGAGCAAACGCCGCTGTTGGTTACGGCTCTCAAAGGCTATGATGAGGTCGTGAAGTTTCTCATGGATGCTGGTGCGGATGTCAATGTTCAAGATAAAGGTGGCCTGACCGCACTAATGGCAGCGTCTTTATCTGGCTATGATAAGGTGGTGAAGAGCCTGGTTGATGCCGGTGTGAATCTCGATACCGAAGCTGGATATCACTTGGCCCCTCTGAAGAGATTCGGCCTTTATTGCCCTGAAATAGTGAAGTTTATGGTTGATGGTCGCGGATATATCGATGCCTATGCCGAAGATGAATTTGACTATGGCGCGGAACATGTGGCAGCGTTTAAAAAACTGGCAGAGCGTCTGATTGATACCCGTACGGCCATCAAGGCTCCAGATGGACCCAGCGAAACCGCGCTAAGGTTGGCATCGGATGGAGGCTATGATGAGGTGGTGAAGATTCTGGTTGATGCCGGTGCGAATATCGATCTTCAAGATAAATATGGTGAAAGCGCGTTACTGAAGGCATCGGGTCGTGGCTTTGATAAGGTGGTAAAGATTCTGATTGATGCCGGTGCGAACATCGATCTTCAAGAT